AATACCTAATTATTTAGTATTAACTTATCGGTATTAATATAAAAATAAGTAATTATCTTTTCGGTGCCCCTTATATCTATTATTTAAAGCAGCACTAACTATACTTTATATTCCCTTACCTTATTATTATTAAGCCCTAATAACTTAGGGTATAATAGCGCTACTTATAATAATCCCTACTATTAAGTAAAGTATATATTTATAAGGTTAACGGTACTATAAGTATCTAAGTATATAGGGACTTTAGTAGGGTTTCGCCTTAATATTATTATAGGAGTTTTAAGTAACTATCCTATAAGTATTAAGTTTATTAAGGGAGAGGCGTTTACCTTAATATCTTACCTTTTCTTTATTTTATAGTATTAAGTTTAAGAGTCTTTACTAGGGTTTCTACCTTTAAAGAATTAGTATATTCTATAGATAGGTATCCTAGCTTATTATATTAAAAATATATAATTCCTAATTAAGTAAAAGATCCTCTTCCTCGATAATATCCCTTAGTTTAGCCCTTAGTAGGTATATCGCTAGCTTACTAGTTATCGGTTAAATTAATAGTATTTCCTTAACGATTTAGCTTAGCTTATCGGCCTCTTTAATTCCTCCCCTTATACGTACTACCTTAGGGTATAGTACTATTTCTATTCCCGGTTCCTTTAAGGGTAGAAGTAGTATTAGTATATCGCCTCTTATTAGTAGTAGTATCTTAATATCGTTAAGCGACTTATATAAGCTCTTCCTATTAATAGGTATAAATAGGTATCGAATAAAGGTTAATTTAGTCTTAAAGTTATAGCTCTAGCTTAGTAAAAAACGTAAGAGCACGCGCTTTTTCCGATAGGCGTTCGAAATGCCTCTTTAAGGAGTTAAGGTATAAGCTAAACTCTAAGGGGGACTAGCCTTCTCGTTAGCGAGCCTCCTTTAATTACGTCGCTAATAGTATCTCCTTATTTATAGTATCCTTAATTAAGATAAGTATCTATTCTTTAAAGTATACCTAATCTATACTATATTTAGTCTAGTTAATCGGCGTCTATTCTTTAAGGTATCGGCGCTATCTCGCTTTATAGTCGCTATATATATAATCTACCGCGTAAAGGATCTTTATTTTATCGCGATAAAAACGTTTAGGCGCTGCCCTAAAGGCGTCCTCTAGATCGTAAGTCTAGTTTAGACGTTTCTATATATTAGTAGGTTAAGATAATTAAGCGATATTTTTAATTTTAACCTCGCTACCGCGACTACCGTTTAATTTAGGGGAGTAGGACTGTTAACGCTTTCCCGAATAAATAGCGATAGCACTAGCGCGTTTAGTAATTTCCTCCTTTAATTATATAACGCGATCTTATAAGCGTTTCGTCTCTTCTAGCTCCTTAACGCGCGCTTATAGGGCTATAAGCTTTTCCTTATAAGATAGTTATCTTACGCCTATAGGTAGCGATATCTTCGATATAGTTATAACGCTATCTATAGTAAGGGTCTATTCTAAGGATATATCTTCCTATTCTTTATCTCTTAAGTAGATACTCGATATACGTAACGAAGAGGCCTTAACTAGTTAACTACTATATCGCGCTATAGGAGCGTTATATAGTCTTCTTTAAGTAGCTATCTCTATTAGGTAACTAAAAAAGGAAGCTTTAGAAATTATAAGGGAATATATATTACGGTATAATTAGTTAGGTAGTAAAGATAGCTAGAGGTACTACGCTATATATATTATATTCTCCTTATTATAAGACTAAAGCTTACGAGAAGAAGGATTTCTCCTCTTTAGTCAGAGTAGCGAGTAGTCTATAATATACGAGCAAGGTAGGCATAATTCCCTACCGATACCCTACTAATATATTAGTACTACGTACCTAAGTGCTTTATTAGCCTATACCTCTTAGTAGCGCTCTTATAATTACTAAGCGCTTAGTTAATTACCTTAAGGCTAAAGACTTTAGTAATACTTATAGCGCGCTTTATTACTCCTTAAAAATAAAGTATAGTAATAGCCTCTTTAGCTATAGTCTTTATAAGGTTTATACTAAGCTTTAAACTTACTTAAGTTAAAAGAGTTAAAAACCTAAGAATATATTAAAACTACTACTAAGATATTAATAACTATAACTCTATATATTTATATAAGACTACTAGTAATATAATAATAATTAGTTTATAAGACTTTATAGCTTATTTAATCTAGCTATACTTAAAGTTATAGACTAGTAAAAACGCTAACTACTTTATTTCTTTAACGCCTTTAAGAATAATTAGCGCGAATACTTAAGAGTATATATAAAGGGTAGTAGATAATTATTTAAAGAAGGAAGTATATAAGTAAAGATAGGAAAGAGCTAAATAAGTAGCTTATAAGTAAAGGGAGGAATAAATATTATAAAGGGAAGGGATTATAGTAAAAGAGAAAAGTTCTATTAATAGTTTATTTACTTACTTATATACTTAAGATAAGAGCCTTTACTTATTATTATTACGCTCTTTCTATTAGTATCTTAGGTTAGAAATTCTCTAGGAAGAAGTTTAATAAGTAAGATTATACCCTTATAAATATTAGCCCGTTAAAAAGATAAGACCCTTAGCGCTTCCTATCTACCTTCCCCCTAAGTATACTTAAAGGCTTTATAAAAGCCTAGATTATTTAATTAGATATCTTCTTTAATTATAGTTAATTTAAATATTTATTTTTCTCTTTTAAAGTAAAAGCGGCTAGTTATATAACTCTAGTAAAGATAAAGAGGTATAGAGTAAAAAAATCTTTAAGACTTATATTAATAACCTAAAACCCTTTTAAGGTATATAAGTAAAAGTAGAATTTTAGGAAATTAAGGATTTATATAAGACTATATAATAAAAGGGAAGAAGGAGTATAAGGTAGGATTTTTAATAGAATTTATTAGTAGTATATTAGTATATAAAAGAGGTATTAAAGTTAATAATTCTATCTCTATTTACTAGCGGATATACTATCTTATATAGATAATTATAGCTAAACGGAAGAACCTTTTAAGACTAGATTTAGGCTACTATATAGCCCTAAGACTAAGGAATTCTATAATACCTTAAGTATATCTAGAAGTATCTTAGTTCTACTAATATTTATAAGAGTCTAGGCGTTGCCTAGATAGTTAATAAGTATAGTTAATTAATAAGCTAGGCAGCTTAGTTAATTCGTTACCTTTTATCGCGTACGTATAATACGCCGTACGTAGTAGAGGGGGGTAGTAGCGCGACTATAGCCTATGCCCTCTTAGGTCTACTCTATAATAATATTTATATTTAAAGGAGGTTAGTCGTACCGGTATTCTTAAAAGGTCTTAGCTAGTATTTTAAGCTAGCTCTATTCCTTTAATTCCTAATTATACGATAACCGGCAACCCGTTTAATGCATAATAATATATAAAATAATAAGCGATTTTTGCTTTATATAATAGGATTTTATCTATAATTAATATACTACTTACTAGCTTATATAATCGGGAGAGTATATTATAGCTACTTTATTTATAATAGGAAAACACCGTTCCTTATAGACCCTTAAAGCTATATATAGGACCGATAATTAAATAATTACGCGGTTAATTACTCTACTAATCCTTAGCTATATACTACGCGTGCTTTAAGTATATACCCTCGTCCTTATTAAAGTAAGCTATATATATAAACGCGTATTTAGTAGTAGTAAGCGCGGTATATAGTTAGATCCTATATAGCTTATTATTATAATATAATAAAAGGTACCTATAGTATATCCCTTTACCTACCTTATAATAGATATACTCCCTTAAGGAAATCTATTAGCGAGCCTAAGTAATAGTAACTAGCTCTTTTAGCTTAGCTAAGAAGGAGGACCTTTAAGAGGACTACTAATATACTTAGCCCGGTCCTTAACTAGCTCGCGTCCGCTACTAGAAAGGTAGGTATTATTAGTCTAAGATAAAGTTTAAGGATATAGTAAAATACTACGCTATATAGTAAGATAATCTACCTTATTAGTTATTAAGTACTAGGTTAAATATAAACTTAAAAAGGAAATAAGGTAAGCGGCTAGTTTTTACTTAAGCGAAATAAGCTATAATTTTTAGCTACTAAGAATTAATAGCTTTCTTAGATACCTTTAATAGGTCCCTTAGTATAAATTAATAATAATAAAGATAAATTATAAGTTTATTATAAATAGCTTTACTTTATAATATAAGTAAGAAAAGTAGATTTCTTACTTAGTAAGGCTTTACGCTATACTTAGTATAGCTCCCTCCTTTACTATATTAGTATAGCTAAATTAAGTAGTAGGGCCTAAATAAGTAAAGTATATATAAAAAAAGTAAATTATTTATATAAATAAAGATTTTATCTATATAAATAGTAATACTTATTTTAAAAACGTTAATAATACTTAATAAAAGGGCTATATTAAGGATCTATTAAACTTCTAAAAAAATAGAGAGGTATAAATACTCTATTTAGCTAACGGCACGGTAGGCAGAGCTAGCAGACAGATAAGTAGCCGGTCGAGCAGTTAAGTAGGCAGACAGCTAGGCAGTTAGTTAAGCCGCTGGTCGAGTAAGCTAGTCGAACAGTTAGTCGTAGCCTACGATATAATTACTAATAGTAAATGCCACGAGGCAGCGCTAGCAAAAGCAGAGTAATGTATATGCTATTAACTTCATAGATCTGGTCTCGGGCGAACAATAATACTCTAAGCAACAACCTTTAATAGCTAGAGACTTAGTATTAAAGACGCTGCTACTTATATTAGGTACTCGATTCAACCCGAGGCATAGCAGTCAAGAGAAACAGAATCCACCAACCGCCTTTTGATGCACCATGGGAACCATATCCAGCATGCTCAAACTCCATGTACCAGACGCCTCCCCAAGCCTGCCAATGCGTGCGCAGTAAATGTGACCCCCCAATGCCCGGCTTCAACTCCAACCCAACAATAAACGAACTCGACCGAGGAACAATGATACTACATTAAGTGGAAGGTGGCAGTGTGCTCATGTCCGGCCCAGGCTATTGGCGTTGCTCTGCCACTGTTGAGCCGCCCCATTCGTTGCATGACTGCCAAAATACTGCTGGTCGTGAGGGCCATCAATGGTATCGAAGTTCCATGCGGAGCTACTCTCGTCCAGCCCATACTGCTGGGGCGCGCCGTCCTCGGGACCAACACCGGTTGCTTCCATCTTCATTTGCCGCGGGGACGGGAAGTTCTGGCCTTCCTGCGCGTTGATCGAGGGTCCTCGATGAGGAAGGTAGTACGAGGGCTGATGTATGTATGCGTTGCCATTGCTATTCGCCACGGGCCTCGCCTCGGACATCGACCCAAGCGACATGCCTGTCAGATCCGACGACGGAGTCGCCCCAAATGTGGAATGGCGCCGCGGTGGGCTCTGCGTCGGCATGTTGCGTGGAAACTCGTTGGCGATGCCGGCCCCAGATCCAAAGCGCGCCGTCCGGTTAGGGTCGAGGGCATAATTGCCTGGAGACTGGGAAGAGTAAGACATGGGCGGCCCGTTCGGAGGTGGAATCGACGACGGCGCCGGCGATGTCATCGACGAGGGGAGAGGTGGCGGCATCGACGAGGACATCGGAACCCCCATTGAGGGGCCCATGGACGAGACGTAGGAGTGGTGCGGGCCAGGCGGAAAGGCAAATGCGGGCGAGGTCGTATACGCCGGAACCGGGACGGTGTGTATGCCGGGGCCTGACCATGCTCTCTGCAAGATGCTGCCGGAAGCGCTGCCAAAGTCGTGAGCGCCATTGGGGACTGCGGCAAAGAGGGCCGGGGCGCCGTCCGGGCCGTACTCGACCTCGTCGACGGGAGCTCGGAAGTTTTGCGACGTCATGAGCTCCATGCGCGGGACAATTTCCCTCAAGCGATTGTCTTTTGAAGGGGTCATCAGACGCCCCGACATGACATCCTCGACGCTGTAGTAGCTGACGAGATGGTGCGGGACCCCGCGGTAGGTGATGCTGATTGTCTTCTTGACGAGGCCGTCGGTCTTGAACGGATACGAGTCGATGAGCGAGCCAATGAGGGATCTCTCCGTGTCCTTGCCGAGGTCGATGCCAGCGGCAACGTAGCTGCTGATGCTGGGGCGCGACGAAGTGCTTTCGCTCTTGCTGATGCCTCCGGACGGGCACTTTTTCTTCTTGAGGGCCCGTTTCTTCTCGCCCGGCGGGAAGGGCTTCTCGAGCTCGCGGTAGATGAGGAAGTTGCCGAGGATGCGGCTGGGGCTCCACGAGACGCCATCTGTCCAACGCTTGATGCCCGAGGCGTGCTCCTCGTAGATGAAGACGCTGCCGCTCTGAATGAGGTCCTGGCGCTCCCGGTCGTGTGGGCGGCGAGGGACGTGGTTGAGCAAACCTCCAAGGGAACCTTCGAAGAGCATCAGAGCATCGAGCGTGGATGCTATATGGCCCTGCCATGTCGGATTGAGCGGACTTGATTGATTTGACATGGCCGTGGACTAAAGTCTGCAACCGTGGAATCTTAACCTTGGCACGCCCAAAAGGAAGGAATAACAAAAAAAACTTTTGGCGAGGAAAGGATAAGGGCAGGTGTCTAACGGCGCCGAAAGCTTGCCTGTCGGGTGCTAGAGAAACGAGACAGGGCAAAGGGCGGGCTGGAGCAAATGGATGTCGTTGTCGAGGAGCGAGAGAAGCTGGATGGTGAGCAGGGAATTTGACGAAGCCGAGAAGAACGGGAATGAGTCGAAAGGAAGGTTCCAACGGATGAAGAACAGAGGAGCGGCACTATATGATTTAAGCACGGCTAAAGAACGGGATCAGCCCGTCGAGAAACCAAAGCCCTTGGGCGTAATATTTTTTTCCCGAGCGCCTTTTTTTTGGGCGTGCTGCTCCAAGGCAATGAAGAGCGAGGCAGTGGAAGTCGAGGCAGGTGGCTTGCACAAGCTCACGGGGTGAAGGGGGCGATGAGGAGGGGAAGAGGGGGGCAGGGAGGGACCCGTCGGGTAGCAGGAGATTGACTCTCGAGGTGCGTTTTCTGACAAGCGCCGTCGAGCGGGTGCGGGCGATATTTCTCCGACCAAGGGGGAGAGAGGGCGGAGAGGCAAGGACGAGAGTTTTCTGTCGATGCCGAGCGAAGAGGAGCGGGAAGACGAGGACGTCTGATGATCTAGCCTGGGTGTGACAGATTGGATCCAGAGACGACGGGCAGAGACGGGTCGGGACAGGGCCGAGGGCCAGAAGAGGGTAGGTTAGGATATAGAGTTTTGGGGAGGCGTCGACACAGCATTGCAGGTAGAGCCTGAGAAAAGGACGCCCGGAATAGGCTTGACGGAGGACGTGACGGGGGAGTGTAGTAGGTGTTCTGTATGTAGGTGGGCTACGAAGGCGCGCTCGGTAGCGCCAGTATGTCTACGCAGTGCGCGCGGTACAAGGGCGAGGAGGCGTGTGTTGGAGCGAGGCAGAGAGGGTTGCATGTGGTGATGGGTGGTGTTGAGTGCCTGGGTGGGGCCAAGAGAGGGGGGGGGGTGTGGGCAGGTTGTGTTCGTACTTCTGCGGCGTGTGGCGCGCACTAGAGTCCATGTACTACTAGTACCACTAGCAGTACTTTGTCCTTTTACCGAGGTGCCCCATAATTACCTGCTCTGCAGAGGCAACAAGTGCCCTGGACGGCGACTAGGTGTGTGGTGGGTACATAATTAGTAGGCAGCCACACGTATAGCAGCAGTATTCTGGCCATGTATGCGCACTTTAAAAAGCCTGGGCGAGCACGGGCGACCCTCGAGACGACGGAATGGCCTTTGCGAGAGTCTCCAGGGACGGGCTGAGAGTCGAAATTGCACTTTGTGTTTTAAGAGTTTGAAGACAGCGAACAAGAGGTGGGGCGGGGTGAGCGGGGTTCAGCCAGGGAGATGTACGGTACTGTACATGCTTCGTAAACGCTCCAGGTACCAGCAAGAAAAAGGCCAGCGATGCCTTCGACCACGCCCGATGCTGAGACCGAGACCCAGCCATCTTGGCCGTGGCAGCGGCGACTCGTGCTTGGCCTCCCGCCAGCCACGGATCTTTATCGGTGGCGAACCAGCGCTACAGTATACGGAGGAGATCGGCTTGGCTTGGCCACAGTACGAGGAGCACCTCGCTGCCATTCGTTGTAGTAGCCGCTCGGCCTTTGGAGGACAGTCCCCGCCGCTCGCCGACTACTAGTAGAGATGCTGCTACAGTTGGGAGGCTTTTATGCTTAGGTTAGGTACGCGCGTGCGGTTTGCCTCCTTCCCGTGCTAGACCCGCTGCCGCTTGAGACGAGACACAAGCAAAGGCGCGACAAGTGCCGCACGCGTTTTTTGTGGTGCCTGGTCCAAGCAGCTATTGGATGCCTGGATAATTACAGCACCATCAGATAGAATTACTATGTCATTCTAAGCGTATAATACCTACTCTGATAGCACCCGTAATGAGTAGATGCTGAGAAAGACGGTACTCTACGAAGAAATAGAAGGCATTTTGTCCTACATACAAGGCGGAGCGACACCGCGTCGCTTGGTACCTGCCAGCTATCCCAGCGCCGACCCGGGGACCCGAGGCATCACGATATCCCAGTAGTTACCGCATCTTCCTATCTGTGGAGCACAATACCACAATACCACAGTACGATACAACCGCTCGCTCACTCCGAGTCGAGGTAACCAACCTGGTGCATACCGACGATTCCTGTGCTGCACGCCGCAGGTACCTACAGATGGAGCTTGGCTGGCACGTCATGCATGCAGCATCTGCATGCAGGGCCGGCACATGGTAAGGCGGGAGGCGTATTCGTATGTACATACGTATGTTCCATGTACATACAGAGACGCAGGGGGCATGTTCGCATCGGCAGATTTTGCGCGCACGTCAAGGGGAGCAAGGTCTTGGCTCGCCTGGCTGTTGCGAGCTTCGGGCAAAAGCCCTCCGTCTTGGACTTGGCGCCTGCCCTCGCCGCTACATGCGCCGGTATCTAACCCCTCCCGCCGGCTTTGCGAGCGCTACGAGTTTGCTCAGACACCTCCGCGAGGTACTGCAGTACGTCCACACGTGTCCGGCCTTCGGCGGCGGCGGCGGCGCCCAGCCGATGAAAGCGACCAGGGGGGCCGCCGCGCCGTCGCCGGGAACGGACAGACCAAGCAGAGGGAACCCGGCCCCTTTTGTCCCTTTGGTCTATTCTGGTTCTCTGTCCATTTGCCTCTGCTGCATGCTAAACGCGATGCCGCTGGGAAAATAGTATTGGTTGCCCATTCCAAGGACCAGCGAGATGAGTTATGTGATGGCTAAATCCCGGTGGTAGACACGTACTGCTGGGTAGCCAAGGATTGATGCTCCTCTTTGCCTTGGGCTTGGGTCATGAGGGGGTCATGTATGTGAAGACTCTTGCCATGATGGCCTTGTTGCCCGAGAGAATAAATCACCGCTACCGATGGCGATGCCTTTCCTTTCGTGCAGCAGCCAGGCGAGCACAGGTGATGGAAAGCATGTGATCAGGCAGCACAGCGCACAACGCTGCTTGTCGAATCCATGCATGCAGTGATTTGGCAGGCGGTGTACTCTTCTCGGCCCGTTATCCCTGTAGCGGTAACAACAACGGCCGCGCGGGGGGCCAGAGATGGAGATTCGGGATACCCCTAGCAATTGCGCCGGGGCTGTCGGGGCCTCGTCAACCTCGCTCGAAAACGGAACCGGTTGCGAGGGCCACGGGATCTGTCACGGTAGGTACAGTTGCATGTGTATGTCGCCGACTGGCTGGCAGACATGGGCGGGATGCGGCGGTGGGATGCAGTCAACTGCTAGCTGGAATCCCCGGGATATAATCGCACCACTCCGCCATACAGAGCAGTCCCATCTCAGTACCGGAACAGCCCTTGTCACCCGCATCTAAGCGTGGCTACCGAGATCCAGTACGTATTGCCACGTACCCTATACAGTACAGTACAGTGGGCAAAGGACGCAACTCGACCCTTGTCGATACAGAAAATACAAATAAGATGCACGGCTGTCTGTCTGTAGGCTTGGCCCCAGGACATTGGCGTGTTTTCGGTCACACAACTATTATGTGCAATACTCCCGGGACACCCCCCTTCCCAAACCCATAGTAGCACAGCACGTGTCTTTTGCTTTTACACATATATGGAGGGAAAGCCAGCTATGGTTCAATCGTCTAAACCACGCAAGAAAAGGGGCGGGGCAAAGAGGGTGCGTGGTGCGTTGGCTGAAGCAAGAACGAGCTTCAACCCTCGGCCGCTTTCGCCAGACGGACCTAGCCGGCCGGCATCTGGGACCCCTGAGGTGGGGCGGACAAGAAGGGGGGGCGCCCGTCGAGATGCATGAGGGGCCGCCACCCATTACATACCTCATGTATCCCTATATCCCTGTATCCCTATATCCCTGTATCGCATGCATGCATGTGTGGCGTGCATTGCAGGGGTGCTCGAGTCGTCGATGGACGACAAAGTGCGAGCCACCAAAGGCCAGCTAGTTGATATCTCGGCAGATAGTGGGCGCCGAGCTACCTAGTAGGCAAGGCGCACTGCTCGAGAGCCTGCGTCCACCGGCCCACATTCGAGAGAGAGGGGGAGGGGAAGAGGGGAAGAGGGGAAGAGGGAAGAGGGGAGAAGGGGAGGGGGAGAGGGAGAAGTCGAACGGCTCCCTACCATTCAGGTCATGTGCATTGAAAACAGCACCACGAGCACTCGCCGGAAGTTGCCATCACCACCGCCCTCTTGTTCCTCCTCGTACCTCGCTCGGGGCGCACGCATTCTCTGCGCTCGATCCACATCCTCGCCCCGTCTCTGCCAAATTGCAAATCATGTATATCCCAGTATCCATGTATACATGCATTCACCGCTGGTACGGATATCCGAGCGTCTCTATCTGGGTACTCCGTACATGCCGTGGCCGCATCATCGCCGCCCATATGCCGGCCAGTTGCCTACCCACTTGGCGCTCGAGCATGCTTACTGTAATTGCTGCCTTGGCTTGCCCTAGCTGGGTGCACCAGACATACGCCACGGTTCCCCCGACCGATATACATCTCCTCACACTCCTAGCCCCAGGCCATCGACGGAAATGGAAAGGCGGCTCCATGACTCGCCGCTTGCACAGACGGGCGGGGGGCGGAAACAATGGGTCCAGCTCTGGGCATTCGGCTCTATCAGGTGCAGAGAGCGAGCCGAGCGGGCCCCTGGTTGATCAGACACTGCGCAGAGCAACCCTAGCTAGCTCAAGTACGGATATGTGTATCATGACTAGGTACCATGAGATAGATACCACCACTCATACGGCCTTGCTCCAACAGTGTCCGCCATTGGGCCCACCCCCGCCCTGGTGTCAGCTAAATGGCATCGTCCGCTGCCCGTCATCGACCGAGACCCCTCAGGCGCCATCGTAGAACGGCTCCTCATCCGATCGGTACGCTCGACCCGGAACCTGCATCGGGATGGGTACCGTGCCCTGAAAAACGCCCAGGTCGCCTGCGTTGCTCCCTTGGTTGCTGCTCCGGTGAACTGGCACCAGCACGCCGCACTCCCAGTTGCGGCAGCTCATCTTGGCCTTGCCCGACTTCTTGTCCTTGACCAGCCGACCCCTATCGTGCAGGCCATGGTCCGTCAGCGTCGTCGTGTGCAAATCCTTTCGCGGTCCGCCAGTACGGACGGACAAAACCCGACTCACCAGGCGCTTTCGGACAGGTTGGCGCTCCCCACGTATGCCCAACCCGCCCACGGATTCGAATGCGAATGCGGATTCGCAGTGCTTCCCTCGGCCTTGCGCACGAAGATGACCTTGCTGTGCATGAGAAGCCCCTCCCTCGTGTTGACGCAATCACGCACCAGCTCAGTCGGGAAGTCTGGTGAGCGCCACCACTTTGCTTGCACGCAAATGGTACCCGCAGCCTGTGCGTCACGCCCCATGTCCAAATTAGCCTATAGACGCGCCACCTCACCCGATGCTGGCCACCTACCGCCTTGCCGCCCCGGCTGTCGCATACTGTCTGGTTTGCTGGAAAGTATATGCGAAATCGGTCCTTGAGCAGCTGAGATGGCCCTGGATGCTTGTCGCGAGGCTTGCGACTTGTCCTCTCGGTGTATTCCTTCATGCCATCATCCCCTGGACCATGTCAGCCAGCTCGCCGCCTCGCTCCCCTCCCCCGTCACCCCCTCCTTTTTGTTTTTCTGCAGGGAGGGAATTCTGGGCTGTCGCTAGTACGCAGCCATGCATGGACCGCTACTCACCCTGGCAGGCGTTGTACATGGCCTCAACGAGATCGCACTTAATGGATCCGAGAGAGGCGCACTGATTCCCGACATTAGCACGGGGCCCTTTCCGAGACTGTCGGAAGCACGTGCCGCTACGTCAACTTCAATGGGCACCGTAGTTGCCAACCCCAGCGCGGCCACGGTGGCTCCCAATCCACAATATCCTGGGCCGGCTGTCAGCCACAGTGCCGCACCATTCGTGGTGGTTGCCACAGACCGACTCGCTTGAGGGACTCGTCCATGTGTCCGCCTGGCCTAGGCCCTGTGAGCTTGACGGATGAGAAGACGTCTTTCAGCTTGGGGCGACTGACCTGGTATGGACGAACCCAAGACTGGCCGTCTTTGAAAAGTCGTAGCCGGAGAGACTATCGACCATTTTCTCCTCAACCCCCATGGCTCGTAGGAAATGCTGGAGCTCAAGGCTGAATGTGGTAGGCTTGTGATCCTCGGCCTTGTCCAGCCGTGGTAGATCAATTAGAAACACCATCTGCGCACGCGGGAGTTAGCGCGTGACGGCCGCGAGCTGACGGATGGGCCAGTGGCGGTGGGCATGCCGACGTTTTCCATGACACCTGTTTCCCCCCAGTCGTAGGGTACAAGGTTTCCCGTGGGCACGACGACGCGGAGGTAATGAGCAAACTTTAGAATCTGCAGCTTGGAATGCATAGACCCAGGACCATGCATCCGCGGGAAGCAAAACCTTATATGCGGTGGCACATTGGCCCGCATCGCCTCTTTCTGTCGATTGTGGATTAGAGTTTGATCAAACACGGCAGTCCCCCCTTGAGAAGAAGCCGTCATCCAGTTTTGCAGGGCCGGTGAGAGACCTACCTGTCGGTCGTCTGATGCAAAGGCCGCGAGAAGAAGTCTGGTCTTGGTCGTGTCGACCTTTGACAATATCCAGTCGTCGTCCCACTGGTACGACGACAGCATGGCCAGCAGCAGCTTGTCCTTCTGCAGCACCTCCTCAATCTTGATGTCGTCACCGGTCCGAGGATAGCCACGAACCCAGGTCCGCTTGACCGTGCCATTGGGGTATGGCAACATGGAATCTGTGCATGTTGCATTGAGATGACTCGGCGCAGGTATCGACTTTTTCCTGGGTGGCGGCACCTCGACCACCTCGTCGTCCGAGGGAGACCTGGCCCGTTTTCTGGCCATTCTCGCTAGCCGTTCCTCCTCCATCTTCCTTCGATTGAGGGAGAGCAGACTAAAGGCCGTTTCTGATTGCTGCGGGTCTTGGTGCGCTGGCTTGGTTGCCAGTGATATCGAGTCCTGTTGCTGATCCTGCAACGACAAGGCAATGGCCGCTCGGAGCGCCTCGTCATCGTCCGCATCACTGCCGAGGCCAGGAGAGGCTGGGTCAGGTTCAGCCATGATGGACTGGTCGCGGCTTCCGGCTGTGGGAACTGGCGGAATCGATGGGCGGATTGCTGCGACGCAAACGCGTGTCGTGAACAACGCGGGTTGTCGCAAGCCTGGACCTTGGCGCGGGCTCACGTGAGAGGGGCGTGACGTCGGTACTGAAGTGGCAGCAATCCTCGCACGTGCCCTCAGTACTGAGAAGATAAACGCGCCTGCGCCTCCAGCGTATCTAAGTTACCTGGTGAGGAGAAATTGCAAGGAGAGACAAGGCGCTTGCGCGCTATAGGGTACCCGGGTCATGGGACAAGTGCCGGTGGTTGGACCATGGAATCATCTATGACGTCCTCGATATCATCCGCTCAATCGGTACTACTCGCCGAAAAGCCATAGCCCGTAGACCTCGTCCTGTCCTCGACTCTGCAGACCACAACGGTGATGGAGTTCGCCTGCCTCTCTGGTTATGCCGCAGCTTGATCGCGCAAACAAACATTCATTGGCATCATTGTCAAAGTTCGGATCGGCTTTGAAGCCATGGTTCCCCCGACCGATGGCAAGACGAGACACGTCGTCATTGTTGGCGGAGGTGCCGCCGGCATGGTAATTTGCCTGTGCTCTGCGTGAAGAGCCATGCTAACATGGCTCCCAGTCCTGCGCCGCGACTCTGGCTAATCATCCTAGTAAATTCAAGGTGACCTTGCTGGAGAGGAGCGACGTTGTGGGCGGACAGGCAACCTCGATCCCGCTGAGCGAGCAGCAGTTCGGTGCACCGTGGATGAACAACGGCGTCCAAGGCGGGTCGCAGGTCAGTCAAACTCGAGCAATGGGATCAACGCTCACCGTGTGCTGAGAAACGCATTCGCCAGATCTTCAAGCACACCTTCAACTTCTTCCGCCTACAGGGCTACCCGCCCCAGGAGGTCCAGCTGCAGGTTGCCTTTGGCAAGGGCGAGACGGGCTTCTGGACAAACGTCTTCCCCAGCAAGCTCGTGCGGCGCTACTCAAACGATGTCAACAAGTTTGGTTTCTTCCTCAAGGTGATTAAATGGACCATGCCCGTCCTGGGCCTCGTGCCCATATCTATCATGCTGCGCCTCTTCTTCTTCAGTAAGGACTTCGGCGACAAAATGGTATACCCCCTCATCGCTCTCTTCCTGGGCACCGGCAACCAGACTCCTCATGTCCCCTCGGCTATTGTCGAGCGCCTCTTTAACGACCCCAACATGAAGCTCTGGGACTACGACCCCGTCACCCTCTTGCCCAACCTGCCCTCAATGTTCACCTTTGATCACCTCCATGAGTTCTATCGCACGTGGAGGCAGCATTTGGAGAGCAAGGGGGTCACCATCCGAACCGACACAGAGGTATCGGAAGTGCTGTCAAGATCAGACGAAGGAGTCAAGCTCTGTGTCAAGGATATTACCACGAGCACCGCAACGGAAGAAGATTATGAGGAAATGGTCATGTGTACACTGGCTGACGACAGCCTCCGGATCCTGGGGAAGCAAGCTACATGGCGCGAGAAGCTGGTTCTGGGCGGTGCCGTCTTCTACGATGATATTACCGTTACCCACACGGACCAGAAATACTTCGAGAAACAATACGAGACGGCCTTCAAGCCTGACCTCTGCGCAGAGCCAACATCGGACTTTCAAAAGCAGCAGATTGCCTTCGCCAAGGCTGAAGACGCGGGAAGCGGGGGCTCGTCTGGCGGCTTCCGGCCCATGTACTTTACGTTCTCGTACGAGCACGACCCGCGACTGATCGAGATGTCATTCAACTGCAGCAACTACCAGCACCAGCTGAAGAGGGCCAACTCGAACGCCGCTGAAAGCTTCGAGCCAGTCTATCAGACAATATTCCTCGACAACAACCTGAGGCACTTGTGGACAATCGACGAGATTGACGAGACCAAAATCATCAAGAAGAACTGGTGGCACCAGCTTGGACATAGATGGCAGCACTACATTCGCGTCGTCCCTGGCATGATGTTTTTGAACGGGAAAAACCGCACCTCTTTTGCAGGATCTTGGACCCTCGTTGTTAGTTGCTTTCGTGTCTTTAAGTCCGCAACGGCCCCCGAGATGGAAGCGCTAATGCGGGAGTTCAGAACATGCACGAGCTGGCCTGTGTCAGTGGTATTGCGGCCGCGTACCGTCTGGGCGCCGACTACGTTAAGCTCGACGACTTTGCCCAAGATTTCTTTGCCAAATATCTCCTGCTCTCGCATGGCAAGGTGTTCTCCCGGGAGGAACGGCGGCGGCATGGATCCAAAGCCGCCAAATGAGAGACCCTTGTGAATCATTCGAGAAATGGTGAGTCGCCCAACGTGCCGATATGTGACATGGCTCGCAAAGAAACCGCAAGCTTTGAGGCACGGGATGGAATAGTATATCAGAAGGGTTCGTACGCGGCGGCAAGGCGTTGAGGCACTCTGAGCTTGTCGTGCAGCTACACCAAGGGAGATGGTTGGGAACTCATTCTGCTCGCAAGTTGACATTGCCAATATACCACATCAACCCACAATACAGGGGCCTCGTTCTACTCCTGTACATATTTATTCGTGCTTGAACTCGCCTGCGCTCTGTGCTCGCCTAGACCACCGGGTATCGTTGGGAGAAATAAGCGAGGACTTAACCAGCCGTCAAATGCTAACCCCCCCCACTTTGACACAAGCCGCACATCAAAGAACATGGGGATCCAAATGCCTTTAAACAGCCTTGACACCTAGTTCAAATGCAAATCCACCTAACGAGGCCCAGTGCCAAGACCGCGCGACACCAAGCTAGGCTGATCACGAACGCCTCAACGATCAATACATAACCCAACTAGAGCCCATCCTAAACAATGTCCAGCTTTCTGCAGTGCCGCGTCCCAGAAAGCATAGAACAGACGAGTTCCAAGTTTCGCCACCAATACCAATGAGCGAAAGAGAGGTGTGTATTCGCAATCCCGAAGTAAGTAAGCCATCGGGCTTGGCTAAGAAGAATTCGACGTCAAATCCAACTTCAAAATTCGCCGGAGGTCTTTCTCCATGGCTTGAATGTCGTTGGACTGGGACAAGCCCGGGTGACCGGGCTCGGCTGCCGATAATTGCGACGTGTAGCTGCCGGCATCGATCTGGACGGCCGGAGCAGGGGCAGCCGGGGCCTTGTGGGTAGCCGGGCATGGGGTTGAGTTGCTGCCGAACAGGAACTTTTTCAAGGCTTCAGTAGGATCATCTGTCGGTAGAGCAGCTGCATGTGATTGCTCCTCTCGAGCTTGGTTAAAACGGGGCCGAGATGCGTTGGAGCGCGCAGCTCGGATGCGTTCCTGGTAGGGCGTTGAGAAGGCCGGACCCATCGGCAGACCCGAAGGACTGTGCAGCTCAGAAGGTTCGATGCCACGCGACGGCGGTCTGGGGTTTGTGCGTCGGGACTGGGAGATACCTGAAAGACTCGGGGAAACGCAAGGATCTGGTTGCGAAGGAGGCTGCGGAGAAGTCGGGTTTGAGAACGTCGTGCTCTGCCCAGCCACTCCTCCACCACGGCATTGTCTTTCCTTCTCCTCCCGATGCGCACGAAACATGAAATCGAGCGGAGACTCATGCGTCCTGGGAACAGAGGCGGGACGAAACGGAGTGGGTGCGTCAGTGTCGGTGGCAGGTGGTGAAGGCTCCTGCACTACGTCTCTTGTCGACGAGTGGACGGGGGTGCCGGCGGAAGGTTTGGCGTGAAAGCTGGGAATTGGCAATGCTGAAGGAGCCGGAGAGGCGTGGAAGGTGGCGCCAGCAAACGCAATGCCAGTGGAAGGCCTCAAGGACTCGGAGCGATAAGGAGGAGTCTGGCGATCGCGCTGGATCGAGTCGGGGGACGCGGGCGTATTCTTGGCCTTGGCCTTGTTCCTGCTTCGCTGCTTGGGCCCTGATTTCATCGAACCGGGGTCGGCCGGCGCAGGCGATCCGGAGGATGTCTTACTGGGGGTTTGCGGCGCCCTGTGACGGCGGGAGGACTCGAGAGCAGCCACGTCATTTTCGGAAGCGTAGGCCTTCCGGGCACCCGGTCGGGGCTCGCCTCGGCCAGGTCTTCTGCGCGCGGGCGTCAGTTTGGGCTGCGATGAGATGTCGTCCATAGCTATGCAGAGACTGCGGCACCGAGCGCGCGCTTGGGGGAGAGGTGTCGGGAGGTTGCTCAGATGGCGAGCAATCAGGGAAGGTGGTAGGGCTTGAGGAAAGCGTTGGCGGGAGGGCGATTTGGCGGTTATAGGAAGAGGCAGTTTGCGATGCGAAAGGCGTGCTTTGTGTGCCCATTGTGCGGCCCAGTCAGCTCGGTGGTAGAAGGAGGGGTTGTTTGTTGACCAAGGGAAGAATGAGGGTGAATGGAGGAGAGAGTTGGGAGGCTGGAGGCAGGGCGTGGGCCGACCTGAGGGGTGACCGAGCCCGTATTAGGTAAGGCGGATACACGCCTTGGTCAGGTAACCATTTAATGCGACGAGGGACCTACAGTACTGCATCTTGTTAGGCGTCTACAGGTGTCGCGAGGTCCGACTCCCCCGCCCTCTCTGCTAGACGGACGGCACGAGCTTTCAGTAGCGCCTTGAAGCCAACGGGCGACGCGCCAGCCAAACTTTGTCGCATTCCAAAAGGTCGGGTGGCTGCTTCCAATATTGAGCGAGCCCTTGCTGTTTGGCACGCCTGTACCGGAAGCGTCAGGTCCAACTCTTGTAATCAGGAGTAAGTACCTCCCTGCACACGCTCACGTACCCGGCAAACAGGGCCTCGGGTGGCGGGTGGCGCTAGGCGGGTGTCTTGGACATCTGGGGCTTAGGTAAGTAAGGTAGGTATTCAGGTATTCTGTACCTGGCAATTACGACATCTTGTTTGCCCCTCTCTGGTGCCGCCGCAGAGGTTCTCGCCCAAACGCGCGAGCACCCGTCCGGCCAACGCAGCCTGTTCTCCTGCAACTGTCGCTCCCAGCCCTTGCGACCGCAGTGAGTGCAGACACCCATCAAACCAAAAGCCCATTCCTGATCCAACGGCGCCGTTCAAGTCTCGAGATACTCTGCGTGAGTGCAGACAGAGTTCGCAACCCCAGCACCCCAGCTAGTACGCAACTGTGGCACGCTCGGACTGAAGAGGGGATCACCGGCTTCGCGGCGTGGCCAGAGTGTCAGACGCTACCTGTACGTCGCCTCCGTGCTCGAGTCTGCGTGGATACCTGCTTCCTGGGCATGGCATCAAGAACGCCTCGGCTAACCGTCCCAGAAAGCAGGCCCCGGGTGCCGCAGAACCTCCGTCATTTAGCTCAACTGGCAGCTTCGTTTGCCCCAGCCAGCCCGCAATCGTTCCACAGCTATATTCTCTCGTTCGCCCCTCTCCCGCTGTTTTGATACCGGCTGGTTCAGCATGACCGATGTAGAGATGAGCGATGCCCCCACAGCCGCCAAGCGAGCGGATGGGGTTACGGGAAAAGGGCCCGAGGGCAAAAAGAAGTTCGAAGTGAAGAAGGTGAGACGTCAAACCTGCTGTGGAATGGCTCTTTCTGACATTGCTTAGTGGAACGCCGTTGCCCTCTGGGCTTGGGACATCGTTGTGGATAACTGCGCCATCTGCCGTAACCATATCATGGACCTATGTGCGTGTCCCAGCACCCCACCGTCCCTCCGGTATGCCTATGGAAACGCGACTAACTGCAAAGTCGACAGGCATCGAGTGTCAGGCGAACCAAGCTTCGGCGACGAGCGAGGAGTGTACAGTGGCATGGGGCATCTGCAACGTGAGAACCCAAGGCGTGTCGTGGACGGATTGATGCTGACAGCATGGCAGCATGCGTTTCACTTTCACTGCATTTCACGATGGCTCAAGGCCCGGTCGGTCTGTCCCTTGGATAACCGTGACTGGGAGTTCCAGAAGTATGGGCGATGAGGTTGCGCGAATTGCGCGAACAAGGCGACGGGGAGCGGCCATTCACACTAAGACTCGACATTTTGATATCGTGCGTTATCACCGGTCCCGCCTCAGGTCCTGTCGGCAGACCCTCTATTGGGAAAGTCTAGCCTTGTTGCCACCCTGCGCCGGCCGGCAGCCATTTGACAGGACTTTTATTGTAGAATGGCCAAGGCGGCACCACAAGGAGGAATGTCAGGACGGTACCACCTAACCCGATATAAACAGCCTTCTGAATGTCTTGGTAGTGGTATCCGATGTTGAATGCCACCAGCTTTGGAGGGCCAAGTTAGCAGGGTGAAATCAACGAATTCAGGTGCTTGGGCAATGGTTTTTTACCCCAGACACGGCAAGCAAGAGCGTTGCGAAGGTCTCGGCGCGCCTCTGACCCTCGAAATCCTGAAGGCACAGCGTCAGTAAAGTGCCGGGTGATAGATGGCAAGAGGCGCTCTGGAGCCGTACAATGGGGCCGTCGACGACATCGCGAATTTTATCGAGAAGCTCCTCAGCCATGATGGGCAAGGCGCGGAGCTTGCCCAATGCGTACTATGCGCCTCGGTACTCTGTGTGATGCTAAGACGGAACCAGTACGTAACGTGGGAAAGGCAGGGTTGGGGAGCGATGGTGGTCGGCGGTTTGGACGGTGGATGGTCGGTGGATGGTCGGCGTCTAATGGCTACGGACCCACGAGCACAGGTGTCCTTGTCGTTGGTCTCCCGAGCATCGCGTTCACGTGTTCCCCAGAATTGGTTACATAAGGTTTATAGTGGGTACTAATTGTTCCACTAACACTTGTAGTGCTTGACAATTGAAAGCTTCCACGTCTTTACGCCAGATCTCACCTTTCCGTAACAATGGAGTACTGCACACAGCAAGTAGGCGTTTGTAATGCTTTGGCGCATTGAAGGAACAACAAAATGCACGCGGTGAGAATTGATTATCGTAATCCAACGCTGAGCTCCAGCCGCGACGAGGCAATCCGCATCGGGCAAAAGACCCGCTTAGGTGCCTTGCCTCTCAAAGACTCTTCCTCTATCGCCAAGGTTAGGGTTTTTTGGAAGAGTATTAATTTGCCCGAGACCAATGCCTATCTGGCTCCCGGCACGGTAACTAACAGGCAGAGGCAGCATTCGGGCGAGCCAGAAAGTCAGTCGAGCAGTCCATTACTGTAAGCAGTGAATCGGGTACAAGTACACGGTACTCGGGCGAGGTCGAAGCGGAGCGCTGGGAACAACCGGCCACTCACACCGTAGCTTACTAAGACACGAAGTACAGTCAGCGAAGCGGGGAGCGGGGGCAGCAACACTGTGCAACCCACTCCGCACGTACGAGGAAAATTTCCCCTCCGAGCTCCGTACAAAAACACTCCTACTGGTAAAGCAAAACATCAAGCCAAGCTTCCCAACTTCATAAACCCGACTACTTTCTCCCCAACCATTTTACACAAAGAGGCCGGTTCGCATATTGCAGGCATACCAGCTTCTTCGAGTCAACCAACTTGCTCCCCTTCTCCGTCCTTTTTCCTTCCCTTCGAGTCTTCCCTTCGGTGTTTGCTCGACTGCCGACTCGGACTCAGTCTTCTCTCGACTTCCGTCTGTTGCCTACGCCCTCTCAACTGGCTTCCTGAGCGACTTTCCGAACCCTTTCGTCGCTCCCCTACTCACCAATCATTCCCTACAACGTCCCAAAAAGCCTTCAAGTTGGCTCAACTCGCCCTTGCTGTCCTAGCCTCTACTTCGCCTTTCGGCCCCGGCTTCTGGGTCTACAGCGGAGTCAACAAGAAGCCTCCATAAACTGACTAACAGGATAAAAGCCCCCTCGCCAACATCCTCGCCGGCCGTTCTTCGACACCCCATTTATCGCATCACGCTGGTCTCGCGCCGCGATTTGCTTCCACTCAGCACTCGGCGCGTCTCTGCCGCGCCGGGTGCGCCAAGATACTTTCTTTTGCGAGCCGACGACCGTTCTGTCGATAAATTATGACTTGCCTCCGTTAAGTGGCCGCTGCTTGCCTCGTACGGCCAGTCCGAGAATCTCCCTCATCGCCGACGGGAATCTTTCATATCGTATCGACACATCCCATGAACGACTCGAATATTTCAAAGCTCAGCCTGCGTCATGTCTGATCACGGCGGTATCATGTCCAACACTGGGTACAACGCCCCAGTGCCCGAACTCGACGACCATCGTCATCAGCAGGCTCCCGCTCTGCGGACAGAACGCTCTCGCAGGGGCACTTTCGATTCCCTGTACGGAACCCGCCATGTCGAGCCAGAGTCAAACACTTCCGGCATTAGGGTCCGCGATTTCGAAGAGGCCATCGTCGACGAAGACGCTTTGGAAGTTCCCGCCATCGCACGCCATGGCCGTCGTCCGACTGTCGAGACAGTCAACGATGCACGGTCACTGTCGCCTCCAAACTCTGTCAAGGCTTTTGCTCAAGCACGCCGGCGGGAGCGCGACTTGTCCTTCTCCGAGCCCAAATGCGATCATGAAGACGGTTTGGGCCGAGCCGTGTCGGTTTCCAGCCGTCGTAGCCATCGAAGCAAGCCCCGCACCATAGATAACGATGCTGGAAGCCTCTTGACCGATAGAGAGGCCGAGGAAGACGTCTGCTTTCCTTTACAAGACGGTCGCCGCAACCACGAGCTGCGTATTGACTTCGACTATCTCGAGAACTTCATCAACGCGGAGCGAGCCGCCCACGTCGACGATCGACAAACATCCTCGGAACTCTTTGGGGACTTGCGCGGTCAGTCCGCAGATGCTCGCAAAACCCAACTGGCAACCATAGATGGAGACATAGTGGACATGCCGTCGGAAGGGTCTGTGTCCAACGAAAAAGGGACCGCCGAAGCAACCGCCAAACACACACCCAACCCCATAGATAACAATCGTTTCGGCTTCTTCTCGTCTGCCTGGGAGTCGACGATACATGCTGCCGAGATGGGCGACCTTGTCCTGCCCGGGGAGGACATTCGCGGCCTCTTCGAGCTCCCCAAAGACGAGGCGGATGGGGTGTGGTGGTTGAACGTTAATCGCGCCTCCAGGGAAGAGGTCCAAGGGATCTGCAAGGCGTTTGGTGTTCATCCTCTCACGATTGAGGATATAATCACTCAAGAGGCTCGCGAGAAGATTGAGCTGTTTCCCTCCTACTACTTTGCCTGCTTTCGATCCTTCAACGTTGTGGAGGAACCCGACGGGGTTGAGTATGAACCATTCAACATTTACGTGCTTGTCTTTCGAGAGGGGACTCTGAGCTTCAGCTTCGCTCCCAACTCGCATGCTTCTCAGGTCCGCAAGAGGATTACGGCCCTGAAGGAATATGTCTCTTTGAGCAGCGACTGGATCTGCTATGCTTTGATGTAGGTTGCATGCCTCTCTCTAGGCTGCAACCGCCCTGGCTAACGGGATCACCCACTCAGCGACAATATTGTGGACTCATTTGCCCCGGTCATCCGGACAATTGAGCTCGAAGCAGATGCCATCGAAGACGAGGTCTTTGTTATGCGGCAGGATGACTCGAGCTCGTTTCTCCGGTCAATAGGGCGAGTTCGCAAAAACTGCATGGCCCTGCTGCGGCTGCTGGGCGGTAAGGCTGACGTGCTCCGCGGTTTCACAAAGCGCTGCAACGAAAACTATCAAGTGACACCGCACATGGACATCGGCATGTACCTCGGCGACATCCAGGATCACGTCGTGACCATGGCAACAAACCTTGGACACTTCGAAAAGATGCTGTCCCGGGCGCACAGCAACTACCTGGCGACCTTGTCCATCAACAGCATATCGCAGGGTACCGACACCAACCGCGTGCTGAGCAAGATCACGTTCCTTGCTTCGGTCCTGGTGCCGCTGAACCTGGTGAGCGGCGTTTTCGGCATGAATGTGTCGGTGCCGTTCCAGGGATCGGGGGGTCGTCTGGAGCCTTTTTTCGGCATCATTGGTTGCATGATCCTGATTTGTTCGTTGATTTTGGGTTGGGCAAGATGGAAGCGATACATCTGACTGGGGTGCTTTGCGAGCTGTATATCCTGTCAGCCAGTAAATACAAGGCTCAATACTTGTACAGAGTGAAACGAATCCAAGGCACGAGGAACGGCCAAGAAGCAATGGACTCGTAGGACCTTGATGCGCACTTGAAGAGCACCCGCTAATAGTTCGCCGGGCTCAGTGACCGCGGCAAGAGTGGGTCCCTGTCCACCTCGTCGGCTGGCCGGCCCTTTTTTGTCTGACTCAGATCTTCCACACCGGCGCCAGTCGCACCAAGCACGGAGAAAATCAGCCCAAGTCTGCCACCAGGGCCAGTGTTACCGTCCGTCTGAATTGGCGCCCCATCTCCCAAGGCGAAGGAAGAGAAAGGAGCCGACTGCCACTTTGCTTCCCGAGTCGCAGCGCCTGCTGCTCAGCTTCACGTGCTCAACATGAACTCCGCGCAGGCCGGCGTCGAGAATCTCGACCTGGAGAAGCTCAACGACCAGGACAAAGCTGAGCTGCGCCAGTTCCTCGCCAACGAGCAGCAGCGCTCACAGATCCAGTCTCGTGAGTGACGACTGCTGTCCTCTTTCCCCTTCCCAATGTGTGATGTGACTTCGAATCTCTCCTGCTCCGCGGGCAGCCAACTTGGAGCCTTGACTGACCGTGGTGATTGCAATGCAGAAACACACAACCTGACGCAAATCTGCTGGAAAAAGTGCGTCACGGGCAATGTCAAGAACGCCAAGCTCGATCGCACCGAAGAGCCTTGTCTCGCCAACTGTGTCGACCGCTTTCTCGATATGAACTTCTTGACCATGCAACACCTCAACATGATGCGCTCGACTTAGGGGCACAACGTCGGGTGAGGGTCTTTTAGGGGAGCGCCGAGTCGTTATTTCAGATTTTGCCGGAAAGAAGCGGCTTGGTATATAGCGCAAAGTCTCGATCACTTATAACCCTGGCATTGAACCGCGTTCATCTAGGGACATTTGGGTTTTGTTGGCCGCGCCCGATCGTGCAGATATGATTATGGCAAGGCCACATGCCGTTTATGGCATTTATAGTCATACAGTCACGGTGTCAGATGTCGTGCGGCTTGCAGTTGACGTCAGGAGGGCCTTGATCCCATCGTTGATTTGCATTGAAATTGACATGCTCATGTGCGCCTTTTTGTTCCCCTCTCCCAATGCCCGATGTCCTTCCATCACGCAAGACTAGGCCAGCCGCTCCAAGTCGTGAAAAATAAAAACCGCCGGCACAAGTTTATACCAGCGACAGCTTATTGGCAGCAATGTCCAGAGCATCGACGTCAGGAGTAAGACGGGCGTAGGCCTTCTTGGAACCATCGGGGCTTCACATCCTGTCAGTACGTGGCGCGCCTGGGCAACACCGAGCAAAGGGGCGCAAGACATACCGGATGAGGGTGTTGATCTTGACCGTGTCAATGTCGTACAATTTCTTCAGGGCCTGCTTGATCTGGGCTTTGTTGGCCTTGACATCAACAATGAAGACCAGGGTATTGTTCTCCTCCATCTTCTTCATGGCGCTCTCGGTGTTGAGAGGGTGAATGACGATCTTGTGCTCATCGAGGCGAGGCAGGTGAGGGATCGACTTCCGGGGGTATTTGGGAGAGCGCGAGAGGGCGAGCGTCTTGGGTCGGTGGAAAGACGTGCTCGTACGGATCTTACGGGGCTTGTGCGAGTGCGACTGGAAAGACGAGAACCATGGTCAGCGGCGACGGGTTTCCCAAAGGACGCCTGGCGGCTGGGCACCAAGTTAGAGAGGGGGGAGGAAGGGAACTTGCGCCTTTGAGGACAGCCTTGGCAGCGGCATTGGCCTGCTTGGTGCCCTTGGGAGCGGCTATAACAGAGTGGGCATCAGCAATCGCCCTTGTTCAGAACTCGCAAAATCTGCTGCTGCATGATGCGGAGGGCCCAAGGGAAGCAAATCTCGATGGTTGCTAGTAGTGGCCATGGCGACGGGGTCGTCGCGACTGGATTCTCATTGTGCTTTCATGTCGTACCTTTCTTGCCTTTCGTGGTCTCCTTGCCGGCGGCCATTGTGTCGGTGTCGATGGGTGATGGCGTTTGTCGATGGGAGGAGCGGAAGCAAAGGATCGTGGGCTGGTGGCTGCGAGTAGATTTTTGGACGCTGTGGGCGAAATTTCCACTTAGGGCTGCCGAGCTTAGCCCCATGTGGTGGGGCCATGTCTCTAGAAAGGAATGATTAGCCACGAGGGTTGATTGGCTCCTTGATGATGGCTATAGCTTCTCACGTGACCAGCTCCGTCAGTCCCGTTGTCGCACTTTGCATAACCTCAAGACAAGAGGGTTGAAGGAGAGCCTTCTTATCACGCGAATGATTGACAACCCTTCTCTCTCGACGCTCTCGACGCAGTGCACATTTCACCGAGCTGACATGCCGTAGTTTGCTTCCATGTCAATGTCATGACATTCTGACACGGCACTACTTTGCATGTCAAGAGGACTCGCAGCGTTCGGCAGAGTGTATTGAACTCATCCATTCACCTAGCCATTGGGCACTAAAGCAGATAACGAGATTGGTTGCCTGCGTCTTGATTCTCCACCATCTACCAGTATCTGTTGGGAGGAGAAGTCGTTCAAGGCCCCGTAAGTCCCCTCCGTACTCTACACGCATCACGAGTAAATATATGAGTCTCGGACTCCACTCGTCGCGGAGGCCTTGGATGTGAAGCACTTGGACACGAGCTATACATCGCCTGAGGAATCATGGGATCCAAGAAGCTGCAGCTCAAAAGTCTTCGGACCGGCCGCCCCCCGACGGCGAGGCCGGCGAGGTCCATGTCACGCAAAGCGAGCCGCGCCCTCATCAACGGCCACCACCAGTTGGAGAAGAAAAGACGCCAGGCGGCAGACAAGGGCGACAAGAAGACTGAAGAGAGTCTATGTGCCGAGATTGCCGCACTCGGAGGTCTGGATCACTATCAGCAGGCGAGTCTTCAGGGACAGAGCCTCGAGCGAGGAGGCGACACGTCAAGGGTGCTGCTCGAATGGCTGCCGGTCCGAGAGATGAGGGTTTCGGGCCAGCGGCTCAGAATGCTAGAGATCGGGTCCCTGAGCACCAGCAATGCCTGCTCGGTGAGCGGCCTGTTCGACATGGTGCACATCGACCTCTGCAGCAAGGAACCCGGCATTGTCCAGCAAGACTTTATGGAACGCCCACTGCCGGAGACAGAAGCGGACAGGTTTGACATTATATCGCTGAGCCTGGTTCTGAATTTTGTGCCCGACACCGCCGTTCGTGGGCAGATGCTCGCTCGAACCCTTTCGTTCCTGCGGGCCAACGCCAACGATTCACCAAGCGGCTCGGCCAGCGTCCCGCTTCCGTCGCTTTTCCTCGTCTTGCCTCGCAGTTGTGTCACCAACTCGCGATATTTGACAGAGGCGAGGCTCAAGGAGCTAATGGAGACGCTCGGCTATGAGATGGTCAAGGCCAGGACGTCGCAGAAGCTTTCGTACGGTTTGTGGAAGAGAACCCGGCCAATGGCGACAGATGGGACCAGATTCATCAAGCAGCAAGTCAACCCCGGTCGAAGAAGAAATAACTTTGTCATTACACTTGATCACACTGCTGCCAAGCAGCCAATCTTTCCAAGCACCAGAAGACGTCTTTCTTCAGATGGCTGACACGCAACTCGAATGCGGATACGCATCCATGCCCATCGTGGATAGCTTTGGGCCGCTAGGCGGTGAAGCGCCGTGCCGTCAAGGCACGCATTACTATGGTCAAGCTTCGTCACAAACTTGCTGCGCGGCATGCGGCCCGTCTGCATAAGTGTCATGATCAATGCCCAGCAGGTAGCGGCTGGTTCATGACCGGATTGGCCTAGGCATGGCAGCCAAACCCGCTAGACAGGCCGTGATGCTCTCGGCAGACTCGGGGGCGAAATCGCGGATGGCAAGCTGGGACAAGGGATCGTCTGGCGGCAACGGGGCGTTTCCCGGACGTGTGACGGGCAGGCTACGCATCCCGGAAGCGAGGGCAGCGCCTACTTCCTTGAGGTTGTCGCTCAGGAACAACCATCGAGCGGGGGTAATGTCCGGGCTGCTGGACAGAATGGTGGTGTAGCTAGTAGCCTCCGTCTTGGGGCCTGCATTGACCGTGTCGAACCAGGCCGAGATGAAGGGCGTGAGATCCGAGGGCTGAGCAGTGGTATGGGAGAAGAAGAGCTTCTGTGCCGGGACGGAGCCAGATGAATAAATGATGATTTTCTTTCCGGATGCATGGGCAGTCGTAATAAAGGGGCCCACGTCGGGGAAGACGGGAGCCTCGAGGTCGCCCGACTCGTAGCCTTGGTGCCACAGATGGCCTTGGAGCGCCTTGAGGTACGGGGCCTTGATGTCTTGGGCCACTAGCTGGCGGACGTGCGCTTCAAAGGCACCGCGGTCGCCGCGGTACGGCTCGGGGAAGGCATTGCGGTACGGGGCGAAGTCGGAGCTGTCCCAGTAGCCATCCAGGCGGCGGGTGAGGGTGTCGAGCGCGTACGGAAACTGAGACGCGGGGACATGGCGTCAGCCTATTATTGCATGGGGAGGGACAGGCTAGCCAAAGTCGTTGGGGGAGATTGTATGCATCAATGCCGCGCGCCAGGCGACGGGCTGGTGGCACACGGAGGGGACGAATGGGAGAACTCGGCCGGCAGGAACAAGGGGGAAAATTGTCGACTTACCAGGACATCGTGGACGAATGAGATGGGACAAACGGTGCCCTCTGCAGGCGTGGCACATCAGTCAGAGGCACTGTACTCGGCCATCGATCGGGGTGCGATGGGGTTCTGCACGTACCGATATCCAGCACCAGCACGTCAAAGCCGGCGAGGCTGTTCATGGCCATGGCTCCGAGTGTTGCTTATTGGGCCCCTGAGTCGGGTGATCTGAAAGCGGGCTTGATGGGGTGGGCTGCAAAGGTTGCAGACAATCGAGTGGGCTTCGTGCTTTTGGGGGCCCGTGAAGCGGTGAGGAGGATACACGCGCCGGAAGTGGGGAAAGAAGGGACCTACATATTTGTGTACTCCGTATGCGTCGGTAGAGGTAGAGCTGGTCGTCACGGCATTGTCGATGTTTTATCGTCCCCCCCCCTGCTTTGCTTTTTCTTCCCCTCTTTGCGATGCTTGCATGGTGCATCGAAGGTTCTCCTGGTGTTGTCCTCCCCTTCTTCATCAGTGGCTTTCTTGTTCTTTTCCCCCTTGCCTCGTGTGCCGGCCTTGGATACCTAGGGCCCCGGCTGGCCAGTGATGCAGCAGCCTTCAATGCAACCTGCATCCATCGGCGTGTGTGTGGGTTGTTAGCAAGGAGGGTTGGGGACCGTTGGGCAGGGCAGTTAGTTGTCTGGGGCCGGCTCAGGCATGGCATGATACCAAGGAGGCGACGAAGGCAGTTGGCGGTCAGAGGAAGAGGCTGCCTGCATGCAGGCATCCATCAGCTGCATATACCGCACAGAACCTACAAATATACTTTACCACCAAGGATTCCTACTTCGTACATGACTCTTTTTTTCTTCTCCCCTCATCACCTACAGACGCGCAGCGGATAGCTGGCGACGCGAACAGCCGGACGGAGACCAAAAAAGCAAGCGGCAGGTTGAACCAAGCATGCACAGTATGTACGAATACGTACGCGGACATATGGCGGCATCCTCGGGTGCCTCTTGTTGAAAGAGCAGCAGGCAACGACTTTGACCACCCAGCCAGCGTCGCGGTATATCTCGATCTCGCCTTACATAATCCTCACCCTTGTTTCCGGGCCCACGATGGTCCATGCAATGGGGGCAAATGAGTCCCTCCTGGTCTCCCTCGATGCCTGCTCCGCATACCAAACAATGCACTATTGCAGAAGAGCGAATTGGTCAGAATCAGATACGTCAGCCTGGGCATGTACGTACATGAAAACATGCACGCTTGCTGCCGTTCTACGAGATGCATCACCAATGTCCCTTGCTGTGCGAATATTCTTGGTAGGTATGTTTGTTTACCGTGTCGGTTCGGGGGGCAACAGACTCGACTGCCGTATTCCGAACCCTGCCTGCCCTTGTTGAAGTGACCCCCTTCTCCTGGGCGTGCAGGGCGTCAAGCGGCCTGACTCTCAAGTTGAGGCAGATAGAGGCGCAGTGCGACCCTAAAAAGCTCGCTGACTTCCTACAGTACGTGAGGCATTGAGGGGCCTATTCCAGACACACCTGCACTGTACGACATGCGGGCTGTAATGAAGTATCCCGTGGACGTGCCCGAGGGATATGATCAAGAACAGTCTGGCTTTTCATAAAGAGATGTTCCGTATAAGTAGACGCGCGTACGCACTGAATTATCCAACATGTTACAGCCCTGCACCCCCGCCTGACTTGGCAGGCTCCCTCCATTTTCCACCAAGGAACTTTGTAGCGTAGGTACTTCAGTAGGTACATTAGGTACAGTACATAGGTATCTACCTACGTACCTTACCTTTAGTCAGGTACTCTGTACTGTACGTATCGACAACCCTATGCGTGTCATGTCCAAGGTACCTGGGCACCTACCTATCTGACGAGTAGAGCAAGGTACATCCTCATTGTCTAGGTATGTACTTCGTCGTATCAACAAGCTCCAATCTCACGAGTCGGCGCAAGCTCCAGCGTCAAGATGGACACGATCCTGCCTTCGTTTGGTGCGTGTCGTAATTGCTGTTCTGGCTCACGGGTTCATCTCACGGCTCGTCTCACGGTTTTATTGTACGAAGCAGGTACTCCGTACAGATACGATGAGCCGGCACGGCGGCGACCATGACAATGCGGCGACTTTGGTTGCTTGGTCGCTCCATTTGCATGAATATCTAAATGCCTCTCTCGTGTCGTGAGTATGTATTTTTCTGTATCTCTCCGCTCGGGGGAATGTTATTGGCGGCCTAGCAACGCTCGCCTTGGTGAACCGTCAACGCGTGGCACTGGTATGCAAAAAGGGTAGGCAAGTGATATGGTAGGACAAGGCACACATTGTGCCAAGTTGTCGGTCTGCTCCCTGGGCAACAACTCGCATCTGGTATTTCGCAATACCAGATTGACGACTCTTCGGAGTTGGACACGGGGGGGCGGGGGGGCGCGGCCCGATGGACTCATGAGATCGGTCGCCATCGGGACTACCAAGCACGATTGAAGCAACAATATGTCGATTGACAACCTCTGCTTCAAACTCACGGTTTTGTTTCGGAATAAGCCACCGGTCCTTGGCCCCATTTGCTCTCCCGCCTGGTAAAACGCAAGCTGCTGCAATCACGGGGTCCCTGACGGCCGGGTGTGTTCCTCGATCTACAACACTGTAATACCTAATTCTAATTCACCAACTCTACTCGTCCCAACCTACACTTGGCTACTCTGAGGCAGCGGGAACCTTGGGCCTTGTGTTATCTGTCCGTCAGTTCCTACGGATACAGCCTCGCCTACGAGATACGCAGGAACATGCAGGCACAGACAGGTACCGTCTGCCCAGATGAGATGCGCCGTCTGGTACGTAGCAGGCGGCAAGGCTGCCAAGAACTCCTAATCTGTGGCACATTGGCTACCTCCGCCTTTGTAAATAAACATTCATTCAGCTAGACTACAGAGCCTGCGTTCCATCAAGTCCGGCGGCTTCACAAGACAGCCAAAAAAAGATGAGACAACCGAGGACGAACCCGGCTGCACCCACCAGTCTACTAGCTGCTGTTATTCTCGTAACGGAATGTCTTCCCCTCTACTCCGTACTCGGTACTTATACCTCTCTAGAGGCCTCCCCGCACGTCGAGAGCGTGCGCGTGTTTCTCGCACGCCCGAGTCTCAGAGCACACAGTCGATAGTCGGATGGCGCCTCACTGTGGATCAGCAGCAAAAAGGAAGAAAGACCCGGACCCTTGCCGTAGGCATGTATACATGTAGATAGGTACGTACTTGCACCGTCAACAAAGGGGCCCGAAGACGGAGTGCTCCGTACAGTGCACGGCCTAAAGCGGGGCGATGCTTCTCATTGATGCTCGAGCTGGGAGGGGCACTGTATGGGCTTGTACCTTTGCATGCTAACTTCGTAGATCTGTGCATTGGTAGCGGGCGCCACGCCTTTTCGCACTGCTTGGATGAGATGATGGTACGTGGAGATGCAAGTTCACGGCGAGTACCTGTCCAGATATGCATGTACTGTACAACCTATGGTACTCCGGTACGTAGGTGTCGACGACTCCCGCCATGCAACGAGCACATCGTCATTTGTGTCGGAAAGACCTGCAGGCGGCCCTGGGGCACGAAACAGCCTAGGGGCAGCGCGCGGTTCACGTGCCGGGCGGTGTGGGCTCAGGCGGCCGAGGTGCTTCCGCCGACTCTCAGATACAACATGCATTGGTCTCCAGGCACCTGCTTTGGATACTGCTACTGTGCCTGCAGGCTACAGAGGTCGGCGCCTGGCCCTGTACCCAGGCCAGGCACTGCCAGTAGGGGCACTTGCTGGCCAACAGCGAGCGACTGCTTCTCGCAGACCGTGCTGGTATATTTATGGCACCGTGTGACCACGCGGGCCCGCTCTTCCTTTGGTCGCTAGTGGAGACGCCACCATGCCTTCCATATGCACGCACTCTCCCAGTCGCGCCCAGCGAGTCCCGGGCTAGTGCCAGACCCGGTTAGATGGACTACAGTGCGCAACTGTCGGAGAGGGCACACGTGGCACTATCTGGCCGGCCGCTTTGTCGTCACTGGGCCTTTCAGAACGTGATCTGCGCACGGTGTGCCGAGCGTCAAATGCTCTAGGTAAAGACGTTAGGGAGCTACAAAAATATTCCCATAAACACCACTAAGACATGGGTACTTCTCTAGCTCCCGCTCCCCAGCCCCAGACACTTGCCTCGCCCCGCACGACATCACGCCACACTGTCCCCGGTCTTACTCATCCACCCACCCACCCAGCGAGAACGTTCTCGTTCCCACTGGGGCTGGCTGCACCGGCGCGCTTCCGCAGCAATGACGAGTCGCCCAGTGCGAAAATAGGGCCCGATTGGCGGGGTACGTACCCAGTGCATTTCAGCCCACCCCGGCGTGGTGCGCTGTTTTGAGCGCGCGCCTAACGTCGACCCACCCCAGCCATGGTCTCTCCATGCTCGACACTGTATACGAGATACCTCGCAGCAGTGCCCTCTCCCCGATATTAGGTAGGCATGCCATGGATCTGCCCACTCACCAGCAGTGACACACACCCACACCACCTTCACCCCCCCTTTCCCGCTTCTACCTTGTTCCATCCCATCCCATCCGCTTCCCATCACCGCCATCCCCTTCCTTTCATCTCTCGACCTTCCCTATCCCTCTCTTACTCGCCCTTTATTACATACCATCCATCCAGCTCCTTACCGATCCGTTTTGCTCATCCCGTCCTTCCCCTCCCCCCCCCCGGTGCCTCCCCGACCGTTCAACTCTTCAACAATTTCATTTCTCCTCGAGCTTCGCCTTTCTCATCCGTTGCTCGCCCGTCACGACTCCTCATACCCTCGCCAATCCAAGTCAATCTTGGCTCGACTCCCGCCCAATCGACCTGTACCATCCAAAATCTCGATCTGCTGCCTGACGCAGTTGGTTTGGCAATTGTTGTAGAGTGCCAGGTCCTCACACGGCCGCCGCCGTACAATTCGAGCTACGAATCGACCTCAGCTTTTTGCTTGGCAGGGCACCGCCTTGATCCTCTTCCTCGTCGTGCCAGCGACTGGACTGTCTGACGATTCCACTGGCGAGGATCGTTTCGCCCCATTTGCATCTACTCGCCGACATAGACTCGACACGCAGCGATACGCAAAACAGTAGCTGCCTCGCGTTGCGTTGTCGGGGCTATCCCCTCGCACCAGCATACAGAGTGTCGCTTCTCCATCGATCCGCCTCTATACCTCTGCCTCTCTTAATCGATACAAGTCTCGGCTTGGAGCGAGCTACGCTCTGCTCTGTCAGTTCGCAGCTTGACAGTTGCAACAAGCCGCTACCTCGCCCGTCACCGCCCCTACGTTCCAAGTCGCCTCGCTTGTCCTCTACGTCTACACGGCTCCGCCACCCGCCGTCTTCTCCTGCCGAACCTCTGTTGTCGGATTCACTCTTTACAAACCACACACTACACGATCTCATGTCATCATAACGATTTCGCCTTTGGCTTCCTTCTTCTTCTGAGCCCCCCCGGCTCCCGGCGTTCCAATTTCATCGCAACTCGATATACTCGTTTCTTTTGTTTACCTGTGCCGACATAACCCGATGTCCTGTTGATTCCGCCGCTACCACAGCAGCCTCCGCCACCCGTGGATGTGCTATCGCGCCGACCTGTCGGACCTACTGTACATGTCGACGACTGTTCCAACTGTCGCCAACGCTACTTGTCTCACTCAATCGTCTCCCATTATTCAGTTGTCAAAAGCTTCTTCACCTCGCGATACTAGAGGTTCGCTATAACTCTGCACTGGTCTACAGGTATATTGACACTCGAGTTGTACGATTACCAGTCGCTGCTCATCTAGGCTTTTCCTTTTTCTGTTACACCATGGAATGCATCCGGGACCAGTTTGTTGGGGACGTTGTTCTTGACGGTCGGTTTCAGACAATCTCGCCTCTTAACCACGGCTCTTTCGGTATGGTGTTTTTGGCTCGGGACCTCTTGACGAACCAAAAAGTCGCCATCAAGTGCATTACGAAGCGGTCTGCTCCCTACGATGCGGGCCTCGAGCTTGCCGTCGACGACAAATCTGAAGAGCGCTCATTGCACCGCAGCCTGGGGGCTCATGCCAATATTGTCAACCTCCTGCATTCTTTCGAGACGGAAGCCCACGTTTATCTCGTCATGGAGTTTTGCTCTCAGGGCGATCTGTATGAGGCGATTCGCAACGGTCACGGTCCTCTCCAGACCGAACACGTCCGCCAGTTCATGCTTCAGCTCGTCGATGCTGTTGTATATGCTCACTCCAAGGGTGTCTACCACCGCGATATCAAGCCTGAAAACATTTTCTTGACCCAGGACGGGGCGATGAAACTTGGTGATTTCGGACTTGCAACAACTGACAAGTGGTCGTTTGAGACGACTGTTGGCAGTGATCGTTACATGGCCCCAGAACAGTTTGACTCTGCCGGCGCCGGATACTCGCCCGCCGCGGCTGATGTTTGGGCCATTGGCATCTGCCTTCTCAACATCCTCTTCTCCAGGAACCCCTTCACGACCCCAACCGAGGCTGATCCACTGTTTTTGGACTATTCTCGCGACAAGCAAAGCCTCTTCGACGTGTTTCCTGCAATGTCACAGGATACCTATGAAGTCATAGCCCAGTGCATGAGCTTGGATCCCCGAAAGCGATCTTTGGTCGGTGCGCGAGAGGCACTTCTCCGCGTGGTCAGCTTCACGACGGAAGACGAGTCTCTCGATGACTTCTGTGGTGCTGAAAAGGCAACCGTTGCTTCCGCCAATCGGGAACCCCTTCGCACTCCTTCGCTACAGAGCCCCTCTGTCGATACTGGAGCGTTCCCGTGGGCCAAGGCCTTGCACGCAAACCCTCATCGCTACAGCCGCCAGCTGAGCGTGATCCCGGACGAGAGCTACTCCGAGGACCTGTTTTCCAAATCGGGGGAGACTGCGGACTGGTGCTCGGCTAGCATCCAAACTCCGTCCATGTCTTCGATGATCGGCTCGCATCTCGGTGCATCCATGAAATCCCTTGCCGCCCAGCATTTTACCCGCCAGAGCAGGGTCTCGCCAGCCACCGAAGCACTGCCCATCGCCGTGTCGAAGCCGCTTACCGTTTCCATGTCGGCAGTTTTTGGTCGTGGCAAGCAATCTGTGTCTAAGAGCTGGAGCGACATGTGGGACGAAGACGAGGAAGAGGAGCGCGAGCAGCAGAAGAATTCTTTCCAGAGGCTGAACTCGAGGACCTGGAGCCACGACAGCGACGACGTTCCGAAGAAGGACCAAGGGGCCGAGCTTGAGTCCTGTTCTCACGGCATCAAGGGAGATGTGGATGATGATTTGGTAGTGGACGGCTTCTTCTTTCAGGGAGTTCAGGCGGCGGAAGAATCATCGACTTCCACGCCGCGTTATTCACCTCCGTCGAAGCGATTCAATTATGACAAGTGGGCCGCACTCGGCGAGCGCCGGAGGGGTCAGAGCTCCGTGTCAGGTACGGGGAAGTCTCCTAGCTCGAAGCCTCACCGACATGTTGGTCTTGGGTATAAATCTTACGAAGCGGGCGTTTGGGATCATTCTATCAACAATCATTATCAAAACAACCAAAACAACACCATCAGGTCCTGGGGCAAGGACGGACTCAAGGAATGTCACTGGAACAAGGGGAGAGATTGGAATTGGCGTCGAGACAGGCGCCTCGATCTGGGCGAGGTTGAGTGGGTTGGGGGGTGCTAGGGAGCAAGTCTCTGTGCCCTCCAATCGTGGTTGAGGCCGTCGATTGAACTCGGTGCCCGTCGAGGCTGACGCGTGCGCGCTGCACCGGCGAACTAATATGTTGCCTGAGCGTCACCCGACGCGATGGTCCGGCCAGAGTCATTGTTGTCCTGGTTAGGTGTCGCACGTGGCATGCTGCAGTCTGGTGCTGGGAGGATGGACCGAGCCTCAACTCGCTTTCTGTGTATCGGATAGTCGCAAAAATAGTTCGAAAATACCAGAAATTACCCACTCAAGTGCAGGAGCCTCTCGGCTCACACATAAACGTGATTATTAACTTTGAGGGATGTGTGCCGCGTTGGGACATGGTTAAAAGTGAGATGATGGTTTGTTGCCTGTTGGTCGGCCTGACAGCCTCGACGCCATCAGTGCAGACCTTAAAGCCCTTTGGTAACACGCCTTGACGTCTCACGTACCAGGCAGGCTATCCGGCACCTCTCCTGGCTGGGCGACGAATCGACCGTATGGATAACAGAGATGGCGACGAAAGCGTGCTACGAAGGAATCTCGGGGCAGGGGCCGAGAGCCGTGTGGTATGATTTGAGAGGTCCCCGGTTAGGGAAGCGAGCTTCTACAAGAAGTCTACTCATCGCGGGCTCCGAGGGATATAGATACACAGATGTATATACACACACATATATACGTAGGCCCTGTTGCCACGAAGCCACACGGCACCGAGTCGGGCACGTGTCTTTGGATTCGGAGTCGACACAAAAGTTTGCCCGCGATGATTCAAAACGCTCGCCAGAGATGCAGAACCCAAGACACCACACACTGGACCAGGTGAGTGGGTTCCGTGCGCCGCCCAACCATACGCAAAACCATGCAAGTCAGGAAGACAGAAGCAGGGGCAGGGGTATATGACCAACTCTACGGACAAAGATTGAATGGGGCTGAGAAGAAAAGAAGTTGGGGGAAGAGTACTTGGTGGGACAAGGAGATACAAAACCGTCATGGAATCCAACACGAGCGCCTTCTAATGGGAACCGAGGAGATGCTTGGGCAAAAAGGACCATATAGTGCCCACCAAGCCCAATGTCGAAAACAGCCCCAGCAGGAGCCAGGAGACGACACGCTCACCCAGAGAAATGTGTCTCCAGTACAGCTTGAGGTAAAAGGAGATGGGGAGGATGATGGAGATGATGGAGCAAAGGGCGGCGCCGAGAAAGGCGCAGACGGAATCAAAGGCGGGGAAGACTATGGATATGAGCAGCAGGACGGCGAAGACGAGCACGCGGACCAGGGCCTTCAAACAGCTGCTGACGATGGCCGATCGGCGCCCTGCGGCAGGCTGGTCGGGGTGGAGGCCGCAGACGACGTCGGCGGTGGTGACAAGGGGCCGCGAGTTGAGGGGGATCTTGGTCAGCGGGATGATGGCGATGAAGACGCACATGAGGATCGTCGGGGCCTCGGGGAAGCCTGGGGTGTCGAGGATGTTAGAGGTGACCATCTCCTTGATGCCGTCGCCGAACATGAGGATGCCGACAATGGCCAGGCAAGTGTCGAGGGCGTACTGGCCAGATCCGGCTGTTAGCGGTCTTGCCATAAGCTAGACTTTGTGGGGCAGGTTTTGAGGGAAAGGGGGGTTTTCCATACAGAAAAGGAAAAGGACACATTCACGCCCGTCTTCCACTTGCTGGGATGACGCATGTCTCTATAAATCTAGACCAACAAGCAGTCAGCACCGAGCGACGACGCGCAAGAACAGCGAGGAACCGGCGCGTACCGATGGAAAGACGCAGTGGGCTCCCCACGGGCTCGCCAACAGGCCGTACGCAAGCGGCAGGGCGAGCCAGTTGGAGGGAAGTAGGTGCGTGGCGGCAGGCTCCCACAAGGAGCCGGGCGTGCGATGCTTGACGAGGCCGTCGGCGACGACGATGCATACAACTAGACGCACGGCTCAGCAACCGGTGGGCCAGGGAACGAGGAGCGGGCAGGGGCCCCAAAGACAAACTCACGGGCACACGTGGAGAAGATGCCAACGACGCTCGTATAGCTCAGCAAGCGAAGAGGCAGCGTGTTGAGGATCAGCACCAAGACGGCGCAGATGCATTTCCAGATGTTGACACTGGCGAAGCCGGGCAGCAGCAGGTCGAGCGAGTCGGCAAAGAGGATCATGAGAGCAACGCAGGCGCCGATAAGCTCGAGGGTGAACAAGGCGGAGACGACGACGCGGGCTCGCGCGCCAAAGGAAACGTACGCCAAGTCGGAATAGGTGATGAGGCTCGGGTCCATTTCCATGCACTTGCCCAGGAGCTTGCCGGTATGGGTCGCAACCAGGGCCATGAGGGTCAGCAGCGGCAGGCCAATGAGCCAGCCGCTCATCTTGAGGGCCAGGGGCAAGCTCAGAAGGCCAATTCCAATGAGGGCATTGACGGAGTTGAAGATAGACTGCGGCAGGGTGCTCTGGCCCTCGACCGCCAGGACAATCTTGTCGCCCTGCTTGACCTCCTTGACGAGGATAGGCTGGTGCTCGCCCAGAGCGGCGTCGTCGTCGTCCAGGACCCCCGCCGCAACGTCGCCGTCGTCGTCACGACGAGCCCTCCAGCCGCTTGCGTGGCTGAAGGAGGGCCGCGATCGGATCGTGCCGTAGTGCTGACTCCGAAAGGACCCGTAGCTCCCAATGACGGAGGGGGTCGCGAGATGCGGAGGGGCAGCGAAGATGGTGGAGCGACCCGGCGGCGAAGCAGGCGGCAAGGCACCGGCGGCCATTTCTGTATCCAGCAGCGCCTTGCCGCCCCCCTCTCTCAAGTCATCCCTCGCGCCCGCCGCGACTCTGGGGTCGACGCCTGTACTTGACTCACTAGACGTCCAGCTTGCAGACCAGGGAGACCGCTCGAGATGCTGGCCGAGGAGGCTGGTGTGCGGTGCCGGGGCCGGACCGGGCGAGAAGTAGGGGAAGGGTTGGGCGCCGTCGCCGCCGAGGTCGTTGAAAGGGCGCTGGTCGGGGTTGAGGACCAGGCTCGGGCGGCGGGGAATGACTTCAGCAAAGCTGGCGGCGCGGTGCCAGCTGCGAGCAAAGGAGCGGAAGCTGTTGACGCCGCCAATGTCTGCCACGGAGGCGAGGCGGTTGCTCACAGAGGATCTGGGGGGCGGGTTAGCCTCCGTAGAGTGTAGATGGAAGCAAGCATTGCCAGTTTGGAGGTTGTCGTGCGCGTGAGTGAACGCTTACCGCCTGCGCGCACGATGCGCAATCGAAGCAACGGAGACATCGTCGTCGTCGTCGAGGAGCGCCTGCTCTTCGGCCAATGCGCTCGACGTCTGGCTGGCAGGCGGTGAGGGCCGCCTGGGGTGCTCGTCGCGCGATGCGGGCGGCGATGTCATTGTGCGCCGCTACTGCCGCTGCTGATGATGATCAGGCACGTTATCGACTGCGGAGGCTGCGCCTGTCTGCTGCGGACCAGGTTGAGCGATGGTCCTGCATGCGAAAGGAAGCAGGCGTCAGCCATCGAGGTGCAATACGAATAGTAGCATAGAGAAATTTATCGGTCCAGACACGCGCCGATGGACGAGGTGGGTAGGGAGGAGGAGAGGGGGAGGAGGAGAGGGGGAGGGGGAGATCTCACGTTGTTGCCGCCGTCACATCCCCCCACCTCTGACTCTCATTAGATACCTTTTTAGTACAAGGCATCTGCAAATGCTTCCTTGGCGTCTCGACAAGGCTAGCAAGTGAATCTATCAGGAGACGGGCGGACGAGACGGGCTGAGGAGACGGGCGGACGAGACGGGCTGAGGAGACGGGCGGACGAGAGAGAAAAGGGGTAGGGGTCCCGAGGTTGGTTCCGGTACCGGAGGCATGTCTTGTCTTGTAACAATCACTTTGCACCATTAATAAATAATAAAAAACCCCGCCGCGACTAATAACCAATCTACCCTATTCCGTCTCATATATCACACCCCACCATCCAACCCATCTATCTGCCTTTTCAACTTCGACTTTCTTCGTCCGCCTTCTTGTCTCAAAACCAAACAAGACTTCACTGCCGCCATGCGCCGCCGCCAAGGCCCCATCCTGCCACTCGAGTCGCCGGCAACATGACCCTGCACCAGCAACATCACCACCCTCGCCCTCCTTCGTCCTCGCGAGCACCAGCCGCCGACTCTCTCGCCCTCCTCCTCCCCATTCTCCACGCCTTCAACCACCGTCACCGCAACCAACACCGCGCATCCCACTGGTGGGCCTCGTTTGGCCTCCTGCGCCGTGCCCTTGGCCGCCTCGCCCACTGCCTCCGCCCACACGTAGACGCCACTCCTCCCGCCTCGGGCCTCGTCGCCCGCGCTCGCTGGCTGCAGAGCCATGTCGTCCCGAGCGCCTACGTGTGTGTTGCGCCCCTGCCCTGCCGGCCTTCTTACCCAGCTGACAGCCTCCTCCCCCTTCAGCACATTCTCCCAATTGGCTGCCGATAACCAGCATGCGCCCTTGGGCCTTTTGCTTCTCGCCGTCTTGGCTCGCACGCATGCCGTCCTCGCCCACCTTTTACCCTTCGACACGCCGCCGGCCCTGTCCTTGAGTGCTCCAACGCAGCCATCAATGCTGGCCCCGTCGGCCGCAGAACCTTCTGCCGCGGATCACGGCGTTGTCGTCTCTCGTCGAGAACTTCTCCAACCTGAGAAACCCGCCACCTCTAGACCTTTGCACGAGGACCCCGTGGCTGTGAATACCACGAAGCAAAGCCATGATGCCAAGACCGTTAAGGGACAAGCCAAGAGCAAAGCCAAAAAGAGAAGCAAAATCAAGGATCAAGATGCACTGTCTAGTCTCTTCAGCTCACTCGGCTGAATGCCTTGAAACAACACCTTCACACGTCAAATGGTCACGTTGTTTACTGCTCAATTCATGGTCCAGATAACAAATACCAAAGAAATTGAACTCTGCGAGAAGCCCACGCACACTCCCCAGTACAGTACACGTATTGGCCGTCCTCCTCCCTGCCGATGCGCCCAATAAATTTACTTGCCCTTGCCAGACACGTACCGCAGCGATACCCTATTCCAAAGACAAGACGGCCTTACCCTGTGCGGCTGCTGCCGCTTTCTGCTGGCTCTTGCCTGCCCGCCGGTTGCTGCTTGCCCCGCTTTGGCTCCTGCAACGCCTCCTGACCGGACCCGGCGATAACCGCATCATACTAAAACGGGCGGTAGGACCAGATGCGAGCCTTCATGTCGCCCGACCCTGTCGCAAAGTATCCGCCCTGCGGACTCGGCGCCACCGAGATGACGGAATTCTTGTGTCCCTGGAGCATCAACTGCGTCGTTCCAGTCCGAGGATCCCAGAACTGGACCCCACGGTCCTTAGATCCTGACAGGACCCAATTGGCATCGGGCGTTAGGGCGACTGAGAGCACAAAATCCCTATGACCTTCAAACGTCTTGACGCACTTGCCTCCCTTGGGCCCTGCGTTGCCGCCGCCGCGCGGAGAGCTCAGCTCCCACATCTTGATTGTTCGGTCGAGACTGCCGCTGACGAGGTCCTTGCCGTTAGGGGAAAAGGCCACCGAGTAGACCGAGTCCTTGTGGCCATCAGGGCCTTCCAAGCGCTCGACAAGGAACCCGGTGTGGATATCCCACACGCGGACGCTTTTGTCTAGGGAACCGGCCGCCACGTATTGCGTGTCGGGTGACATTGCGACTGTCGTGACGCCATCCTCAATGGTGAGCGTCAGCGTGTTGGTGCCCTGCTCGATATCCCAGAGTCGCACGGTACGATCACCGCTACCGGACGCGATGGTGCGGCCGTCGCGGGCGAAATCGAGGGAGTAAATGTCTTGCTCGTGACCCGCGAAATGGTTGCGGATGGTTCTCGATTGGATGTCCCACACCTGCGCATCGATTAGCGATCGTGAGTACCAAACCGCAGGAGCTTCTGCAGAGCTCTGCGCGCGCCAATGCAACTGACCCTAATCAGCTTATCCTCTGCGCCCGTGGCAAGATAACGTCCATCTGGGCTGAAGCAGACACTCCTAATATAGAGATCGGCAGTCATGTCCTGGGCGTTGTGGTCCTCCAGAACGCAGACCTTTTCGCCAGACTGGACATCGAAGATCTGTGCAGATCTATTGCAACCTGTGGCGACATACTTGCCGTCATGGCTGAACCTCACGCAGCATACGACGCTCTCGTGGGTGAGGGAATGGACCAGGTCGACATCGAGTACACGCTGGACCTGGGGGTTGAAAATGGCGTACCAGTCGCTTCCCGTCTTCTTGTTGTGTGGCGCCACAGCGTCAACCTCAAGGTCGCCCAGTGAGTTGCCGACCGGCGGCGCTCGAGGGCCGCCCATGCGGGCGTGGTCTGGCGTCGGGTGGCTGACCTGGGGCGATTGCGCGTTTCCCGGGTACGGAACCGGGGTGTTGATTTGCGGGGTAGCTGGGCCGACTGCGTTCGGGGGGCGGCCTACGCCTCGCCTGCCCGGGCCGGGCGACGCCGTGCTCTGCGGTGGCTGAGGCCCCATGCCATTCGAGACGGGCCCTTGGGGGTAAGCTTGCTGGTAAGGAGGCTGCTGGGCGTTAGGGTGCGGCGGCGGTACGGGGAGGCCGGGAGGGCCCTGAGGCATCTGGTGCTGGGGTCCCACCTGCTCCTGCGGCGGGGGATGTTGTTGCGGCGGAGCGAGGCCGGCCTGGTTTCCTCCGGCCATGATGCCGCTGAAGAGGCCATTTCCGGGGGCGATCGAGGGGGGCTGCTGAGATGGGCCAGGATGCTGAGGGGGGCCGGGCATGCCTGGCTGGGGACCACCCTTGCGGGCAGCCTCGAGCTGATGCCGGAGCATGCTGATTTCTTCTTCATACCTAGCGGGGGATTAGCAGGCTGCTCCGAGCTAATAGATGACGGGTGGGGAGCAAGCGACGCACTTTTGCTTCAAAGTCATGTGTGTTTGTTCCATCGCGTACACCTTCTCTCTAACAAGCTGCATCTCGCTGACTTGGGCGGAGACTGTTGGCAGTATTAGCAACAGTGCAGCGTGCTTGGTTGCCTGCGGCTGAGATGGCGCAAAGGGGAGGGAGCCGAGGCTTGGACATTCGCAAACGTACTCTGGTGTTCAAACCCCTCGGTCTGGCGTAGCTGCGTCTCGAACTCGGCTCTGATCTGATCGAGTAGCTCGTTGAGACGAGCCGAATTGCCAGGGGGCACGGCCCCCATGCCGCGATGCGAGTACATGGACATTGTCGGTCGCGGCAGCTAGACAGAGGTCTGACCAAGGTCTCGGGATCTGGGGAGGAAATCTCTGCCGCAGTCGTGGATGCAGGCAGCGGCGGGCAATTGCGCGGCGGCGCTTGAGGATGGGTTGGGCCCTGAAGAGAGAGGTTTGGCCTCTCAACCCGCGATGACGGAGTCGGCTACGGATCCAGCGGACGGCGGGCGCAGAAGCGGGCGCAATCAATCCGCGGCAGACGCACGACGGGAAGAGAGCCAGTGATGCGAGTCGTCGATGGAGGAGCGGCGTGTGCGCATGGGGTGGTGGGGGAGTTGTGTGGTGAGTGAGCGATTTGGGTTGGGCTGGGATTGGAAAGGTGGAGGAGTTGGAGTTGGTGGGAAAGGGGAGAAAAAAAAAGGTGAAGAAGGGAAGGGACGATAGAAGATGGCAAGGCGCCGCTGGGGATGATGGGATAGTGGGTCCTGCCGTGGGAGCGCATGCAGGCCGCATGTGGAGTACGAAGCAAGTACGTAGTCGTCCGTCTGAGGCGTGGTACAGAATAGGACGCTGTACTTTGGAGCATGTACCCTAGGCAGCGGCCTCACCCGCCTTTCACTTCCGGCCAGGGCCACGACCCACCGGGTACAAAGGCCATCGGTACAGGGCAGGTTCGGAGGACATGCAGCAAGGGTCGGGATACTTCAACATTTGCAACAGCGGCAGCCTGCTTTGAGGTTACCCGCCTTGCTGGCCTTGCGCGAGCGTTGCTGGTGACAAACAAAGTACAGTGTACATGAAGGGTTGAGGAAATGGCCAAGGGCTGTGCTCCGTACTTGGCATTTATTGGGTGGTTGGCTAGAAGAGGCTTCCATCCTGGAGCTGGTGCCTTGGCTGCTCGTGAAGCACAAAGTACTCGGAACTGCGGATAGCCTTTTGGCCTGGCGTACTGTACCCACTCCCGGTGGCTGGTTCTGATCCAACCATGCTATCCGAAGCCCGGTATTGGAAGGTGAGGCCTTGATCGTCTACTCGGACGCGCAGCCAACACAAGCACACAAGTGTCACCGATGCAGCATACGTAACCTGTTCACTGGAAGAAGCTGCTGCAAGCCGATGCGAGGCAACCCGAAGGGGCGATGTAATATGTATCCGTAAGAGCTGCGCAAGTGCAGTCCGGCGGAGCTACCCTACACTGGCCACACCCATACTCCACACTCCTCTTGACCAACTCTCCCCTGTAAAAATTCTTCCCCCGTCAGAGCTGTTAGCGGCTCGCTAGCAGGGGGCCGGATTTGCAGGCCACCCGACCGCGCTTTTGCTGCCCGGGTCCATCGTGGCCCTAACAGCACAGAGGAAGACATTAGGAGAGTTCATATTCCTCTGCAAAGCCGGTCTCGACAACACGTCCACACGGACCTCACAGCTTCCTTCGGAACCAAGGAGCTGTGGGTATTGGAAGGCCCGCCCTTCTAAACAACGGTGGCTGGTTGCGCAGGTTTTCTCCTGAAGGCAAGCTGCACGACAGCCTCTGATTCCTTCGAGGGTTTTCCTGCCGCCGCTCCTGCGCTATTTCCATCGCCTGGTTACCGAAGCATGGACTGCGACAGCAGCGTTAGCGAGAGAGCGAGAGAATTCTGACCGGACAAAACCAAGGGTTGACCATTGTGGCAATCGCCACGCGCCTGGACGACCCGCTGACGGGCACCAGGCTCCGACACTGAGCGCCTTAGAGCCGATGAAATGCTGGATGGACTTCGGGAAGGCTGGCTGCAGAGGATAGCCACGGACACTTGTATTGACGGGCTTAGCGACAACCTACCGGTGGAGGGGGTAGGAAAGCCGTCTCCGGGGATTGAGCCCGACAGCTCGCCCTTGCGAGGCCTTGCAAGAAGCGCTGGGTGAGGCCTACTGTGGCAGGATTTTCTCGATAGCCTAGCTCAGCACGTCCTGTGCCCCATCCGGGACCTGAGCGGCCTTACGGCCGCTGGACGGAAAATACACACACACACACACACACACACTCCTCTTGACGAGGCTTGGAGTTGACGTCGTGTAGTCCGTAGATGCATGCGAGTGTTTTGGGGCTACTGGGCAGCCAGAGGGCGAGTGAGAAGAGCTGGCAGCGTGGCTTATGTATATTCACAGGTCCGAGGCACGACATCAAGCTCGGATGGGGGTGCAAGACACTATTGAGAACGGATGAGAGCTGTAGCAAGGCGGTGCGAAGCAACTACCTACGTTGTTATAAGCAGCATCCAGCCAGCCAGCTCGGCTCGGGTAGACCGCGACGGCGAGCAGCACCAGGTGAGTCTCCGGGCCGAGCCCGTTATCAATCAGCTCACTCCCCCCACTCCTCTCTCCTCCATCTCTCCATTTTCATACTGTGCACACCGTACCTACCCGGGACAGCGACACTCGGGGCACCTAGTAATACCTGTCAGACACACGAGGGACCAAGGCTTCCCACTGCCACAGAAGGCTCCGTGTACGTACAGTGCATGTCGCCAGTTCCTTACAAGTGCCCCTCGACAAGCCTCGGCTCCCGGGCAGCTTACCTCAGCAGGTGCTAGCAAACGGCTGGCCGAATCATGCCGATCCCCGGGGTACTCTTCTCCTCCGAGGGCCCCCCTGCTAGGCTACCTGTCCCCATAGCTGTAGCGTGTCATGCCACTTTTGCACGCTCGGAACCGCGTCGCTCCGGCGAGAAACATTCTGTCATTATCAAGCAGATGAAGCGGTTTTGCCCAACGCCACGACACGCGCGGCGAAATAACCAGTCCGAGACCTAACTACCTACACTGCTCAATCAGGCCAGACTCAGCATTCAAACGGGTGAGTTTAAATCACATACATATATACATCAATCCGTGTCTTTCCACCCCCTCAGTTCTTATTTTTCTTCCTCTCTCGCCGACAAGTCAGATTGCCGCCTCCGGCTACTCATCCTTGCCCCTTTTCCTCTTCCTCAGCACTTTCTCGCCGCTCCCAACATTTGCGGTCCGGTCCAGCCCAGGTCCTTCATCACCCTGTCCCTTTTGCGCCATTCCCCATACTGCTCTCCCTCAACCTCTCTCCTGACGCTCTCTAGGCACCTTGGCATATTCAGCTCCCCGAATGCGCCCGCGCCCACGACAACATCATCGGAGCACGACCGAATCTCAACTTGCAGAGGGCTGACCCCGACTTCTTGGCTGACAAGCTGCGAGCTTGTCGCCATCTCCCCGCCTCCGCCCTTGCTGAAGCGAAACCGACACCTCCAATACTCCAAGCGTCGTTGGCCGACAACGTCGCTTCTCGAAACGTCATTGCGCCCTCAACGCCCGACGCTCCTCCGCCATGGACATCGTGCTCGAACTCACCGACACCTTCATCGCCGACTACGCCTACGCGTATCTGTTTCCCTCGCGCCCTACCCCTTACGATTTCCCCCGCGCCACCGCCGTCAATGCCTCAGGGCAGACCTTCTCGTCCTGGACATATAGGCCCGCCACCAAGTTCATCCAGGTCCAGCCATCACAGGCCGCCTACATGACATCGCTTCCCCGCGACCACCCATATCGTCAGCTTACGACGCTCTTCCTCATTACCTGGTGCGTCGTGCCTAGACGTGAGGATTTTTCCTCCGTGGTTCCTCGGCGCTAACGTGCTTCTTACGTAGGATCTTCGGCATCATCGTCTACTTCCTCTTCGCCACCCTCTCCTACTGGCTCATTTTTGACAAGCGCACTCTGCACCACCCCAAGTTCATCAAGAACCAAATATGGCTTGAGATCAAGCAGGCAAACAAGTCGATGCCCCTGATGGCCGTCTGCACAGCCCCTCTCTTCCTCCTCGAGGTTCGCGGGTATGGGAAGCTCTATGACGCCACCGATGAAGGGCCCGGACTGTGGTACAACATCATGCAGTTCCCCCTCTTCCTGCTCTTTACCGACTTTTGCATTTACTGGATCCATCGCTACCTCCACCACCCTCTCATCTACAAGCGCCTCCACAAGCCTCACCACAAGTGGATCATGCCGACTCCTTATGCTAGCCATGCCTTTCACCCCCTCGACGGCTTCGCTCAGTCGATTCCCTATCACATCTTCCCCTTCATCTTCCCGCTCCAGAAGACGGCCTACGTGGTGCTCTTCGTTTTTGTCAATTTTTGGTCAATTCTCATCCATGACGGGGAATATCTCACAAACAACCCTGTCGTCAACGGTGCCGCCTGCCACTCGCTTCATCACTCTCGCTTTGAGGTCAACTATGGCCAGTTCTTCACCGCCTTTGACCGTCTCGGCGGCACCTACAAAATGCCCGAGGCTTGGATGTTTGAAAAGGAGAAGAAGATGTCGGAGAAGCAGTGGAAGAAGGAATCCCAAACAGTGGATGAGTTCGTCAAGGAGATCGAAGGCGACGACGAGCGTGCCTATGGGCCTGCTCTGGCCGCTAAGAAATTGAAGTAGGGTGGACCCTTGTGGCGACACCTTGGACGTGGCGGACTTACTGCTCTCCTCCGGCCTTTGTCAGCTCGAGGGACAGCTCCTAATTGCGCGGCTTGTCAAGCTGTCGCAGACGTAGGGTCAGCGTGAGGTGGAAGAAAGTCTCCTGTATATAGCAATAATTCGTAGATGTTGACTTGTGTCGCTTTGGCGCAGGAGGGCAGTGGCGTTGGAACGGAAGACGAGAATGGAATCTCGAATGACCTGTATATGCCGTCGCTGAGCCGAAGGCATATGCCTTGGTAGATAGATACATCGTCGGTAATAATTTGATCCCCCCTCAATACGAGAATTGACGCCGCCCAGGAGCGAAGAACAAGAGTGACGCGCAATAGTAAATATTCGCAAACGCAAAGCCGGACCCCTTCCCATCCATGAAGAGCAACAAGACTAGGAAAAAGAAGGCAGGGAGTGTGTTTTTGGTCCACCGGCTGAAGTCCGCCTCCCAAGGCGCAAGTGAATCAAGGGACTTAATGACTTTTCAAACCGGATGCCCAACAAATGAAAGACGGAACAGGTCGACGTCAAGCCACCAGGCTCATTAGAGTAAGGTAAATAAAGCAGGGTGCAGGTGGAGAGAGAGGGATATATGACGTCCGAGACCGCTGCGCATACGGACCAGAAACCCAAGGCCTTTCAAGTCTCGCTCACGAGAAGCTGACAAACTTGGGATCTCTCGGTCGTCCGTCTGCGCCGATGCCGTTTGCTTTGAATCGATTCTCCATGTATATCTTGCGAGCCTTGTCGAACGTTGTTCTCCTCTTCTTCATAATCTTGAGAACCTCGGTCTTTCCGGCATCGTCCAGGCCCGCGCGACTGTCGCCTGCCTCGACGTTTGCGCTCAGGTCAAAGTTGCTGCTGGATAAGCCCGCCTCGATGTCGCTGCCGAAGCTGGTGGGCAGTTGCGAGTAGATGTAGCCTGCGCCGGGCAGGTGCATGTCGGGGACGTGGTGGCGCCAGTGGGATCGCGTGAGGAAGAGGGCCGTGGCGGCGATGACGAGGAGCAAGGAAAGGCTGAAGAGGACGTATTTGTAGGCCATGTCTGGCAACGGCTGGTGGGCACCGCGGTCGGGGCGATGACCAGGGTGGAGAGTGTTGAAGACGGGGCGGTTGCGACAGCGAGGAGAAGCGAATTGGTGAGATCCTAGAGGTGCAGGATACCCGGCGAGCCTCTCATGGCAGGCACCGACGCCCCGGGTTTATTGTCACAGACTAGATTCAAGATGGACAACATGCGTGGTTGGAAGATGGCGGATGCGAAAAGAGAGAGGATGGAGCATTTCGGAGGTTGGGCTTGCGCGGCGGATGCGAGTAACTTACGCAGGGGACCCATTGTCTCAGAGCAGGCCTGGGCACTGTGTAGCGTCTACGGTGCCTTGTCTCTTGATGCGTGCCATGTGGGCTCGGGGCGAGTGAGTGAGGCGCATGCAGCAGGTACGTACCTAAAGTCCCTTATCAGGTGCTGCTGCGCCCTGCTCTCTCTGGAGCAATCGCAGGTGTTGACCAGCTGTCAGGGGAATGCACCGTTGCAAAAGGCCTTAACATATCGATGCAGAGTACATGCTACTGTAATGAACCTATCCTCCTCTCAATGGGTGTTTGCTGAGAGAGGTACTGTTAGTTGTTCGTGGGCGCCTCAAGCTTATGTACGAGTCCCCGTGCTCCGTATCCGGCCTATGATAAGATTGCCAATACCCCGATACCTGCCAAACCCCACGCACAGCGGTACCCGTATTGTATAAAGTACCACTGCCCAGGCGCAGTGCCTGCCACAAGGCAGCAAGATGCGCTAACCCCAATAGCGACAGCTAAGCGAGCCCACACTTCGTGATCCCCGATAGACAATTTCGAGCCTCTCGGGCTTTGCTGGCTCGTTGAAGTTGCAAGAAACCGGAACGTCGTCTCGGATCCCCGAATTCTCGCACAATGGCCCCTGCGCTCCCCAACGTCTCCCCAGACTTGGTCTGGGAGATTGTCCGTAAGTCTCGATAACAGCCTCGAGTGCGGATTGGCGAAAAGCATGCTAATAAGCGATCACGTCGGACTGCCAGGAAACAACAACTGCTTCCTCTCCAAGAGCAACCGCAATGGCGGCGTGCAGTTCTCTCGGGATCCCCTGAATCTGACCAACAAGAGCAGCCGCAAGGTAGGTTTTGATGGAACAGAACGACAGGCAACTGCATCGATACTGACATCGGCCGCAGCATGCCGGTTTCGTCAACGACAAGGTAGAGAGGCCCCGGCAGCACTGAGCGCACTATGGAATGGAACACTCATGCTCAGAACAACAGGCAATTGGCGTCGTTGCTCACGACAAGGGCGGTGTCACCGTAATCACCAAGAAGACCTCCAACGCCAACAAGCCCGCCAAGGCCTTCACCAGGACCACCTATGGCGGCAACAAGTCCAACCGAAAGTGAGTTGATGGACGCCGCAAACCAGAAACTTGACGACGCTGACATCTTGGCGAAATCAGGACCTACAAGGCCGTTGCCCACCATGCCGCCTCCTCCGGCTACCGCGGTGATCTGCGATCAGCCGCCGTCGAGCGAGTGTCTGCCATCCGCCGGACTCAGCTGAAGCCCAAGCCCGACCACGAGCCCAAGTTGCGAGGCAACAAGGCCAAGAAGGCCGCTGAGTTGTCCTGAACGAAGGCAACGTCGCCTTGAAACATTGTATTCCGTGCAACGTGCACAAGTCTCGTGGCGGCCGCGTGAGGCTCTACGCACCAGGATAGGGGGCGTCTTCACAGATTGCTGATGATACTGCATCATCAGCTTGGAGTTTCTCGAACGACGGCTGGGGCGAGCATCTAGATTTGCAAACGGTCCTTTCAGGAACGATGTCGGTATCCTGGACGGTGGAGGAAGGATGGACATGAGATTATCATCCTGTCTCCCTTCCCCTTGAATCAAAGCTTCAAGACCATGTTGAAACGATTGTACGGCAGTGTCGTCGTGAGGCCAATAAAGTGAATGCAATGGAGCTTTGCGGCGGAGCACTTTGAGACGCTTCTTAAAGCTTCGGGATGGGCACACTGTGACAGGGAAGGAAACGTAAGCTGCATCTGTGAGGTTCTGGAACAGTACGCATCCCTTAACCGCCCCTGTAATTACTACCAGGCGGAAGCGTGTCGACGATACTGTATCATTCTTGCGTCTGTTGTTGCAGAACCACGAGGCGGGTCGGGGGAGCTGGGGTCGGGACATGACGGAGATGCCCCTGGATCTCCGACCGATGACAACTCCCGCTTGGTTCTATGCGCCCTCCTTGCCTTCGTTCAACCGATGGCGATTGTTTCTGCCGCCCCTTCTCGATGCCCACTATACTCCATGTCTGTGTGAACGCCCGAAGGAAAACCTGGCTCCGGGACCTCCTATATCTATACGAAGCAAGTGCAATACCATAATGGGGCCCCGTAATGCTACTTGCCTGACGCCCTGTCTCGATACCCCGACCACATACACGCTGTGCACATCCTTGTTAGCTCCCGAGGCTCATTCTTCACGTCATCGGGCTGGTTCGGAAATCATGTTCCCGCTGAGCCAGCTGCTCGATGAACCGAGCCGGAAGCTGTTGGATGTCCTGCTTCTTGTTCGCAAGTAGCCTCTCGCTGGTGGCTAGGTAGTGGTCGCGAAATACTTGCCACACGCTCTCGTCGCCGCTATTGCTTGGCCGGCCTGGAAGAGGATAAAAGGGGTCGTTTCGGAAAAAGGCAACGACGGCCTGGTCAACGCCGTCCTGGTCCAAGGTGATGGGACGGCAGCAGTCAAAATCCAATATCCACATGGAATGCTGTCCCAGCTGCCCTGCGACAAAAGGCATGCTGCTGCCCATATGTGTAGGGTCGCTTGTCGGCGTCGCCCCGTCCGCCGCAGGTCGTCGACACGAAGCGAGTACAAACTCTACGTCCTTGGCGTCGAGGCGGGCGCACCAGTGCATCGCGGCCAGGGTGGCCGCCATGGGACGCGCATACTCGCACAGGTCGAGGCCCAGCTCCTCCATCTGATCGGCGTGCAGGGGAAAGTTGCGTAGACTAAAGGCGCCGAAGCGGGACGGCCGCGACGACTGGTGGCGGCGACGCCCCAAGTACGGGCGGACGAGGCAGTCATCGTTGTTGGCATCGGCGGCGATGGCGCCCTGGAGGCCCACGGGGCAGTACTTGTCGATAAGAAGCTGGCGGACGATCTTGGCCATGGGCGGGATGCGCTCTGAGAAGAGGGCGTTGCAGGGTGTATATCCGGGATGGAGACTAGGTAGAATCGACGCCCACACATCGACATGGCTGGCGCGCAGGAAGCCGTAGCACAGGGGCACGTTGACCGGAGCAAGGTCGGGCTGCAGGCCACGCAGGGCCTTTACGAGATGCAGGTGGACGACGTGCTCGTTGGGCAAGGAGCGTCCCGGGCTGCCGTCCTCGCGCTTGAGGACAACGTCGTCACTGCGGAGCGTGGCATCAGGCCTGGCCCAGACGGAGCCGCAGTGACCCATGCCAATTCTGCGCAGAGGGAGTGTGGTGTCGAGGGCCGAAACAAAGGCGAAGTCGGCTGCGACTTTTGCCATGTTCCCGCTGTGTTGCAAGTGCTGCTTCTTGGTAAAGAGAACCGTGGTTTGGCGACGAGGATGCAGATGTTACAGCAGGCCGGTATGGCCTTCACGAATGGGAGAAGGCGAACGTGGAGAAATAGCCTGGAGCATCATGCTTCTCAGCATCAGCCACATGTTGGCTATGGGACTACGGACGACGTGGATGGAAGTTCGACATGACCTTGAAGCTTTTTGCTGCCACCAAATGGCTTCGGAGTGATATAAAGTAACTTAGCCGGTCTCACTGCCTTGGCCGTGACCTTGAGCGGGTCTGCCTTCTTCAACAGGTACGGGTAATTAAAGGCCATCCGTGGATACTATGAATGCTAAAATATGAAAGCGAAACCATGTTGGTTGCATAAACGAGCAGTTTTGTCAAGGGGGCCCTATGGCATGGAGAAATCATGGTAACTTAACTATTGTACCTGGAAAAGGGGTTGTTCGAAAAGTATCTAGTCGTCATGGCCCCTCGGTAAGCGGGCCGAGGCCATACAGGTCAAGCTCGTGTCTGTCTCGCAAGCCAAGCCTGCCTTCCCCTCTTCCCCTCCCCCACCATCCATCCCTCGACAGCTCCGTTGCCCGCCTCTTCCTCCACATCAACGAGCTCCCTTCCAATAGTAAGCTTGTTGGAACACTATCCCCTCTCGCAAGCATCCGGCTGCTCATTTTTCCAGCCAACCTCGTTCCATCCACGCGTGCACTCTTCACCATGGTCAAGGCTGGTACGACGCGCTGCCCCTCACCTCAACCCCGCACCCGCGCGGGAGCTCCCAAGCTGACGCTCTCTCGATGCAGTTGTTGCGGGTGCTTCTGGTGGCATCGGCCAGGTGTGCATTGACGACTTGCCGAGATGGATACCGGAGCTGACTGCTCCCAACAGCCGCTGTCGCTGCTCCTCAAGACCAGCCCGCTCATCGACGAGCTGGCTCTCTACGATGTCGTCAACACCCCGGGTGTTGCTGCCGACCTCTCCCACATTTCCTCTCGTGCGGTAAGCCTTTGTCCCAGCTAACAGCTGCCTTTATTCACGAGCCTTGCAATGGAGCTAACCTGACGGCTCCAGAAAATCTCCGGCCACCTCCCTGCCGACGATGGTGCAAAGGCCGCCTTCAAGAATGCCGACATCATCGTCATCCCCGCCGGCATCCCACGTGAGAAAGACCCCGCTGCGCTTGGCCATGGATGCTGCCTCAACCTTGCAAAATCCGTACTGACTGGCTTTGGCTGTTTTCTAGGCAAGCCCGGCATGACCCGCGACGATCTCTTCAACATTAATGCCGGCATTGTCAAAGGCTTGATTGAGATTGCCGCCGAGGTCGCCCCAAAGGCCTTTATCCTCGTCATCTCGAACCCTGTCAACTCGACCGTCCCCATCTCTGCCGAGGTCCTCAAGGCCAAGAAGGTTTTCAATGCCCAGCGTCTTTTCGGTGTCACCACCCTCGACATCGTCCGCGCCGAGACCTTTGTTGCGGAAATCACCGGCCAGTCCGAACCCCAGAAGCTCACTGTGCCCGTCATTGGCGGCCATTCTGGCGAAACCATTGTGCCCCTCTTCAGCCAAGCCTCTCCCGCTGTCAAGATTCCTGATGACAAGTACGACAACCTCGTCAACCGTGTCCAGTTTGGTGGCGACGAGGTCGTAAAGGCCAAGGATGGCGCTGGTTCAGCCACCCTTTCCATGGCATATGCCGGGTTCCGGTTAGTCCACGCGTGAGATGAACGTCTGTCAACCAGCCTGACTAATACACCCCTCCCTAGATTTGCCGAGAAGCTTCTTCGGGCTGTCAAGGGCGAGAAGGGTCTCGTTGAGCCGAGCTACGTCTACCTCCCTGGCGTTCCAGGAGGCGATGCCATTGCCAAGGCGACCAAATGCGACTTCTTCTCCGTCCCGATTGAGCTTGGGGTATGGCTGCCCAGTTTTCTTTGCTGTTGTCCTAGGGCTAACCATGGCTAACCATTTCTCTTCTTAGCCCAACGGAGCTGAGAAGGCCAGAAACCCCTTGGAGGGCATCACCGACAAGGAGAAGAAGCTGCTGGACAAGGCTACTGAGGACCTCAAGGGTAACATTAAGAAGGGCATCGACTTCGCCCACAACCCGCCCCAAAAGTGATTAGCCCCCCGAGACCCCATGAAGCGACTTTTCGGAAGAAAGGGCGCCTGTCTTGTTGGCAGTAGCTATGAAGCTAGGCTTTAAATATACGATCGAGGCCCGACTTGCTGATGATGCGCTCTTCTCACAGGCTGTGAAGTGCTGTACCGCCGTTCCACCCCCGTCCATTGATTGCCGTTTCTCATCAGCCATCTAGATGCTGGGGTGCATTTGATTGCTAGGCTGAGGACGGAGGTGATTGGACGGGGCGTCGGGTTGCTCCAGCAGTCGTTGGTGCTGTGTTGAGTGTGGGCGAGGCATTGGGCGGGCGCCAGAGCTTGGTTGCGATTGGTTGACGAGGCCGGTGGCTATGACTTGGCGGGGAGGGTTTTGATCTGAAATACGGCTCCTGGGAGGTCGTTGATCTCGGCTTGGACAGTGGCATTCATCCCCAAGGCAGCCAGAGCGCCTCGCACTATGCCGCAGGGAAACCAGAGGAACTGACTGGTCGTGAGCACACGACAAGATACTTTGGACACGAAAAGAAGGGACAAGCTCGAAACGTACCGGTTGCGCACGAATAACTGCTTGGCCACCTGCCTCGGTGCTCATTCTTGAAAATGGGCGGAATACATTGTCCGTCAAGACGTAGACTCCCTAAGCCGTGTGTAAGTGGCCAGCAACTAACGGCGGTTTGTTGCGGCGAGGTGACGTACGCGGTGATTTGTTTTCAGGTTATCGATGTTCTTGCCAAAGACTAGTGACCAGAGGTCTTTGCAGAGAAACTTGATAACATCGAGTGTATCGTTGAACCGAGGGCGATCTCTGGAGAACCTGCGGAGGAGCGGGGGCGACGTTCAGTCGGGACGTGTAGAGAGAGAGAGAGACTGGCGAGGGAAGAGGACAGACGTACCGCTCGACCAGCCCCTGCCCGACCCTGTACCCAAGAGACTCGAGCCGAAAGTGCACTGCATCAAGCTCCTCGTCCTCATCCACCTTGCGCAGCGTCGACCCGGAGCCCGCAACAAGCACCGAGCCGGAGCTGACGGCGCGACTGGCCCCCGACCCGACGGCTGGGCCGCCCTGGCCGGCGCCGGCGCCGCCATTCGAGTCCGAGTAGGGCGCGGGCGCGTCTCGCTCGCTCGTGACGCGGTAGGCGAGGGGCACCAGCTCGATGAGCAAGAAGTCGAGGCACGACGAGGAGAGGAACGTGGCCGACGGGTCGGTGGCGTTGTAGGGCGGCATGACGGGTTCTAGAGACATGATTGGATGATCAGATCGAGACTGCGCCGGGCTTGCGGTTGAAGAAGCGTGAGTTTTGGCGTGTCTCGGAGATGGGAAGGACGCGTCGGTCGAGTCGATTACGGAAGAGGCAAAGGATGCAGGTGTCTGAGGGCGGTGGTACACAAAATCGGGACGTCACCGGGAAGCTCGAAGAAGCAAGCTGCGGCAGCACGTGACGACAAGGCGGCTGATTAGCGCCTTGGCGAACGCGGGGCAAGGCTGGCGCGGGGCAGTCCAAGTCATTTGCCGGGTGAGAGACGATGGGCAGTCGGGCACCATGCTCCTGTCATTACCACTTCGTGCGGCCGTAGAAATGTCTGTATTATCTCCAGAAGCTGTTGCCTGTCCAGACTTCAAAAGGCGTCTGTGTTGGGGCACAGCTCATTCATGCAGCATCATACTATCAAATCGTTCGTCCCCCGACTCGCGCGTCCGTCGCAAATCTTGCAGACCAAATCTTGAACCCTTATTCTCAACCGTCGTCCGACGACATCATGTCTAGCAGCAAGGCAAGCGACAAAGGGAATCAGGCAGCTCTCCTGAAGTCGTCGATCTCGACCCCCGGCACTTCACGACCACCTGCCAACGCCAGAAATGAAATCAATCACGGAAAGGGGAATCCTTTTTTTCAACCGTCCGTCTGCCGTAAACGCCTCTTGCGCGTGGCCTGGAAAATCAACTCGAAACAGAAATCTCTCATGCCTCAGCATGATTGCCGACATCCCCGTCATCCGGGATATGTGCTCGTCGCCGACGGCGTCGTTGCGCTGGACGGGATCCCGACTAAGGATTCATGTCAACAGGCGACTCACTCAGGAAACCAAGGCTACTACCATCGCGAACCCCGTTTGTTGCTGTGCTCTGCCGCTTGCTGGGCCGTTCCACGGGCTCCTCGTCGTCCGAGTCCCCAGTAAGGTCAATAACTGCTGGTGCTGGTCGCTTAGTACTGAACGAGGCGGCACCTCGAGGGGCGCCTGCCGAGCCATCTCTGCCGCTGGAAGCGGGTGTTCTGACACTCGGCGTGAATGTTCTGGGAGTCTCCATCCGACGCCCGCCCGCAACATTGGCTTCGGATATTTCCACCAAGTCATCGTCCTCCAACGATGTGTCGTTGGCCGTGTCCTGATGGTCATCTTGGGACGGCTTAATCAGCCATCGGCCGTTGGGCTCGATGGTGACTGACTCCAAATCTTTAGGGGTATTCTCAAGAATATCCCTAACGTAGCTAGCTGGCTGTCAGCACCAAATCCACGAGGGCCAAAAAGGGAGACTCACTCATCAACCGCCAGCTGCTCATACGGAGCCGACTTGTTGCAAATGGGACAAAGCCACTGCGGCCCTTGTTCCTGCAGCTGGAGATACGATGTCGCATCAAAGCACTGAACATGTGTGCAACTCAAGCTCCGACAAGGAATATCCAGCCTCATGTATGAAAGAGGGCATTTTAGGGACAAGACCTGAGAGGTTGCCACGACGTCGGGGTCCTGGGCTTTCTTGTTCACTGCGAGAAAATCAGCAGGCTGCATGATTTGCGCCAGAAGAATGTACTTACGTTCCGCGATGACTGATTCTTTCGGTATCCTCCGGCGGGTAGACACGGCGGAAACAAGTTCAGGGACTGAAATGATTTTGCAGAGATTAGCAATGAGGTAGAATTTCTGTCATTTTGGGGTCAGCAAGTTCTCAGAGACGGGGTGGGGCCGATGGCCTGCGAAAACCCCTTGTCAAAGCAGGACGAGGCAGTGGCCACGAGGACAGGGTAGGGAAGAAGGGGGGGGGCATCTTACCTTGCTCGTCAACGCGTAGGTGAAATCGATGCTATTGGCCTGGTTTGTTTTCAGGCGCAACGCGTTGGTGACATCCACGGGCCTCGTAGACCCTGGCTTGTTCTTCAGGCCTCGTAGATTCGCCTTGATCTCGCCGCTGTTGACCTTAAGTTCGGATTGGTGGGGAAAGACGATATCTTGAAGGCCAGATGATTCGCCAGCACAAAATATCATGACCCGGCAGGACTTGTCGCTGAGACAACGCTGAAGCGCCGGATGATCGCTCAGCTTGAGGGGTATGTTGATTGAGTTTCTGTGCTGTGTCATGACTAGACAGTTCAAGAAGGGAAGTCAGCAACTCGACACGCTCCACGGCGCAAAAGACTGCAAAAAATTGGACAAGCGACTTGCCTTCGCAGACACGCAGTGTACTGACGGGAGTCTCGACCCTGTAAAAGGGGCTCGGCTTAAAGGTCAGGGACGGTGCGGCTGGAGTATACGGCGTGGCAGGCGCATGGCCAGTGGAAGCCGTAGAAGAAGCGTCATGATATGTTCGCTGCTGGTAGGCGTTGGTGCCGTTGCTGTACGAAGGCATCGGGGACGCAAATTGCGTTGACAGCGACGAGTGCGACGACGTCGGGTTGCTGCTTCGAGCGGCAGCGGCAGATTTGGACGAGGGGCTGGATCGTTGCGCGAATGCGTTGGCGATGCTCTGACGGACCTGGTGAAATCGTGACACGTCGTTGGCGTTGACTGTTTCCTGGATGACTGGATTCCATGGGCAGGCGAGGTCAGCCACGACAGTCAAGAGAAGGGGCCAACCAACAGCTGCAAGGTAAAATAGCGGCATCCCAAAGACGAGCGTTGCAATAAAAAGACAGAAGGAGGGAAAAGAGAAGAGGACGAAAGGAGAGGGGGAATGGGTGCGCGCCGCCACTCACGATAAACAATACGGCGTTGGAGGTCGGCCTTGACGCCGGTGCTTTTGAGGCCGTTGACTTGGCAGACCGAGGACAGCTGGCGGTTGAAGAGCTGATTTCCCTGCACCTGCCTGACGAGCTGGGACACTTCCTGCCGTGAAATGGGAGGCAATGGTGACGCCATGGTGGGCGCAGGTAGCTGCGCGGCTCGAGGGGCAGGAGCGACGGGTGGGCAGCGGTAGCCTCAGCTGCGGGGCCTCATGAAAGGCAGCTGTGGGCGGGAGAGAGGCAGCGTCTTGAGCTTTCAGACCGAGGCAGGAGGGCGTCGGCGTTGGGGAAGGAAGGAGGTGCCGGGGCTGCGGTGCGGCCGTAGGAATCGGGGACTCGGTGCTCGTCGGAGGATCGGCCCAGTCTAGCCACCGGACAGATGTCGAGGTCTGGCGCACCCCGGGTCACTGCTCGAGGGGTCTGATGGCGGCGGCCAGACCGGCGAGCAGGATGTTGACGGCTCGAGGTTGGTGGGTGGTCGAGGGCTCGTGGCAGCAGCGGCGGCGGCGGCGGCCTCGACAAGGCATGGAGTCACGACAGAGACTGCGCCGCGCTAAGGTTTGGGGAAGGGAAAAAAATAGGGTCAAGAAGTGGTGGCTTCGGTCAGCTGCGAGCCAACTGCCAGGACGACAAGTGCCTCGAGGGAGTGCATAGATGGGTGAGAGCGGCCATGGATCCTCCATTCCATTCCGCACCTCTCTGACGAAGGTGCCAAAGGTGAAGGCAAGGGCATCAGGCTCCGGCTTGGCTACGTCTTGACGACAAAGACAGGCAGGACAAGGTACCTGGGCCTGGCCATGTCCGTTGAGAGAGGTACGAGTGTTCATTCAAGTAGATACTCGATGGGTCGTGCCAAGGCACATACATTCAGTTGGTATCTACCATCTGATGACAAGTTACTTTTTTCCTTCACCACCGTATCCGTAGGTAAATTACTTGAGAGTTCAGCCACACCCTGCCACAACCAAGACTCGCTGCCTGCCGTCAGAAGAGGGAGGGGGAAAAAATGTCACCCTCTCAACGCCCGTTCACTCTCGCTCCCACCTACGACAATCCTGGTGTTCAATTTCCGCGCAAAATCCTCACAGGCCTCACCGGCACACACTGTCGCAAAGATGGCCAAAAGCTCACGATCGAGCTCCAAGAAGCAAAACAACCGGCGCAAGGCTGCCACCGTCTTCGGCCCTGCAGAGCTTGCGCGAGATGAGCGTCTCTCGGCCAAGCTGCTGGACCTGGCAAAGCAGCCCAAGCCCAAGGCCAGCCTCAGAGATGTGGCCATGGAGAGTAAGAAAAATGCCTCTTTTCTCTACATCTAGCGTGAAAACTTGGTCTGCTCCCAACGGGCGGAATAGATACCAAGGGAAAATTGGAAATGGATCTTGGACTGATAATGAGTTTCAGTAAACGACGACGACGCCAACGAGGCCGAGGCCGATGTCGACGATAATGGTACGCTTCTTCTCGACTTTCTCTCTCTTTCCCCGATCATGGCTGCCATCATTCTTCCTTGGAGATTCTGTCACTCCTTCACCGCTGACATGCTTGTCCGCGCAGTCATGGAGGTGGATTCTAAGGAGCCGTCCAAGGCCTCGACGGGCAAGAAGCGTGTTGAGAAGAGGAAACCGAAAAAGTCGTCTGTTGTCTTCAAAAAGTACAGCGACAGGCTGGCAGCCAAGAGGAGGAATAAGACCAAGGATCCGCAATGAAGTAAATGAAACATAAACTCAAAATCCGGTCGCCCGGGTTTCACTCCCCTTGCTCGTCTTCTCACTGTTCTCGACCCAGTCCTACAAGATAATCCGTGATAAAGTAATTTGTAGAAACAGGCACTTTCCCTGGTGGTGTTTACTAGGTTCCTCCCTAGTAGGTGTGGCGCAGGCGCCGCTACAGTACAATCAACAGGGGACCTGGTGGAGGACCCGCAAGGTTATCAAGGTACACCAACCTGGAAGCTCCCGTGTCAAACAACGACGCCAACAGCAAGCGACAACTTAACTTCGCGTGCTGCAGCCATCGGGATCCGCCCCGTCAATACGGATCGTCTCTGATGGATTGCAATTGTGGCCCTTGACGGAACCTGTCCCCTTTTCGCGACTCTCATCTCGCCTCCTTCTCGCGAGTGGACATGGTGGCCACTCGAGATGGGTCGCTGCTATGCACCCTTGTGCTTGTCATTGCCAACCTCTTTATACCACTGTCCATTGTCGTCTTTGCCACCGGATTCTTCCCTCACAAACCCTTTCTTCCGGGCTTGGCCGACCATGAGGCTCTCGGCCAAGGCCCGGCGCCCGGCGCCCCCTTCGATCGGCTGATCTTCATGGTCGTCGATGCGTTGAGAAGGCAAGTAGAGGCCAACTCGGTACCGATGCGAGCGGGCAGCTACTGACTGCCATGACAGTGATTTTGTTTACTCAGACGGCTCCGGCTTCAAGTACACACAGAGGTGTGCTCCCTCGCCCTCGCCTCCTTGCCTAGCAGCGGCTTCCTTCTCACGGCCTCTCCTAGTCTCATCCGTGATGGCGCCGCCATCCCCTTCACGGCCAATGCTCGGTCTCCGACGGTGACCATGCCCAGGATCAAGGCTATCACCACCGGATCTATTCCCTCGTTTGTTGACCTCATTCTCAACATCAATGAAGCCGACACCTCGTCCACACTGGCCACTCAAGACACCTGGCTGGCCCAGCTCAAGGCCGCCGGCAAAGGCAAGCTCCTCATGTACGGTGACGATACTTGGCTGAAGCTATTTCCGGATACCTTTGATCGGCACGACGGGACAACGAGCTTCTTCGTCTCGGTAGGGTTGCCCTCTCTCGTTCACCCATCGTAGCTCACAGCTAATTCTCGTCAAGGACTTCACTGAGGTGGATCACAACGTCACGCGAAACATCGCTGCCGAGCTTGAAAGAAGTGACTGGGGCTTGATGGTGCTGCACTACCTTGGACTCGACCACATTGGCCACAAAGCTGGACCCAGAAGGTACTCTCTCTCCACCACAGCAGCCAAGTTCGCCGCTGACGCCGCGCAGCTCCAACATGCTTCCAAAACAGCGTGAAATGGATGACGTAGTCGAGACCATATACAAGGCCATGGAATCCAAACATCACTTGCAGTCAACACTCTTGGTTCTGTGCGGCGACCACGGCATGAATGATGCCGGCAATCACGGAGCTTCCTCCCCCGGCGAGACGTCGCCCGCATTGGTTTTTCTGTCCCCAAAGCTCCGGGATATCTCGCAAAAGCTGCCTGCTCCAACGCGGCCCGGCGACGAGTTTGACTACTACACAACAGTAGAGCAGTCAGACATTGCCCCGACCATCGCCACGCTGCTCGGCTTTCCCATCTCCAAGAACAACCTTGGAGCCTTTATTCCAGAATTTCTGCCGTTCTGGCCCAGTTCCAACGACAAGGTTCAGATTCTTGTGCGCAATGCCCAGCAGATTCTCGATATTGTGACTGCTACTTTTGGAAAAGAGCTCTTTGATATTCACAACACCATCAACCCATGTGCATTGGAAGCCACAAGCGTTCATGAGCTGGCCTGCGAATGGCGCAAGATCGGCAAGCAAGCAGCTTCACTGTCGCCTGCTGCCGAGGTCGACCACGTCTGGCTCACTGAGACGTCAGCATGGCTGCGCAAGGCTCAAGACCTGATGAGCAGCATGGCGTCCAACTATGACATGTCCCGGATATTTATCGGCCAGGGCTTGGCCATTGCGGCCGCCATCGGCTCTGGCGCGGTTGCAATGCTACAAGGCGCGTGCAAAGCTGCTCACTTCGCGCCTCTCCTACTCATCACCATGTCATACGGCATTATGATGTTCGCAAGCAGCTATGTGGAGGAGGAACAGCACTTTTGGTATTGGTCCTCCACACTTTGGATAGCGTGGCTTGGCTCGCGAGCCATATCGAGGTAACGTGGTGCGCCGTGTCCAGCTCTGCGCAGAAGACTAATTGGAACCTAGAACGGCGCGGCTGTCGTCTGCAATCGGCCACCTCCTATCCCTGGGGGCCTTGCGCTTAGCAAGAGGCTGGAACCAGACAGGTCAGAAGTTCGCAGGCGAGCCCGACATCGTCAAGATGTTTCTTGCCCCAAATCCACGGCTTGTTTGGGCATTGGTCAGCCTGACGTACATATCTGTCTTGATTCAAATGCTTCTCGACCTGCGCGGCATCCCTGTCATCGTTGCCTTGAGCCTGACATTTACCCTTGTTTCTGCAGGCTTCATCTTCAAATTGGCCTTCACGGCCGAAGATGCCCCTGAGCTTGTGGCGGGCCTTGCCAAGAAGCTCAATGATGCACTCGAGGGTCCATCGCTGACATCCAGAGCGCGAATCGTTTTCCTGCTCATGACGGTGCTTGCGGCGGTCGCCGTGTACCAAAGAAATAGGGGTGGTCGACATGTCATGCCATCTGGTAAGCCGCTCCCTTTCATTGATCAAAGCGAGGACTGACACGGGCTTCTAGTGCGACTCCTCCGTCACCTGTACACCCTCTTGGCAATGACACAGTCTCGTGCGACCAACATCCCTTTGCTCCTCCTGGCCTCGGCCATGTGCTACAGTCTCGGGCGCGACGAGCTTTCCGTGCCCGAGATCACCGCCTCAGCCATCTTACTCCAGAACACGTTCTTCTTCGCCTTTGGCGGCTCCAATGCGATCTCCTCTGTCGATTTGTCGAGCGCGTACAATGGCGTCAACGACTTCAACATCATGTATGTTGGCGTCCTCACATTCATAGGCAACTGGGCCGGACCTATTTTCTGGACTTTGGCCACCAACTCTCTGCTCTTGCGCAAGTGCAGAAAAGGCCAAGCCCATGTCTTCCGCCACCACCTCACTCTGCTTACCCTTTTCACGACGGCCAGTGCGGCGTTTGTCATGGCGGCTTGCACTGCGCTGCGAACACATTTGTTCATCTGGACAGTCTTCTCGCCCAAGTACCTCTACTGCATGGCCTGGAGTCTGGGTCAGCATTTGGCCGTCAACGTTGGTTTAGGGGGGCTTCTATTCCAGCTCGGCGCAAGGTAGCGCCTCTGCCGCCTCGACTTACACGCGGACATCGAATGCGACAGGCGACGTACAGAAAAAGACAATCATATTTCGCGGTTGATTCATTCCGTAAAACGGGGCAGAGTAAAGACCAGTTCATAACCACAGGGGCCCCCAAAGACGTGTGCAGCACATTCATCTTGAATACCGGCTTATCCATAAAACCTTGACATCAATCATACAGAACATGGCAACCAAGACGTGACTCGTAACAGTAACGATCGGCTCAAGCATCCATCATTTTGGTGTCCTCGCCGTCGGACAGCAAGTCGTCCACGAGCGAGTCCTTCTCCTTGGGGACAGCCGTCGCCTCGTTGCTGTCCTCGTGCTCTTCCTTGATCCTCGGCTCCTCAACGACCGTCTTGTCCTCGGCCGGCTGTCGCTCCAGAATTACAGACGCGCTGCGGCTGGCACGCCGGTTCAGGGGCTGCAGCTGCTCGTCGAGGCTGTTGACGACCTTGCCTAGGCTGACGTGCACCTTGTAAAGAGCGTTGCGGCTGGTCGCGTCGGAGAGCAGACCCTCGTCCACGGCCTCGGTGACTTGTGCGTAGAGCTCGCGGATCTTGTCCTCGGACGAGCCGGGGGAGACGTGGAGTTTGCCGAGGAGCCCGGCAACCAGCTTCTTCTCATCCTCTGCGCCATCGTCAGCATGAGCTCTCGTGTGCATCAACGGTCGTTGTGCGACTTACTGCTAATGTTGGACCGCAGCCTTTCCAGGATGTCACGGCCAAAGTCCAGGTGGACATCGCCGTTGACGTTCTTCTTCTCCGCATCCAGCTGAACGCCCAAGCTGTAGCACTTTCGAGGATCGGTCCAGTCGACCAGGCAGGCGCCGATTGTCGTCATGCTGACCATGTCCTCCTCGACGTCGACGTCGTCATCTTCCAAGCCCTCGCGCAGGTTCAGGAGCGAGTGAAGGGCTTGAAGAGCAATGGCCCGCATAAGATCCTGGTTCGCCGCGCGAGAGTAGCAAAACACAGGGAGGAAGTAGTTCAACGCCTGTCTGACGGTCTGGTTGGACGCGGAAGAAGGGTCAAAGTAGGCCACGACGAGCGACTTGAGCAGCTCCTCGCACGTCTCCTCATCACTGACAACACGCCCGAGGAGCAGCTTGGACGCCGCTATCGTGGCCGCGGCTTGGACCTCCGGTGCCTTTGCGCCGCCCTTGACGGCTTTGACATAGACCTTGAGCAAGGCGGGCGTCGACGACAGCAACTGCGCCCCGTGGACGTTGAGGATGTCCGTCAATATGTGCAGTGCCGTAATCTGCAGGGCCGTGTGCCCCTTGTTGAAGAAGTGGATGAAGAGGCCCAAGTTCTCCTCCGCCAGCGATCTGTCCAGCAATGCACAGAGTCCCAGGCTGACCAAGCCTCTTTCGCGGACGGGCGCTTCATGGCTCCGCACGGCAGGGACCACGAGGTTGTTGAGCATGGAGACCAGATCCGCGTTGTCCTTGAGGTTGCCTGCCACGTGGGTGAGCATGCACTGGACGATGTGAAGACACTTCATGTTGACGACGATTTCCCTAACAGCCTTCTCACGAGCGCCTTCCTCGTCCGTCCCCGCGCCAGTGCTGCGCTTCTCTTCGCCTGCTGCAGCGCTTCCGTGGCTCACCTCCGACTTTGCAGAGTGGAAGCTGTCCTCGACATCGTCGGCCGGCGGGTCATCGACAATGGTGTCGTGGACATCAGCCACAGACTCCAAGACAACGCCGCAGAACTCGCGCTCCCCGGCCGCGTCCGGAGCACAGATGTACTGCAGTGCCTCGACAGTGAGCTTGGTCACGTCATCGGGAAGCTCGGGAATTGACAGCGACTGTCGGAGAAGGGTGAACATCTTGCGGCGGCCGACTTCGTCCGAGTAGTCGAGTGTCAGGGCAATGTACAGCAGCTGCTCGACGATGAACTCTTGCTCGACGGTGTCCTCTTCGTCGTCGTCCTGCTGAGCCACCCTCTTAAGGGCCTCAACAAGGACCTGCATATAGCGTTCCAGGTAGAAGGCGAGCTTGGTGACTTCTGGCATTTTTTCCTCCACCAGTGCCTCGTATCTGCCGTTGCCCTCGTTGCGGCAGAAGTCGTTGAAGCTCCGGGCCATGAAGACGGACTCGGCAGAAAGAGTTTCCCAAAAGTTGTCGTCCAGAGTGACGGCCTCGCGGTAGTCTGGGCGGCCCTCCCAGAGACCTTTCATCGCCTCCAGGGCAACGCCGTTCTCAACGCCAGAGTTGACGACGTCGATTCTCTCCAACAGCTCCAAGAGACCGTCGAAGCTCGGAGGCACCGGTTCGGGGGCTTGCCCCTCTTCTTGGGTACCGGCACAGTCGGCGATCCACCGCTCCCTAAACAGTCTGCCAGCGGCCTTGCGGACGTTCTCATCACGGTCTCGAAGGCCCCATCGAAGGAGCTTCTCCCGCATGGACAAGGACAGATGGCGGAAATCGCCCAGAGCCGGGAGCAAGCGCGAGTAGACGGCCCTTCGCGTTGCTGGGTCCTGATCTCTGGCTCGCTCAAGCAAGTAGGGAAGAGTGTTGGGAAGGATAGGGAGATTGATTAGAAGCGACCGTCGCACATCGGCGCTCGGGTCGTTTTGCATGACGTCGAGTAGTTTCCCCAACAAGTCGGTCGCCTCATCGTCATCGCTGCCTTCCGTGTTGGCGCATCCTTCTGACTGGTTGCCGGCCAAGCGACCTAGGCCCAGGACGGCCTGGGAGCGAACCATTGCTTCCCTGTCGCGTATCCGCTTGAGCAGTCCGTGTCGAAGTTTTTGGAAGAGGTCGTCGTCAATGGCGTCCAGGGAGTTGATGACGTGGGAGACGAGTTGCGTGGACCTGAATCTGACAAACTTGTCCTTTGCTGTCATGCAAGGCAGGATTGCCTCGAGGAGCTCCGATGTGAGGCGCGAGCTTGGGGTTTCAGGCATCATACTTGCGTCCGCCTCGGCCTCGCCGAGAATCTCAATGTCCTTGTCGTTGGCGTGCCGAAGATAGAAACCAACGAAGCGAATGGACCTCTCGCCGACGCTCTCGGCCTTGCGCACAGGCATGATCCTCAACACGCAGCGCACAAACTCCTTGTTGAATGTAGCCTCGTCAAACTCGCTCGACGGGGTGCTGCTCTTGCTTGTCGGTTCATAGCAGCAGGACTCGTGTATCTTGCGGAGATTGATTGCGAGTTTGCGGTGGGTCGCAGTCGTCCTTTGCGCGTCGCGGAACACGGCGCATGTCTGTGTTCGCAAGGCGCTGCTTGGTGTGTCGACGTATTCGACAGCCGACGACGAGGCGCGAGACGTGGCGGATGCGCGGGAGCCCAAGGCAGCGGTCGACGGTTTCCTGGAAACCGCCGCTGACGTCCTCGTCGACCGCGTTGAGGCTCTTGCAGGCATGGTCGAGTCGAGTGACTGTTTGTTAGTTGGTTCAAGTGGTGACGGTGCTTTTTTTTGTTTGTGTTAAGTGCCCAAGACAGCACGCGTTGCGCTTGCGGGTCACAAGTCAACAATGTTCCCTTTGCGGAATAGTGCTCTGTCTATAATCAGCCCCACACATCACGTGGGATTAGATACAGACGAGGATCTCTTCTTTCTTATCGCAGCTCGGCGTCAGTGGTTTTTTTCTTTCCCCCCAGCCAAGGAAAGCTGCGAATTGGATCTACTGCCACACCACTGTGACCACACAACGCTACACTGACGGTGGCTAAAACGGATTGCTGCAGCAGCCATGACCGCCTCCAAGACCAAGCGGAAGAGGCAACACTCGGAAGTGGAGGACGCCGTTTCCAATGCGCTTGAGGATCTGGAGACCGGGTCGGCCCAGCAGACGAAGAGGGCCAAGGTGGACGAAAAGAGGTCTCTCTTTGTTCGCTCGCTGCCGCCTGCCACCACAAACGAGACCCTTGCCGACTTCTTTTCCCAGCATTTCCCAATCAAGCACGCTGTTGTGGTCCGTGATCAAAAGACCAAGGATTCCCGAGGCTACGGCTTTGTTACCTTTGCCGACGCGGAAGATGCCGCAGAGGCGCAGAAGAAGCTGGACAAGTCTCAGTGGGACGGCAGATGCATTCGTGTCGACGTTGCAGAACCACGACACCGCAAAGCGGACAAGGCCGCGGGCGACACCCCTTTTACGAAACCTGGGAAGCCCGAATTCCAACAACCCGCCACCAAGCTGATAGTCCGGAACTTGCCGTGGAGTATCAAGACCTCAGAGCAGCTGTCCCACCTCTTCAGGAGTTTCGGCAAGGTCAAGTTTGCAGATCTCCCTCAGACGAAGGGAAAGCTTAAAGGATTCGGTTTCGTTACACTTCGTGGAAGGAAGAATGCGGAAAAGGCACTGGAACTTGTCAACGGGAAAGAGATTGATGGTCGAACCCTGGCGGTTGATTGGGCCGTTGACAAAGAAACATGGGAGCGCCAAACGGGTCACGGCGATGACAAAAAGGACGACAAGGAAGATGCCGAGTCCATCGATGGAAGTGAAGCGTCAGCCGGTTCCACGCCACAGGGTGCTACCACGGCCCCGCGGAAGGAAGCTCAGGCGGACGCCGATTTGCAAAACTTTTTGAAGAATCATATGCAGAACCTCGAGGAAGAATCGGATGCTGAGGAAGAGGAAGATGCGGCGACGGAGAGCAACGAAAAGGAACGCGAAACACCGCGTCAAAGGGTCACGGACAATTCGTCGACTGTCTTCATTCGCAACATGCCGTTCACTACAACAGACGAGCAGCTCAAGAGCTTCTTTGCTCACTTTGGGGGAGTGCGGTATGCTCGAGTGGTTATTGACAAGGTCACCGACAAGCCGGCTGGAACAGGCTTCGTGTGTTTCTTCAAGCAGTCGGACGCAAAGTCGTGCGTCAAAGGGGCTCCTCGGTCTCAGCCAACCGCAGCCGGAGCCAAACAGTCACTTCTTGTCGACGAAAACGCTGACCCAAGCGGCATGTACACTCTTGACGGGCGACTTCTTCAGGTTGTTCAGGCCGTCAATAAGGAGGAGGCCAACAGTCTTGCGGAGAACTCGCTCTCGAAGAGAAGGGAAAAGGACAAGAGGAGACTGTACCTTCTCTCCGAGGGCGCCATTGGAGGCGGATCGCCACTCTTCGACTTGCTGTCACCGGCAGAGATCCAGATGAGACAGGCGAGCTCGGCGCAGCGGAAAAAGATGGTTCAGGGCAACCCCAGTTTGCATCTCAGTCTAACTCGACTTGCGATCCGCAACATCCCGCGCAATCTAGACTCTAAGCAACTCAAGGAGCTCGCGAGAAGGGCCATTGTCGGGTTTGCCCAAGACGTCAAGGAAGGCCGACGCCAGCCACTGTCCAAGGAGGAGAACGCCAGAGACGGCAAGGATGTCAAAGACAAGGAAAGGCAGAGAAAGCTCAAAGGAAAGGGCATCGTTCGCCAGGCCAAGATTGTCTTTGAGAGCAACCAAGGGTCCAAGGTCCCTGAAAAGAGCGGGGCTGGTAAGAGTCGCGGCTACGGGTTCATCGAGTACACCTCGCACCACTGGGCCCTAATGGGCATGCGGTACTTGAACGGCCACGAGCTGCAGGACGAGAATGGGAGGAAGCAGCGAATCATTGCCGAATTTGCCATTGAAAACGCACAGGTGGTGCAGAGGAGACGTGTGGCCGAGGAGAAGTCGGCGCAAACTGCTCAAGCCAAGAGGACCAAGGCCGAGGTTGAGGAGGCAGAGGACAGTGATGATGGTTCGGAGGATGCCAGTCATGGCAAGCGCCAACGCGGCAAGGCACCCGATGGGAAAGAAAAGGGCAAAAGACAAGATCGGGACGACAAGGCTGGGGGCAAGACGGAAACCTTGAAGCAAAATTTGATTGCGCGTAAGCGGCACATGCGCAAGAATAAGGCGCGAGTCGGAGGCAAGAAGTAGACGAGATGTAGTAAATTCGTGTGGTGATTCAGTCATAAGTACATTATTTACAAAGATGCTCAGTCTGTTGACGAGAAAGGAAGTCGACTTGTATCCTTATTGGTAGCCAGACTCAGCTGAGCTGACTAATGCCCCTTGCGGCGGGCGCGAATGGAGTGGAGAGTCTGTTCTGGCAACAAGAGCTTCACCTTTGATGATTGACGGGTCCTCATTTCCAAAACCAGCCTGCCTTCTTGCTGGAGGATCCTTGACCGTCGAATTCGACGCTGTCTTCGTCATCGCCCTGGTCGTCGTCGGCCGGCCGCATTGTAACGTAGGTCTCGCGACCGATCTCATTGCCACGCTCGTCCAGAGTCCTACGGGTGACGGTGCTGTGCAGGTAGCCGGCGCGATCGACGTATTCGTCGCGGGTCTCGACTTGCTTTGTGCCGCCGGCGGGTTCTGGGTCCTGGTACTTCTCGCCTGGGGCAGCGTGGGTCATGATGACATTGAGGAAGGCATCCCATGACGTTTGACTCTCGGCAAAAGCAGAGGACAGGGAGGAGAAGAGATGGTCAAATGTGTCTGGCGCCGGTCGTCGGACCTGCCTCTCCCGAGAGCCGGTCCATTGATGCGGAGAGTCATCATCACGCTCTGGTCCGGATGGTTTGCCTAGTTCGTGGAAGAAGTCGTTGTGGCTCGGCTCGGGGCGATCCTCGGAGATTGCAGCGCGCCACAGCTCAGACCAGTCTGTAGTTGGATGAAAGTTTTCCCAGTCTGGCAGCAAGGCTGGGGGAAAGGACTCCCAGCTTGGAGTTCGAACCAGACGTTGCGACTCCAACCTGCGCATCCAGAACCAAGTAGGCTCCCCTGTCGGAAACATGTGCCGAAGCAACCTCCTTTGCTGATACCGAGCATTGATATCCGGAAGACGCTGGCCCTGAGACGCAGCAAGCAAGTCCTCAAAAGCGTCCTCGAAGGTGAAGACAGTCGAGTCCATGCCGGGCGCCAGGTCGTTTGGGACGGGCTGCGGGAGGTGGCGGAGAGCTGGAGGAGAATACGAGGCGGAGGAGAGGAGCGAGAAGACGTCCAAGTCCCAATGAGCGCGCCGCATATCCTGGGCGTCCATGGTGCGGGATGAAGAGGAGGGAGGACTCGGGGGCGAGTCGGAGCCCAAAGGCATCGTCGCGGCCTGGCGGGGTGGCGTCGAAGTCAACCCGAGCAGGGAGCGGAAGCCCGAGGCGACGTGGGAGTCGACGTGCTGTTTGAATCGGACAAAGATGTTGCTGTCTGTAGGCTGGCCTTCGCGGCCCATGGCGCGCCGAGTGTGGAAGCTCAGAGGAAAGCTTTGATGGTGGAAACAATGGCTGTAACTTACTTGGTGAGGGCGGATGAGATGATGATTGCAGGGCGAGCCGGTGTGGCGAGGGACATGCGGCGCAAGCAGTTAGCATTGAATAATGTGGCGCAGCCGAGACCTCGCAAGCCGGAACTGCAACCTCGTCATCATCAGTCCTCTTTGTGGGCATTTTACTTCGTACGCGACGCATCATTCCCATGAGCACGCACTCTGCTTGCGCACATCACTCGTCTTTGCGTCCAATCCGCCTCTAAAGGGGGCCTGCCATGTTGCGGCCATTTGCGGGGCCTGGAAGCTGCGCATTGCCCTTGACGCCCTCAGCCCAATGATACCACGATCCAGACAGCTCCAGTCGAGGTGCGCCGCCCTTTACCCACTCGAACCTCTCGCAAGCCCTCCTCCTCGACGGCGTCGGCTGGCCACGACGCTCGCCCTGCCATGATGCACTCGTCCTTCACGGCCGGCCCGTCAACCCCGGCAGCGACCGGCGCCCCTGAGAGCCCCGGCAAGGCCCTGCGAAACTGGTCGTCTCTCATCGGCATCATCACGGCCATTGTCGGCAACATCCTCATCGCGCTGGCGCTCAATGTCCAGAGGTACGCGCACACGAGGCTGAATAAAGAGCGCGTGCGCGTGCGCCAGCGGGCCCGCGCTGCCCTGAAGCGATCCCAGAGCAGCGGCACCCAGTCGGGGTCCTACGGAGCCATCGGCGGCCATGCCGATGACGGAGACGACGAGACCCTCCCGCTGGCTGCCTCGCAGCACTCGAGCGCAAACACAGACGGCGACGACGACGACGACGACGAGCAGGCCAAGGTCGCCTCCACATATCTCAAGTCCCCGTACTGGTGGCTCGGCCAGATCCTCATCACCCTCGGCGAGATGGGCAATTTCCTGGCCTACGGCTTCGCTCCAGCGTCCATTGTCTCGCCCCTGGGCGTTGTTGCCCTTGTGTCGAACTGCATAATCGCTCCCGCCATGTTCCACGAGAAATTCCGCGGGCGAGACTTTTGGGGTGTCGTCATCGCCGTCGCGGGCGTCGTCACGGTCGTTCTGAGCGCCAACCAAGAAGAGACAAAGTTGGAGCCCCACGACGTGTGGGAGGCCATCACGACCATGGAGTTTGAGATCTATCTGGGCGTCACGACTCTCCTCATACTCATCCTGATGTGGGCGAGCGGTAGGTATGGCAAGCGCACAATTCTCATCGACCTCGGCCTCGTCGGTCTCTTTGGTACGTCTCGTCTCCCGGATTAGCTGCGTATGGAGGCTCACAAGGAAATTCTAGGTGGCTACACGGCATTGGCGACCAAGGGCGTCTCGTCGATGCTCTCCTCGACACTGTGGAGGGCCTTTACCACGCCCGTCACCTACGTGCTCATACTCATTCTTCTCGTCACTGCCGTCATGCAGATTCGCTACGTCAACAAGGCGCTGCAGCGCTTCGATTCGACCCAGGTCATCCCGATCCAATTCGTCCTCTTCACGCTCTGTGTCATCCTCGGCAGCGCAATCCTGTATCGCGACTTTGAGAAGACGACGGGCGAACAGGCCGTCAAGTTCGTCGGCGGCTGCCTGTTGACCTTTTTTGGCGTCTTTCTCATTACAACTGGCAGGCAGCCGCAAGAAGATCCAGACGATCTTTTGTCGGATGAAGAGGGCGTCGAGGAGACAATTGGCTTGACGCAACAAGAAGCCAACAGCTTGAGCCGTGTCCCAGACTTGCCCACGCCCCCGTCTCAGTCCCGGAGATCTAGCAGGCTGTCCCGGGTCAGTTTCGCCGAAGCAACTAAGCCGGGGTCGCCGCCGGATGACGCCGACATCCCGTCACTTGGTCCATTGGGGGCTGCTGGGAGCCCTACCGACTTGCTCGAGGGAGAGTCGTCACCGCTACTCGGCAACCCTTGGCGGGAATCCTATGTTGATTCTGCGCCGGCGCCCCGTGGAACGCGGACGCTGTCTGCCGACTCGGCCATGATGGTGCCTGCGCTGGCCTCGACGTCAGCCAACTCGGTTCCACCAACGCCCACCAGGGGCTTGACGCATCCACATACAGATCGACCTGTCACGCCGCGGACCAGCTCGTGCGCCTCGCGGACCTCGAGCCGTCGTCGCTCCAAGACGTTTATATCTCCATCCCCACTCTCGTCGACGGTGACGACGGTCGTCAAGGACGCCTTTCTCGGAGGGCACGACATTGCATTGGGGAAGAGGACTTCTTTAAAGCGCATTAGGTCCAGCATCCGCGCCAGTCTATTCTTTCACGACGAAGAGGACAAAGGCGGGCATGGGCACGATCAGGTCGCAGCGCTGGTGTCGGATGATCATCTACCACGGATCTCGAGCGCAGCAGACTCGGATGACGAGAACCCAAGACAGCGCATGTCACGGAGCGTCAGCGATGCCCTCGGCGACTTCTTCCGGTCCAGGAAGAAGAAGCCGGGCGCGATGGGCGACGGCCAAGGTGAGGCAGCCAGCGACGTTGAGACGGGGACGCGATAGTACCAGTTCGATATCGGCCGGTTGATCCAGTGGTTACTACCGCTTATTGCCTTTTGAAAAGCAGTGGAGAGACGATGCGGGCGCTGGCGCTCACGGAAGGGCAGCGCACTCGACACGACACGACAGTGGCTGGATTGCCCACACTGCCACCACCCCTTGTCGCTCCCAAACGCAGCGCCCACGGCATGTTGAAGATTGGGGCCTTGTTTGGTATATGGGGAGAGGATCTGGGATTTTGGCGCACAATGCAGCGTATACTGCTACAGCGTACCTAGTTTGCAGCTCTAGACGGTATCTACAGGAGCGCCTTGTTTGGTTTTGTCTGGCGCCGGCGAGCTGGCTTGCAGTCTGGGTTTGTTGGCTTGTCTGTACTGTATGTATGTATGTCGGCCAGATCAAGGGGGCGGGTTGACGTGAGCCATACATACATCAAGATGGCTTACTACAGTGAATTGTAGGGCGGCGCGCGGCGCGAGACGGAGATTGCCGTGGTGCCGAGTGAGGGGAATGAATGCACGCATCGCATCCTCCCTCCGAACCTCTCCCCTCGCAGAACAAGCAAGGGGCATGGATGTGGCTGCGCGTTTTTCATCATCGTCATCAACTCTGGACGAGACCCGATGGGGAACTGACACACGAGATGCACTCGGCGCATCATGCCTGGCATATCCATCCATCTATCTTGTCTACTACATACTTTATCTGTCCTTCTGCACGAGACTGTACTGTACGGGGCAGAGCAGGAACTGAATCAGTGAATGCGAGGGATCGTCCAATGTCCAAAGCCGGTGAATATCTTGTCATATATCTCGTCATATATATATATATATTTCTTTCTTTACATGTCGGTATATTAAAATGTAACCTACCCTTTACCAGGTCAAGGAGCAGCAGCTGAGAAGACGACGCTTAGAAGAGACGCATGCAAATATTTCGAGGCGGAGGGAGAGCGTGGCAGCGACTCAGTGAGCCTCAAGGGGACCTTTTTACGTGGGTACCAACCAACCCCCTTGTCCCCGGGCGGCCCCTGAACAAGGGGAGAGGCAAAAAGGAGGCAAAGGCCAATAGACGCGGGTCGGCCTTCGTTGGGCGGACCTGGAGCCCTCGGTGGATTGGCATGGTGGCATGGTGGCATGGTGGATGACAGACAGACGGCACGTGCGTGTACAGCACCCAGGTGGATATACGGTAAACTGCGGCTTGCATCACACCGACCTGCTTCTCCATATATGAGGATGCACACCAAGGAGCTCGCCCAGTCCATCTCTGGAGACGTCTTGCACGAAAATGCGCGCTGCCCTGTATGTCTAGTGTACAGTACGAAGTCTTATACAGTACGGGATGCACCATGCACGTACGGAGAATGTGCCTACCGACACGCGTAATCAACGCCTAGGCTCCTTCAACTCTTCTCCCAGTCTCTGTCGCGGAGCCAGCCCGCCTCCCAACTCGACGGCCGGGGCGGGGCAGCGCGAACATGCCGGGCCGGCTAGACAGACGGGAGCACCAACGTGGAAAGGCTGGCTGCCTCGGCTACGTCTTACCACTGGCTTGCCCGTGATGGGTTGCCGAGTTGCACTCATCTCTGTCCCCTTTTTGCGCTGCCGTGTCTTAGCCGGCGGCAGAGACTACCCAGGTAGGTAGGTAGGTAGGTATGTACAGTATGCTGCATGACATGCCTCTCATGCTTGCCTCGTGCTTGCCGCGTGCTTGCCCAGATGGCGGGGCCAGCGACGGTGGCAGACCGCAGCCGCACTCTGGGATACACAAAGACCCGGGTCATTGTCTCAGCAGCTGGACCCGTCAAGGCTGGGAAGGAGTGCTGTGTAGCGTGCCCAGGCCGGCCCTGGTCCACGGCCTGCCTCGAGGTGGTGGGTGGCTCGAAAGCCCCTGGCTATCAGGCCCCGGAGCCAACAACAGGGGCAGCCAACAGGCAAGTGTGTATCCGTACAGCCCACCGCTCTCCCCTGGCAAGATACGCAAGGCACGCTGCCTGCGCGGGAGCATGGGCAACTTACGGCGAGTCCGGCGCCTGACGATTATGTTGTATGCATGTATGTATGTAGGGAGCGGCACGGCTGCTTGGTATCCGTGCATGAGGGTGGTCTAAGTCGCCGACTCGGTAGTCGTCGTGGGTGGTCACTCAGCAGGACCGTCAAGTCACACAAGGCAGGCGAGGCGCAGCTGGCTCGTCGGAATCTTGTATGTACAGTACGTGTGATTGCTGCGCTTCTTTTGACGGCATGACGGGGCGGCTGGTGTAGATGGGAAGACGAGGCACGAGCCAAGGGGGCCGCCTCGGGAGCGTTGGCTTGGGGCGCGCCGTTGGTTGGCTGCTGCATGGCGCCCACGGTCCAACGAGACACTGATGAACATGTATCCGGGGCAAGGGTCTGCAAGAGATGCGTGGTGTGCCGTGTCCGCGCGTCAGGTCGACGATAACCGAGAGCAGCTCGTGTTTGGTGGCCGGGTGCGTACAATATGTACGTAATGGACAGGCCAAGCAAGGGCAGGGCGCAGCAGCACCAATCCAAGGCTCATCGAGGTCGACGCGGTCCGAGGAAAAGAGACGTTGTGGTTGTGGGTTTGGTTCATGTTGGTCGTGTGTATCCGCCGGTGCTGCTGGCGGTGGTGGTGACGGCGGTCAGTCTGTTGGTTCAAGGCCAACTGCCCACAGTACCTACCTAGGTAGGTATCTACCTACTTAGGCACCTTAGGTAATTAGTAAGTAACATTTGGAGACGACGGCGTCTGGACAAGGGCGATGGCTGTGTGTACAAAGTACGGAGTACCCCGAGAGACGTACACAAACAAGGGGTGCTGATGCATAAAATGCTCTCTGAGTAGGTACTCCGTACCTATCATGTACCCACGTTGTGGCTGGCTTGGTTCTTGGCCGTCGTCGCGTGGCAGGGAGGAAGGAGCTTACCTGGCTCCCCCGCTTAGTAACATGCGCCCCGTCTTTTGCACACACACGCACACACACACACACTCTCCCGTCCACACTCATGTATGTACACATGCATGTTCGTGGCCAAAGAATAAGCTCGAGACAAACCCCCCCCCAGCCAAGCCGGCCAAGCCACCTGAAGAAAGCCAGGGGAGCACGGCAGCTCGAAAACCTCCTCCTGTCTCTTGGCGCGCGTTGCCGGACCAGACAATTCGACTGGCTGTTGCCTCCGGACGCTTGTGCAACAGACGAAGCGGAACAGGAGATGCAAGGTACGTGTGCTCCCATGCCACTTCTGGCCGCATGATGCGACTTCTTTTACATTGGGACGAGCCGTGGGGACGGACTACTGTGTCCACGGAGCTTCCTCCTAACGTGGTATGTGCAGAGGTGCAGAGGGAGGTGGGCCATCTCGCCGCCCTTGGGGTCGATATAGGCCCTGCCGGTAGGGGTCATTGGCCTTGCTTGCCCGACTCGGCAGCCCCCGCTGCGTCCCGAGTAGAGTTCCGCAGCAGAGTACGAGGCTTTAATTACCCCAGTCAAGTCCATGATGTGTCTATAAACTGCAAGTTCCGATGGGCAAAGAGTCATTGAACCGTCACCGGTGCTTTGCGGCTCGCTCGTGCTCTGTAAGCCAGACACGGGTCGACGCTTGCCGGGGTCGAACGCTTGCTTTACGTACTGTACTCAGACTTGGGTGCTGCATCCGTTGTATCCGTACGGAGAACGCTTGCTTTACTGCCAAGTCATCTGCTCCTCATAGGTAGCATGTCTGCTAATTAGTACCTAAGTTATATCCGTAACTTTGATCATCAGTTTGCTGCAAAGTCACTGCCACGCGTGCAAGGAACAGGCCTCCGCACACACGAGCGCGCTAGCCCAAGGTAGGAGTTGACTGCCCGGCCGTCCTCCACTTGTAGGCAGGTCTCTGGCCGCTGCGGGCCACAGTACAGCACCGTGTACGTGTACGGAGAATGTACATACGTACATGGATGAGGAGTGCTGTAAAGAATAGGCCCATATCCGTACGGATACAGTACAAACGACGTGTCGTCCCATCTCCACCTTTGCTATCAAAAGCTGAGCTCGGCGAGCGCGCGCCAAGGGCAACTGAGACAGGTTCCGTTGAACTGGTCGCTTCTCACCTAGGTAGCCGTCTCACGTAGGTGGCATAAGGCTGGCGGCGGGACGGACCGCGAAAGGGTCGCTGGTAGAGAGGCATTGACAGCTGCTGCGATAGCAGTCCGCGTCGAGAGCTCCCTTGAATCGGGGCACGGAAGCTCCTTTCCCCCCCTCGGGTACGCTGAGGGTAGGATGCGCGTCGACGCCGCCTGCATACATGCATATGCACAGAGTATGCGCGTGCTAGTGTCAGCCCTCTCTGCCCACCACCGCTTCGGCGGGTCTTGCGAGTGGCTCGCCATGCCGTTCCTGCATCGTACAAGGGTGCCTGCCGTAGACGGTAGGAACGAGTGCGACGCGGGCCTGCACGAACGAGCGGTGATGATGACCTGCTGGTCCCTCTCCAGTTCCCCTCTGCAGTCCCCTCTCCAGTCCCCTATCGTCGCCAACACGAGGCTGAATGGAGCGGGCAGGGCTTGCTTGCTTGCCTGCCTGCATTGCCTGCCTGCCTGCATTGCCTGCATTGCCTGTGCGAACAAAAAAGACGGTTCCGATACCCGGACGGAGCGCGTGCTTACTCCGGAGGACTTGTACAATGTAATTACTGTATGTAGGTATGCATCGAGACGATAGGTGAGTTATACCGTACTGTACCACCGCTGCAGACCCGGTCCTGCGGATTGGACGACTCCCCAGACAGATGATGATGAGAGGCCGCATACATACCCAAGCGTTGTCCTGTTGCATGGGCATGGGTGCTGCAAATGCATCCATCTCAACATGGAGCCCCCTTCTCGGCTCTTGGGCCAAAAAAGAAAGGACAATAGTAGCTTGTCAGCACCAAGTGGGCATCATCAAGGCCTGTCCTCAAGCTATCTACAGCTGTCAGTACGGTACTAGTAGGTACTAGTAGCACCTCGTCACCCAACAACCTGGAACTGGCCTATGTACATGCCGAGTCACCTCCTAATAGCAGGCAAAGATATAATAGACGCACCAGTACAGATACGCGGTACCTGTCTAGTGTGTACTTAGGTACTGTGCAGTCAGAGCCTGTGCCTATGCCGGTGCACGCACGACAAGGACTGCCTACCTGTTCCAGCAGTCGCCGTCTTCGACAAGGCTTGTTGCTCACGACACGCACACACACACACACACACACACAGACAATGCTGCTGCTGCTGCTGCTGCTGCTGCCCTCGTGCTTGGATTCGGTTCCGCGACGCGTCCTCGACAGCCGTGCTTGACCCAATTGCCCTCTTCCCGCTCGCTCTCTGCCCGGCCTCGGCGCTCGACATCCCAACTCGCCACGGCTTTTGCTGCGGCGGCTTCACCCTCCTTAACGCCCGTTGAGACACGCCCGCCGCTCCAGGTCTCGGCTCGTGTCTCAGCCACCAAGCTGCATCTCGTCGACAGTCGTCGTCGTCGATCCCTCCAACACCAACACCCAGCTGCCACTTGTGGTCCTCCTTGCCCCCGTTCAAAACCAGCACGCAGGCCTGCAATCGCACCGGCACACAATCTCTCTCTTTTTCCTCCTCCATTGTTCCAAGGCAATGCCAGCCAGTTTCACCTAAAGCAGCTTATCGACCTTCCCGTCACAGCTCGAACCGTTCCTTTGCATCGAACCGTCCAATCGCTTATTTTCGCCCGCTCCCAACTTTTGCTCTCGCGCCATCAGTGGATTCCAAACTCCCCCTTGACCCGAATCCATCATTGGGATCCTCTTTGCGGGCCCAGAGCTGCTCCAATCCTTCAATCCCTCCCTTTCCACTCCCGGCGCCCCGTTTCTATATTAGCTTGTCCCGGCCTCACGGGCTCACAAACCAGCCAAACTACATCCGAAAACAATACATCTGGCCCATTCAAGTCTGCCTGATCATCGCTTCGGCCCTCGCCCGGCGACGTCATCTTCTCGCTTCACGTCGGGCTCCCGCGGCAGCCACGGATAAGACTCGCGTTCAGAGACCCCGGGCCGCATCGCGGAGAGGGCAAGCTGCTGCTACCGGGCCTCGACTTGGAGGGCACGACTCGTCGTCGCCCTCTGCTGCTCCGCTAGGCGGCCTTGACTGTTCACACCCTCCGCCATGGCTTTACACCCTGGTGCGTTGTACAGAAAGTCGCCAAAGGAGAGCGCTCATGCGTCTCACCCCTCAGCCACTTCTCTGCCAGCCGATGGCTCCTCCATCACTGTCTTGGAGCAGCTCTCGAGCGCCAGTGTCGCTCAGTCTGTCGCCCCTCTGCTTGATGGCCCTCCCTCGCCAAAGTTGGTCCGTCCGTGGAAAAGGCAGATGAAGCGGGTATCGCGCATGCACCGACAGCGCGGCCATCGTGCGGCCTCGTCAGAGTCTTCGTCTTTGACCTCGGTGGCCGGCGTCGATCGACCCCCGTGGGAAGTTGCCATGGACAACTTGTCCCTGGTTCGACGCTCATCCACCCTGTCGACGGAGAGTAGTGCCCCGTCACGGCATCGCCCTGATAGTACACGCACCTTCGGAAAGATTCTGTTCCATCGAAGGGTCAGGTCCAAGCAAAACCGCTGCTCCCGCGACTCATCGGGTAGCTCGGTATACTCGGCCGATGTCCCTGAGGACACTTGCCCGGCTGGTCCTAAGGAATTTCTACCAACTATTTTCTCCCGGAGGAGACCACAGCGCGACGACGCCGCCTCGAAAAAGCTTCAAATATCCGGCCCATTCAACTTTCAGCATGTAGCACACGAGCGGCGAGAGGACCATGCCAAGCTGAACAGTCGGACGCCGGCTACCCAAGACATGTCATCTCGGACCTCTGTGGAAATGGGTGCTTCATTCTCTAGCTTTCCGTCTCGATTCTTCGCCGGACGGCTCGACTGCATGAATGATGCTGTCATCCCCCTTCCAAACCCGGTTCTTCGTCATACTGCTCCGGGGGCAGGCCTCCCTCGTCCGATGAAGCTGTCCCAGCCACAGGAACAGCTCCAGACGAGTCCTCCAAGGTCGCCCAACGTGTGCCTTACTTCACTTTCCTTTCCTCCCACCTCTCTGCCCGGTCTTCCCAGCCGCTGGTCGGGTCGTCCGAAGCTCCCTGACACTGTAGCCTCTCATTATGCGGAGAGGCCACAGACGAGTGACGGCTTCGTTCAGTCGCAGGCTCTCGATTCTGTGAGGTCCGAGGAGCATGCACCGCATTCATCAGCTTATCAGAGCCACAGCCCAGTTTTCGATTATGAAGCGTCGCCTGGGATCGGTAGACTTTGCGGCATAGTCTGGCCGCTTCCATCTCTCAACCCAGTGTCATGCGAGACGGAACTGCCCAAGGTGCAAGAAGAAGAAGAAGAAGAGCTCGGCGGGCTTTTGAGACGATCGCGGCTAAGCGTCGTCAGCACCAAATCATCGCTGCGAGGCAGTCAGTCGGTTCCCATGTTGCGGTCGACGACGGAGTCTCAGCGCCCCACGAGTGCTGCCTCGGAAACCCTTGGCCAACCCGGCATCGTTGCGGTCCAGTCTATGACGGGTACGGGAGGGGGGCACAAGGGTGGACTCGAAGCAGCACCACCTCGGGAAAGCTGGGAGGATGATATTGATTACTGCTACGACCATGAAGTTGAGGCCAACTGCAACTACCAATGGGATCGGCCATCCTTGGAAACTACTCGAGGGTTTGACACGCCGCCTGTCTCAACCGCGTTTACGGAAGAAGACCTGGTCAAGATGAAGTCGACGGGCTCCGCACCAGGGTCCCCGGGTACCATTTCCCCTGCATCTCGATGTTCGCCGATTCTGAGCCCCTCAAGCCAAGCATCGATTGAAACTGGCCGTGGAGCTATCACGCCGTTATCCAATCCAGTGGTTCCCAGCAACGCCCCATCATCTCGGATCGACGCCAAAAGCTTCCAGCCCTTGGAGTTGAAGGACAGCCGTCGCAGCTCGGGCGATTCGAGCTTCAGAGAGCCCCAGGTTGTTTCTTTGTCTCCATCCTTATTCATTCCGAGCGAATTCCAGCAACAGTTACTTCTCAGGGAGACGGAATTTCTTCAAGAACGCTCTGAGGCTCAGCGACTCAAAGAGCCGTACCGCTACATTGCATACGACGAGGATAACGCCTTGCACATGAGCGGCCAGTTGATATCAGGCTACCAGCGATCCAGCTTGTCCACGACTGAATCCACGCTCGGTTCCGACTCGACTGAAAAGCGACACATGTCAACGGCATCGTCTCGGACAACGCTGACGCAACATACGGCGAGCAGCACATCTCTCAACAAGATGTCTGGCTCGTGGACTATCGAAACGGAGTCTCTTCCCACAGAAGGTCCCTTTCAGCGGGATGTCGTCCCGGAGCTGATGCCGCTCTACCTGCGTGCCGGAACGAGAAAGAGCAGCCACAAGAGCCACGCTAGCGAGTCTCTGGTTTCGGATGAGGTGGCGCCTTTGAAGTTTCCCGACATTTCGAAACCGCGGAGACAACGGGCAAGAACCTCAAGCTTGAGCATTCAGGCACCGCCACCCGCGGGCCAATATGCCTTGTTCCCTCGGGCTTACGTCAAGGCCGCTGGCGGCCAAATCTAAACAAACGTGCCGCTAAAAAGGCTGTTTTGTGCAGGCTCTTTACGGTTTTTTATTTATTGGCGCAGGACGTCGGTCAACGCATAACTCGGCTTTCGGGCGCCCTCAGCTTATCAGACTTCAAAAGAAGGCAAGCTTATGCTTCGAGGTTCATCATGCAGGTCACCAAGCATCATGATACTGTCCATTTTCTTTGTTGCACTCCCTATTCCGGCTGTACAGAGAAGACTTAGATTATGGATCGCGGCTGTTTATAGGATGTATCAAAGCGCTTCACCACGCTGATTTTGCTTGGAAATGAGACTTGACGAAGAAGGGATTGAATACGCAAGTGTCCCGGGCCCTTGCCATCGTGCGTTTTGGACTCTTGCCCCCGGCTTCCCGTGCTACGCTTTTGGCAGGCATCCACGAGGGGTGCTAGCGAGGGAGAATGGGAGGGAAGACGAAATTTTCTTTGCATCGACACAAAGGCGAAACAAACCCCAAAAGAAAGGCGCAAGGAAATGTTGATTGCCAGGCAGTGGTTTTTGGATGGATCAGCTCTGGCTGGCCAGTTTATGTGTCATGAATATTACGACGGTTTGGACGACAAGCGGGCTGTCGACCAAGAGGTTTCAAGCCATGAGTGCCCGGCGGATGCCACTGTGAAAACCTCATGCTGTGTAATATTTCTTCTTCTCTTTGGGGGTGACAAAAATGAACCAAACCAACCGCTACCTCGCAACGGCAGTCATCCAAGTACATCCCAACCAGTGGTTTTGCCTGCAACCCAAACGCCGTGCCTCGTAAGCGCAAATACCTTCCGCATTAACCCCTACCCGGCCAATCAGCCCGTCTTCTTCTTCTTCTTCGGCCGCTCGTCCTGTTTGTCCGCGCCCTTGGCACCGGCCTCGTCGACGCCGCTCTCGGCGTCGCTGCCGGAGCCGGAGCCGGAGCTGTCGTGGGCGCTGTCGTACTCCTCGGCTACGTCGCTCTCGCTGTCGGCCTGGAAGTCCTCGTCGACGCTCTCCTCGTCCTCGTCGGCCGAGCCGCGGTCGGCGTTGGCGCCGGCCACCACCTCGTCGTCCGACTCGTCCATGTCCTGCTCGCGCAGGGCGGCGGCGAGCATGTTTGCGTCCTCGTCGATCTCGTTTTTGACGCGCAGGCCCTTAAGCTTGAAGAAGGCCTCGAGGGCCTTGAGGTCCTCGCGGTTGATGTTACTAAATTGCGAGGACCCGGCGCCGTTCTTCAAGACGACGGTGATGTCAAAGGTCGACAGGGTGGACACAGCGCCGCCGACGCGGGAAAAGGTGACGGACTGCGTCTGCTCGTAGGCAATGTACGTGGCGGGCTTGGGGACGAACATGAAGGCCTTTTCCAGGCAGTACAGGAAACCCTCACTGGCCTTAATGGAGCACTTGATGCCGTACTGGCTCCGATGGCTTGTGGGGGTTGCATGTTAGCGCGATCATGAGCGTGCGGGGACGGGAGATGGCGACGTACGTGATGAAGTCCTTTGCCGGAGAAGAAATCTTCTTGTTGGCGAGGCCGCGAAAGATCTTGGCCACGACGTGGTGCAGGGGCTCTTCGTAGTGGGCCTCCAGCTTGTCCTTGTACTTGCTCTGCAGCTCGGCCTCGTCGAAGTTGAGGTCGATAGTCACCTCCTCATCCTTCTTGAATTGCATCACGACAAAGGGATAGCGGGTCTGGCCCTGGCGCAGGGGAGGATCCAAGCCGATGCAGAGCATGCAGTGCATGTCGTCGGGCTTGGGGAGGACCATGAACTTCTTGATGGCGTCATACTGTATCTTGTAGTCGTACGTCTTGCCGCGGAGGCGAAACGAGGCCTCGTACATGTCAATATCGAAGCGACCTCTGCAGTTGAGTCGTTAGCAAGTCAAGCGGCCATGGTGTCGGGGGACGCCGGCGCAGCGACTGACCTGGGGGTAAGATGCAGGACATCGAGGAAGGTGGCGATGGTATCGCCGGCCATCTCGCCGATCTCTGCCTTTTCAATGAGGGTCTCGTAGAAGAGGGTGGCGGCATTTTGTTCCTCGCCATCGTCGCTCGCGGCGTCCTCGCCACCCTCAGCCTCCTTCTTGGTCGTGGTACCGGGGATGTAGAAGCGCATCTCGACGAGCTGGTCACGGCCGGCGCCGGCCTTTTTCCCCTTTCCACGGGCGCCGCCCTGGCCTGCCGTGCCGGTGTCGTTGGCGTCCTGCGGCAGCGACATCTCGACGGCGACCTCGTTGCGGCCGGCGAGGTTGGTGTTGCCAATTTCCGAGTAGGGCAGCTCAAAGGCGGGCTTGTTCTGGACGTTGAAGGTGAGCTCGGCCTTTGAGAACTCGGCCTTGCCCCAGTTCCAGCCGCGCAGGGCGTGCTCCTTGTTCTCGAGGACGGTGCTGTACCAGTTCTTGAAGACTTTGCTGAGGCGGTCGTAGTCCTCCTGGTGGAAACCGTCGAGCTGGATGATGCCCGAGCTGCGCTGCAGGATGCGCACCTCGTAGCCCTTGGATGCACGGCTCCATTGCGCGCCGCCAATGTTGCTGTGGTCCAGGGTGAAGGTGTCGCCGCCGCCGGCCGGTTTCCAGCCAAAGCCCGTCTCTGCGAATCTGCACTTGCCGCTCTCCTTGGAGAGGTCAAGGTAGATGCTGTCGAAGCTCTCACTGGGGATTCATCCTAGTAGTCAGCTCGCTAGCTCCTCTCTATTTGTTTCTGGCTGAAGCAAGCAAAAGGCAACAGCCCACTCACATTGCCGTCATGGTGGCGGTGCGCGAAGAGGTGAGCGTCGATGGTGCAAGGACGTCGCGCTCTCCCCTCGCTCCTGGCGGCCCTGACGAGGCTGTCTATGCGAGCTTTGCTGGTTGGCAACGAGGGGGCTGTTAACTTGTAAATCGGCGCCGATACTAGATAGGGAAATTTCACGACCCCTTCGCGCGCTTGTCTGACGCGCCAGCGCTTTGCCAGCGCTTGGAGATACGGGTTGTTACGTAAGCTCGCACGGAGAGAGAGCTTTGGCAGTGCGGTGCGTAAGCAACAGGGCGCACTAAGCAGTTGGGGTCACATGCATTGAAGTGAATTGCAACGCTCAAGGTACAGTAATTAAGTTATGTACAGTACGCAAGCAGACGCGAGCGGCCCCACTCCCAGATTCCTCCGCTGACCTAGCTGAATCTGCTAGGTCCCATCAGCTTTCAGAGTATCTCTCCACCGAAATTGCCCAGTCGTCTACCCTTCTGTCACTATTGAGTCATCTGATCTGCTAGGCTTCCCTTTCCCCGTCTGGGGGAGGTGAAGTGGCACGACGCAGCACCAGATCTCCGCCCGAGGTCCGATCCTATGACAACATCATCACCCTCCATCCTCACTTCCCCCTTTCTTTTCCACTTCCTGCTTCCACCTCTCATGCGTCTTGTTCTCATCTGCGGCTAGATGCTGCTGTTCCGTATCTCGTCAAGCCATCGCGCCATGAAATCTGGATGCACCTCTGCTTGCAGAGTCGCCGCGGCACTCTTGCCCTTGCTCGCCGGCCGTCTCGCACTCGCTGACGCCACTCATCACAACGTCGTTGACGGCCTCGGGTTTTTGCCCACCGTTCCCGGCCTCTCTCCACGCCCGGAGCCCCCGGCTCCCGCAGAGCACACATTCACCCTGCGGCACATTTATCACCATGGCACCCATCGGTATCCCGAGCTTCACCGGAAGCGCGACGTGGTGCCAGACGAATCGCCCCGCATCTTCCTTGCTTCCGACGACGGGCTCCCGGAACACGATATCCCACACCTAAAGGCAAAGAGTCAGGCTCGCACCATCGAGCGCATGGCAGACCGACGCCCGTCCGTTGTCGACCCCCTGGTCGCTCAGTCGAGACGGAACGGTTTCGCCGCCGTTCTGGATGCCTCAGCCTGGGTTATGGACGACGTCTCGTCTCCAGACGTTACTGATAAGGATACGGTCTTGAGTTTGGCCTACATGGCCGCAGACGCGTATGTGGAAGACGACGGGCAACCTAAATGGGACGATGTGGGCGAACCGTTCAACCGAAGTGCCGATTTCGGCTGGCACAGCGACGGTCTTCGCGGCCACATCTTTGCTGACGAGACAAACTCAACCATTGTCATCGGCCTCAAGGGCACCACCCCCGCCGTATTTGATGGAGACGGCACGACAACAAAGGACAAGATCAACGACAACTTGTTCTTCAGTTGCTGCTGCGGGCAGCAGGGGCAATGGACCTGGCACCAGGTGTGTGACTGCGCCACGGGGACCTACTCGTGCAACAACACTTGCGTCGTCGAGGCGCTGCGTCAGGAGGATCGCTATTACGCTGCTGCTCGCGAGCTCTACTCCAACGTAACGGAGCTCTATCCCGACGCCACCATCTGGTTGACTGGTCATTCGCTCGGCGGCGCAGTCACCTCCTTCCTTGGCCTGACCTACGGCTTGCCCGTGGTCACCTTTGAGGCCGTGCCAGAAGCGCTCGCTGCCTCTCGCCTCGGCTTGCCCGTACCTCCCGGTGCAGAGCCCGGCTCTCCTCAGACCCGAGAGCACACGGGCGCATTTCACTTTGGCCACACGGCTGATCCCGTGTACACCGGAACCTGCAACGGTGCGACAGCCTCGTGCTCCTTTGGCGGATATGCCATGGAGACGGCCTGCCACACCGGGCAGGAGTGCGTGTGGGACGTTGTCGCGGACAAGGGCTGGCGGGTAGGCATCGGCACTCACAAGATCAGAGCCGTGATTCAAGACGTGATTCTCGCGTATGACGAAGTGCCGCCCTGCAAATTCGTCCCGGAATGCCGGGACTGTGCCCAGTGGAAGATGTATGAGAGCAACGGGACACGAACATCGACGAGCAGCACCTCTCCTACATCGACGAGGACGCGAACTCGGACGTCGACGTGCCGGACGCCTGGCTGGTGGGGATGTCTGGATAAGACGACAGACACGCCGACGGCGACGCCAACAACGTCCACCTCGTCCTCAACGTCCACTTGCAAGACCCCTGGATGGTTTTGGTGCAAGGACAAGACGTCAACTACTACCACTACCACCACCACAGCAACAACAACAACGACAACCACGACGTCTTCCTCGACCACGACTTGCAAGACTCCAGGTTGGTTCGGGTGTAAGGACCGCACAACTTCGGCAACGGAAACGACGACATTGTCGTCGACGACTTGCAAGACCCCCGGCAAGTATTGGGGCTGCTGGGATGACGCTCCTACGACGGCAACGCGCGCAATGCCGGGCACCCTGGCCAGTCTCGCCCCGCCACCCATGACGGCACCGGCGACAGCGACGGCAACAGCACCGGGAGACGCCGCCCCGCAAGAAGCACGCAAATGCCGCCACCACAACTGGGTGGGCCTCTGCAGAGAATGGGAGGGTGAGGACGCGGGGTTCTCTCCAGACGAGATATAGAATATCCCAACGGTCACTCGGCACGTTGCTTTGCAACTCTTGGGACATGGGTTGGACGTGCAAGAGGCCGCCGTCTTGGTGATTGGTCGATGGCTGCGCTACGGGCCTCAAGGCGTCGTTTGTTTTTGGGAGAATGGGTCGGTCTCTTTTTGGACGGCAGGAGCATCAGCTTATGGCCGTGTTTCCCTCTTTCGGGATTGGCGTTGGACGGACAGAATCTGACTTGGTATGCCGTGCGAGGCGTTGGATAAGAGAGAAACATGGGCAGCCTGGCTGCATTTAGAGGGCTCCTGCTATTGAAAGACGGCAGGCAGGAGACAGACCGGCTCCAATCGTTGAATTGTGATTTTTCGTGAAGCTGTAGATGCAACAAACAGTCTCGATACATATATATATATATAAATTTCATCATCATAACTCATGATTGATGTATTCGTATTTGCAGGAAGCTTGTCTACCAGGACGAGCAGAGGCCGTGGCTGATGGATGACGTAACACTGATTACGGAGCCGGGTTTGTACAATCTGCAGACGCGAGGTGCCGCCGTCACGTCACCTGGGCGGCCGAATTTGGCAGCCGCATCAGGCCAGCGACCAAAATTCATTGCCCCGTCATCCGCCACAACAGGCATGCGCCGCGCCTATGCTCTGCTCCATCGAGTCCCTTGACGATGGACTCCCCCGAACCAAAAATACCCGGCGCGGTTGCGTCGCATCCGTCCGACAGCGACAGCTCCTCGGACAGCGGCGCCGACGACGAGCAGCCCACGCAATGGCTGGCCACGGCGCGGCAGCGGCGCTCCACGGCCGGGAACCGCATGAAGTCGATGCTGGCCAACGAAGAGCCCGACTCGGACCTCGAGCTCCTCTTTGCCGAGGATGAAAACGACCAGGGCTTCGAGGATGCCGACGAGGATGCGTCCGATGTCCAGATGGACTCGTCCGACGACGACGACGACGACGACGACAACAACGCCAACCCAGACGATCTCGAGGGCGAAAAGGAGCTCGAGCGCCGCGCCAAAGAGCAGCGCCTCGCCAACCGCAAGCGCAAAGCCCGCGACGCCATCCCCCCCAAGTTCAGGAAAAAGGTCCGCATCGACCCGACCACGCCGGCCGCGCCTCCGCCCCGACCCAAGAAGAAATCGGAGCGCACCTCATGGCTGCCCTCGCCCGCCGACCTGCCCACGCGCTCCTCGTCCCGCAAGACAACGCGCATCTCCAAGGAGCACCTGCATCGGCAGATGGTGGAGCGCGAGGCCCGCAGGCTCAAGCAGCTGGCGCTTATGCAGAAAAAGGCGGCCAGGCTCGAGGCCCTCAAGAAACCGCCCATGTCGCAGGCCGAGCGCCTGGCCGAGGCCGCCCTCGTCGAGAAGCGCAACAGCAAGAGCCTCAACCGCTGGGAGGAGGCGGAGAAGCAGAGGGAGGAGGACAGGAGGGCCAGGCTCGCGGCGCTCAACAACAGGACCCTCAACGGCCCCGTCATCACCTTTTGGAGCGGCGTCAGGGAATGGAAGGACGCCCTGGGCCAGCACGTGACACTGGTCGAGGCTAAGCCTAAGAGGAAGAGGGAAAGGGTCGATAAGGGGTCCAAGACCGAGGACAAGGGCATGGGGCACGGCGGCGGCGGTGACAAGAATGCGATTGCGCCTGAGGGACAAACGCCCAAGGGTGACGATAACGCGATATCCGCGAAAGACGCTGCGCCTCCTCCAAGGTCTGAGGCTGGCGGGGCCGATCGGCCAGAGAAAGCCCCGGTCACCAAGACGTCGACGACGCCCGCGTCAAACCAGCAAGGCAAACAAGGCCAGCAAGGCCCGACGCAAGGGCGGCCAATGGATACGGAAACGCACGGCTCAGCCTCACAACTACCGCCTAGTGTCCTTGAGCAGGAAGAGACCGGACGCCTGATGGCGATGCCCGCCCCGCCTCCGCCTCCGCCCCCCCTGCCAGCGCCCTCCGGCGGGCTGGCGGCACCGGCTCCGTTATCGTCGAGTCTGGGCGGGTTGGCGACGCCGTCAGGTGCGGTGTCTCGGCCTCCAGACGCGCGGCCGTCGAGCGTGCTCGCCGCCCCGGTGCTCGCGCCGCCCCCCGGCATGGACATGACCATGGACCGCGCGCGGCCGACCAACGTGCCCAAGTCTGGTGTTCTCGCACCGCCAGACACGTCGCAGCATCATCCGCCGCCGCCGCCGCCTGTGCAGGGCCGCCCGTCGGAGCGGCCTGTCGCCGTAGCGGCGAGTCCGAGCACCGAGTTCAAGCCTAGCCATGCGTCCTGCGAAACGCAGCCACAGCCGCGGGCGGCGCCGGGCGAGGCGACGCCGGCGTGCAAGTCGGCAAGCCCCAGTGGTGGTGGTGCCCTGGGCGCCGCGCCTCAGCCCCCCGAGTCCGCGCGCGGCTCGACGACGACGGCGCGCAACGCCATCATCTTCCGGAGCTTTGACCAGAACGCCATTCGCGACAAGACTGTGCAGACGCAGATTCTCTTTGGTCGCAAGATGACCAGGCTCTCCAGTACGATCTAGCCAAGCAACTTGCCCCCCTTCCCCGCCCCCGGTCCCCTTTTGATTTGGCCCTCGTCCTATGCGCGAGCTCAGTAGCTAACATCTGATCTACCCCCTATAGAGCCAACCCCCGCCGCCCACTGCGTCATCACCGACCACCCGGCCCGCTACCGCGACCCCAAGACGGGCCTCCCCTACTACAACGCCTTTGCCTACCGCGAGATCCAGCGCCTGCACAGAGGCGACTACCGCTGGAGCCGCCTCCTCGGCGCGTGGGTCGGCAGCGGCACCCTCGCCGCCCGCGGCGTGCCTGACCGCTTCCTCTGCCCGGAGCCCGAGGAGGCGCGGAGGAGGAGGATGGAGGAGAAGGCAAAGGCAAAGGAGGAGGAAATTCTGAGCAAGGTGCAGCGGCAGGAGACCAAGCCGGAGCAGCCCAGTCCGGCCGCAGAAGAGGCCAATGCCCCGGCAGCCGCGGCCGGGACGGACCCCGCGGCCAAATCGGCGGCAATGACGGCAGCCGCGGCGCCTTCGCCAACCGGCGATTCAAAGGGCGCCACGGGGACCGCGCAGCAGCCCGGGTAGCAGGCGACGCAGTGATTGGGGGGTTCTTTCTTGTCCACGACGTCGGCGGAGAAGCGCGAGCCATCGTCCCGACTTCCCCCTTGCGGCAGACGTCGCCGATTGCCGCGAGTATATACATACATACCCATATAGACAGTGCAACATGTACGAGTAGGACTGGGACTAAAGATGAGATGATAGGGTTGCTGGCCTGGGACTTGGGCTGTCCTACCCCCTGATAATATCTCGACTCTTCCACCTTGTCAAAGCGAAACGAAAAGCAGAAAGAGTCCTTCGCCCGCTTTCCGTGATGCTTCCGTCTTAATGAGAACGCGCAAGATCACGAAAACGGTCGCTCGCTCACACACCACATCACTCAACAGGTCAAACTGAGCATGCCAGAGTCGCATAATATCCCTCGCATCATGCATTGACATGTCTTGGAATTTCGTCACAAAATTCATCATTTGATGCAATCGAAGATGACAAAGATCCATGCCCCAGGCACAGCACAACTTTCGTCCCATCTCCCATGCACCTCACCAGGAGCGTCTCCATATCGCCATTATTACCCCTTACTCTTCTCGTGCCTGGCTTCCAGAGGAAACTCACGGACCGCATGCTCCTTTAAGTCCTCCAATCTATCACGTCCCGGAGCCGAGCCTGCGCCGAAAACGGGCGAAGGGGGGGGTATCAAACTTCAAATGCAACTTCTTCCGATTTCATGTCCGGCCATGGCGCCTTCACGCTAATCAGAAACTGACAGTGACAAGTAAAAGATAAAGGGGTATAAAAAAAGGAATGGCAAGAACAAAATATGAGTGCGTGTCGTCTGGACGAGTGCAGAATCTACTGCAAACTGACATTTATCCTTCGCGTAACACGACGAATTTATGTGGGGGACATTGTCGGTCCTTCGAGATCATGCATTCTCATCGGAGAGGCCGAACAGAAAAGGGAGTCGTCTGAGAGGCATTTGGTTGAGGTTAAGATTGCCTGGTGCCGATGACGTCGACAATCCAGCCCAGTTCGCTGACAAAATCGTCCAGTCCGGTGTCAATGGTCGTGCCCAACAGATTGGCTCCGTTGATACGCTCGGCAGAGTCGGTTCGGGCCAAGAGGCGTGGAGAATGAAGGCCGCCCGTGGCCGCGCTCGACTCGGCCACCGTCTTCACCCCGTCGTGATGTTGGGGTAGACTGTAGCCCTTGAATGACTGTTCCGTGGAAGACAGACTCAGAGACGGCATGTGAAAGAAATGGTCCCCATCGTTGCACGACAAAACCTCATCTTCATCGTTGGAGTCATAAAAAGACGGCAGTTCGTCCTCGACTAGCTGGGGGGAGACGGGAGAGGTGACCATGCTCGAAGTGGCCGAGATGGACCAGCGAATCTGCCGATTGGTCTCAAGCTTGGGCAAGGGGGGACCGTGCGAAGAGTCTGAATTTTGCCTCTTCTCCGTCTCCTGCTGCTTGGTCGAAGGGCGCGGCGCGATGAGGGTGAGGGAGCTCGAGTTCGTAACGGTCTGGGCCATTGTGTCCGAGGATGTAGAGCGTTGAAAGGGGGGCGGCGATAGAGATGTGGCATACAGCTGGTTCTCGGAGGCAGCCGAAGTCGCAAAGTTGTCGTCGTCCACCTCCTCGGCCACGTCGTCGGGTATGCTCAAGTCCGGCGACAACTGACTGGCGACTGAGGGGGGTTGCGCCGACAAATCCTCAGATAAGAACTGGCGCAAAGACTCGGGGGATATGTCCCTCATCCGACCACAACTCTCATGGGGAGTGAAGTAGCGAGTCTGATCCGCAGTGGGCAAAAACTGGACCGAGTGTTCGGCGGCTTGGCCGCATGCTGAGGACTGGGTTGGATCGCGGACAGGCAGCCTCCGGGTGAATAGACGCTTCCACGAGGGAGTCGATGGGGGCGAACGGAGGGGCAAGCGGTGAGGGAGGAGCGCTGGGGCCGAAGCAAGACGACGAGCCGTCATGCCCGACGTCGAGTCGTGAGGCGGTCGCGGCGTCGAAAACTTGGCTTCTGGGTCCATTGTCTTGAAGCTCTCCTCGTGCAAGGAGTTGAGGGAGGCGCTGCGCTGGCGCAAACAACGTTCAATTGGAACAGTCAGGGTGTTGACAGTCTGGCCGGGGAGAAAGGGGCAGGCCGTCGTCCAAGGCTCCGCGGGATCGTACGTCTCGGTGGAGCCGTTGACCTCGTACTGCAGAAGGGCAGAGGAGGTTGTCAGCCAAGAAAGGGCAATGTCCGGGGGCGACGGGTCCTTACATAGTAGTAGTAGGTGGCGCCCATTTTGAGGCCCCCATTCCTGCGTAAGCCGTTTATGCTGGCCTCGTTGTCGCAAACAATGTCCTTGAAGGAATAGCATCCCCTCCACTGGTCGCGACCGCGGCGGACATCGCGATTCATGGCGTAGCACGCGGAAAAGTTGTCCCAGGAGCCAATGAGCTGGACGCATTGGACCGAGGGGTCCGTCTGGCTGGAAGTACGGTGTCAGCTTTGTGTCAGACAGAGACCTATGCGCTTCTGCACGCGTGAGAAGGCAGTAAGCGGAGACGGCCACTCCGCCATGGACTCGACGATTGGCGGCCGATTGGCGCGCCGCCAGCCTCGAGGCGGGCCCAGCGAGACAAGACGAGAATGGCCAGGAGATTGGATCTCCGCGGGATCTGTTGGGATAGAGTGTGGCATACCGACGAAACGCTGGTCGAGGGGGTCGACCCGCGTGCCTCGGGGTTGTGAGCGACGCAAGGGGTCATGGCCGACAAAGAACAAGAATAGACAAAATGGAATAACGTTTCATGATACAGGCGGAATTTTGGGTCTCGCGTGGCAGTGCATAAGCTTGCAGGGAAGAAGGAGCCGGTTGGTAAGAGGAATGGCAGGAAATGAAACGACGAGACGGATATTGAGAGCCAATGAAGCAAGGAGGACGGCGACACCCCTTTCTTCTTTGGGCATGAAGAGGCAGAAAGGCGGGCAACGCTATAAAAAGACGTGGAAGGGGAGAAGAAAAGAACGAGGACCGAAGACAGGTCAAACTCACAGGAGAAAAGTAATGAGAGTCGTTGTAGGGTCCATCCTGTTCGGCGTGTAATTGCATGTATGTATGCATGTGCCTGCCTCGGATCTGCCTCACGCCCAGCGCCAGGCTGCTGTTCCCTTGCTCAAGGCCAAGATCAAGGGTTCGGTCGGAATGAACAGTCGGTGGCCGCAAGACGGTTTCAATCAGCGAAGGGTCGGGGCGCGGAATGACGGTGGCATGGCTGAAGAGTCGAGACGGCGGGTAACCGGAATTGACCAATCAATGACGGCTGGAACAGAGCGATGATGACCTGAACAAGCGCCGCAATAGGCGAGGGAAGCTAACAGTCGAGTCGAGAGGGAGGGGGGAAAGGGGGATGGCGTCGCCTAAAATAAAGCAAAGAGATGGTCGATAAGACGGGAAGGCGAGAGCGTTTGGGTTCGGCGGTGGAGAGTCCGGGGGAGCCGTTTGTCGCAGAGTGCGTGCCACGTCCTCGTCCTCCCTCGCCGAAGTGGAGGCGGATGAGTGTGAGCTGAAGTGAGTGAGGCGACGAGGCAACGGTGAACTTTGGCGCCCCTCCCTGTGGTAGGTATAATAAGGGGATGTCTGTTCCCGCTGCAGAGTGTCGATAGCGGGCTACGGAAGCGCGGCGGCAAGCGTTCCGTCTGACAGCCGTGTTGGTGGTGAGGATGTAGGGAGAGGTGGCGGTGGTGAGTAATGAGACGGGCGATGATGTTTCTTAATATTTGGCCAGACGAGTATCCGTGCTTGCCACTTGCGGGCGAATGGTGGTACGTGTGGTGGCCGGCTGAAGTTGGCAGCGTCTGCGTTGAGAAAACGAGTCAGCCATGCCATGGATGTGACGTGATGTGACGGATGGGGATTTTGATTCATCCCTGGAAGCTGAAGAGGCGTCGCAGATTGGCTGTCTCGTCAGCTCTTCTCCGTGGACCGAAGGCTCCGCGCCTGTACGGTTGGAGCGCTGCCGTAGCGCGGCGAGCTTATTAAATGGGCATGCTTGTGCTGCTGCTGACGGAAATGATGGAAAGGGACGTGACATGGGCCCGGGATTGGCCTGTGGTTGACGATGTTGGATGGGCGGGTGGATGGATGAATGTGGGATGGTGTTTCGCCCCTCCATGGTGCTGGGAGGGGCCAGTACAGGGGGTACGATGGTGCGGTTGCCCAGAGACTCGGCTGATGGATAGCAGGAAGCAAGTACAGTAGGGTACAGTAGGGTACAGTAGGGTACAGTAGGGTACAGTAGGTACTGCGTTCGGTCGGGATGGTGTGTTGTTGGCAAGTGCGCCTTCCACTAGTGCCTCTGTAGGTCGGCAAAGGCAAGCAGGTACCCTGCGATAGGCTGTTAGGAAAGAAGGCTAGCAGACCGCAACTACCGAAAGCGCCAGCACCAACAAGCAAAGCAAAGCAAAGCAAAGCAAAGCAAAGCAAAGCAAAGCAAAAGCAGCACTCTTACAAGACAGTACTGTACACGTTGGCTCCGGTAAGCTCTTTGCAGTCATCAGCCAACTAACTGCCCACGAGTCCCAAGACGTCATGACGCGGGCGGGCACCTGACATTGACCTGCTGTAGGCAATCACTTGCGGTTAAGTAAGCAGGGCAGCCTCAAGCCGTGTCCGGGGCACGACATGCGGGTACGGGCAGGACCCGTTAATGTGTCATCGACGGAGCACCAAGCCCGTGCCATGTGCATGTAGCATCTGAGTACTGTATCCACAAAGTACACGCTGGAGCTGTGGGCCTTGGGGGACGGGAAAGAGATTGACAAGGGGGCCTGCCGCCCACATCTACCTGCCTCCGCTTTGTGGGCGATCCCGAGGACCCAGAAAACAGCGGCAGCATGACAGCATCTGTTTCCTTGTTGCACAACAGCACGGCCCTTCATTTCAATGTTGATTTGCCTGCTGTAGGGCCCTGGTCATCGGCGGCCCGCCTGCCAAACAGATTGTTGATTCGCCGTCGCCCCTTTTTCTTTTTTCCCCTTTTCTGACTTCTTGAATACTTCCCTTCTGGTTCCCATGCTCCCGTCCCCGGCTGATTGGGCTGCAGCCCGGCCCCCGCCGCGGCGTCGAGCCAATGATGATGCTACAGGGCAATCTGTATTTATCATGCCGCCTGCAGACTACTGTAGGGGATTGACCAAAAGTAGGCAAGGCTGCCCTCTTCCTTCTTCCACGGATCCCACGTAATTAATTACTGTTGGTCTGTATCCGTAGATGTGTGTAGATGTCCCCTGGCAGTTCCTGGATGTGGCTTTTCAGCTTCTTGAAAGACTCTGCTCCAGCCAATTAGTTATCTACAGTCCTGTATCCGTACACGAGCCAAGCCGACGTGTATTCGTAGATGGACGCATGCATGCACGTGTGTATGATACACGCTGTCGTTACACACACATGCACGGCATCCATCCATTGCACAGCAGCAAAGAACTTACCGACAGTACGAAGTAGACGCCAGCCACTTCTTTTGCTCCAGCTCGACAGGCATTGGCGCCCGCCACATCCACGTCACCACCTTTCCCACAAGGCAGCAGCAAGCGAGAGAGGAACAGAGGTGGAGGCCTTTTCCCAACTACCCCCGACAAACCAAAACATGTCGTTGTCGTACATGTGCTCTTGCCCGTCTCTGACCCGAGCATCTCATATCTCATATCCCGTACCCCGTATCCCGTACCCCGTATCCCGATGCTCGTCCGCCTGCCTGCAGGCGTCATGACCGGTGGCAGCTGACACGCACATACCGGTAGGCCACAGGGGAGCGACTCCCGTCCAATCTCTTCCTCTCCCTGCCGGCCAGCTGCCGAGCTATACACGCGTGTATATGTATGACCGCCTCTCCCTCCTTCTCTCGGGTCGCCATGCTGCTGCTGCTCCCGACGCTGCCCGTCACTTCAAAGCCTAGACGCGGTCTTCTCCATCTCCACTCGCTCATCTCTCCTCCATGCGGGCGACCCCGATGGCAATGGCCCGTGCCACCTCTCCACGAAGCGAGTGCGGGCCCGTTGCAATATTGCGTGCTCCTCGGGCCAGCAGCCATTCTCTCTCCCGTTCCGCCGTCGTGTCTTTGCCTCCTCCCACACATATACATGCATACCGGTACATGCGCCCAATGCACATGCATCCGCACAAAGTAAATGCGTGACCGCATACATGTACATGTATTTGGCCCATGGCGCCGCGCCGCGCGGAATCACCAAGAAACAAGAGACACAGAGAGAATCATCGTTGTACAAGGACTACAAGGACACAAGGTGCAACGCTCTCATCGCCTCGGCCGGCGAAATTAGCTCCCGTCGGCTTGGAGCTGACTTGAGTCCCGGACACAAGCTTGACTCTGCCCGTTACCCTCGACTCTTCAGCCCGGCCTAGTTTCTCTGCGGCTGAGCAGGCCGGCCCGCGTCTCATATACCAAGCAGCTGTCGTGCCACCGCTCGCTGATCCTCCCGGGCACGGGCGAAAAGAGGCGAGAGACCGTTTCAGGTCATGTATATTACCATGGCGAGGTTCTGCTCAAAGCCATGCTGGTGGACGACGCTTCGTCCAATATCTGTTTCCTTTCCCATTCTCCCATCTCACACATTCTCTCACCTGCTCTCTCGCAAGCCATCCATCGGCAAAAGCGAGTGACGAGCCCATTCCAGCACAGCAAGATGTAGTCGACAGACGACGTCCCTTCTGGACCGCTCGTCTGCGCGGCGGTTCCCTCGCAAGCCGCCCGACACCAAGCAGCCTCGTGTGTTTGGCGCGACCCGAAGCCAGCAGCACTTTGGGTGGAGCATCTGAGAGAGCCGTCGCATCGCCTCCGCAAGCCTCATGTGCAATCTGTGGTGCGAGAGCAAGCAGATGAGGTATGATGCTGGTCCATCCACCATGATTCCAGAGTTTCTCTACTCCCAACGCCACAATCCCAGCCAGACCCCTACCTATAAGTCCAGTCATCAAAAGAGGGAATCTAGTCCCCAGGCGCACATTGTACACATGAAAAAAGTGCCCCTGCATCCCTCGGAGCCCTAGACAGGTCTGTCCGTCATGAAGGAGAGGAGGGGCGGGGGGCGCTGAAGAGCCGAAGAGGATATGTAAGTGACGAGCTATTAGTATGGCTTCGGGTCGTTTTGGCCACGCCGTCATCCAAAAGCTGCCGCCTCGGACCGGGTTGCCGAGAAACAAAGCGAATGTAATTAGGTCTTCCCAACATAGGTGGAGAGGATAAGATCATACAGGGGTCCCGGGACTGGGACAAGAGGTGTTTGCCAAATAGCCTAGTTATGGCCGTCGTCTATGTCGTCTTGGCGGAGGCACGCTGCCTGTCAGCGAGCCGGTCCGCGCGGCTGCCCTTGTACTTGGTGCCCAGCAACGAGTCCCAAAAGGTGAAGAAGGGCTGCGAGAAATTGGCCTTGATGCCCCACGTCTGATGGTGGATGTCGTGGTAGGCGGCATTGTTGCTCGTGATGAGCTGGAGGGGATCCCAGGGGAAGGCGTAGCCGCAGTGGTCGTCGATGGTCTTGATGGTAGAGAAGGTGAAGAAGCAGGTGCCCTGGCGCAGCGTCATGCCCGTGACCTTGAAGGCCATGCCAGCGCCGAGGGTGTCGAGCAGGAATCCCTCGATGGGATGGTTGTACAGGGCGCCGTAGGCATAGGGGACGTAGAGGCGGTGGTGCCTCGAGTGAAAGGTAGCTATACGGGGAGAGCAACGTCAGCAGGGATGCCGCAGACAAGACCTGGAAAAGACGGTTCGGCCGCGCTTCGACTTACTGTACATCCAGCGGTTCATGTGCATGAGGCGATGGAGAAAGTATTGCCACGTGTCAAGGATGAAGATGGCAGTAAAGAACTGCAGGGCCGGGATCAGGACGTGGTAGATGAGCTTGGCAGCCGTGAGCTCCCAGGGGGCAAAGGCCGGGGCGGCGGCGTCAGAGGTGGCCAGGAAAGGATAGTAGCCGCCAGCGAGGGCGCCGGCCAGCAGAGGATGCGAGGCGGACATGTTCTTGGAGATGGCCGAGGCATTGAGGCCGAGCAGGCCGAGCAGGCTAGGCAGGGCACGCTGAGCGAGACGAAGGCGGGTGGCCCAGACAGCGACATCGTACTCGGCCTTGCCGAACATCTCGGGGGGTTCCGTCATGGCGAGGGCGGCGCCGGTGACGACCTGGATGAGCTGCTGGACGACAACGTCGCGGGCGACCTCGTAGCGGCTGGCATGATTGCGGCGGGTGATTTCGTCGGGGGTGTGGAGGCGGTACTGGGGGAAGAGGTCGAGGACATCGACGACGTGGAAGGACAGCGACATGACCCAGTAGACGACGACGGGCAGGACGAGGGAGAGCCAGAAGTCGGATATCCAGGCAAAGACGTCGCCCGTGGGTTCGAGGCTATACGAAGGAAGGGACGGCAGGGCCGATTCGAAGAGGCTCTGGTTGGCCATGGCGGCGGATAGCAAGGAGAAAGCTGCAGAGGGGCCAGGAGACGTTTGGTTGACCATGACGGCGCCTCTGGCCTGTGTTTGTTTGTTCGGTGGATCGATGCGCCGCTGCGTTGGTGGGGGAGGCCGGATCAGGCCGGGGAATCGAGGCGGCGGCGGCGTCGGCTGGGCCGATTGGACGCGTTGGTCGACTAAGGAGCGGGCAAGGAGCGGGCTGCCTGTCAATGGCAGTGACGACGGCAGTGTAACGGGACGATATCGGTGCGAAGACGCGTGAGGTAACAGCCGTCGATTGAGCGTCTCGGGCGAGGATAGTCGATAAAGTCGTCGGGACAAGGAGGATAGATGACGCGGGCGACGCAAACGGACCGAGGGAAAGGCAAGGGAGGAGAGCAAGAGTCAAGGCGACGAGGGAAAGTGAGGGCCAACGGGGAAAGGGAATGACGATGAGTGAGAAGGGCAAAAGGAGGCGGAGAAGTGGGAGGACGAGGGTGAGAGGACGAGGATGAAAAGGAATTGGGACGAATTTAGGGGAGGAGTGGCGGCGTCTTTCTGTGTGGCGTCGTCGTATGTCGCGGCAGTATCGGAGGCTCGGATTTGGGGTCTATGGAGCCGGTGGAGCCAGGCCGGCAAGCGCCCCGAGGTACTGTACGGCGTACTTTACAGTGGACAGTAGGGACGCGTGGTTGAAAAATACAGGGCGGTTTCTGGTTGCTTTTGCGAGTTGGCGGAGGACCCCCTTTTCTTGCCTTTTTGCCTTTGGTTTGGTTTGTTGTTTTACCTTTTTGCCTCGTCTTTTCTGGGGAACCTTTCTTTGCATTGATTTTTCCGTTCCTGAATTCTGCTCCTCCTTTTTTCTCCGATCTCTTATCAATCTCGGCTGCCAAGTGTCCCGGCTCGACGACATCACGCGCGACATCAGGCCACCCATTCACCACTAGGTACTCTCTGCTCCTTGGGTACGCGTATATGGGACGCGAGCGCGCATATGCACGTGTAGACGAGTGCCGTCGGTACGAGTTGCCGTGGTGAGAGGCATTTCTATGCACGCGCCGCAGACATCATCGCACCCTCCTTAGTAAGCCAGCCACCACATAGGTAAGGTAGCCGGGCCAAGGAGACGGCCGAGACGACTCTCGACTTTGCCCGCCTCCACTCTCCAGAGTCCGCCCAGAAAAACGTACTAAAATTCGCATTCATATACGTCCTGTCACCATGATGAATTTCTCCCCAGTAAATCCTCCATAGACAATCCCTTTTTGGTACTGGTGGTTGGTGGCCTGGTCTTGAAGGTATAGGTACCTAGCTCACGCCTCTACTCCGCCATCAGCCCTCACACATGCCACCGGAAGCCCGCCAGTCGACAGTAGCAGTACAAATAAAGGCGCCTAACAATTGAAAGGTAAAAAAAAAGTAACCCCCCACCATCCATGCCGCCCCTCATCCCACTGCTATACCACACTTTTTTCCACTCCTCTCTCCCTCTCCCTCTCTCCTACCCGCCATCGTCTCTCCGTCTCTCATCTCCACTCACGCAGATTCTTTGCCTCTCCGTCGCCAGTCTCCTCTCCTCCATCGCCTTTGTTGTAAAGCCGTCACCATGATCATCTACAAGGTAACGCAACCTCGCCCCCGCCCCTCTGTTTACCCCGCCGTGGCCTATTTTCCCCGCGGCTTCGTCCTTGTCCGTCGTTCGCTTCGACGTATTCCGCGGAATACTGACACATGTCCTCCAAATAGGACATCCTCACCGGCGACGAGGTCATCTCCGACTCGTACGACCTCACGGAGATCGACGGCATCGTCTACGAGGCCGACTGCGCCATGATCACCGAGGGTGCCGTCCAAGTCAGTATGTCGCATATCCAATCTTCCATGTTGGCTCTGCCAGGCACGCACGACTGTCCGCCCTCGAGTCACGCGATGCGATGCAACACTCGTCTCTCACGCCGCGTGCTCTTTGCACTTGCCCCTTCGCGCCTGCTTGTCCTTTTCCCCTGGCGCTGACCCTGAGGCTCCCCGCTCTCTAGACACCGGTGCCAACGCTTCCGCCGAGGGTGGCGATGACGAGGCTACTGAGGATGCGGATATCAAGGTCAATAACATTGTCCACTCCTTCCGCCTCCAGTCTACCTCGTTCGACAAGAAGGGCTACCTCGCCTACCTCAAAGGTGCGACACCAACCCATGGCTACACATCTCCAGGCGCCCCAGCGCCGCTAACGTCGCCATGCTCTTCTCAGGCTACATGAAGGCTGTCAAGGCCGCGCTCCAGGAGAAGAAAGCCCCCGCCGAGACCATCACCGCCTTTGAAAAGGGTGCCCAGACCTATGTCAAGGAGAAGCTACTTCCCAACTTCAAGGACTTTGAGTTCTACACCGGCGAGTCCATGAACCCCGACGGCCTGTAAGTCTCAACCCTCTGCCTTTTGCCTCGCCATAAGAACGCGTGCTCATGTACATGGCCAGCGTTGTCCTCCTCAACTACCGCGAGGACGGTGTTACCCCATACATCATTGTCTGGAAGCATGGCCTCACCGAGATGAAGGTGTAAGGCATATGCTCTTGGTCGAATCTTGCATATGCCTCTGATTTGTTGGGGCGATGGTTTTAGAAAATGCCACACGTTGTCTGCTTTCCCCCGCGAGCGCCAGGCGCATCTCACAGCCCACTTTAGCAAGATGAGCGTAAAAAAAAGAGACAAGGAGGGAGACAGTTGCCGCTCCTGACCACCGCGCTCAAGCCCGATTAGAGGGTACAGCCATGCATGTGCGCGCGCGGAGACGATTGGCCAAGTAGGAGACGTTCCGACAGATTGTCCTTCAGAATGCTGGCCTGGTAGACATGGGAATTGGCGGCGGTGCACTGTCGTCGCTTCCGCCGACAACAAGAGACTGGGTCGAGCCGTCAACCCCGGGCTTCTTCTTGGGCGGCGGGGGCGGGGGCGGCTTCTTCTTCCCCGGTAAACCAGGACCCGTCGCCGGCGAGCCAGAATCCTCGGTCGTAGTCTGCTGCTTGTTCACATAGGCCCCGACCTTGTCCATGACGCCGTATTTGTGGTTGAGGTTGTTTGTGCGCTTGATGCCAGCCTCGACCTGGTCCCCGTGCCGCTGTCTAAAGTTGTTGGCCGTGCTGGCGGCGGCTTTGGCGTCGGACAACGACACCGACGAGGGATTCTTGTGAAAGGCCGAGGCCGTCTTGAGCGTCGCCTGCTTCTGTGCCCACGTCGTGCCTTGGCTCGGAGGAGGCGTGGCTGAGGAGTCCGACGGCATGCCCAGCGTGGAGAACTTATCCTGGAGCCCATTCAGGCGTGAGCCGAAGCCGCCCCCGCCGCTTTTGGTCCCGACTGCCGCGGCGGATCTCGGGGGGGGAGGCGAGGCACTGGGGCTGGGGCGTCCGATGCCAAGCCCCGGCACCGACACGCCGGCAGCGCCCAGCCTGGTGACGGCCCCCTGGTTCAGGTAGCGGTCGGGCGAGTGGGACGAGCCGGCGCTTGGCGGCGGCGGGGGGCTGTGCCTGGCTCCCCTCGGGGGCAGTCGCGGAGGGAGGCTCGGCGGCGCGGGCTTGGTCGCCGGGGCACCAGCGTACGAGGCCGCAGGGCTTGCTCTGCCGTCTGCGCCATCTCTCCGGCCGGGCGGCGGGGGCAGATGATCGGTCCTGAGCCCGGTCGTGTTCACCTGGTACGGTCGGCTCGGCTGCGTCGCCAGCTGCGTCTCCGGCGACTGGTCGCGCTGCGCGGCCGAGGCAGCGACGGGCCTGCGGGCGGCGGTCGAAGACGGCGGCGGCGGCGGCGGCGGTTGGGCAAGGCCGGAGCCGGTGCGTCGCGGGGGTGGGGCAAAGCCCGAAGGGTCCTTGAGGTCGGAGAGGGGACGGGAGACGTGGTCGGCACGGTTCGCCGGCGGCGACGACGACGAGTCTTTGTTGCGGCCCATTAGGCTCGACTGCGGCAGGCGCGTGAGTGGCTCGGACGGGCGACGGGAATTGGATGGGGGATTGAAGAACGCACCACCTGGCCCCTGAGCGTCGTGCCCTCCTTCTCGGGATGCCATCCATTCTTGACAAAGTCTTTGAGGTTTGACATTGTCCCTTTGGCGTTTGCCCGTTGGCGGGTCGTTGTCTGCCTCGGTGGTTATGTCTGCAGGGGAATGGAGGGATTTGGGAGACCCGCTCTGTTGTCAGAACTACCTACCTACAAAGTGCGGATGCAAACTATAGGTACCCGGTATAACCAAGTATTTTGCTGCGTGTACCTTGGTAGGTATGTACTGTGAAAAAAAGGCCTATAGTAATACGTGGTAGGATGGTATCTAGATTATAACTTGCTTCATAATCCACATACTCTCTTCACATCTCAGGAGTATTTCAATTCTCGCATGTACTTAAAAATTCCACGTAAAACGTACATGATTTATATTGCAAGCCGAGCCGTGAACTTGGTCTTTACGCGAAAGGGTGTTTCTCCTCAGGTAGCCAAGATTCTATAGCCTTGGTGCAAGGTGGACTCTCAGGTCGTTTTTCATCCATACAGTATACGTTTTCTGGTCCAGCCACTCGGATTTGGGTTCGGCAAGGGTCATGTCAAAGCTGAAAAGGGTGCGTGCTAGGGCCAAGCGCGCCACAGCGGGCCCAAAGCTATTCATTTCCCTCAGCTCGACACTTTTCGGCGACGGGCTCATCTGGTCCTACTCACCTCTTGCCGAGGCAGTTCCTCGTTCCAGCTGAGAAGGGCCGGTGCGATTCCAGACGGTCGCCCGGCTTTCCATTGGCGCCCAGGAAGCGCTCAGGCTCGTAGCTATATGGATCAGACCAGTTGTCCCCGGAATGATAGACTGCGTAGTGCCAGCAGGCGACGTTGGTCTTGGAAGCAAAGTCAGCACGCTCCGAAAAAGAGATCCAGCTCATCCACCAACATTTTGTGGAATGTCATGCCCTGCAATGCTTGCGCCGCCCTTGGGGACGACCCGCGGTAGGCCGACGGGGACCGGCGGGTACCGGCGAAGGGCTTCATTGATACAGGCTCGAAGGTACGGCAGCCGCTGCACGGAGAGCACTGTGATTTCCGCGTCCGATTTGAAAGTCGAACGCACCTCGTCCACCAGCCTTTGCAAGGCGTTTGGGTTCTGCAGCAGAAGGTAGGTGATGCCAGACAGCAGCGCCGATAGCGTTTCCGTTCCGGAGGCGATGACCACTCCAGCATTGCTGATGGCGTATTCCAAGTCGGGTTGCTTGATCCGGAACCGACAAGAAAACTGTCAGTTTGCGGCATCAAGCCTGGGAGTTTTGCCTCGCGACTGTGGTATCATACCGAGCCGTCTTCGTTCAAGAGCCTGAGGACCATGGCATTACCCCGGCCGAAGCGCTTATCCACAGATTTCGTCATCTTGTTCACGAGGGGAGAAGCGACTATCTTGATGCATAACCTCACCAGCCCGACGAAAGGCATGATAATCCAGTCGATTTTGAGGTACTTCAGGGCCTGGGCAAGAGAAAAAAACTTGAACATCTGGTAAACCAACGCGAGCATAGGGTGGTTACGGGTAGTTTCCAGACAGCCGAAAGGGTTTCCAAGAACCAAGTCACACACGACGTCGAAGGCGAGCCAGTTATACCAGTCCGTGATGACGACTTGGCACTTGGTCTCGGGTGTATCGACTCCCTCTGTGGCGCACTGCTCGCGCAGCTTTCTCGTGAAGACGTCCACATATCCCTTGATGATGGAGTCTTGATTTTGAAGACTAAAGCCAGGTGCCAGTCGACGTCGAGTCAATACGTGGTTGTGCGCGGTCTCAGTAAATATCTGGGGGCTGACCACCAAATCGTGATAAAAATGTGTCGACTTAGTCATCTCGTCGCTTCCACTAGAACGGCCTGATTCACGATTGTAAATTTCTTCCCATGCCCGCGGGTCAGTGAAGGCGAGATCGTTGTAGGCGACGCGGACGACTGGGCCGTACTGGTCGTGGAGATGCTTGACATGGAAGACCAGGCTGCCACGGAAGAGGTGGTACAGAAAGGGCAAGCATGTGGCGCGATGCAGGAGTGGCCCCGGAAACTGGCGAAGCGGATGGAAGTAGAGGTTGTAGGTGACGTGTTGTATCCAGTAGAGCACAAGCTGTTGCGAGTTGGATATTAGCCGCTCAGAGTCTGTGCCAGATTGAAGCGCAGCAAGCATCGTCATACCACGACGGCGGCGGCGGCAACAAGGCTGCCGCTTCCCGCATTACTCGTCAACTGGGTGTAATAGTCGAAAATCATGGCGACGAGGAGAGGCAAAGACTGCATCCGATGGGTGCCGACGTGGATGTGCTTCAACGTCAACGGGATACACCGCCATTTTTAAACAGACTTGTAAGCCTTGCGTATAAGGACAGGGCAAGTGTGTGAGCTGGTACTGCGGTCGGCATTGCTTCTGCCACATGACACGGCCAGGAGTTGCATCGAGATGAGGGTCCGATGGCGAGAGGCCTCGGCCAGCAGAGTCATGCCCTGCAGTGCCCAATGCATCGCCCATCAACGCTTTCCGTGAAGTCGCCCAGCCTTTGGAGGCGGTGGCGGCTGTGGGCTGCAGCCTGCATCGACACGTTGAGCGTTGGATACATCATCTCCTGGCGCTCGTGTATGCCGAGCCAGATGGATGCGACTGCTTCACAAGCTCTGGTTGAGAGTGCCAGCATCGGTCGGAACCAAGGACGGGTCATCACATGATAAGTCACGTGCTAAGCCGACTTTCCGAATTAGGACCGAACTCCTGGATTACCTAAGGATTTTCAGTGAACCCAAGTACTTTGTACCTCGAAGCTGTTGATGGATGGCCTCGTCTCTTGTTGGCGACGACACGGGATCCAGCAGTCTCATCCCATCTCCCTCACTGGCTCGCGAACCTTCAGCCGTCACCGCCCCAGCCCGACCGAGCTATCACGTCCCTTCGACTTGAGGCTGCCTCCATCCGATCCCGTCCTGTTCATCCGTCCATCACGATTCTCATCTACACAACGCGTCGCGTCTCCCTCGGCGCGACGGCGACCATCAACCTCGTCTTCTTCCTTCCATGTCTGCCTCAAACAGCTCCGACTATGAGCTCCTGACTGAGCACTTTAGCTATCCTCCCGTTGTACGTCGCCCTTCCCCTCCCCGGCCCCGCCATCAATCTCCCGACTTTGTCTCTCCCTCGGCTAACGCTTGCTTCTCTCTTCCCGAGCAGTCCCTCCTCGACGACATCATAAACACCGTCAACGTCCTCGCCGACCGCGCTCTCGACTCAGTCGAGCGCCTGCTACTCTCCATCCCCCCAAACAAGCTCGGCTTCCCCCAAAAGTCCCGTCGCAATGGCGATGCCACCCCCGCCGACGACGACGACGCGGCCGCCGCGGCCAAGCGCGAAATCGAAAACGGCACCCACCAGCTCGAGACGCTGCTCAACGCCTCCATCGACAAAAACTTTGACCTCTTTGAGCTCTACACCATGCGCAACATTCTCACCGTCCGCCCTCAGGATCGGCCCTACATGCGCCTTGCACACTACGACGGGCTGGACTTACCCCTGGCCTCGTCGCACAGTCCCCAACATCAGGTGGATCGGCCGACGGTCGAGTCGGTGACGGCCCTTCGCCGCCGCCTCCAGGCCAGCCAGAAGCTGCACGTCGCGCTCGAGGCCGAAAGAGTACGCAACGACGCTCTGCTGCGCAAGCTCAAGGCTCTTCTGGGCCTGCGCGACCAGGCGGAAGGAGAAGGGGACGTAAAAAAGGAAGACCGAGGGGCGCGGGACGAGCTCCAACCCAGCCCCTTTGGCTTCCTCGGCGACAAGGGCAACCTCACCGACGGCGGCAGCGAGCAGCCCATAACCACGACGACGGAGTTTGCCCTCTCCCAGCTCCAGGCCCTGCGCTCCCTCTCCGTCTCGCTGCGAACCCTCCTCCCCGACCTCGGCACCGCAGACCCAGCCACAGGCCAAGAGAGCGATGGCGACGACGACGACGAGGCGGTGGCGGCGGCGTCCAATAAGCAGCAGCGAGCGTCGTCGGACAAGCCGCATAGCAAGTCGTGGCGCCGCGAGCGCGCCGAGTACATCGAGGCGTCGTCGCGCAAGTACCTCGAGCGCGTGGGCGGGCTCGAGCTCGGCCCGCGCGGCGACGTGCGCGACGGAGAGTGGCCTGGCGAGGGCCGGCGGCTGACGCGTGACGAGGTCGACGGCCTGGAGCGCACGGCGGCCGTGCTGGGCGGTGGCGGTGGCGGTGGAACGGGAGGATTGGGCGAACGCAGGCGTGCCGAGGACGCCATGGACGATGATGACGCGCCCGCCACCGGGGGCGGGTGAGCTCGGCAAAAGAGTGGCGTTGGGAGTCTCGCCGGGGGTTCTTCCTAACCCCCCATCTTTTCTTGCGCTGCTTCGGAGAGACAAGAAAAGTGACTTGTCGGATGTGGACGGAAGAGGGAGGATATACCAACAGGACCGGGTTTTTTGTCATAGACGAGGCGTGCGGCGTCAATTTGAGTACTTCTGATGGGCAACGACGCGAGGCACAAGGGATCAAGTGTTTCTCATGATTTAACGCCCCCCTCTCCCCTTCTTTATCGTCTATATTTTGAATGTAATGATTTCGGATAGGGAGAATCCACGCCCTTGTTGTACAAGAGATAACTGAATATGGCATGTCGAGGCCATGCAACAAGAGGCCAAGAGTTGAACTGGGCAGGTGGCTGGAGCGATCATCACGCAGCCGTTGATTCTCCCAATCGCGATTCGACTCCGGACAAGGCGCGGGACGACACGCCCCCCTTGCCACCCCGTGAATGACCCATCGTCATGAAGCCTCGCGCAGCCGCTCCTGCAGCTCAAGGGGCAACTTGTCCCAGTCGAGCAGGCCCTCGCCCCCAGCCAGGTGCCAGAAATGATGGCGCCAGTAGCGGTCACCGTCCAGCCCGCCGCGGCGCTCGGCCGCCTTGTGCGCCAGCGTGGCGTTGACCACGCCGCGCGCGTCCTCGCGGCGCTCCGCAGCCACCAGGGCGCGCACCAGGTCCGTCAGGCACGGCAGCGACGTGACGGGCCGCTCCGCGCGGGCCAGGTCTGCAAAGACGGCCATGGCGGCGTCCGTGTCGCCCATGGCGGCGTGGGCGCTGGCCACGCGCTCCCACAGCGTCTGGTCGCCCTGGCTGATGCCGGTGAGACCGTGCTCGCGCAGGATGGCCTGCACGGCGCCGGGCGTGGGCGGGTCACGCGCGAGCGCCCGCTCGAGCAGGATGGTCACCACGTGCGGTGTGGCGGCCAGGCCAGCGCCGCGCATGTGGCGCTGGACCGCCGCGATGGCCTCGTCGGCGCCGCCATTGGTGAGCGACGCCACGGCGTAGAGCATCTTGCCGTACGTCTCAGCGTTGGCGCGCAGGCCAGCAGCCTCAATCTCAGCCAGCACTTGCTGCACGGCCAGCACCTGCTCAGCCGCCGACGCGTTGTGCATAGCGCCAAGCACCTCCTCGAGGATAATGGTAAACGTGGCCGCGTCGGGCTCGACGCCGCGGCTGTTCATGGTGCGCAGGAGGCGCTGGACGTCGTCGGCCGCGTCGCTGCGGAAGCTCTGGCGTATGAGGACGTTGTAGGTGCGCACGTTGGGCTCGATGCCGTGGCGGCTGGCCCAGGCGAGGACTTCGCTGGCGGCCTTGACGTCGAGGCGGACGAGGCCCTTGAAGACGGCGTTGACGACTTCAATGCTGGGCTGGACGGCTACGGCGGCCGCGCCTTGGTGACCCTTTTGTTCGACGGCCTGCTTCCACAGCGCCATCATCTCGGCCAGCGCTCGCAGGCCCGCCTGGGGCCTGCCGCCCTCGATGAGGCCCGAGATGCGCTCGGTCCAGACAACGGTGTCGAGCCTCGTGCCCGACTCGACGAGCTTGTCCCAGAGCGCCGTGACCTTGTCCGTCTCCTTGCAAACCTTCCAGCCATGCATCATAGCCGTGTACGACTTGATGGTCGGCTGCACCTGGATCTCGTCCATCAGGTGGAGCGTCTCCTGCAGCTTGGCCGGCCGCCGCACGGCGCACCACACGAAGATGCAGAAGTCGAGGAAGTCGGGTTCCTCGCGCATCTGCCGCACCAGATGCGGCCGCTGAGCCATGCGGGCCCTGAGGTCCTGCCAGATGGAGATGATAGCACCCGTGTTGCGGGACCGGTAGGCGCCGCGGAGCTGCTTGTGAAAGGCGCTGAGGCCCGACGATGCTGGCCCACCGGGACGCCTTGGGTTTTCCGGGCCGGCATGTCGCCAGGGTGCATCGGCGTCTTGCAGCATGGCCGAGGCCTGCGCCCATTGCGCGAGCACGTAGGCCTGGAGTTCCGTCACCTTCATCGGCGGAACGCGCATCTTATCCTCAAACACACCTCTCACGTAGGTCTCGTCGGGAATTGCCTGCTGTAGGGCGGTCGCGACGAGTCTCAGCAGGGGCGCGGCCTCGGCTGCCTTGTCGGGCTTGGTGAGTCGGGGGTCAGACAGGACGGCAACGGTAGCCAGGAGCCCCGGCACGAGCGCGAGAGCCTCCTCGGTGCGGAACTGGATAAGGATGCTGGAGAGGGCCTTGGTCGCGGGCGCGATCTGGCTGGAGCCCCGATTCTCGGCGTCGACAACGGTCAAGATCTCGTCGGCCGAGGGCAGGACGAACCGCAGGGGGGCCTTGTGGCCTTGACTGACGCGCCTGAGCTGGGAGATGTGCTTCCACAAGTCGAGAAGCTCCTGGAGGACGGGACTGGCACTGGGGTCGGGCGACGAGAGCTCCTCTGTGATGAGGCGGTGGCAGAGGCTGGACACGAGCTGGCCGCGAAGACTCAGCTCCAACTTGCCGATGCGGGCGCATATCCGAGACAGGTCGATGCTGACGCCGGTGAGGCCCTCTCGGGCCACCGTATCGCAGATGCCGGCAAGAAAGTCCATGGTGCAGATCCACAGGTGCCTGGGTATCTGACCGCGCATATCCTCGAGGTGCGGCCAGATGTCTGCCTGGAAGCGCCTGAGCTTGTCTCGGGCCCCGGCATTGCTCCTGTCCAGCCCCTTCATCTTGGTGGCGAGGTCCCATTCGGACACGGAGGACCGACGAGAGACGGTGCCCGCGCCGGTGGGCTTGCGCACAACATCCTTAAAGATGGCGACGGCGGCCTCGTCGAGGGCACTGGGAGGCCTCTGGAAGCCCGCCGACCTGGAGCCGAGGAGTCGGCGGCGGCGGGTGCTGGCAAGCTCAGCGGGAGGGGCGCCGGCCTCTACAGCTCGCTGTGGGGATTCTGACGGCGTCGTCGCCTCTGACGGCAGGTGAGCCGGGTAGGAAGAGAAGCAGGCGGCGTGAGGGCGCCCCGTGGCGGCCACCAGGTGCATCCGCGAGGCGCATCGGCCGCACACGTTTCTCGACACGTACATGGTGCCGGACGGGGGGGACCGAGGCCCGGGAACGGACAATAAGAGAGTATTTCAGCGTTGGGACTGGTCGGTCGGTCGGCGCTGGGAAGCTCTGCAGTTGTAAAGTACGTCGGCCATTGTCGGGCTGGAAAGGTTAGAGTTGAGGCTCGCCTGGCTCGGCCAAGGAAAAATTGCTTACCTACTGAGCCACTACTGATTTCTCCTGCCAAAATTGATAGCTGAGCTGTCGGGGCACAATGCACCAGCCCTTTGAGACAAAGCCCTTTGAGACAAAAAGATATAGAAATAACATGGAAATAAATTACTAAACAGGTAGAGAGTCTTGAGAGCTTTGTTCTAGTAGTTTACATCTCTAATGGCCTTGTTTCGAGTGTTTTGTCGATGACTTCAGAAGCAGAGAGCTCTCGAGCGTCACCACCAATCAGACGTGCGGATAATTAATCATGATTCTAATAAGAGAAATGCCCAGAGGAAATCGGCCCAGAGAAAATCGGCCGAAAAAGCAATTACCAGCATCAAGTCAGAGCCATGCGCGTTCAAACCTTGCGACATCGTCACGCGTCGCCAAGCAACCTCACAGCGTCGCCGAAAAGCTTCCGTCGACAGCCTCAATCTTCTCCACGCTCCGCCGGTATCCCTCCTCCTTCTCCAGCCTCTCGACGTACTCGGCCACGCGCGGGTGCGCCTTGGCCCACGACCCGCCCTCCCACCGGCCCATGCTGTCCCACCGGCCCTTTGCCGCGATGAGCGGGAAGCTCATGAGGATATCGACCGCCGTCAGCGAGTCGCCGCACAGGTAGCGCCCGCCCGACGTCGCCAGCTGGCCCTCGAGCATGCGCAGGTGCTTCTGCGCGTTGGGGAAGATGAAGTTGGACACGATGGCGTTGGCGGCCGCCGACGTGATGGGCCGTACCAGGAAGGGCACCTGGCTGGACTTGAGGCCTGCTTTGCGTCAGCCGTCGCTTCAGCCCAAGATGGACGGGAGAGCACATACGCGAAATAACCAGGGCCATGACCAGGATCGGCATCAGGCTGCCTTCGGCATAGTGCAGGTAATACTGATACCTCAGCCACGCCTCCGTCTCGCCGCCGACCTCGCCCTCGCGGCCCTCCTTCCAGCGCGCGGGCATGAGCCGCCCGCCCCCCGGCAGGTGCTCGCACAGGTACTGCGTCATGAAGCCGCTCTCGGCCAGCACCACGGCGTCGCCGCCGCCGCCAGGCGTGACGCTGACGACGGGCGACTTGCCCAGCGGGTGCACCTTTTCCAGCTCGGCCGGCGCCAGCATCGTCTGCTTGTCGCGGTGGAAGACCTCGAGCTCGTACGGCGCACCCAACTCCTCGAGGAGCCAGACGATGCGCTGCGACCGCGATCGTTCGAGCCTGTTTCGGTCGTCAGTCGGTGCTCTCTTTGGGGCGCCCATCATGGAAGTATCCGAACCAGTAGAGCTTGATCTTGGGCAGCGGCTTGTCGCCCGCTGCATCCGAGGGAGTCGTGGCAGCCATCCTTGTCCCCTTTTGATTCCTTCTTCAAAAACTCCCGGGCCACCTCTTTGTCTTTGTGACTATCGTCGTGGGCTGTGGAACGCCGAGGCGAGGTAATTCAGCTCTGTAGAAGAGAGAGAGAGCCAAGCATCCCTCCTCTGGATTCAGATCAACTAGTCCCCTTCCATGACGTGCAACCTGACGATGAACCCCCACTTATTCCACCAGCTGTTTTGCCTAGGCTCCGAGAGCATAGTATATAATTAGCAGGTGACAAACTGCGCTTGTCGGCACGGAACCGGAACCGTGGCCAGAGCCGAGGCCAGCCCAGCAGCCGAGAGACAAACCGAGGCCGGACCCTCATCCTTCAATCACCCCCAGTCTTCTCGTCTTGCACCGCACCGTAGTCTTGGCTTGCCCTCCTTTTCAACAGCTTGACCGTCAAACAGACCACCTAGCTACGTCATCATCATAACCACCATCACCACCATCACCACCATCACCACCATCACCACCATCACCACCATCACCACCATCACCACCATCACCACCACAACCACCGTCACGTCACTCTCACATATCACGATGCCTAAAGACATGGAATTTGCACACCGCCGGAATGCAGTACACGCGATCTACTCACACGCAGTCGTCGTATCGCCCGGTAACCAGAACCCTCACCAAACACCACCGCCGCGAGCCGTTCAACGCCCCCCCCGCCTTGCCATGATTGTTTTTACATGTAACCAGAACACCAGTCGCCTTTCTATGCACGCCATCATTCGTCTCCACGACACTGTCCCTCTCCTCCTACTCCGACCGACCTTTCGACATGGACGTCGACGTGCCACCCAGAGCGGACCCAAGGGGCCCAGTGTCTCGACTGCCCCATCAACGACGCCGGATCTTGGCCACCCCTCGGCCGGCCGGCTCGCTCATCGCTTCCCTCTTCTTCGTCTGTTTCTTCGCCCGGGGCGGCGGCGTCTGCTCAACGTGCAAGTGTCCCAGCTCGTCGAGCGCCATCGTGTTTTGCCACTGCAGGCAGCGGTAGCTCGGCGGCTCCGGCGACTTGTCTCGGATCCGCGAGCTCGTGCGCTTCGACGCAGCTTCGTCCTTCTTGTCCTTGGTGGTGTCGGCGGCCGTTGTCCCCGGCTCCGTTGCCGCCGCTAGATACTTCTTGCGCTTCTCCATGTGCGCCGCCATCTTGTCCTTGTAGTTGAGGAGCTCCTTGCGCAGCTTCAGCTCGTTGATGCCCCGCGGGTCCAGCCACCGGATCAGCTGGTCCACGTCCTCGGGCTCGCATATGTAGCCCCATTGCCGTGCGTTGAAGACGCTCATGCCGCCCTCTTCCATGGCCTTGCGCTCCGGAATCGTCATGTTGAACTTTGTCTTGTGTTCGTCCTGTAGCTCGGCCGGCACGTCGATGTAGCCCTCGCGCTCCAGCTCGTCGGGACCCTGCACCCAGATGCAGCCGTTCGCGTACTCAGCATAGGCCGTCGAGCTGTTGGGGAGGCCGGCGTAAGGCATGCCGTTTCGCTCAAACCAGTAGTATCGGTTCCAAAATCGGTCCTTGCCCAGGACCCTTGTTCTTGGGCAGTCCGCTTCGCGCAAGTCGTTTTCAATGACGGCAATCTCGCTTTCGCACCCTTTGATGATGTCCTCTTTCTTCTGGATCTCCTTGACGACCTTGTTGTACTGCTTCAACTGTTGCAGCGGCAGCTTGGTTGAGCCTTTCTGTTCCTTTGCCTTTTCTCTTTCCTTTTCCTTTTCTCGCGACTTTCGCTCTCGCTCTTCGTCGCGCTTCCGCTGCTTGTCCGACTGCCCGCGACCGCGACGTTTCTTCTGCGATTTGTTGTTGTCCTCGTCACTGCCCTCGGCGTCTGCCTCCTTCTCGATTTGCGATTCGTTCACCTCGATCATCTTGACGTCCTCTTCCTTTTTGACGGAAGGGTTCAACTCGCCCGTGGGCGAGTTGTCGGGCATCAACGCCCTGCGCTCCTCGTTGAGCTGTCGGAGATCCTCCATCCTGAAGAGCCCATTAGTTGTCGGAAAATGCTACGCGCGGCCCCGGCTAAAAGCCAAGCGATGCGCGGGAAGAAGTGAGAGGAAACCGAGAGGAATGAATAAACCTACGCCTGTTTTCGCTGCCTCTGCCATTCGATCCTGTCTTTGCGATACTTGGTCATCGTCTCGCTGCAGTCCTCCATGTAGCCCCTGACGGCCTTGGTCTCCATCGTGAGCATGCAGAGAATCTGCAACGCCTGCACGCGATAGTTGATGCTGAGGCTGGCGTACGTCTGCTGGACCGCATCCTGCGTCGGGCTCGTGTTGGGAGGGACCAGCTGCAGCAAGAGTTCTTCACAAGCCTTCTCCCGTCGCTCATTCTTGGACAGCTGGTGAAGTAGACCAACAATGATTCTCTGCCAGCCACCCTTGGCAAAGTCTCGCTGTCGCAAGTGCTCGATCCAATCATACTCCTTGAGGAGCTCCTCGGCGCGGTGCCTCGACTCGAGTTCCGCTCTCAAGCTCTCTTCTTCCGCCGCCGCCGCTTCGGCAGCCAGTCGCTCGGCCTCGAGCTTGGCAAGGCTACTGCGGGTGGCGCGGCCCGTAGGCTTCAGCTCCGGTTCGGGCGTCGGTTCCGTGTTATCGGCCTCGCTTTCCCCTTCCTCCCCGTCGCTGTCCTCTTCCTCCAGCTTGGGGAGGGTGATTTGCACTTTGCCGCCGTCTCGCTCCGAGTCGACCAAGACCTTGAGCACGGCGCAATGAACTTCTTCGAAGAGCTGGACATGGACGCGCTCAGAGGATACTGACATAGCCTCGATGAAATCGTCAAAGGTAAACGAGTCGAGTCGAAATATTTCGCAGTAGACGTTGAGCGTGTCCCACGTCTCCAACAACGCACCCACGGATGCCATGTCGATTTGATCGTACATGGGCCCGCATCCCTCCACGTCGACGGGAGGGTCCCTGCACAGAAACTTGAGCGGGGGACGCACGCTGCCCTCTTTGGGCTCCAGTTGGAGGTCTTCGATCGGGTACTTGGGGGGCGGCGGCGGAGGCGGAGGCGGCGTCGCTCCTCTGGCGTTGCCTCCTTGGTTATCGGCGTTGCTAGAAGGATAGCCCGCACCATTGGCGCCGTTGACTGACATGTTGAGGGGCCATTTGAGGCCCTTGGAGCCGTGCTGGCCCTGCTTTCCCTTGTGGTTTTTGGGCGCGGGCTTCAGTTCGGGCAGCCGGACGGGGCCCGAGTGCAGGGCAGAGCCATGGCCGTTGACCTCATAGGGGGGCGCACGCTTCTGCGCCTGCAACTGGCGGCGCTCTTGGACCTTGGTGTCGTAGCGGAGATGGGGGGGGACTCTGGTGTCGATGTGGTACTGGCCGGCGTAGTCGTGCTTGACCAGCCAAGGAGCGCCGGTCCAGGCTTCTCTAATGACTGTCTTCTTGATGAAGGACCTGAGCATGGACTTGGTAAAGACACCGCGGTCGCGGCAGATGTGCTCGTCGGTGACCATGGTCTCCTCCTCCGAGTCCTTGACGTTGACGAGGTAGCGCGTGACGGGCTGCGTGTGGGAACCGTCGGAGAGCATTCTAGGCCCAAACGTCGTCTTGTCCCTCACGAGGCCGTGCACCCTCTCGCCGCCATCCATGGTGACCGTCACCTCTTCGCCGGGATAGAAGTCGTGCTTGAACTCATCGTAGATCATGTCGACGAGGTTGTCGAGGCGTGAAATAGTCTGAAACTGTACCTTTCGGAGAATCGGCCCTTTCAGAGCTTCTGGGAAGGAGGCCTCGACCTCACGACCCCCGGTGAGCTGCACATTGAAGCGAGTGAGCTGCTGCTTCGACACGCTCATGGGGGGGGGAAAGGGGTAAAGGAGCCAGGTGTGCTGGGCAATCGAGGTGGGGGTGCCAACCTCGCTATTGAAGGCCTCGAGGAAGGTCAAGCCTGAGTGGCCTGTGATTTGGTCATTGAATCGGCGCTGTGAAGCATCAGGTGAGCCTCGGGTCGTCTGATGACAACGGTTGTAGGTGATTTACCTGCTTGTAGAATTCCATACTGAATGGCGAGTGGGGGAGAAAGCCACACAGTTAGCCGTGATTGCCGCACAAACAGGAGAGCCCCCAGCCATCAGGGGGATGACCAGACTCACCGGCTCAGATAGTCCTCGTAGGTAGTAAAGACTTCCCCCGTCTGGGGAATATGCCACACCTAGTGGAGGAAACAACGTGTAAGTAGAGGCGGGTACGTTGGCTGCGCGCAAGGGCAGGAGGTTAAGGTTGGAGGGGGGATGGCACCTCGGTAGCATCATCCTCTATGTCTGGCGGGGGCAGAAACTTGACGGGCTTGCGTTTGAAGAGAACCTGGGGAGGCGGGTGTGAGCAAGGGCGCGCTGTCCTGGCGGGCGGGTAGGGCGCCTGTACCATGATTGCCTAGATGGACGAGGCTCCGCCTCGAGGAGCAATTGCGAAAACACCAGGCAAGGCGGAGATGCTATAATATGCCATCCACTAGCAAGGTCGAGCGCGGCCGTGACGAGGCTGAGGCAGCATCTGCGGAGCGCGGACTGGGGGTGGCGCGCAGCGGAGAGTCGAAGCTCGAGCGAATAAGAAGACGTGATTGGAGGGGGCCGTTTGTCGTCACGCGTGGGCCGGCTGAGGAAGGAAGGAGTCGCGCTGCTCGTCGTGCGGGCCAGGCGACTTATATGCGGCGGCTGGAGTCGGGGTGCGAGGCGGGCATGCGAGCAGCTTCGCGGGGACTGGAGTCGAGGCCAGGTTGCGCGGCACGCAGAGGCGAGATGACGGCGGCGGCAGCGGTGGTGTTGGCGGACGAGGACGGTAAAGGCGGCGGGCGAGGTTGCAAGCAGACGAGGAGGACGACGACGACGACGATGCAAAGGAAGAAAAGAAGAGGGCGGGTGGTGAAGGGAGAGCAGGAGGGAAAAGAGAAAAAAACTGTGGGGGGGCGAGGTAGAGAGAGAGGGAAGAGAGAGAGAGAGGGAAAAGAGAGAGAGAGAGAGAGGGAAGAAAGAATGGAAGAAGCCAAGGTAGAGGCCGAGAGAGCGAGGTTAGGGAGGTACCGCGGGCGGTGGGAGGACCCCGGGCGTGACCAGGTCACTGCGCCAGCGCGCGTGCGGCGAAAAGGAACCTGCGCCGGCGCCGAAGATGCGAAAATAGCTTTGTACCCTTGGCTTTTTTTGGCACTCGTGCTCCGTACTCGTACTCCGGAGCCAACCTACACCACGGGTACAAGGAGGCGGACGAGCCGGGGGGGGGGGGGTTCTGTAGTACTGTACCTAGGCGCTGGAGGAGTCTCCGGCGATGCATTCATCTTGAATCTGCTCCGATACAGAGATGGATTCGTACGCGGGTAGGTGTGTACTTCAGAAATCAGTTTGTTGATGCAAACTTCAAGAAGAGGCAGATGCAGGGAGGTCAACTCCCGTTCTCTTGCTCGTCTTCTGCTCGTCATCATCACCGTCGACAAACAGTTAGTTACCTTTGTTTACCAATCCATCCTTTCTTTCTCTTTCTCCTCTACCCTCTCCTCCTCGTTGTTTGTTTTCTCACATAGACACGCACACCTCGCAGCTGGCCAAGGTACCACTTGCTGCGGATCCCTCAATGCTTCCATCGTCAAGGGTACCGGCCCGGTACCTTTCCATTTCCCCTCCCCGCGGCGAATAAGGTAGCGCGTACAGACTGAACAGGGGCGGTTTTAGTTGGCCAGGGAAAAAATAGTCGAACAAAAAAAAGGTTCCTGGCTCTCGTCCTCTCCGCCCCTCCGCCTCGTCGTCGTCCTCCTCCAGCACTCGTCCTGCCCGCCGCAGCCTCTTCCGCGCGCCCTGCACGCGCCCGCTGCCATTTCACCAACGTTTTTGGATTCATTGCGCTCGTCGCTCCACGGCGCGTCGAATGCAGCCGGATTCATGCACGTAAAATCATTGCACTCAAAGCCCTTGCCGTCTTTGCGCGAACCTGCCATTGACCCCCCCCGGGCTGCTCGTCCCCGGTCGATGAATGCCACCTCCTACGCGACTCAGTCGAGGCACAACCCGGCCAAAACACTGCCATGTGAGCTCGCGCTTCGGTATCATAGCCCGTCGGAAGCTCTCTTCTCGTCTGCTATATTGATCGCACCCGTCTACATATCTCCTTTCCTACTGGACTCATTCCTGGTTGACATGCAGACTGCTCTCGCAACTTGCCCAGCCCCCAACCCTACCCATCTGCTTGCGTGACATTCTTCCCTCCCGGCCTGCATGCACGCACCGGCAAGCAGGGGTTTGGGAGCTGTCGCTTGCCCGTCTCCTGAGTGCATCTTGACGCGTCGCGAACGCCTCCACCGCATGACACAGAGCGCGCATGGCCTGCAACTGGCCGGGTCACCGCCAAACTATCAAGCACTTCAACTCCACCTTTCCCATCCCCATCTTGGCCGCCTGCTTTCTCCGGCGTCAAGAGGTTGGCGCAAATTGACGGCCCCTTGTCCGCCGACTGAGGTTGCCGCCAGAAATGCTTGACCGTCCATCAGCCTTGCGTCTCACGTGGGGCGCCCCACTTGTCCCATCCATTCCGCCGCATATGACTCAGCCGTCTCTACTGTATCATCATTGGCTTCATCATCTGCCACTCCTTAAACATTGGCGCCTTGTAACACATTTCAGACCGAGCCCTCGTCTTCTCGAGTTTCGGAATTCATAAAACACCCGTAGCATGCACGCCAGGGCAACCTCCTCGGCCTCATTCAGCTCACGAGGTAAAATACACCACCATGAATCCAACCCAACTCCCCACCACCCCCACCGCCGCATAGCAGCTAGTCAGCATGAGCGGCAGAAACTCGTAGCGCTGCCTAAAGACGACGGGGTGCACCAGCGACGTGTACGCAATGAGCGGGATGCTGACGGCAATGTACAGGGTGCTGAAGCGGTCCAGCAGAAACACCCTCGGCTTGCTCGACGCCGGCGCGAGCCGGTCAAAGGCCAGCAGGAACAGCACAAGCCAGAAGATGGTGTAGACAGTCTTGACGGGGAACTCTGCGGGCGTGAACAGGAGCGGGAACAGCGACACGTGGCCGGCCAGGGCCAGTGGTCGGAACACGCTCAGGTGCCGTCTGTCCCTCAGGGCGATGAGGCTAAAGGGGATGACGACGAGCAGTATGGCCTTTTCGTGGACATGCCAGCCAAACAAGAACGACGCATATCCGCACAGCGTGATGGCGCCGATGAAGTTCTCCCACGTGGCCTGCAAAAAGAGCTTGATGAGAGGCAATCCCTGGAAGAGCAGCGTCAAGGCAAAGCACATCCTCGGCGTGATCTCGGGAAGGACGGCAAAGGCCGTGTCGCCCACCAGGCCGCGTGTGACGCTCTGCAGCGCGTCCGTCTTGACGGCGAGGCCAAGCCGCGGCGCGACTGCGTTGACGTTAGAGCGCTCTAGGCAAAGTGTCACACTTGTCAGACTTACGGTATATCAAGACGCGATCGGCCAGCGAGTACAGCGCCCAGACATTGGGTGCCCAGTACGCATGGCAAAGTCCGCGCGAAAAGGGAAACAGGCGGGTCAGCAGCTGCGGAAGGGCCCCCATGAGGGCAAAGGGGCCCAAGGCGACGGCGAATATGGCCGCGATGCCCGAGCCGAGCTTCAGGCAGTTGAGAAATTTGATGCGAAAGACGGACCGAGCCGAGAGGCAGTAGGTGCGCAGCAGATAGACAAAGTAGGCGGGCGCAAGGTAGAGATAGATGTGCTTGAAGCACAGCAGGGCGGCGAAGACGAGCCCGCTGTGGAGTAGCGTCGAACTGCACCGGGCGAGAACGAGCGACAGCAGCAGGATGCCGTACATGAAGCCGTTGTACTGGAAGTGGACGTGGTCGATGATGAGCAACCCCGGCGAAAGGAAGATGGAGAGGGCGGCAACCTGGGCGGCACGGCGCGACGGAGCAGGAGTCGAGTCGACAAACATCTGCAGGGCATAGGCCAGGAGGAGCTCGGAGAGGATGACGGTGGTGCGCTGGAAGTAGACGGTCTGCAGGCTCTCGTGGTTGAGGCTGTAGAGCTTGACCATGGCCGGGTCAACCAGGCGGCCGACGTGGGCGAGGAGCCACTCGAAGTAGGCGAACAAGGGCGGGTAGTCGAGGGTCCATTGAGACGTCTGCTCGTAGTACCATTCGGAGACGGGCAGGCTGTTTGTGATGGCGAGCCAGTTGCGATGGACCTCGAAGTCGGTCGACTTGCTGTGTGGTGCTCGTTGTTGGCCGGCTTGAAGCGAGAGGGCAGAACAGGGCGGGCCACTTACTAGGCCGGGAAGAGGAGGACCTTGAAGGCGGCGGCGACGACAGCGCACTGCGTCAGGGTCGGGTATGAGTCCGCCATTGGGCCCGGGCAGTCGGTGAGGGGAGAGGGGTCGATTCAGTCGTCTGCCGGCGCCGCCATCGTCGACTGATGAGGTAGGCTGGTGGAGCAGTCTTTGCTACAGGACCCTCGCCCACCTGAATGGCACCTGGGCGTGCTACCGCGGCTCGCTGTACGTCATGACTCAGCGAGCACCCGGGGTAGCACAGCCACACACAGCTACCTCCCTCCCTTGTGGCTGGAGAAAGCTCCTGATGAGCGAGCTCCCCCGTCTAGGTATCCAGAAACTGTCTGTCCTTGCTCTGCCAAAAACGGGCTGTAATTCTCTCGTACTGCCTCTTTGATTCCAGACTTGTGCTTCGCTCCCACGCTTTGCTTCTTTTCATTCATGCCCGCGCCTGTTTCAGGCCCGTTGCACTCTAAGGCCCGTCAGCGCTGGGCGCCGAGCTTAAACCAGGGGTCTCGACAAGGCCGCCCACTAGCAAAGTGTCCTCAACAAGCCGGGCCCCGAGCGCAGCCCTACTTCGACTGCCTCTCGTCCTCCTCTCATCAGTCTTGCTCTCCTTTTCAAATTAGCCTCGGACACGTCGATTTCAGCCTCCAGTCGAGGCCGCGATGCGAGTTTCAGGCCTCCCCGCCGCGCTGGCGGCCCTGCTCGCTGCCCATATCAGCCGCGCCGAGTCGCTCATCCCCGAGCTCAGCTTTGGGCAATCAGACCGGTTCGCCTCGCCCTGTCCTCTCTCGCGCATATCCTTGACTGAGTTTCAGCTAACCTGCCGCCCCAGATTGAGTTTCGCTGACAGCCCCGGGCGCATCCCCAACTTTGTCCTCTCGGGCCAGCCACAGCCGCCCCAGCTCCTCTCCAACCGCCTGATCCTCACGCCCGTGGCCCCCGGCAACCAGCGCGGCGCCGTATGGGCCGAGAAAGCCCTGACGCGCTCCGCCTGGGAGGCCGAGATCGAGTTCCGCGCCAGCGGCGGCGAGCGCGGCGGCGGCAACATCAACTTTTGGCTGGTGCGCCAGGGCGGCCACGAGGTGGGCTCCCACAGCATCTACACAGTTGGCAAGTTTGACGGCCTCGGCCTCGTCATCGACACCCACGGCGGCTCCGGCGGCATGGTCCGCGGCTTCCTCAACGACGGCTCCGTCGACTACGCCCACCAGCACAGCATCGACAATCTCGCCTTTGGCCACTGCCAGTACTCGTACCGCAACCTGGGCCGTCCCACGCGCATCAAGCTGCGCCAGACCCACGACGCCTTCAAGGTCGAAGTCGACGACCACCCTTGCTTTGACACCACAAAGGTCAGCCTGCCGGCCGGCTACCACTTTGGCATCACGGCCGCCACCCCGGACAACCCAGACTCGTTTGAGGTCTTCAAGCTGGTCGTCCACTCTGACTCGATCGTCTCGAGCGACGCCGACAACGCCGCCGCTCACCAGAACACCTACGGGTACGCCACCCAACAGCAGCAGCCCTCCAAGGGCGGGACCGCAGGCAGCCCCATGCCCGACGAGCCTGCCGACCACTTCAAGACGTCGACGGCGCAGTTTGAAGACATGCACAACCGGCTGCAGGTCCTCATGCACCAGCTCTCGACCATCACCGCCTCCATTGTCGAGCTCCAACACCAGGGCGAGGACAGCCACGAGCAGACGACAAAGGCCCTCGACGCCCTGCGCTCCCAGCTGTCGGCCACGCACCCGACCGAGGACCTGCTCAACCACGTCAAGGACCTCGGGAGGGAGGTGAGCGCTATGCACAAAAACATCAACGAAAAGTTCTCGACCCACCACGACTCCTTCGAGGACTACCTCAATGACCACCACGCCAGCATTACCGACGTCATGACCGAGTCCATGCCCGGCCACGGCAAGCTCATCCTCATCTTTGTCGGCACGCAGGTTTTTCTCGCTGCCGCCTACGTCGTCTACAAGAGGCGCCGGGCAAACAGCCCTAAAAAGTATCTCTGAGCGCCGGGAAGGGGGGAGAAAAGAAGGGCGAAGGGGGGAGTTGCAAGGTCTTGGCGCCGTCGTTCTGTACATTACTCATCTACTCCATGTAGGAAATCATGCACGTGTCACGAGGTGACGACTGGTCGGGACCAGTGTGAGATTCCAAATGGACTCGGACCGCTTTGGTGCTGCCTCTTCTCCGCCGTCGCAGCACGAGCGCTCACGAGCCAGTCAGTTGGGAACGTTCTCCCTCATGCGCAGGAGAGAAGCGAGGCCAACGGTGACCGACCTCCATGCTCGCCTTCTCTCACATCTAGCCCCGCGTCACGGCCAGCCCTACCCGTGGCCGCCGTTGTTGATGACGTCTAGCAACTCGGCTCCCTTGGGCGCCGACGTCAGGTTCTCGTGCCCGTCAGGCGTGACGAGGATGCAGTCCTCGATGCGCACGCCGCCGACCGGGTAGAAGCCCTCAAGCACGTCAGCGTCGATGAAGCGCGCGTGCTTGGGGTCGGCCAGGAAGGCGGCCTCGAGGAAGGGGCGGCAAAAGTAGATGCCCGGCTCGACCGTGACGATCATGTTGGGCCTCAGCTTGCCCCTCGTCGACGTCTCCTCGCCGCCGTCGGCCTTGAGCTCCTCGGCCATGGCTACCAGTGCCTCGGGCGTCACGGCTACGCGCTTCCCGCCGACGAAGCGATGGGGGCGCGGCGGGGCCAGGAGCGGGAATCCGCCGTCAACGTCGTGCACCTCGAGCCCGACGTGGTGTCCCAGGCCGTGGGGGAAGAAGGCGGCGACGGTGCCCGCGCGCGCAATCTCGTCGCGGTCGCCCCTGAGGATGCCGAGCTGGAGCAGACCGGCCAGGGCAACGGCCGCGGCGTGCAGGTGCAGGTGGTAGTACACGGCGCCCGGCCTGACCCTCGCGATGCACTCGTCCTGCATGCGCTGGACGACGGCGTGCACGGCGGCTGCGCGGGGCGAGAAGGAGCCCGAGAGCGGCATGGTGCGCGTCACGTCGCTGGCGTAGCAGTCCCACTCGCAGCCGGCGTCGAGCAGGACGAGCTGCCTGCCGGCGAGGGGCGCGTCGTTGTCGACATAGTGCAGCGTCGAGGCGTTGGCGCCCGCGCCGGCAATGACGGCGTAGGCCTGCGACCTGGTCCCGCGCAGGTGGCAGGCAGCCTGGAACAAGGCCTCGACGTCGCGCTCGCTGTCGAGCCGCAGCAGGCGCTCCGCGACGAAGCGGTGCGCCGCGCTCGAGACGTCGTTTGCGCGGCGCACCATGGCCACCTCGTAGTCCGTCTTGACGACGCGCGCGCGGTCCATGGCGGGCCTGAGGCGGACGTCGTCGATGCGGCACCTCGCCGCGGCCCCTCCGTGGGCCGAATGGGGCGGCGGCGGCGCCTGGTCCGCGTGCAAGACGTAGACGGTCGAGGCGGCGTGGTGGCGGCTCACGTAGTCGGGCAGCTGGGCGGCGTAGCGGGCGTCGTCAACGTCTGAGAGCGCCATGCAGCGCTGCGGCGACGGCTTGGACCCGTACCACAGCACGTCTTTGGGCGCGACGTGGGGAACCCAGAGAATGAGGTGGTCGGCGGCAATGTCGTAGGTGACGTGGCAGCCGGCAAAGTTGGCGCCGGCAAGGTAGAAGAAGCTACAGAACAATGCCCTGGTCAGCAAGCGCTCGTTGGTCGTCAAGCCCGTGTGCTAGACGGGTCAATGAAGGATTCTTACTATCGCCGTTGACGAAAAGGCCGCGGCTGATCCGAGTCATCCAAGTTGACCTCGGGCTGGCCTGCTAGATAGACGAGGCCATTGTCGACGTCGAGCTCGGCGGCGACGCGACGAGCGTGAAGCTTGGCTGGTGGTGGAGTTAGGCTCGGGACGTTTGAAGACGGGGGGAGGGCATCTCCAACGCACCGGGATACTTGACAATGGGCAACGTCGCCGTCGCCGCCTCTCCCCTCCGGCCCTGGACATTCAGGGACCTTTGCGCCGACGCCGTCGCCGCCGTCCCTGACAGTCAGCCCCCCTTCTGATGGACATACGCCCGCCCGTAGCCCAAGCACGCATCTTATGGCTAGGTAGCTATCGGGAAAACGGAGGGCAGTACTCACAAGGCGTCCAAGTCGCGCTCTACGTTGCGGCCCAGCTCCATGTCGGAGTTGATGGTGGAGAGTGAAGTGACGAAGCAGGTTGCTGCCAATCATCGGCCAAGTATTTTGGTGTTTCGTACAAAGTACCGGTACAAAGGCCCATACTTTCGGCCCCGCTCTTCCCGCCGAGTCTCGGCCGATCCCCTCCATCATCGGTGCCGACGCCGGCAAAAACAACAAAGTCCGACGCCCAAGGCTTTAAGCCGCAAAGTCGCTGGTTGAGGCGCAGAGTAAAGGGGCCTTTGGCAAAATTGGCTCCTGCGAACCCTCGACGTCCAAGTTGTCTTCCAATTAACATCGGGCTCCCGGTCCACGTCGCCAGCACTCGACCCCCGGCCCTATTCAATGAAGCCTGCTCGCAAGCTGCTCGAGGCCGAGCACATATGTCGCGTACATGGTATGCATAGGCGTACACTGCACATACTGTACCGCACGGCATCGCCTCGCAACCACAAGCCCCCGCCGTGCCGTACGTCTAATCCCTCTTCACGATCCAACAGTCGTTCCACAGGTGCACCAATACCCAGTCTCGTCTACCAAACCGAGAATCAGGAGGCCATCCATCTAAGCAACCAGAACACCCCTTCCTCTTCGCCATGCGCCGCCTCTCCCGCTGCCCTTTTCCGAATCCTTCCCAAGCGTCGTCCTATCCTGTCCGCTGACGCGCATATTCGCCAACATATCTCCAACGCCCTGATGCAATTCCCTATATCCAGATATACCATGATATATACAGTCCTCGCCATGTTGGGTCGCAAAACTCCCGCGACATTGCTCAAAATCTCGATGGCCCTGCTGCCACGCTCTCCTTCGCCTTGTGCGAATCCAACCCCAACCACGTCCCCGAGTGGACCAAGCAGAGATACGATAAATAAACAAGTAAAAGGCAGAAACATGGGTATCAAATCGTAGTCGCGCCTCTTCACATCCCTTGGAATCCTCCTCTCCCAGAACCAAAGAAACTTCCCCAGTCGGGCTGCATGCCCTGCTGCGTAAACATTTGTTCGATTTGCCTCACTTGTTGTCGATCGGCACGTGCTCGCCGGAAGCCCGAGAATATGCCTGCGGAGCTCTGCTGCTGCACTGGCGGTCGTTGCCCTTGCCCTTGCGGCTGCGGCTGCGATTGCGGCTGCGGCGGCGGTTGTACTTGTATATGCGACCGCGTTTGCAGTTGCGGTTGCGATTGAGACGCCTGCGGCTGCTGCTGGTGATGTTGTGCGGTATGCATCGCCAGCATATTGTGTGGATCATATGGATTCCCGGTGAGACCAAAAAGCTGCTGTTGTTGCTGCTGCTGTTGCTGCTGCCGTTGCTGCTGTTGCTGCATCATATATGGCGGGGGGTAGTTCAGTAGTTGGTCCCCGATTTCGTCAAACGATGTCGGAAAGAAAAAGGGCGTGTCTTGGCCGGGAGCAGCCATCGGCACCGCCGGTCTCTCTGCCTTGGGCTGGAAACCCAGCTCCATCATTGGCTGGTTGGGATAGGCAAATGGGTCGTCGGACGGGAACATGAGCGAGTCCAGCTTGTTGACCGGGTTATGCGCACCGTGAATGCCGAGCGACTGCGACAAGAACCTGTGCCGATGGGAGCTCCCAGTGCTTGTCGAATCCGGAGTTGCCCGCGACGACAAATCCATCGGGATGATGTCCTGCACGCTTGCTGCAAAGGACAAGTCTGGGAAGACACTCTCGGTCGTGTCAGCCGAGGTTTGCGAGTTTGGTGAGGCAAACGGGGCTGTCTGCCGAGTCGGGGGCCCTGCACGAAGAAAATCGTCGGCTCGCTGCGTTGATAAGCTCGGCGTCACGGGGGCGTGATGCGAGAGACCCGATTCCGCCCCGGTTGCCGCCGCAGGCCTCTTCCTAGAAGGCGTAGGTCGAGTACGTGCTTGCTCGAGCTTTCCCGGTAACTGATCGAATAAGGGCTGGTGATGGTGGCACAGGTTAGATTCAAGCGCCAGATGAGCAATAACAACAGCCCCGTCCGGGCAGGCAGAGAGGTCGAGGGACTCGACATACCTTGAGAGCGTTCGTTACACGGTCCGCAGACATGCTCTTGTCGGCCAGGTCAGCAATCATCTGGCGCCCAGCCTGCGCATCCGCCAGCACTTCTTGGGTGCCCGGCTTGTCCGGGTTCTCGATGGCGTAGAAGACGAGGGAGAGAATGGCGAAAAACTCGGTGTAGAGCATGAACCAGTATGGTCCGCTGAGTACCCCTTGCTTGCGAATCTCCAAGCCAATGTGGACAATATTTCGCGACACGCTGATGGCGGCCGCGGCACAGGCATAAGACAGCTCGTCCACCTTGGACGTTTGGCTTAGGCGTGGTGAGATGTAGTGTAGGAAAGGCCGGTAGAGGACAAGCTGAACGTGGGCATACGCAAAACGGAGGAGGTGCCGCACCCTGGTCGCACGCGCAAGAATCAGTATGCGTGAGACAGCGCCTCAACGTTTCTCGCGCCGGCAACAAGGAGACTCACCGTACGACTTCGATCGCGCCGTCTGGGCTTGGCCGCCACATTTCCGGAAGCTTCTCGTACCACCCTTGAAGTTCAGTCTCGATCTCCTTGATTCGCGCGTAGCTGATGAGATAGGTCGTCGAGGACTTGTCACCCTTCACGACGGGCTGCCCTTGCCCATGCATCGGATAGACATGCTTGGCAATCTTGCCCAAGATTTCCATCAACCGGGTCTGCGCATTGAATGCTTCGAAGAAAGAAGGCGTTCCTGGGGGGGGCGAAATGATTCCGGTGCTCGAGATGTATTCGTCGTCAACCTCGGTCGGGTAAAGTTGGTCGACATCGTCAATGTTCAAGAGGAGAGGAAACCCAAGCATCGTCGACACGTAAATGTCCATTTGCCGGATCACGTAAAAGACACGTCTTCGGATCTCTTGTTCCAACACGCCGATCTTCTCGTGCTGCAGGTGTCTGTGCAGGCCTATTCGCAACGCCGATCGGAGCGCGACGCCCACGAAGGAATAACACGCACTCAGATTCGACGTGGCCTGGAGGAACAGAATCATGAAGAGAAGGGCCTGGAGGGAGACAATGTCCCGGCACTCGGCAAGATCGTGCAAGAGCGCTCTAGCGGTCTTGTAGTACTTGAGACTACACAGGAACGAGTTAGATGGAGACGTGGGAGGGAGGCAACGAAAGTCGGTGGGCAAAGGGGGTGGTGAGAGGCAGCATACCCCTCGTCAATGGCTGCCTTGTAAGCACCGCTCTCGGGCTTGGCATCGTCCAAGTTGTTATACATGCAGCCGAGGGCAAGGACAGCGTAGACAAGGCCCAGAAAGTGAGTATCCTCTTGGTTGAGACTGTCGAGAGGCCGGTCGTAGATTTGCTCGAATCGCTCGGTAAAGGAAGGGACGTGGATAATGCGGACGAGGCACGTGGCGCAGCTTAGCGAGTAGTAGCATAGCTTGCGGGCGACGTCTTTGGACGGCAGCTCAGGGTAGGACGACATGGCTGAGAAGGGCGAGTTCCCGCCAGGCGACGGCGAATCGAGTGTCACCAAGCCCGGGGGTCGGTCGGGCCGGGGCAGAAACGGGGCCTTGGACATGGGGCCCAACATGCCGCGGAAGTGATCCTTCATTCTCCTCAAGAAGACGGCGCCTGAGGAGGTGCCGTGGAAATCCCAACCGCCCTTGTCGTCGAGGTCCAGCTGGCCAATCGAGTCGATCATGGTTATCAGCTTCGCATCGTTGGTGGTACTTGGTTCGTCGGCCTGGCTGGCGCGCAGCTTGGCGGCGTGGGCGCGAGCCCGTTGGCGGTTATGGAACTCCTGCTGGATGGCAGGGTCGAGGTTGGGGTCGGCGAGGTCGACGTCGGGCATGAACTTGCGCAACATGTTCTCGGCGCGCTGGAGACGGTTCTCGAGGGCTTCGATGTACTGTGGAGCGGGATTCCTCCTCCTGTTTGAAGGCTTGTCGTAGGTGCACTCTGTGAAAGGTCAGTGGAAGAGACGGGCGAGTGACCGGGGGGGCGACGACGGCGGCAGCGTCACGGGCGTACCGTAGCTGTAGACGGAACAGTGCGTGCAAGGCTGCTTGCCATCGCACTTGATCTTTTTGCGGCGGCACTCGTCGCAGGCGCGCGTAACCCGGCGGCGCTTCTGGATGGGCTGCGACGGCGCGGAGGGGTCCGTGGCGGCGCGGTCGTCGAACTCGGCGTCGGAATGGGCACTGTCGGCAGGCGAAGGGGCGTCGGGCAGCTGCCAGTCGGCGACGGACAGCGGCCCGGCGTCGTCGTCAGACATGTCGCCGGACATGACGGGACTCAACAGCATGTCAGCCAGGAGGCACGAGTGCCGAGAGGGGACGACACGGCCAAGAGCGGTCGGGGGGTTATACAGGACGGGGGCTCAGAGGCTTTCGGTGGTCAGAATGCCGGGGAGAGCCAGAGCCAGGCCGTGGGCTGGGCCAAGCCGGGCTGGATGAGAGTCTACCGGCGATGGAGGATACGAGACGAGAGGCGTCGTGGATGGCAGGTCCCAGGTTGCGAAGCCAGCGGTATGGAGCGCATGTCTCAATTGCCGCAGGTCCTGGCAATCCTCGCCCATGAGACGGGCAGCCACGGACTTGCCCTCGGGCAGTGAGGGACGCGATTGGGGCTGATGAGGTGAGAACCGGGGGGAGAGGTGAGGGTGAGATTTACGGCTGACGAGGAGGAGTGAGAAGTGAGGAGCGCGCGGAGAGTAGTAGCGAGAGAAAGAGGTGAGCGGGAAGATGGCCTATGACAGGCAAGCGCGGGTGCTGTACATGGTAGGGTGCGCGATAACTTGATGCTCTGTATGTATCTGTACCTATGTTCGTCACTCAGAGGTACTTCATTGCGGTGGGTACCGGTAGGTGGAAGCTCAACCAGCCCACGGCACGGTGAAAAGTAGTCCCCCGTAGAGGAAAGGTATAGTGCAAGGTACGAGGCAGGCCATGCTGTAAGCGAGGCAGTACTTTGCTTCCAACCACCAGTATCTGCCTCGGTACCGCGGAGGGGACCGTGTACGGTACAAGTATGCAGTAACGCCAGGGCCTCCTTCCAGTGCTGTGCCCGAGGACGAGGATGACAGGAGGGGCAGCAGAAAGAAACTTTGAATAATGGCTCTTTCCGTGTACCTATCCTTTCAGGTAAGGCAGGTGCTTTTCCCGGTACCTCCCCAGGAACCTGACCCATGGCGGGCTAGTCCGTTGCCAGTTGGGTAAAGGGGGAGGGAGGGCCACACGGCATGGGGCTCCCCTGCTGCCGCGTCGTCACCAAGGTCGGCGCTTGAACGGTCGATGCAGTAATAGCTAACTCATTGAGCCGCCATAGGGCGCCAGGGAGCCTTGACAGGGAGCCTGCAAGCGTTGAATGCGATGGTATTTCGCGTAATATATCCAAAGTCGAGCTCTCGCAAAGTCGAGCATTCGATCACATGGACAGGACGGGACAATGTTCAGGGTACAAATACTTGGTCGTCGTCACCGAAACATGGGCCCGCCGTGGCGTGCACAGCAAACTCTCGTCTCCCCTCCCTCGACCGTGCCGGCGGACTGCACCGCTAGTAGGGCTTGAGGGAAGGCCCTATAGCGGAAGGCGCTCACTGTAATTAGACCAGCGTCGAAGGATGGAAGGGCAAGGATGGAAGGGCCACTTGGGCTAGCGAGGTCATGTCAATTGGGCTTCGGTTGGTGCCTGGCCGGATATCGACTCTGCACCCGCCTTCTCCATGTTCGCTTTCGAGGAAGAGCGGTGATGGGCGGATCTTGACGGGTCAAGCAAGGTACAGTACTTTTTGGACAAGCTCTTAGGCGAAGGTACTGCACTGTTTAGCTCGGTAGCCTGGGGGTCCTGGCTCTTAACACGTACTGTACTCGCCATGTCCATGCTGCTTATGCCGAGTGGGTAAGGTCGGTAAAAATACCGCCAAAGTACCTACTCTCACGAGCTGCCTAAACAGAAGTCATGCTGGCAGAACAGGACCCGGGGAGGGCTTGAAGCGAGGTGCAGTGGAGAAGAGACGAGGAGACAAGCCGGGGGGGGGGGTTGCGCAAAGATGTCAAATGTGAGGTTGCCGAAGGTACAGTACAGCCTACCAACTTTATACATACCTAGATTCAAGCATTCACGGGACGCAACCTAATAAGATACGACGCTCTGTCACTGGAGAATGCCCAAGCAGTCAAGGTAGGTAATTAGGTATGGCTATGTAGTGGCTGATGTATACATAGAATGCACGCATCTAGCATCATCAATGTTTACCTACTCCTACCTCGTAGTGGTAATAAGGTTCGACGTTGTGGAAGACGTTGTCAACTAGCCTCAAAACTCAAGCTGTGGCTTCTATTCGCCAATGGGAAGAAGCCAGTTTCTACGGATCCTTTTGACGAGCATCTGGACGGTACTCCATACACGACACGTACCTGCCTGCTACTTTCTCTGCCAGGCCCAAATACGAGTTATGATGAGGCAGGCATAACCTGGCTAACGAGATGGTGCTCGAATACTCCGTAGTCCATACTGTGGGAGGGACCCTTGAAAATAAAACGACCCGTTAGCGTTGTCGGTTTCTTTGCTCCACCTTCTCACCTGAGAAGCTGCGAAGGCCCAGGGGATCGCCGACATTTACGATTTTATTCTGACATGAAAGCACAATTGCCTAATGTCACCCAGTAAGTTACCATGGCATGTTTTCGTCCATGTGCTGTGCGACCTGGGGTATGCCTCTTTAACATGATCAGGCGAGCGCCCTGTTCTGCCGGCCGCACTGGGTGCTAGAAGGGAGAGCTCTCCACCGGGACAAGGAACAGGCCTCGAGAGTCTGGCAGGGCTTGGCAGTTCGCGCACTGAGCATGCTCGTCCCGGTGCCGCCATTAATTACCAAGCACTTCAAAATATGCCTTGAAGCGTCCTGATGCGGATTTGCCAGGCAACCAGTGCCTGATATCAGCTCGCTGCCTGTGCCTCTAGCTTCGAACCGTTTTTCTACATGGACGAGGTTGGCAGATGGCCCTGGGGTAGAGAGAGGCTCGAGCTGATGCCAAAGGCCGACCGACGATGGCGGAGAGTTTACGAGTACATGTGTGCACTTGCTTGATGTGCAACCCAACTGTGCTGCCTATCCGCCTGACCTTGTACCCTGCACATGAATACGAGTGGGATCCAGTCCATCCCGCAGCACGCGAGGCAGCACGCGAGGCAGCACGCGACAGTCGTCGGGTCTCGGGCCGGTGAGGGGGAAGAGGCAGAAGGGATGCTTTGGAGAGTCTATTTCGCACAGCTAGATTGAATATACGTAGACGGGATTCCTCGGCCTCGGACGGGAGCCGACCCGGGACGGCGGGGCGGGCGGGCTCTCAAACCAGACGAAAGGGGCAACGACAGCGGCATGCACCAGCGAGTGCATTGATATTTAAAGTTTACAGAACCCGCCATCGGAACGTTGTCCGGCGGGTACATGCGTTTCGACAGCAAACACCAACTTCCTCCTGGGAGGATTAGGACCTTTCTACGGCCAGGGCACACGGACAGGTGACCTCGACGCTGCCTACGTGCTCCCCAATCTCGGAGTCCCTCTTTCGTTTCAGTAGGGGCGGTTTAGCCTTGTTTGCGAGAAACGAGCAATCACGTGTCGACGGTTGAATGATACGAGCTAGATCTCCATCTCGAGTGGAGGACGGCCCCGTATCTGCGAGAAGCAAAAGCCGCACGCATTGGCCGAGCCGTGTCTGGCAGGACGGAGTCGCCGTAGCAAGCATTCCAGAGCCGTTTTAGGGACGCTTGGTCAGGACGAATCCCGAGTCGCCTTCCCTAGGTCATGTGGCGTCTGGACTGGTGAGGAGGTTCCATCAATTACATATAGGTACTCCGTATATCAGGAAGGATTGCGTTAAGCCACCGCTTCCGGAACCCAGGGCGGTTCGGGAGCGTCGAGTTGTCAACGCCTTGCATATGAAGGACTGCAAGTTGTTGCTTCCTTGTCCATATGCACATCATGGTCGGCACCGCCTCCGGACGCCGCGGCCTTGGCATTTCCAACGGCTTCCGACTCGATCGATCCGAATTGCACAAAGCCTTGCTATCGCCGCTGGACCGAAACCCCTCCCCGCTTCCCGTTGTCCCGACGGGCTCTCTGGCTCTGATTCGCCGAGGTCGCGTGATAGTGTTTCGGCTATCGGGGCTTCACATGATGGGTCTCGGCGCGCCCCGAGCGTCCGCCAAGTGCAGCAGAGCCATCAAGGTCGCTTGAAGCCGTTGCGTGCGAACTTGCCAAGTATTACTTATGTGCTGTACACAAAAGCAGCTTCCCGGGGCTTTTGTTCATCACGCACGGGACCAGGAGGATGATCCTACCTCGGCCCCCTTTTGTCCATGACTGGTGGAGCGCCCAGGAGGTTCTTGCACGGTGTCTATTGCGTGCCCGTAGGCTATTCTATGGGCCAGCGAATCGGTGCCATTACCACTGCCGTCTCGAATGAACCGTACTTGCCAGTGGGCTTTTGAGAGGCCTACGTACCGCTGCGCCGTTGATGAATGTTCCGTTCAGATGCCGTCTGCTTCGGGCAGTGTCCGGCGCCACTGGCATGAGATGGACAATGAATGTCTGCAGTGGATCGAGGCTACGAATAATAATACTGCCTGTAATATATGATCGTTTCTCCAACCGCGCGCGGCTCTTCTGTTTCCGGCAACGGCGGCGAACAGTCCAAGCATTCAATTGCCTGCCTACCATGCGCGAGGCAGCGCAAAGAACCAACAATGGTAGAAGGACTCAATATATGGAACCTGTATCAATTGCGCAAGAGGCAACGCTGACGAGTCCAAGGAGTGGTCCGATTGATTGAAAGCTTGAAGGCCCGTCTGCTTGCCCGTCTGCTTGATGAAGCTCCAAGTCGGGTGACAGCCTATAGTCCCCAGATCATTTCGTGGAGCCGGGGTTGAGACATTTCTATAATTTCATCCCTACCATGGACGTACGCGGACACGGTCAGCCTGACTCGGGTGCTTAAAAAGATATTTCCTACGACACGTGTTGTGATGATCAGTCTGATGGATTGAAGAAGGGGTGCGCAGGTGTAGGACAGAGTACATGACGTGGGGCCCCAGGTACTCACTTGCCCAGGCTTCTCTAGTAGGAGGACCAAGTACCCCGGGCCCCTATCGCTGTATCTACCTGTAGGCGCTTGTCCCTGGACCCCGGGATTCTGCCCCTCTCTTCCGCTCCCGATGACGACTTCACCGCAATAGCTGCACGCCCAAACCGCATCTCCAACTTCTCACCCCGGCTCTGGCGTCCACTCTCTCCATCGCGTCCCCATGGCGGCCCCCGACTCGGTCGCGGCCTTTCTTGCCCATGCGAGCAGCCATGGCGGCGGCACCGTCGTCCGAGGTACGAGTGCAAATGCTTGCCTGTCAAGCCATCCTCACCCGGCGCGATCTCTTCAACGTGGCACGTCAATCACTGACTCTCGTTCCCTGGCAGAGCAGCCCAAGCTTGATCTCGATCTCTACGTCCAAAACTACGTCGGCACGTTCTTCCCCGCCAGCCTCGCCCCCCGCTATCTAACCTTGGCATCTCTACATAGGCCGCACTCGATTCGACCGCCTCCTCTTCATAGGCAAGACGTGCCTCCCGCTCTGCGTCGATGCCCTCAAAGCAGCCATCCTCGAGGCCAAGCAGGGGCTTGACGTTGCCCGCTACAAGGACGCCTGGGACTGCATCAGGCAGGCCGCGCCCCAAGAGCCAGAGGCCCAGAGAGACGATGCCTGGATAGACCGCACCGAGGCGGCAAATAAGGCCGAAACGTCGCGCCTCGAGGCAGAGCTCAAGGGTTACAAGAACAATCTCATCAAGGAAAGCATTCGGGTAAGAGCCCTCATCGCGTGCCCCTCTCTCCCCTCTTCCTCCCATCCCCTCCTCGCCATCCCGCCCACTAACTCGCCTGCAGATGGGTAACGAGGACCTGGGCAGGCATTTCGAGACCATAGGAAAGCTCCAGGAGGCCTTGGAAGCCTACGGACGCATGCGCCAAGATGTCAGCACAACAAAACACATTATCGACTGCGGCAAGCACCTCGCCCACGTGTCGCTGCAGCGCCGCGACTGGACGACGGCCCTCAGCACCGTGGGCAAAACTGCTGGCGTGCAGAATAGCGACGACGAAAGGTCCACCTACACATTCATCAAGATTGTCTCGGGCATCTCACACCTCGGCATGGGCCATTACAGTGACGCTGCCCAAAGCTTCCTCCAGGCCGACTTCGTCGTGTCGCCTAGCGAATACGCCCACGTCGCGAGCCCCAACGACGTCGCCATCTACGGCGGTCTCACTGCCCTCGCCACCATGGAGCGCCGGGATCTGCAGCTGCGAGTCCTTGAAAACCTTGCCTTTCGCATGTTTCTCGAGCAGGAGCCGCACATTCGCAAGGCCATCAGCCTCTTCATCAACGGCCGATACTCGAGCTGTCTGGCCATACTAGAGTCTGCGCGCCCAGACTACTTGCTGGACATTTACCTCCACAAACACATACCGGACATCTACTCCAAGATTCGGAGCAAGTGCATCGTGCAGTACTTTGCGCCCTTTTCTTGCGTCACCATCGACAGCCTCGACGCAGCCTTTGGTCAGACGGGACGGTCCGTGGAGCCAGAGCTTGTCAAGATGATTCGCGATGGACCGTTGAAGGCTCGCATTGACGGCAAGGACAAGGTACGCGTCTCCCCTTTCGCTGTACCTGCATGTGCAAGGCATGGCTGACCTGTTTTGGGTCCATAGCTCTTGGTGGCTGTCCGCCCGGATCCTCGGGCCAAGATGCAGATCGAGGCACTCGATGTAGCCCGCAAGTACGAGCGGGAAGCCAAAGAGCGGCTGCGGCGCATCAGCCTCGTTGCCGCCAGCCTCGAGACAGTCGGGGCCAACAGGAAGCAAACGACGGGCCACGCGTCGGGCCTCAACACGGACGAGTCTTGGTACGACGAAGGCAGGAACCTCGTGCAAGCGGGCGGGGCCCCAAGCGAGAGTCAAGGCTGACGCTAGCACGATTACATCGAGGTTAAAGGGGCCGCGACCGTTAAAGGGGCCGCGACTGGCAGTCGTGGATAGACAAGGGGGGAGACTGGTAGAACGGGCCTTGCTGACGAGTCTTTGGCTGTCTGACCACCGGGGGAGGGTGCTCTCATTGGTTGTGTGAGACGTGGCAGTTGACTGCCGCCATGTAATTCTGGACCTGGAGTTCAGGGGGAAACGGTTATCACGGCATCGAACCGGTGGCACCTTGGCCGTGGATCGTGGCGCAGGAACAGGTATGTGCCGGGGGGGCGAGGGGCGTTTGCACTCATCTCTGGTTCCGAGCTGCCCCCGAGGCTACCGCTTGGGGCTAGAACGCCGCAACAGGGAGAAACAGGTCTATTGCTCGTGAGCACTTGTTCCCGGCTTGTGCCCGGCTTGCTTGCGCCCGGCGCCCAAGCGCAGCTCGTCGAAAGTGACGCTACACATGCAACCACGCAAACACGTCCATGCCGTGCTCGATCCTGTAGCTACCCATTTACCATGCCGCGCATCGCACCAAGGACAAGGCACGACAACGCATCGGTTTCGAATGTAGTGACCCGGCCCGCCGCCGCCGCCGCCGCGCTCCTTACAGCGTATTCCGCACACGTCGCCTGTCTTGGCTTTGAACCGCACAGCCCCCCCTTCTCCCCCTTGTTTCTTCTTCCATTTCATCCCATCAGCTGCCTCAGGTTCTCTGGTGGCCACCTGACCTGGGCAAAGGTGAGACAGCGCTTGATGCTCTGGAGGAACTTGCGCGTCACCTCGTCGCCCATGACGTGGCCCTTTTCGCCGCCATGGAGCTTCTCGCGGGCGCTGCGCTCGTGGATGCCGACCATGGTGACGCCAATGGGCCAGGCGGCCTTGCCGATGCTCAGGCGCAGGTAGCCGTCGTTTGCGTCGACGTAGCGCCGCTCCTGCAGGGCCTTCACGATCTCGATGATGGGCTCGATAAGTGAGTCGTCGAGGTCGCCAGCCTCGAACTTACGGAAGAGCTATGGGTTGGGGGGAGGTAAAGTCAGCGGGCTTGCCTGCGGGAGGAGAGGGTAGCAAGGGCTTTCAAGCTTGGGTTTTCTCTTCCCCAGACCTACCGGTTTCATGTTCTCTCTTGTCTGCACCATGGCGCTGTACGCCGTCTTGCCTGCCGTCGTGTCCCTCCTTTCGTTCTCCATGGCCCGCTCGTACTCGGTCAGGACCATGGTAAAGTAGCTAGCCAGCTGCCTAAACAGCCACTTGCGGCCCTCGCCGTCGCGGGGCATCGTCCCGTCCACCCTCATGTCTTTTTCCTCGACGAGCTCGAGCGTCGTGGGTATCGGGCCATCTGTCACCAGCGTCTTGAGCTTGCGGTACCGCCGCAGTCGCGCCGCGTGCGACTCGCCAAACAGCTTCGCCGGCTGCCCCAGCGCCCGCAGCTGGGCAACGAGCTCCGGCTCGGGCAGGTCCTCGACGCCTCCCGCCGCCGCGCCGTCCTCGTCACCGTCGCCCTTGTCCTCGTCTAGGTCCGGCAGCCCCAGGCGTTTCCTCCGCGCCCGCTCCTGCTCCCGCTCTTGCTCCTGCCGCCGCCGCCGCGCCTCCTCGGCCAGCCGGCGGCGCTTGTCCTCGCGCGCGGCGTTGTCGGCGGCCACCTCGTCCTCGCGCTTGCGCTTGGCCGCGGCCTTGGCCTCGCGTTCGGCCTCGAGGGCTTTTTGCTCGGCCAGGTAGGCTGCTGTGCGCTGGGCCTCGACCTCGGACCGCTTCAAATATTTCTTCTCCCCGTCGGCGGTGGCGGCGGTGGCGGCCGTAGGCTTCTTGGACTTGGACAGCTCCTTGTTCATCAGCGCCGCAAAGTCCATGGTCGGCGTTGCGGGCCCATGCCTTGGGCGTGGATCCTAGCAGGCGGTGGCGGGGGCGGGGATTGCGATTGTCAAAGTTGCAGGAGTAAGGAGTAGATGATTCGTATCCTGCCTGAGGTAATCTCACGTGGTTGAAAGTGGCGATGCTTGTTTGGTCACTTCGGTGCGTGATGTCTGAACGCAATGATGCAGCTGGCGGGTGTTATCGATTGTCGGCAGCTGCCGGATAATCTTGTCCCCGGCCCTGGAGTAACAGCCGCGCTCTGCGTTTGCACTGCTGCATTTCGTACCCCGAACCATCGCACCACCTGCAATGTCCTCAAAGCCGCAAAACACGGATGGGAGGCTTGCCAAAGTCTTTTTCCCTGCTCTTTGATCTTCCCACGGGGCAGCCATGTCGTCTACTTCTGAAGACAGCGATGGCGATCTCCCAGCGCCTTTCCTAGTGCATCTCGTCTACCGGACCAGCGCGTTCCACCGGTAAATCTCGCCGGCTCTGCGAGAAACTGGGCCTGGTCCTTGCCGAGGCTGACTTCCCTGCCCAGGCCCGATGAGTTTACTCCGACTTCTCTGCCACCCCATGTTTCCTTCTACACATGGCCACACTGCACGCTGAGCGAGCTTGCGATGGAGCTCGCAGCGTCCAAGCCCTCGGCGCTCCCTTACCCTGCCATCGGCACCCGGCTGGCCTTCCAGCTCGTATATCCTGATCTCCGAGGCGCACCTCCGGTCAACGACACGTCGCCTCGTTACGCAGTCAAGGATCTCGGCAGCATCGTCATCGGACAAGGCGGGCCAGGGGCGGAGACTTCTGGATTTGGCGACTCAGTCAGCGCATCGAGAGGGGAGCAGGATATCGGGAGGACGCTTGGTGACGCACGGTTCGTCGTGGGGGACTATGTGTCCTGCGCGATCCTGCCGCCGCTGTCGGATGGATCAGTAGCGCCGGCTTCCAACGCGAGGAGGGATGTGAGCTCTGGTTTGCGCGATGCTCGAGGTCAACGAGGTGGCTATCGCGGTCGAGAGAACGGCTTCGCGCGCGGCGGGAACCATGGCGGTCGTGGCGGAAGGAGGGATGGGAGTGGAGGAGGTGCAAGGTTTCCAATGGGAGAGTGGAGGCGGGGGGAGGCCTTGCCAGATGCGCCGCCCGCCAGACCTCGTGGTGGCGGTGGTCGCTGGTGATGGAAGAGGCCATGGCAGGGAGGAAGTATATATCAAGATACCCAATACCCAGACAACAGGAAGAGATATTCGAGAGGTCGCTGTGGAACTCCCGCGTCTCGAGCGCCGGCGGACTCGAGCCGCAATCTCTATTCGGGGCCGAATCCATCATATGTACAAAGCTCCCACGCCACCCGCCGGATCAGTCCCTCATCGCTCGTAGACCGAGTCGCCCTTTCGCTTGCCGCGCAGATCCCATAGGCCCTGGATCGGGGTTAGCCACGGGTCTTTACACCAGAGAAATGCCCAAGCTCCACGTCCACTTACGTCGTTCTTGTATGCCATGTACCCGGCGATGGCGGGCACTACAACCAAGTACATGATGGTGATTTTCGCGTTCCGCGGAGTCCACCGGAAGTAATGGTGACGATTTTTCTGCATAGCTGTTTTGAGAGAGGCCGTTAGTAGATGACGCGGGGAGCTTCGAGGGAGGCAGTTTGGCTTTACGCACCTTGCAACTTGAGGTACGCCGGGTCCGGCTTGACGTCTGCACGCGATGGGGTCAGCAAATCGTTCGGTTCATGGATGAGGGACATACTGAGGTGCGCCATCTTGGTGGGTTTGCGTCGGTTGTCCCTCTCTCTTGGGTTGTGTGCTTGGCTGGCTGCTGTCGCGATGGCGTTGATAAAGCCGACGCTGCATCGCTGGAGGGAATGGGTGCCGCGGATTATGTAATGCGCTTGCGGCCTGCGTGCCACATGCCTACCCTACAGACGCGGGGCCACGACAGTGACGATGAAAATAGCCTCAAGTCAGGAAATTCAGAAGTGATGCTCAATAAACGGCTCAAAAATCTATGGTTTAGGCGTAATGTTGCTCTGGCCGACTTCTTCACAAACATCTCCTTAAATAGTTGAGCTACTGCTCCCAGACTTATCAACCCTGCCTTCGATAGAAAAACAGAGCCGTAGAGTGCGACGCAAAAAGTTGATATACAAACAAGTCACTCGTGTCAAGCATCAACAGAAAGCAACAAGCAATGGCTATACGGCCACACCTTTATCACGTATTGAAGTCTGCACCAAAGTTCACCTCAGATCGCCATGCACCGACGCTCAGCTGGCCACACTGGACTGGTAACAAGCAGTACAGTATCGTCAGCGGTCGGTCACGTGACGAATATAACAGTTATTACCTAAGCCTTATCCCTTCCCTGAAACTTCCCCAGAAAATTGTCGCGACGGAGGCAAGGAAGTTTCCTCCATCGACATCACCTTGATTGTCGCCGTGCATCCCTGCCAGACTAGCCCAAGTTAACTTTGCAAGGATCTCTGAACCGGGACTCGAAGCACAGCTCAGTCCAGCGCTGGGGCGGCCGGAACCCTCGGCTCGCCGCACCGACGCGCCTCAGCGTGTAGCCTCGAATCGCCAAGCTTCACGACCAGACCTGTCTATCGAAGGCATCGTGAAGCCATCATGTCAGACGTCCCTCCACCGCCCCCCCCCGGCTGGGGCCCGCCTCCTCCTCCGCCGCCTCCTCCGCCTCCCTCCTCGTCGATGCCCCCCCCTCCGTCGGTGCCAGCACCTCCGCCACCGGGGCACCAACCTCACTTGGACCTCAAGATCGCCAAGTTCACGCAGAAGAAGAAGGAATGGCTTCGGAGCCAGCGCAACAGATTTGGCGAGAAGCGAAAGGCCGGCAGCGTTCAGACTCAAAAGGCCGACATGCCGCCCGAGCACCTGCGAAAAATCGTCAAAGACATCGGCGACGTCTCCCAGAAAAAATACACAAATGACAAGAGAAGCTATCTCGGCGCCCTCAAGTTCATGCCACACGCGGTCATGAAGCTCCTCGAGAACATGCCCATGCCGTGGGAGTCGGCGCGAGAGGTCAAGGTTCTCTACCATGTCAACGGCTGCCTGACACTGGTGAATGAGATTCCCCGTGTCATCGAGCCCGTCTTTTTTGCGCAGTGGGCCATGATGTGGACGTTTATGCGCAAAGAAAAGGCCGACCGAAGACTGTTCAAGCGCATGCGCTTCCCCCCCTTCGATGACGAAGAACCGCCCCTGTCGTGGTCCGAGAACATTGAAGACGTCGAGCCCCTCGAGCCTATCCAGATGGAGCTTAACGATGAAGAGGACGAAGCCGTCTACGAGTGGTTCTACGACCACCGCCCACTCCTAGACACGCCGCATGTCAACGGCCCCAGCTACAAAACTTGGAACCTGACACTGCCTCAAATGGCCACGCTGTTCCGTCTCAGTCGATCGCTCGTCTCCGAAGTTGTGGACAAGAACTACTACTACCTCTTCGAACTCAAGGGCTTCTTGACGGCCAAGGCCCTCAATGTCGCTCTCCCTGGAGGACCACGGTTCGAGCCCCTCTACAAGGACATCGACCCCAACGACGAGGATTTTGGCGAGTTCAACGCAATCGACCGCATCATCTTCCGCAACCCCATTCGCACGGAATTCCGCGTCGCGTATCCCTACCTCTACAACTCACTTCCTCGCAGTGTCCACCTCTCCTGGCACTCTCACCCGCAGGTTGTCTTCAATCGGGCCGACGATCCAGATCTCCCGACGTTCCATTTCGACCGGCGGATCAACCCCATTTCGTCGCGAACCGTGGCCCCGAAGAATGTGGACGTGCCTCACGAAGACGAGCTTTTCGGATCGGGAAGAAACGAGGAGGCTGAAGATGAAGCGTTCGAACTGCCTGCCGATGTGGAGCCCTTTCTTGTGGAAGAGGAGCTTGATGGCGATGACACTTCGGCAGCCATTGAGCTGTGGTGGGCACCGTACCCCTTCAACAGACGCTCTGGCCGCATGGTCCGCGCCCAGGATGTCCCCCTCATCAAGCAGTGGTATCTTGAGCACCCCCCTTCTGATCGGCCGCCTGTCAAGGTTCGAGTCTCGTATCAGAAGTTGCTGAAGAACTTCGTCCTTAACGAGCTCCACAAGAAGACCCCCAAGGCACACAACAAGCAGAACCTGCTCAAGTCGCTGAAGCAGACAAAATTCTTCCAGCAGACCAGCATCGACTGGGTAGAAGCAGGCCTGCAAGTCTGCCGCCAGGGCTTTAACATGCTGAATCTCCTCATCCACCGCAAGAACCTCACCTACCTCCACCTCGACTACAACTTCAACCTGAAGCCCGTCAAAACCCTCACAACCAAGGAGCGGAAGAAGTCCAGATTCGGAAACGCTTTCCACCTGATGCGGGAAATTCTGAGACTGACCAAGCTCATTGTGGATGCTCAGGTCCAGTATCGCCTGGGCAACATTGATGCCTTTCAGCTGGCCGACGGCATTCTCTATGCCTTCAACCACGTCGGACAGCTGACTGGCATGTATCGATACAAGTACAAGCTCATGCATCAGATCCGGACGTGCAAGGACCTGAAGCATCTTATTTACTATCGATTCAATGCTGGTCCTGTCGGCAAGGGCCCGGGCTGCGGCTTCTGGGCTCCTGCATGGAGAGTGTGGCTGTTCTTCATGCGAGGCATAATCCCTCTCCTCGAAAGATGGCTCGGAAATCTCCTATCCCGCCAGTTTGAGGGCCGTCATAGCAAGGGTGTTGCTAAGACTGTGACGAAGCAGCGTGTTGAGTCTCATTTCGACCTCGAGCTCCGCGCGTCCGTAATGGCCGACCTCATGGACATGATGCCGGAGGGCATCAAGCAGAACAAGGTCAACACGGTGCTCCAGCATTTGTCTGAGGCCTGGCGATGCTGGAAGAGCAACATTCCGTGGAAGGTCCCTGGCTTGCCGGCTCCGATCGAGAACATCATTCTGCGGTACGTCAAGTCAAAGGCCGATTGGTGGATCTCGGTGGCGCATTACAACCGCGAGAGAATCCGGCGAGGAGCGACGGTGGACAAGACTGTCGCAAAGAAGAACGTCGGTCGCTTGACGCGACTGTGGCTCAAAGCCGAACAGGAGCGGCAACACAACCACATGAAGGATGGCCCCTACGTCTCATCAGAGGAGGCAGTGGCTATCTACACTACGACTGTCCACTGGCTCGAATCGCGAAAGTTTTCACCCATCCCCTTCCCCAGTGTCTCGTACAAGCACGACACCAAGATCCTGATCCTTGCCCTCGAACGACTGCGAGAAGCATATTCGGTCAAGGGGCGTCTCAACCAAAGCCAGAGAGAGGAGCTGGCTTTGATTGAGCAAGCTTACGACAGTCCCGGTACCACGTTGGAGAGGATCAAGCGGTTCCTGCTCACCCAGCGAGCGTTCAAGGAAGTCAACATTGATATGAACGACAACTACAGCACAATCAACCCGGTGTACGACATTGAACCCATCGAGAAGATTAGCGACGCGTACTTGGACCAGTATCTCTGGTACCAAGCTGATCAGCGGCACCTTTTCCCGGCGTGGATCAAGCCGTCCGACTCGGAGGTTCCGCCGCTGTTGGTGTATAAGTGGGCCCAAGGCATCAACAACCTGAGCCAGGTGTGGGAGACCAAGGATGGGGAGTGCAACGTTATGATCGAGACAGAGCTGTCCAAGGTCTACGAAAAGATGGAGTTGACACTGCTCAACTCGCTGCTGAGATTGATCATGGATCACAACTTGGCCGATTACATCACCGCCAAGAACAATGTCCAGCTCACGTACAAGGACATGAACCACGTCAACAGCTACGGAATGATCCGCGGCCTTCAGTTCTCTGCGTTTGTGTTCCAGTACTACGGGCTCGTCCTGGACCTCCTGCTCCTGGGCCCGCAGCGGGCGAGCGAGATTGCGGGCCCGCCCCAGAGCCCCAACGACTTCCTGCAGTTCCGAGATCAAGAGACGGAGACGAGACATCCCATTCGCCTCTACAGCCGCTACATTGACAAGATATGGGTTTTCCTGCGATTTACGGCTGAAGAGTCCAGGGATCTCATTCAGCGGTTCCTCACGGAGCAGCCTGACCCCAACTTTGAGAACGTCATTGGCTACAAGAGTAAGAAGTGCTGGCCGAGAGACTCGCGCATGCGCTTGATGCGGCATGATGTGAATCTTGGCCGAGCAGTCTTTTGGGATCTCAAAAACCGCCTGCCTCGGTCTGTTACCACGATCGACTGGGATGACAGCTTCGTCAGTGTGTACAGCCGCGACAACCCCAACCTGCTGTTCTCGATGAGTGGCTTCGAAGTCCGGATTCTCCCCAAGATCAGGAACAGGAACGACGAATTCGCGGTCAAGGACAGCGTGTGGTCTCTGGTGGACAACACGACAAAGGAGAGGACGGCGTATGCGTTCTTGCAGGTCACAGAGGAAGACGTCCAGAAGTTCAACAATCGCATCCGGCAGATCCTCATGTCTTCTGGCTCCACCACGTTCACCAAGATTGCCAATAAGTGGAACACGGCTCTGATTGCGCTCTTCACCTACTATCGTGAAGCTGCGGTCTCCACCATCGATCTCCTGGATACGATTGTCAAGTGCGAAACCAAGATCCAGACCAGAGTCAAGATCGGACTTAACTCCAAGATGCCTTCGCGTTTCCCCCCGGCAGTCTTCTACACGCCCAAGGAACTCGGCGGCCTGGGCATGATTTCCGGCTCTCACATTTTGATCCCCGCGAGCGACAAGCGCTGGTCCAAGCAGACCGACACGGGCGTCACGCACTACCGAGCCGGCATGTCGCACGACGAGGAGACGTTGATCCCCAACATCTTCCGATACATCATACCTTGGGAGTCCGAGTTCATCGACTCCCAACGTGTCTGGACGGAGTACTCTCAAAAGAGACAGGAGGCGAATCAGCAAAACCGTCGCTTGACGCTGGAAGACCTTGAGGACAGCTGGGATCGCGGCCTGCCCAGAATCAACACGCTCTTCCAGAAGGATCGGAGCACGTTAAGCTTCGACAAGGGGTTCCGCGCCCGAGCAGAGTTCAAGATCTACCAGCTCATGCGCAGCAACCCGTTCTGGTGGACCAGCCAGCGACATGACGGCAAACTGTGGAATCTGAACGCCTATCGTACAGATGTTATCCAAGCTCTAGGTGGTGTGGAGACGATTCTGGAGCATACCCTCTTCAAGGCGACCGGATTCCCATCCTGGGAGGGTCTCTTCTGGGAGAAGGCTTCAGGATTTGAAGAGTCCATGAAGTTCAAGAAGTTGACCAACGCCCAAAGGTCCGGTCTCAACCAAATTCCTAATCGGCGCTTTACCCTCTGGTGGTCGCCGACCATCAACCGAGCCAACGTGTACGTCGGTTTTCAGGTGCAGCTTGATCTCACAGGCATATTCTTGCATGGCAAGATTCCGACCCTCAAGATCTCCCTCATCCAGATCTTCCGCGCGCATTTGTGGCAGAAGATTCACGAGTCCGTTGTCATGGACCTCTGCCAGGTGTTTGATCAGGAGATAGAGTCGCTTGGTATTGAAACCGTGCAGAAGGAAACCATCCATCCCCGAAAGTCGTACAAGATGAACAGCTCTTGCGCGGACATTCTTCTTTTCGCCAGCCACAAGTGGAACGTTACGCGGCCGTCGCAACTGCACGATACCAAGGACGTAATTGAGTCCACGACGACCAACAAGTTTTGGATCGACGTGCAGCTCCGGTATGGTGATTACGATTCTCACGACATTGAGCGTTATACACGCGCCAAGTATCTGGACTACACGACCGACAGCGCAAGCATCTACCCGTCCGCCACCGGACTGATGATTGGCATCGACCTCGCCTACAACCTGTACGCGGCCTTTGGCATGTACTTTCCGGGGCTGAAGATTCTTGTCCAGCAAGCCATGGCCAAGATCATGAAGGCAAACCCGGCACTCTACGTCTTGCGTGAGCGTATTCGCAAGGGCTTACAGCTGTACGCATCCGAGAGCAACCAGGAGTTCCTCAACTCGCAGAATTACTCGGAGCTGTTCAGCAACCAGATCCAGCTCTTCATTGACGACACCAACGTCTATCGCGTCACCATCCACAAGACGTTTGAAGGCAACTTGACCACCAAGCCCATCAACGGCGCCATCTTCATCTTCAATCCCCGAACCGGACAGCTCTTCTTGAAGATTATCCACACCAGCGTCTGGGCAGGACAGAAGCGTCTGGGTCAGCTCGCCAAGTGGAAGACTGCCGAAGAAGTGGCAGCCTTGATTCGGTCACTGCCCGCCGAGGAGCAGCCGAAGCAGCTGATTGTCACGCGCAAGGGCTTGCTGGATCCCCTCGAGGTTCAGCTTGTTGACTTCCCCAACATCTCCATTCGGGCTTCGGAGCTGCAGCTCCCGTTCCAAGCTGCAATGAAGGTGGAGAAGCTGGGAGACATGATTTTGCGAGCCACGGAGCCTCAGATGGTGCTGTTCAACCTGTACGACGAGTGGCTTAAGAGCATCTCGTCCTACACGGCCTTTTCTCGTCTGATCCTCATCTTGCGTGCTCTGCACGTCAATCCGGACAAGACGAAGATGATTCTGCGGCCGGACAAGACCGTCATCACCCTGGATCATCACATTTGGCCGTCGCTCTCGGACGAGGAGTGGATCAAGGTGGAAACGCAGCTTCGGGACCTCATCTTGAACGACTACGGCAAGAAGAACAATGTCAACGTGTCGAGCTTGACGAGCAGCGAAGTCCGCGACATCATCCTGGGCATGGAAATCTCGGCGCCATCCATGCAGAGACAGCAAGCGGCCGAGATCGAGAAGCAGCAACAAGAGCAGCAGCAGCTGACAGCGGTGACGACCAAGACGCAGAACGTGCACGGAGAGGACATCATTGTCACGACGACGTCCAATTTCGAGCAGCAGACGTTTGCGTCCAAGACGGAGTGGCGGACCAGGGCGATTGCGACGTCGAACCTGCGGGCGAGGACCAAGAATATCTACATTTCGTCGGTGGATAACGACTTGGACGACGTGACATACGTGATGCCCAACAACATCATCAAGCGATTCATCACGATTGCGGACCTGCGGGTGCAAGTGGCGGGTTACCTCTACGGGTCCTCGCCGCCGGACAATGATCAGGTGATGGAGATTCGGTGTATCGTCATGATACCCCAGATCGGCGGGCAGCGCACCGTGCAGCTGCCCAAGGAGCTGCCGCGGAGTCAGTTCCTGGAGGGCATGGAGCTGCTCGGCATCATCCACACCGTCTCGGGCAACGAATTGCCGTACATGTCTGCCGCCGACGTGACGGAGCATGCCCGACTGTTGGATTCCCACAACGAATGGGACAAGACCAACACGGTTACAGTGTCGGTCTCCTTCACGCCGGGCAGTGTGTCCTTGTCGGCGTGGGGCCTCACCCCCCAAGGCTACAAGTGGGGCGCGGAGAACAAGGACACGCAGACGGAGCAGCCTCAAGGGTTCACGACGACGATGGGGGAGAAGCGCAAGCTGCTCCTCAGCCCGCGGTTCAGGGGGTTCTTCCTCGTGCCAGACGACAACAAGTGGAACTACAGCTTCATGGGCAGTGCCTTTGCAGGGATGGAGAAGAAGCCGGTGCACGTCAAGCTCGACACGCCGCTGTCCTTTTACAGCGACCAGCACCGACCGGTTCATTTCCAGAGCTTTTCCGAGTTGGAGGATATTTGGGTGGACCGGCCAGACAACTTTGAGTAACGAGGACAATGCCGTCGGTGAAGAGTGACGGGGCAGAACGTTGGAGATGCAGAGGTATTGGGGCGGGGGGTTTGGCGCCTGTCGCTGAAGGCGCATCAAGGATGAAGACGAAAAAGCAACCGAACCGTGTGAGGGCGAAAGGACCGGAGCATGAGGCCGTGAGGGGGGCGGCGAAACGAAGCCAATCTGGGCAGGGGGAAGTGCGAAAGACGTGTACAGTATGCCGATGCAGCTGAATGAGAAGGCGGCGTTTAAGAGAATCGATCAATCGCAGACGGAGCAAGTGTTGGATTGATGAAGGCGGCAGTCAAAGAGGTAGTCAAGATTGCGGGCCGAGAGTATGCTTGCCACAGGAGAAGGAGACGATGAGGTTGGCCAGGAGAAGCAAATTGCCATGATTTTGAATGAGGGACGGGGCCGAGGGCCAGGCGGGAGAGCCGTGCGGGAGGCGGGATCCGGGGGGGCCCCGGGGTGCGGTGGGCGCCGAAGTCAATGGCGTTGGTGACGACGACTCGGACAGCCGACGTGGAGCTGTGGGCATTACACTTGGAGGTTGAGACAGTTAGCGGAGGAAGCAAAGAAAGGGAAAGAAGAGAGCCATGGCCAAGGGATAATTTGACAGCGGTAATGGGTAATGGGTTTATGCATGATTAAGGATTAAGCGGCGCATCCGACAGTACATGCTGTACAGGTCCGGCCGGCCGGCTGCGACGGCCAATGCCGACGAGGAAGCGCGCAAGAGTCGTCGGTCGACATGAGAGGGCACGGTAACTGCAGTTGTGTGCATAGTATGTATGCATGTGCATGTGCATGGAACGGCACAGCCTGGATCAATAATGTCATGAAGGTATTAATTGCATGTATGTACCGGCACGGGTGGGAGTCGTCGGTTCGCTTTCGAGGGAGGAGGGCATTCCCTTCCCCACGCATTTCTCGAGCAAACCCTGCCCCTGGCTCCCATTGCCATTCGATATGAATATGAATACTAATAATCTTGCATGCATAATCAGCCATGACGGTGAATGATGATGTATTGACCTTTTTCTTTCCGGGCAAAGTGTAACAAGCGCGAAAAGGCACCTTTTTGCTCTGTTATTAATATGGTCCCGCCCCGATCCCGCCGGCGAGGTACTGTTTCTCCGGACACGGCTAGGTAGGGCTACTTCGGGCAGGCCACTATAGATGATGTTAGGGCCGTCGTGTAACGTCTTAGGATCCGCACGTTATGCGATGGATCGGCCGGGGGGAAGGTTGGTTGGGGTTCGTCGGGGACCGTTGATTGCCACGCCATGAGCGCTGCGTTGGAGCCGACTGGAGAGCGGCCAGAGGGGGCGCAAGACGGCTCTGGGGGGAAGATGCTGTGGAGGGGGAAATGGGGAAGCGGGAGACGGGGAGCTGCGGCGGTATGTAGACAGGTAGGTAGGTGGGAGAGAGGATCGGGCGAGGGGGAGAATGCCGGACGAGGCGCAGCTGGAAATGCCGAGGTGGGCATAGCACTCTGCAGGAGAGCAAGCGTCTCCGGGTGGTGGCCGAGTTTGGCCCCGTCTATCAATCCTCGGATCACCATGCCATGGCGGCCTTGTTGGCGCGTCTTTACCGCCAGGTATGTACGGTACAGTACCACGGAGCGGAGACGTGTACCGTGGCTGCAGAATACGAAACGAAACACGACGGCTCTTGGGAAAGACGAGAAAAAGGAGTTGACTTGAGGGAAGCTTGCTGTTATGGACATGGGGGCCACCGCTGGTGCTCCATTCCTTTTCCGGCTGGGGTGTGGAAGGCGTCTGAGAGCCGGGGTGCCCGGTTTTTCTAATACTTTTTACTTTGCCTCGTTGCAGAAACTACTGACCAGTAGTCGAGGGCCAAGAAAGAGAGAGAGGCAATTATGGCAAGTTGGAAGGGCAAAAGGGGAGAGAAGGCTGGGCTGCGCCGCCCTAGCGGGGACGCACTTGGGCGAGCGAACAAGGTCGTCGGAAATCTCCGGGCCCAGCCAGCAGTCAGTCGCGTGAGAGATTTGAAGCGGTGGTAGTGGGTGGCGAGCCATGGCGTGGCTGGCGGCGGGCCATGTTCAGATGGGTGCGTCACTTTTGTTCCTTGTTCAAGATTCTTTCCCAGAGTCCGTCGGTTACCGGTACACGACCCCCATCTCAGGGATAAGCGGGACGACGATACCTACACTCAGTGGGAGGGCAGTAGGGCCCGTGATGGAAATGTGGCCTTGGATGGTACGCTATAAGTTATGCCATGGGACGCTATAACATTAACCTCGTCCATCAGAGAGAGGCCGGCCGGACCCGAAGGAGCTGACGGCGGGGCGGGGAGGGCGCATATTATGCCGGAGAGGGAGATATGCCATTCGTGCGAGAGAGAGAGTGCGTGAGAGTGAGTGAGCGTGAGATGATATGCCGGCTCTCGTTATAAGACGCAGTACAGTATGCTTTAGTATATAAGTTACAGGCTGCAAGTCACCCTCTCACCCTCTTGCGTGATCATGATGCACGCATCTACAGGGTAGCTATGCATGTCTTGGAAACGTAAAAAAGCCCGATGTCATGCCCGTCGGCTGGACGCAACCAACGTCTTTGTCTTGCCTTTTAGGCGTCGGGACTTGGGCAACTGCTCCATGACAAGGGCATTGTCTCCCCGGCAAAGGGTAAAAAAAAAAGCAAGACGCTTGCCGAGGAGGGGCGTGAGTGTCTCGAGCTCGGGGCGTGGACACTCGGCTAATGAATGAACGAATGACATGCACATGCTGGGCACAAGTCATGGCATGCCCCGTCCATATACCGCTGGAGCGTCGCCATCACGAGAGACTGGAGACGGGAAGAGACAGCGCGAGGTAGAAAAAGGGATTGATTGCCTGATGGTCTGCCGATTGGATTCCAGCGGTCAGGGGCCGGGGCGCTTGGACGAGGAGGACCCTCCCTCGGCTACGACACGACGAGGACAGGGGGTGGGTGGAGAGACAAAAGGTGTGATTGGTTCCCCGCAGCTGTTTTAGATGGATCGGTTGATGAAGAAAAAAAGGCGAGGAAAAAGAAAGAATGGAAGAAGGGGGCCTTGGTGGAGGATGCCATCCGGACGCTCGGAACAGGCGCGGAAGAGGGCGGGGCGGGCGAGACGCTGGAGAAAGCGACGAGGAGGGAGGTTACTGTACAGAGAGAGAGAGAGAGAGAGAGGGTCAGAGAGAGAGGAGAGGGGATTGAATGAATCGACATTGCATGCACGATGCGGCACTTGTCCTGCGGTGCGAGCCAGCTCGAGTCTTGGTTGGTCCTACATGTATGCAGTGCGTCTTTGGCGGCCGGCCTCTCTCTGACGGCGAACGGACAGATGGATAGATTAAAACCCGTGCTACTTTATTACTCTTCTTGCGGTAGGCATGCCCAGGGCACCACCACCATGGTTGTGCGCTGCTTGCTCCCTTCAGGGGGGGGGCATGACTTGTCTCGCGCTCTTTGCGTCTTGCTCGCGCGGGCTCGGTTTGCAAGGCTTCTGTTGTTTCTCAGCCCTTTTCGCCACCTCCCCCCCACGGAGCAGAGGACGAAAAGGAGGGCTCCATTTATTGCTCCTCTTTTTTCTGCCTTTATTCGATGACGACGGCGACGATGCCAGTTGACGGAACAAACGGTGCAGGTGACGGGAAACAACAGAGGGCGGGGACGGAAAGTCGGCCAAGCAAGTCGTGAGTGAGTGGAAGCGGAATACAAAAGGAGGCCAAGCAGGGCCCGGTCTTGGTCCAACGGGGCCTGAGCGGTTGCGCTCGGTGCGGCCGACGGTCGACTGACTCTCGGTCCCCCCTCGCTCACCTCCATCTCGCCCGTCCATGCTCGCGGTCAGGGTCCCCATTTTCCGCTGCTGCGCCCCCCTGATGCAGAGACCACCAGCCCGAGCGAGGGAGACGTCAGGAACCCCAAGACGAGTAAGAAGACAGACGAACACAGAGGGAAAAATTTGCCCGGTGGGCGGCCGGCGGCAGGGACCGGGTTTGTTGATAAAAGGCGCCCGCCATTCATCAGATATATCCATCCATGCCACCCACGTATCCAGACGGACAGGGGCATGGGGTCGAGGGAGAAAAAAAACGAAAAAACCACACAAACACCCCACAAGACGCGGCACTCGCCGGTGGGATGGCTGGGCTTGACTCTCGCGCCGTCTGTCGCGGTGACGAGTCCCGAGGCCACGCCCGTCTCTCGGCCGGGCCACGAGAGCCTCGTCGCCGGCTTGCCTCGTGTGTGCGCCAGCCTGCCTCCCTCTTCCCCCTGAGCGCACGGTCCAAATCATCCGTGTGCCACGAGCCAAAGCAGAGGGGAAAGAAGAAAGAAAAAAAGTCAATCCGGGAGCCGCCGCAGCCGTCTCCGACTCGTCAACCCCCCCCCCTTCTTTGAGCTTCTTCCTACTATTATCTCTCCGCCCTCTCTTGGACAAGCCCTTCCCCCCTCCCTCTCCGCCCGACTCAGCAAAAGCCCACCCGGCGGGCGGTCCGTCGCCCGTAGCCTTGCCAGGCAACAACAAATGGGGTGAAGAAAAAGGGGGGATGCCTCGTTCTACGCGGGAGGCCGTTTGTTGCTGGAAGGCAGACTTTGGCGGCTGTTGCCATGATTGGACATTGCTTTGGCTCGGGCCGCAGCCGACCGATGCTCTTCGTGCCCGACTCTTGCTTGTTGCAATGCCCCGTTGTCGTGACAGATCGCCCGCCTCCATCCCACCAACTTGGAACGAACTGCGGAATCGCTCCCTCGTTTTCCTCCCACACACTGACAAAGCGAGAGTTGCTCCCATGGCTGCCCGGACAATCGATTACCTGCTTTGTCAACGTCAAGGTCCATGTCAAGTCCTCCCCCCCCTTTCTTCAACCCATGCCTCCCTGTCCCGGCCTAGGCTTTCTTCGGCAATCTCTCGTCGGCTTGGGACTGACTGATTTGCGAACAAGCCCATGATTCACGCCTGGCATTTCCCTTCCCAGAGCTCTCCTGCTCCCTCCTCGCTGGAGAGAGAGAGAGAAAGAGAGAGAGAGAGAGAGAGAGAGAGCTCTCTGCCTCGTCTCTCCCACCCCGCTCGGCGCCCGCGGGTCTTCGTCCTGTGTGCCTCGGAAGCACCACATCACGCCGCCGTTGTTGGGTCTGCTCGTATTATAGCCCACCCAGCTCGTGCTATACCCACCCCCGTTGCCCCCTCCTCTCCTCTTCTGCTCGTCTCTTCTCGTCCGCTTGCCCTCTCCCATACTAGCCTCGCTCCCTCCGCCCTCTGGACGACGAGCAACCAACTACATCCATACGTACGCCGTGTCTGTCTCCATCGCGGCTCGCTGCTTCGAGAACGTGTCTGCGCAGCGGAAGCCGCCCCCGTCTCCACCGACTCGTCGGTCCGTAGCTGAACCTGCAGACCCAGAGAGGAGAATGCCTCCCCCCCCCGGAGGACTGCAGAAAAGAGGAGGGTACACCGGTAGCGGTGCCCATTCCGCGTGCGTATTGTGTACTGTATCTGGCAGGCTGTCGGCTGAGAAGCTTACCCTTTGAGTCTCCCTACCCCGTTGGATGGGACCCGCCTCGGCCCCTTGACCCTGACTGACTCCCTCGCGCGCCCCGGAGGGACCCTCCCTTATGCGAGGTTGCCCCGTGCCACCGAACATTAAACGAGGACAAAGTGGGCACCCAGGCATGCAGCTGCTCCGTCTAAGTGGCATCATGGGGACCTGGAATGGACGGGGCCGGGCCATGCAAGTCGTGACGAGAGCAGCGTCGACGCATCCCATCCCATCCCATCCCATCCCATCCCGTCCCGTCCCATCCTGTCAAAATGCCTTGCCTTGCCTGGCCCGGCCTTGCCCCTGCGCACTACTGCCCATGCCGGCTCTGGCATAGAGTCATGGAGTTATTTTCCGACTGGGCCTTTCCGCGCGGCTCGGCAGCTCCTCGTCCCTGGCCCTTCAGGCTGAGTCTGGCTGGCTTCCCTTCTCGTCGTCACCTTGCATCCGCCTCCCGGGGCATGGCCCCTGGCCGAGTCGACAGGGGAGAGACAGTGAGAGAGGGCGAAAAGATGGTGACGGCTCACGATCCACACCGCCGCCGCCTCGTCCCCTTCTTTGCTATAACAACAACAACCTTGCCCTCCCGCCTCCTATAACCCAAGCCCTTTCCCGCCGCCCCTCCCCCTGCGGCGTGCTACTATACTCCCCTTTCCCTCGTCGCTCCCAGAAATAAAACCCTTGCCGTCCCCGCCCCTCCCTCCTGCTTTTCCCCTTTGAGTGCGACTATAGAAGTTATATAGTCTATATAGCTATAGTTGCACTCGACTTGCCTCGTGCTCCTCTTCGTTTTCCTCCCTCCCTCTCTCTCTCCCACCTCGCATTCGACTGCCAGCCACTCTGCCGCTGCCCCCCCCCAGTCGACGACGACGAGAACGACGACGAGAACGGAGACGACACCAAGACAAGGTCATCGGCGTTACACGTAGTTGCAACGACTTGGGTCGACGACAACCAGCAACAGCCACGACACATCGGCACCGGCGACGACAGGGACAGCAAGGACAGGCCGATCCGTGCTGACGGCGTCGACAAGGTAGAGACGGGAAGCACTATACATACATACATAGAGCTACCTGCTACATGTTCTTGACGCGCCGGTCTTGCAATCCCAACATCCCGTTGTTATAGCGCCGCTGCCTGCGCACAACGCCTGCTGCCGGCCATCGCTCTCTCCCTCTCCCGGCTGCCTGCTTGATCTTCCCACCTCCCGCCCAAGGGATCCCCCCCCCTTGCCCTCCTAGCCGTGCCCATCTGGAGGCTCAAAAGTGCTTCCCCTGGCCGGAGCCCAGTCACCTGCCTACCTGATCATCACCAGTACGTACGTAGTAGACCCCTTCGTTCCCCTCCTGCTCCTCCCCCTCCGCCTCCCCCCCTCCCCCTCATCCTCCTCTTCCTCTTCGTCCCCCCCCTCCCCCCTTCTCCCCTCCCCACACCCCTCCCCCTGTTCCCCGTTGCCACACTCGCACACACACGTGCAAAAGGCCGAAATAAGAAAAATACGCCCTGCTGCTGCCTGGGTGGCCGTCGGTCCCCGACTGGGCCCACGGCTTGGCTGGCCCAAAGCAACAGGGAGCCGAAGGGAAGAGGAAACAGACACAGACACACACATACACCCTCTTCTAGCCTCATGCCCCTCCCAGATGCGCTGACGTTATCACAACTTCGCAGAGCCCCAAAAAGCAGCATACCGAACCGTCCGTCTCCGAGCCGCCGTATGGTATCGGGTTTCTTCTGAGTGCCTGGCGGGAAAGAAGAGCGTTGAGGGGTATAAGGGGTATCGAAAAGGGGCAAGCTCCTAGAAGCAAAAGAGAAAGAGACGTGGTCGGCCTCGCAGGTCTTCTTTGCGCGCGGCACATCGTCGACGACAACGCTTACTCCCTCTCTGTTTCTCTTGCCGAGCTCCGCCGGCCACCCCCTCGCCCGGCATCCCCCCCTTCGTCTCGGCGACGGCAGCCCTGGAGTAGGGCCTTGCTCCTGACCCGAAAGCAACTCTGTCCGCTCACAGCGTGGAGGCCGTCCAGAGCCGACCGCTCTGGCGGAACCCATGGGTCGACGTCACGCTGGCGGACAACTATCGAGTCGGAGGCTACAATGTGGACTACTCTGGTCAGGGTTCGCATGCGGGCAGCCTGAGCCAGCAGCTCCAGCACGCGTATTCCTCGTCGCCCGTCCACCACCATCACCAACAACAACACCAGACGCCATACCAGCCTCACCATCACCCGCCGCATCCGTATCAGCACCAGCACCAGCACCATCATCTCCCGTCGCCCGTACAGCAGCAGCAACCGCCGCCGCCGCCGCCGCAACAACAGCAACAGCAACAGCAGCAGCCGCAGCAGCAGGAGCAGCATCAACAGCAGCCACCCCAGTCGCAGCAGCAGCCGTCGCAGCAGGCCTCCTCCGGCCTCCCCCCGGGGGTGTCGTCTGCCGGTGCTAGTAGATCCAACGAGCCGTCGCCCCATGGCCATCTCCCAAGCCGCTCGATAGCCGGCGTGGGCCAGAAACAGCCCGAGCAGCAGCAGCAGCAGCAGCAGCAGCAGCAGCAGCACTCGCCCCAGGTCTCCATGGATCCGGCCGCCCACCTGCACAGCCACCGGCTCGGCCACGTGCCGTTCGGCGCCGCCAGCTCCGGCTCGACGCCGCTCTACGGGGCCGTCTCGTCGCCGACTCAGTCGCCCTACGCCTCGTACAGCGCGCCGAGCATCAAGCGATCGCGGCCCGACGACTTTGACCTCTCCGTCGTGGATCAGTCGGGCCTCGACAGTGTCCAGACGACGTCGATGGGAGCCCCGTACGGCCAGGCCGCGGCCGGCGCCTCGGACCAGCCGCCGCCCCTGCATCATCACCACCACCTCCCGGACCTCGGCCCGCCCTCCAAGTCGATGCGCCGTGAGGACTCGGGCGGCGCGCCGAGCATGGTCGGCCAGGTCGGCATGCCTTCTCCGGCGCCGAGGCCGCGCGGGCCCAAGCTCAAGTTCACGGCCGAGGACGACCAGCTGCTCATCGAGCTCAAGGAGCAGAAGAACCTGACGTGGAAGCAGATTGCCGATTTCTTCCCGGGGCGCTCCTCGGGCACCCTGCAGGTCCGGTACTGCACCAAGCTCAAGGCCAAGACGACGCTCTGGACCGAGGACATGGTACGTCGTGTTTTTGCCGTTTCTGCTCCTCTCTGTCGACTCCCCCTTGTCCCGGGGGGTGACTCGGGGGTTCTTGTTCTCGCCCCTTGCCAAACGGACGTGAAAAGCTGACTCGACCGTCGGGCCGCAGGACCAAAAGCTTCGCAAGGCGCTTCAGGACTACGAGAACGAAAAGTGGCGAATCGTGGCCCACAAGGTCGGCTCCGGCTTCACGCCCGCCGCCTGTCGAGAGCGCGCCGGGCAGCTGGCGGGCGAGGAGCCCGAGCATCTCTGGCAATCGCTCTCCCCCAAGGCGGCCTCGCTGCCGGACTCGATGGAGATGACGCACTCGCAGCGGCCGTGGTGAGGCATCAATCGAGGTTGGCGATGCAGACGAAATCCGGAAAGAAGGAGAAAATGCCCATTCGCCGGGAACCAGGAAGGGGGGGCACGATGCCCTTGACGAGCTGGTTGCCTACCTCGGCCTGCCTCTCTACGTCTCTCTGTTTATCTCTTCACTTTGTATTGAGAAAAACTTGGAACAAAGTTTTCTTTGATTTCTCTTCTACGACTTGCAAGGCTGGTGTTTATGCTGGGAGGTCAGGTCGGAAGATTTGTTGCATTTTGAATGCATGGCCTGCGTTGGAGGGCGGACGTTTAGGGGAAACGGGATGCAAAGATACCCCTGACGATTTTTGTCCTTGAAAAAGTGTATTGTAGTCATCAAAACATGGAATCATTTCTCGATTCGTCTTGATCCTTACGACTGCAAGACTTCAAGCGTGTTCTCATCATCCAAACCTTATCGCATCGCTCTTAATCAAAGAAGTCGCCGGCCGAGCTCTTCCTTGGTCAAGACGATGCCGGATTCGACCAGGTCGACCATGGCCTGGTGCGCCGACATGTCGAGGCCCGGGTCGAGGAAGGCGGCCGCGTCGATGAGCCAGCCGTTGAAGTCCCGGACCTCGGTCGGCTTGCCGGCCAGCACGTCCTGGAGCATGGAGCTGGTGTTTTCCGCCACCTTTGCGCCAAAGGCGTGCAGCATCTCGCGGAGCCGAGGCTGTGCAAAGCGGGCCTGGAGTTGCTGCTGCTGCTGCCGATTGTGGTGCTCGTCCGGGGTAATGGCCGCGAGGATCTCCGCGGCGCTCTCGTGGACGACCAGGGCTTGAAGAACGTGGCTCGTCTCGTCGAGGAGGCGATCCATGACGCGGGCGACGACGCCGCCTGGCTCTTCAAAGAGGCCGCCGTTCTTGCAGCGCAGCAAGGCGGTGAGAGGGTTGATGGACGAGTTGTACACGAGCTTCTCGAGCTGCAGGAGCCAGAGCTCGGCAGAGGAGACGGCTCTACCTTGCAGCTGCGGCGCCGAGGCGATCTGGCGCATCAGATACGCCGCGCTGGGGGGGGACGGAGCAGCAGCAGAAGCGCGGGTGGGGGACTGATTATGACCGAGGTGAACGGGGACAGGGCCGACAGAGACGTCGGCGGCGGCGGCGTGCACGCTCCGAAAGGGTCCGAGGGAGTAGAGCCCGTGGGAGGTGACACAAGCGAGGAAGCTAGGCGCGGAGCCGGCGGCCGGGTAGCGATGGGCGACGTAGGCCGGGCCGTGGGGCGGCCAGAGCTTGCAGACGCCATTCTGGGCAAAGGCGACGGAGCTTTGGGCGTCGAGGTAACGGCGCAGGCGATCGGCCTCGGGCACGGCGGCCGAGGCTTTTGTGGCGATGACGAGGCTGCGCAGCTTGCGGCCGTCGACGACCTCGCGCACGGGGCCGTGGCTCGGGGCCGTCTCGGTCCACCACTCGACGTTGAAAGCATCCTTGTCGCAGACGCTGCGGCGACCGGCGGCGCCGAGAGTGACGAGCTCGATGCCGCTGCCGGCGGCCCATTGGGAGAGGAGCTCCTTGCGGTGGACGACGAGGGTGATGGGCGGGCGGGTTGCGGGCGGGTTGCGGGCGAGGTGGCTGGCGTAGAGGCGGCCGATGTTGCCGATGCCGAGGATGAAGATGCGGCGGTCGAGGTCGTCGCCGCCCGCGGGCTCGCGGCCATGGCCATGGCCTCCTGTACCGTGCTCGGCGCCATCCAGGTTGGCCGGCGTCCAGGCAAATAGCTTGGGCGGCGGATGAGCGTCGTCCAAGTGCCTCTTGAGCCAGGCGGGTGGCTGCTGCGTGTGCGACGTCGGGGAGTGCATGGTGCTGTGAGAGGCGGATGCCGCGGCGAGACCCTTGGCGCGGAAGACGGTCGTCTTGATTAGTGAGGATGTGACGGATGGCGGCAGGCGGGAGGGGAGCCTCGTCCAGGGTCCCATGGCAGGCTGGCCTGCTTAAACGAACGGAGAAGAGAACAGTCTTCAGTCCTTGGTAGTTGGTTTTTATCAAACGACCGTGCCAAAGCCCGGACGAGGTGAACGGCTTGCACTCAAATTGGCCGGCAGCTTTGCTCACTCAGGGGACTTTCATCGCGATGCGTTTCCTCTAGGCGTGTCGTCGCGACTGCCCGCGTATCGTCGCGGCTGGTGTCCCATGGGATTGCGGATGGACGATGGATGCTGGTCAACGTTGATGAGGCTGCATGTCGTCAATCGGCTCGGAAGCATTTTGATGCCGCTGCTCCGATGTCGCTACATGCAATATTCACCGGAAGAAGTGCGTGCCGCGCCCGTCCGCCATCGTCCGCCACCGAGGCAATAATTTACAAGGAAAAGAAACGCAACATATTCAAAGCTTCGAGTCTGGAGATTGACATCTCATCAGCTTCGTCGCGGCCTCGACGTGTCGCGGAGCGCGTTACTTTCTCCGAGCCTGCCGGGCCGGAGGGGCTACCGAAACAGGAAAAAGAGCCCCCGTTTCGGCTGAAGCAGAGCCGGTCCCCCCCGGCAGCCCGGGCGAGATCCATCACCCAGCTCTTTTGCCGCGGGAAAGGAATGACAGAAATCAATTCCCAAGAAACACGAAAAAGGCAATCTGGACGACTTCTCACCTGCGCAAGCTCTCAACGTGTCCATCCCATCTTGTTCCCTCTTCACATGCCACTCCGATGCGATGGCGTCACAGCCCCAAGTCTCGGCCCCCCCGGATTGCATCGATGCCCGCGGGGAATGCGGCTCGAATGCTACATGGCATGGGAACCCTGCCAGCCTTCATGCAGGCCCGAGGAATACGAAGAGGCAGACGCGGCTTGGGATGCGACAATGACTGAACCCTCGTCAGCAACCGGGCCATTGGGCGGCGAACAAGGGAAAGGGGGACAACCGTCTGCAGCCTTCTGCAAGCCTCTGGACGCAGGAGAGTATACGATCCATGCCCAATGGTGGTGCGCAGTAAGAGGGTTGGTTGGAAGCAGGTTTAAGACAGTGTCTAGTCCGCCAGACGAGCTTCACCAGCCCCGGCTGCGCCCATGCACGGCAAAAGAAGAAGATGAAGCAAAGTGATTGACACAACGACTTCAATCAACTAAACAAGCCCGTGTCCAAGCAAGACCTCTCCTACCAGATCACACACGTAATTGTCAAGCAAACTTTCGGCACCATGCATTTCCCCTCCGCCGCCGCCGCCGCCGTCTCCGCGCTGGCCTCCGTGGCCCACGCCCGCATCAATGGCATCGCCGTGCCCGACACCATCCGGCCCGGCGACAGCTTCCACGTCGTCATCCGCAGCTCAAACTACATCCAGACCGTCTACGACGTCGCAATTGCCTTTGGCTACGCCCCAGGCCGCGGATACCCCGACACCCTCGGCGCCGTTGCGGACTCCTTCTATCTTGGCCCTGGTGCGCGCCTCTCCCACCTTGTTCCTGATGTGCCAAGGCTAACAATGCCTTGCAAGGCCAGTCAAATCAGCTCGGGAACATCAAGAAATGGATCACCATCCCGCCCTCCGCTCCCAGGGGCCAGGGCGTCGTCACGGCCAGCCTCATGAGTTTGTACGGAGTCTCCCACTCGCCCGTCCTGAGCAACTACAACGTCACCGTCACCTTTGGCGACCAGACAAGCAACAATTACGTCTCGAGCCAGCCATAGGGACGGGACATGGCTTTCATGAGCACGCGCTGCACGGCGTCTACAAAACGGACGCACAAAAACAAAAGGGGGAGACGTGAGTGAGTGGTCAGCACGTCGGTACATTTCGTCGTCTATTCGCGTCCTTTTCCATCCACTACTTCCATCTCCTAGTTCCGGCTACAGACGAAAGGCTAGCCATAGGGTATCGGGCCGTGCAATAATCATGCTTGCTTGCCTTGCCATGCCAGACGAGTCCACTGTGTTGACAGAACCTCATGTATGCCTGACCTTGGGCTTCATCACCGTCAGGCCGTGGGCGCTTCCCCATAAGCTGTCCGAGACCTTGTGCGGGAGCTTCCTGCCGCGCAGCCTCTGATCAATGAGCCACATGCCCACCACAAACTCGGGTCGCGTGAGCATGCCCTGCTTGCTACGATCCACCAGGTCCCAGGCCTCGGCCAGCTCGTCTTCCGGCAGCCGTGATCGTCTCCAGAGCTCGCGCACCGCGACGTTGGCCACGCATTCCGAGACGTCTCGGCTTTCCGAGCCGCTCGCCGCGCCGGCTTGTTCGAGGAGCCAGCCCCGATTGGACGCCCACACGGCTTCGTACCGCTTTCGTTCCCTGGCCGTCATTTCCTCGCGCCACCTCTTGCGTGATCCTTCATGATGGGCGTGCTTGCCCTTGCGCAGCTTGTGACGACGCCCCTTCTTTGGATGGTCAAACTCCTCCGCGACAGAGGCAGGTGGCTGGCGAAGAGTCTGCAGCATACGTGGTGATCTTTGGCGGTTGACATGCCCGGACGGCGGCAGGCCGACTGGCGAAGAAAGGGAAGCGCCCGTGCTCTGCGGCGTCAGGCGGCTCGAGGCGAGCGAGCCGGCCATGATGGCATTGGCGAGGGAGTCCAGCTGCAAGGTACTCGTCGAAGCGTTCGCAGGGTGCCTCCGGCCGAGATCAAGGGGCGGTGACGGCGGAGTGCCCCCAAGAGACCGCCGACGCCGGGGAAGCAGGGGAGGTGAGGAAGACTTTGGAGGGCTGAGCGAGGAGGCCGACGGAGAGCTGGTACTCGAGGCAGCTGCTCTCACGCCGGCTGAGGCTTTTGGTCGGGTGCTGGGTGAGTCCGAGCCTCGACGCCGCTCGATTCGGCTCACGGGCTGGCTCGCCACAAGTCTTTGGCTGACGCGGGGCTTCAAAGGGGGGAGCTGCTGCTCCTGCTTCGACCCAAGACTGCGCTTTTGCGGGTCTGGCGAGGGCGATGAGGAGGGACGAGGAGCTAGGGTTTGTGCGTCGGTGCGAGGAGACGGCTCCAAGGTCGGTGTCACAAGTCGCACGGGCTTCGGGGACAGTACCTCTGGCATGGATCGGCGGACGGGGGGAGGGGTAGGCGGCCGTGTTACGAGGGGTTTGACGGGGGGCTTGGCGGGTCGCGGCTTCGGGGGACGGGTTGGAGGCGGGGAGTTGGTCGGTGGGCGCGGCCTGGAGATTGAGCCCTGCGGTTTAGAGCGAGGTTGGGACTCTGTGGCCGGGGCCTCGAGGCTTTTAGCATGCGGCAGGGCCGGCGGCGAATCGCGACGCGGTTGAGCGGAAGGAGGCGAGGGAGGCCGTTTCCGGGCGGGCACTGCTGGCTTCCGGTGACGCACGACCGGAGGAGGGGGCGTGGGCGGCTTCGGCAGCGACCTTGGCGGAGCGGCCATGAACCTGTGGACGGCCGTGCGCTGGGCCTGTTGGGTGTCGTAGGGTGTCGAGTCGGCCCCTGAAGGCGTTGGCTTGTCGAAGAGGGAGATCAGAGTCCCGGTCGGGGCAATGGGCCCAGCGTCGACGGCAAGGTCGTGGCTGTTCTTGCGGCGCCGAGTCGAGCTCTTGGGGTTGGGACTGACGCTACGACTGGCGGCCAACGTTGCGGCGATGAAGCTGGGGTTCTTGGGGTCGAGCTTTGCGGAAGCAGGATGAAGCTGCTGGAGGCGGGCGGCCACGAGCCCCGTCTGCAATGTCGGCGACATCATGTCGGGCGTGCTGCTGCTGCTGCTGCTGCTGGCGCTCTCTGGCGAGTGCGGGTTGACGGCGGTTCGCGATGGGGATCGATGCTTGGCTCCACTGGCGACAGATAAGGCGGCGGTGAGAGCGCCATCGCCTTTGGCCCTGGTGGGCGGCGGAGAGGGCGAGGATAGCGACAGCGACAAGGCGGAGGGGGAGGGCGAGGCGACGGCAGGTTTCTTGTGGAAGGCGAGGGAGGCGCCTCGGAGGGCAACGGCGGCGGCGTTGTCGGGAGGGCCGGAGGAGGCGTGGGCGCTGGCGTGCGAGGCAGCGCCTCGATTCATCGCCGAGGGGATGCGAAGGACGACGACATGCAGGTCGGCGCGTGTTGATGACGACGTCGGGCGTCACGGGATGGAAAGACGGAGGTGGGTGGAGGAAGGGAAGAAAGAATTGGGGGACAAAGGCAAGGCAGGTCGATGATGTAGAAGCGAGCGGAATGAAACGCAGGGCCGCCCCGAGACGAAGCGGGCAGGGAGGACGTGAATATGGAGGATTCAGCTGGATGGAAGGGAAGGGGGAGAGTACGTGGAGCGGGAGGACGTTGTTGGTTCCAACCAAGCAAGGGACGGGACGGGTCCCTGAGGGGGATAACGATATGGGAGAGAGACGCGTACTTTGTACTCGGTACGTGTAGTACTCCCTGCAATTTGGTACAGACGAATTACGGATATTACAGGGACCAATGGATCCAGCAAAGTGCAGACATGAGCGCTAAGAATAGCTTGTGGCACGCTGGAGGCTGGTGGCAGTGCTTGGCAGCGCTTGGCAGCGGCTGCTAAGTTACCCGTTGGCTGTTGGCCGAGGCACTAACAGAATGAATATCCGTAAGTTGCCGCGTGATGCAAGGCACCAGCACCAAGGCGTATCACTCAGCAGGTACTTGGGTAAGTTCCGGAGTAACTTAAGTAGGTAGTACCTAAGCATGAAATCTACGGTAAATCCTGCGGGGGTTCTCGCATCATCTGGGCCCGCCGCGTGGTTTGTAAGTAGGCTGTACGTACTGCAACGGGCCTGCATGTACAGTACCGTAGCTGGACCGCATTAATAGGGGACCTGTTGAAGTAATCACGGCGTGTCGTCGATCCACTGAGCAGCGCCGACATAATTATACGTACTGTACCTCATCTTGTGCTCGTTCCTGTGACGGTCGCTCTGTGCGAAGGACAGACGCCCGCTGTTGAAAGTAACGACTGAGGCGCAGCAACTCTTGATAGAAGCTTCGCCTCGCTGGGCCAAGTTGGTGGCGGCCTTTCAGCGGCTCCAAGTACTGTATTTGGGTTACTCGGTAAAGTGTTTGAAGAACATGGTTTCGGAACAACCTAGCGAGCGGCGCCTTGTGCAGCCAACAACAACCTCACCTCTTCTCTCGCCATCGAGCCGCACACTGCAAGCGAGGCTGCAGAAGACTTCAAGCGTTCTTCTCGTCGGGCCCCTTCGATGCCTGTGCTCGGCCCAAGGCCATCACCGTGGTTTGCTTTGTCCACGGCTGGCCCCGGACCGGGATGCAAAGCTGTCCTCTCCAGCATTGAACCCGCACAAGCACAAGGGCCACGGCTCGACACACTGCGCGACTCCTCGTCTGCTCCCGTCTCCGGAGAAAAAAAAGCATATTTACCGTCCAGAGACACAAAACTCTAAGCAACACCTTGTACGACGACCCAAAAACGCCGCCTCGGCCTCCGTACGCCGGTCCACTCTCTGGCCCTCCTCCCTCCTGCCCTCGATCCGGCACCGTCCTTCACCCTCTCCCGCTTCTCACGCCCAAGATAAAACAAGTCTGGCCGGCCCGTCATTCCGGGCCCCTCCCATTCAACTGAAAAAAAGACCCAAAATCAACTGGCCACAGCGCATGATACAAGTTCCCGCGTCCCCTGTGACGGCGGTTCTGTTTTTTTGTTCGGTTGTCGACAAAGATGGGGCCGAGACGTGCCTTCTCCCATTTTCGAGAGAGTCCATCGCACGCCCTTGACTGAAGATGTCCGGCATCCCCTGGACTCGGTCAAGGTTATTCCGTCATATTCGCGGCAGAGAAAAGCAGGCCACGTCAGAAAACGCCGTCTGCCGATAGCCCATCTCGTGTGCATCGAGGGGCCAGTGGCCAGTGCCGCACTGCTTGTTCGTCCGCCCCCCTTGTAAGTGCGGACGAGGAAGGAAGCCAAGGAAAAAAGGACATCAGCTCGCTTAAAAGGCGTCCTCGTCGGTCCACTCGCTCCCCGAGACGATACGGTTGCCGTCCTGGTCGATCATGACAGGCCCGTTGTATCCTGCCGGCGGCGGGATCCCGCGCGAGCGCTTAGCCTGGCTGCTGAGCCCCGGGCCCGTCTCCGGCTCGTACCGCTTCCCGTGAGCAGCCGCCCGCACTTTGGCGTAGTAGGCTTCGCATGCATCCGGTTCCGGCTCGCTGTTGTCGTCGTACGTCTCCCAGTTCTCAGACCCCGAAATGGCTGTCGATGTGTTGGACGACGTGTTGGAGACGTGTCTCGGTGGCGGTGCCGGCGCGTATCCCGGATGCCCTCGGAAGGTCGCATAGCGCCTGTCGTCGTATTGGACCTCTTCGTCGTGGTGGCTGCGCTGCCTCTGGTGAGACAGATTCGAATCGGTCCGTGACCTGGCGCGCGCGCCGTCATCGTAGACGTCTTCGGGTTCTACCTGGCGGACGATGCCGCCTCCCATGCCGGCCGACTTGTACGACTGCACCGGCGCCTCTAGTTCCGGCACCGATCCCAGGTCGCGCATCTTGGGCGGCGGAGCCCGCAGGGGTGCGCCGTTGCGGAGAGTCTCGGTCCTTGACTCGGGCCGGGGACGCTCGGGCGAGTTGCCGCCGTGCTTCAGGCTGGAGAGCGGGACGCGCGCGGGTATCCTCGACGGGCTGCCCTGCGGGTTGGCTCCCTTCGCCGGGGGGTCATGGCTCTGGCCTTGGCCTTGGCACTGTGCCTGGCCCTTGCTGGGCGGCGGCCCGCTTGCCGTTGGCGTCCTCGTCATGGTGCGCGGGGGCACCGACTTTGTGCTGTTGGCCCGGTTCAGCCCGCCCGACTTGGGCGCTGCCTTGGCCGTCGACGGCGGGGGCCCGGCGGGAGTCTTGGACCGCGTCGTGGGCGCAGGCTTCCGGGCCTCGTCGGCATCAAGCTCGTCCAGGTACCGCTCGCCAAACACCAGGAACGGCCGGCCATACTCGTCCTCCCACTTGGCGAGGGCCTTGCGCACGTCGACGGTGACCTTGGGCAGCTCCTTAGCGATGCGCTTGCGCATCTTTTCCTCGCGCAGCAGCTTCCCGGGGTCCCTCTTCTCGCCCTTTTGCCCGCGCATCATGAGGCGTGAGGCGTCCTGGCTCGAGGCCGCGAGCTCGTCCCGGTCATGTATCAAGGTCTTGTGCTTGTCGACGAGGCCCAGCATTGGGGCGCGCTGCTCCCGGAGCGACTCGAGTCGCGCCACCTCGCGCTCATGCGCCTCGAGCAGCGCGTCGCTGTAGACGTCGGAAAAGGCGGGCGTGAACTCGAGCATCTCGTCCTCGGAAAAGTAGAGGGCATCCCAGAGATCTTGGAGCTTGACGCGGGCGTCCTCGACGAAGAGGTGGAGGTTCTGGCGCTTCAGCTCGTTGAGGCGCGCCAGCTCATCCTCAAACTCGTTGATCTGGCGCACGCCGCAGCCGCGGTTCTGGTTCAAGAAGGCCTTGGTCTCGCCCTCGTCGACGTCGAGCTTGGCCCACAGGGACTCGACGGCGGTGCGGAGGTCGCGCAGGCGCTTCTCGCGGCTCCTCTTCTCCTCGGCGAGGCGGTCGCGCTTTGCTTGCAGGCGGTTGATGTCCTCTTGGTGCAAGCCGAGCTGCTCGGGAGCGTCGCGGTAGTACTTGACGATGGCGCCGTCCTGTTGCGCCTGGGGGACGCCGAGCTCGGCCCACAGCTGGATGATGTGATCGGACAGGGTCTGGACCGAGGCGAGGCGGCGCGTGTACTCGTCGTATACGCGGGTGAACTCGGCGTCGAGGCGGTCAACATAGGCGGGCGACAGGTCGAAGTTTGGCGGGGCGGACTGGTTGGGCCCCGTGGGAGGGAGAGCGATCTGGACAAAGGTGGGCTCGAGATGCGATGAATACGACTCGAGCGCCTCGACGAGCTCTGCCTTCTGTCAGCGACTGGCAAGGCAACAGGAGGCATGGGGACGACTCACTCTTAACCTGCTCGAAGCGCTCCTTGTGGAGGCGGCTGATCTGAATGTGCTTCTCCCTAAGAAGCTGCAGGCAGCGCGTCAGGGGATAGGTGATGTGTAGCTCGTCGTCGTCGTCGTAGGATCTCCGGGACTGCTTTGAGCCGTCGAGGGACGCTTCCATCTGGCGGATTGTGGAGATGCATTTCTTGGCCTCGTCGACCATGCCCCTTTTCTCGGCCGTGACGAGGCGCACCTGGCTCTCGAGGGCCTCGGACAGCGCGGCGAAGAGCTGTGGCGCGGCGCGTCAGCCAGGTTGCGCACAGATGTCTGCTAGAAAGACACTCACCTCGGACTCTCGGGCCTCGCGCTCATGGCTGGGGACGCCAATCTCGTCAAGCAGGCCGTGCAGCTGGGCGATGCTGCTGTTGACCTGCTGGGCGAGGTGGCTGTTGTTGTCCATGGCGGACAGGGCAAGGGGAGGCGGTGCTAAGTCGTCTGGTATGTGATTATTGACGAGGCCCGTTGTGTCGGCCGCGCGCGACTGATACACTCTTGTCTCTCTCTGAAAAGGCGCGAATGGTGGTGGAGGTGGCGATGATTGTTTACATGAGCTTCGTCTGCTCTCCACCAATCAAGACGCAGCGCCGCCACCGAGGGGATTCAAGGGCATCCTCAGCGCGTCGATTCAAATTTGGAAAAAGAGGTGTGCGCGGATGACGGTCCCTTTCGATGGTTCGATTAATCGAAGAAGAATTTTTCGAGCCCTCGACGACGGCTTGCATACCAGTCGGAGTGAGCTGCAAATAGAATGTTTGGATGTTTACTTTGTACTTGGTCGGTGAGCGAGACAAAAAGGAACGTTGGCCCCCGGGACCCACCTTTTAGCCGGCCACGGGTTCGGCGGCGTTGTCACGGGCAACCGCGCCGTCCCGACATTTGCGGGGAGAGAACAAGTTATAATGTCTCGCCTTTGCTCCGACATGTAGGCGGCTTTGCTGCGGCCGCTTATGCGTCCGCCTTGATTGTATACAGAGCGGTCCATGGCACGGCATATGTACGTAGATGCTTGTTAGTCGGTTGCCTATACCGGAGATTCCACATGCACAGCATCTGCAGGCAGATGCCCACCTTTTTGTTGGTGATTGTTTGTTGTTGCTGCACGCGGTGACATACAGATCTCGTCAATAATGACTGATATAGCATAGCCTATGCACACTCTTATTAAAAGTACTTACCCTCGTCAATCACAGGCTCGGGAGACGAAAAAGGAGCACTTTTCGTATATTCGTAGCATCATGAACCAAGGAATCGACGCCGCCTTACCATCGACTGTCAAAACGTTCGTGACGACCGGGCTATGGCTTAAGCCAATCACCGTTTCTGCCACATGCACGATCTCGTGTTGGAGCAGAGTCTAGCTGAGACAACAACAACGGCTTTTACAGTGTACTCCCTGGAGTCCCTGTACCGAGCAGGTGAGACCCTGCAGCGTCACCTCGACCTCTTGGCTATATGGACATGGAACAACTAGGTGCCTATCGCTGTGGGAAAACGCGTCACAGGATTACCCGTTGATCTTGGTGTGGGGCCACAGCAGCCCAACTAAGTGTCTTCGCCACTTAGTTGGCCCAAAAAATCCGGCACAGCCCAAAAAATCCGGCACAGCAGCCCACCTCCAAAACGTCAACCCTATGCATCTCAACCGCGTTTTCTCGCGCAACTTGACTTTATTTACGTATCTTTTTGCCGGAATACATTATGACAGATAACATGGCTACCCTGGAGGCAGCAAAGCCGTTCTGGCGTCTCGTCGCGACCCCAGAGCCGATGTTCGTCGCTCAACAACACCAAAAGAACGCCTCTTTCCGTGCGAGATGCGGCCATCCGTTACAATGTGAAGAGCTCATCCGTACAGAGAGCCATTAATTTCATAAGAAACCCTTTTCCCGTGCTCCAGGGCGTCCATTGGCGCTGACGGAGGACGAAGACGACGCCCTGGTTGCGTATGTACAGTGGATGGAACGCACCGGCATGCCCGCCACGAGAGAGCAACTTGAAGCTGTTGCAAATGCAATAAGAATGCGTCGAGATCCCAATGCCCGCCCGGTCTCGTCAAGTTGGCTTGACAATTGGCGTGGAAGTCATCCTGCGATCGCGAAGACGTATCTCAAAGCAGTTGAACGAGCCCGGAAGTCCTTTGAAGCCCACGGGGTAGAAGAAGTCGAATTTTTCTACTCAAAGCTTCGAGAAATCATCACCAGCTACCGTATTGGCAGTTCAGAGATCTGGAATGAAGACGAGGCCGGAATACGCATTGGGTGCCTGCGAGAACGCATCCAAGTTCTCATCACGCGCACCACTAGAGTCAAGAGCACCCGGCCCCGAGTTTTAGACCCAGCAAACCGAGAATCCTGCACGGTAATTGCCTCAGTTAACGCAGTGGGGGACTCTCTTCCACCCTGGCTTGTTTTCCAACATTACCCTACCACCAACTGGGCCGGCATCGACATCATGACAGGCGTACGGTTTGCCCAGTCGCCAACTGGCTTTTCCAACGCAGAGATACACCTTGAGTGGGCAAGGCATTTCAACTGCTGGTCTTGGGCATCGTCAGCGCAAGCAAAACAGTCAGGAAATTCGCTGGAAGAGTGGTTCGGCTGTGACGAGCATCTTCGGCGCCCCAACATGGGGATGAGTCGCGTGGAGGCGCCGCCAAACCAACGGCCTGACGACGAGAAGATCTACCGATTGCTTGTTGTGGATGGCTTTACAGGGCATACCACCCTTGACTTTGCTGAGTATTGTATCAAGTTTGATATCATCATTGCTATTTTCCTCCACATTCCACCCACCTCATGCAGCCGCTTGATGTTGGGGTATTCCAGCCACTAAAGTCAGCACATCAGAAAGCGCTTCGAAGTCGCTCGCAGAAGGCAACATATCATTTTCGCGGGTCAACTTCCTCACAGCTTTTCAGGACGTATATGAGGCTGGCTTCACGCGGCATAACATTATGGCGGCATTTGAAAAAACAGGCCTCTTTCCTGTCGACCCAGCGCCGGTGATCACCAAGATCCTCCACGAGCAGCTACGACAACAGCAGCCGATCAATCCTGCATACGCCTCGCTCCTACCCTCGGAGACGCGTTTCCAAGTCGCCGCGGATGCCCTCAATGATATCCGGCAACGGTATGGGCCCTCATGAGCTCGCCATCACGAGAAAACTTGCGGGTTCTTGCGAAAGTGAACACCGAGTCTATCGCGATGGCGTCACATTCCCAGGGCATAGTCAGCGATAAGAATAGCCGAACCCAGGCGTATGCGAATCGAATGAAGAGAGGCAAGATTGTCAGGCCGCGCGGAGAGTTTATCACGAGCTCCAGCATGGCCGACATCACCCGGGAGTATGAGGAGCTCCAGGCAAAGCAAACCCGGCTTCAAACGCGCCAGGAGATAAGGATGCATCTTAAACGAGTTCGTGGAGAGATGCAGAAGATCCGAGAAGACTATAAAGTCGGGAAGAAGCAGTTAGTCAATGGCAGAGTCAAGACATTGAACTTTAAGCCCTGGCTAGAGTTTACGGGACGAGACGTTGAGTTCTACACTCTGGAGCAAAGTTGCGATACCCTCATGCGGGAGCTCAAAGAGCCATCCAAGGAATCCTTTTCTATGATACCACGAAGAGAAATAACTCCGCCAGAGATGTCAGGGCGCGCGCAGCGACCCGACCTCGCCCACTTACAGATATGTCGTCGTTGCCCGGCAGTGACGATACCGTCTATTTCACAGGCCTCGATCTTGACAAACATAGTGAGGATGGCGCCGACGATGAAGACGAGGACAATTTACTCGACACGCAAGAGAATATACCCTCATCGCCGCCGTTAGCAGCGGTTGAAGCGGTAGTCGATACACCATGCCCTCGACCGCGCACCCGATCGTCCAACAAGATACAGCAGACGCTCCAGGAACACAGGTATGGATAAAATAGCTCTCAGAGACGCACAACAGGCGAAATTACTACATAATACGTCTATTTGGACTCACAAACGCGGTCTTCCTATCTCTTCGACTGGAAGGCGGCAGCTCCTAAATAGGCCCAAAGACGTGATTTTTTCACTTTTCGTTGTTACTTGCGTCTTTAGGTGATCCGCAGCTATTGATCACATGTATATTTTAGCTATTTGAAGTCGCATTGACGGCACCATGAAGCGAAGCGTAGAATTTCCCTTGATTTTGCACCCCAAATTGAGGACCCTGCTGTGCCGGATTTTTTGGGCTGTGCCGGATTTTTTGGGCCAACTAAGTGGCGAAGACACTTAGTTGGGCTGCTGTGGCCCCACACCAAGATCAACGGGTAAAAGTCATCCTTCAGAAGCTCTGACGGGTCTGTATGCAGAATGCTCAATACAAAGGCATAAGCGCCGCTTCCTCCATCGCAAGCTGAAGTTTCGTCTCCCGTCTTCGCTCTGTTGTCTTGGCATCCGGGCGCTACTTCATTCTCCCTGACAAGGCTCCCATTGCCCGTGCTCACCACCAAGCTCAATGTGAAGGCAACTACATCGTGCATCGTCGCCGCGACTACTGCGTATGTGAAGCGTTACGAAGGCTAAAGGATAGTCGATAATGCATCGTCGTGGCCTGACAATCCTTTCCCACCAAGTGCATCGCTCTCGCACGCGGACCCCAACGGCCAGGACATGGACTCACCTTGAAACAACAGCCATTGGCCCCTGCTGATGCCGAGACAGTCGGCCCAAGTCGTGCTACGAGCAACGGACGCGTTGCAAGAGCGACAGATGCATCCCCACAGTCACCGTCCTGGAACACAGGAAGCCCCAACACGGCTACCATGTCAAGCAAGAGCTCCACCGGCTTTTGCGTCCAGGATCGTGAGTGCTGCCACCATTCGAGTCCCGGGATGCTGGGATTTAATCACACAAGGGCGACATGCTGATACAGCAGGTATGTATTAAACGCAAGATCCGTCACTTTGCCATGCGGGTGGGTGTACGACCGCAGACTGTTGTCACAAAAACCGAGACGATTTGCCCAAGGTTGCTCTGCCAGTCCTGTACGACGGGATTTCCTTTTACCACTACAGCAGACTGTCCGGAGACAACATCCAAATGAAGGAACGGGGCAAGTACGTTAAAATCATCTGGTAAGCCTGCCTGCGGGAGGCTTGTGGCCCGAGTTTACCTCGTTGGCGTCATAGTAGGGGCTGGCTGAATGTACATGCACGGGCTGTGACGATTTCATCCCAATGCCTCATATATTACACACAAAGTGTTATTTTCCCCGAAATGTTTCGCCACAGCCCTGTCCCCTTCCGTATTCAATTTGCTATGGCCTAGGTGATGAAGGGACTGCTTATTGCGCTGTTTCCCCGTAAAACCATCAACATGATGAAACGTTCGTAGCCCTCAACGCTGTTTACGGTCGAGCCGAGGCTTGGATGATCTGTGGAAAAATACATGAGTCTTGTAACTTAGTATATGATTCGTTCTTTGCTAGTCGAATCATTAAATAAGCTCATTTTCTTCTGGATCAAGTCTCGGGTCGATGCTGCACCCAGGCCGCCCATCGGTGCCGAGTCGGCAAGCTAGTCACTCTCAGCTTCCCATCCTCCACTTAACACGGCCGATGAGGGATCCTGCTGCAAACCAGGCTGCCGCCAGAGCGAGAGAAGACTCATCTGGGGGCGCTTCGTGACGTACTCGGACTTACAGAGTCTGCCGTGCCAATCAAAGAATTTGCTAACTCCGGACAAGGCTTCCTTCATAAAATAAGCGAACAATGAGCGCAGACAATACGGTGTCTCGCACATGGCACATCGGACCTTAGGCTGCTCATACCGGACTGATATTCTGTCTAGGTCTTGGTAGCGAAACCACGAGGGCAAGACCAAACATACCACGAGGCTTTCGCCTTGTTACAATCAGTTCCAGCCTCGCCGACTTCGATTTCAAGTGTTGAACAACGTTGAATCGACGCATTAGATGAACGTAACTTGCTTCAACCAGATGACACACGATTCAAGCAAAGGGCAGATGCCCACCGATCAACATGGCGCAGATATCACGAAAAGACACGAGAGGGGAGAAGAGGACAATGACACAACGATCCCGGGCCCCGACGACACCGGCCAAGAGAGAGAAGCACCAGATCGACCGCTGCATTCCATCTTCTCGCCCCGAATTAAAGTTTTTGTTATATCAATGACCGTCTTCGGCACGCTCTTCTCCCCCTTCTCCTCCTTCATGTACCTACCCGCCATCACGCCCATCGCAAACGACTACGGCCGCTCCCTTGGTGAGCTCAACCTAAGCGTGACCGTCTACCAGATCATGCAGGCCGTGGCGCCGCTCTTCTTCGGCGACCTCAGCGACCAGGTGGGACGCCGGCCAGTCTACATGCTCACGTTTGCCATCTACCTCGGCGCCAATGTCGGCCTGGCGCTGCAGAACAGCTACGCGGCGCTCATGGTGCTCAGGGCTTTGCAGAGCACTGGCAGTAGCGCGACCGTTGCCATTGGGAGTGCCGTCGTGGCGGACCTGACGACGAGTGCGGAGAGGGGCGGATACATTACTGCTGTTCAGGCGAGCGTGCAGTTTGCGCCGGCCTTGGCTCCCGTCTTGGGGGGCATCTTGACCCAGTTCCTGGGCTGGCGGTCGACGTTTTGGTTCCTTGTCATCTCTGCCGGCGTCTTTCTCGCCATCTATCTGCCGTTTGTGCCCGAGGTGCGTCTCCAGGTCCTGTCATGGAAACAAATCCGGGATTCGAGCGAGACAGGGAAACTGACACGACGTGGATTCAAACAGACGGCTCGCAACATTGTTGGCAACGGGTCGATCCCTCCACCCAAGTTCAATGCCTGCTTGACATCCCGTGCAAGACGCCGGCGTAAAGACCAAGACCCGGAGTCGAGCGCGGAAGCATCACAAGCCGCCAACAAAGCTGAGAAATCAAAGTTTAGAATTCCAGTCCCGAATCTGTTTGCCGCGGTTCGCATCATTTTCGAAAAGGATGTCGGGCTGCTCATGCTCTTCATGTCCCTCTTCGTCATGGCCAACTACGCTATGCTCGTCCCGCTACAAGACGTCATCCGTCGGCGATACCGCTTCAACGACCTCCAGGTCGGGCTCTGCTACATCCCATTCTCGGTAGGGTCCGTCATTGGCTCTGTCGCTGTGGGAAAGCTGCTCAACTGGAACTACGCACGGGTTGCCAGGTCGATGGGCATCTCGCCGGACCGGAAGAGAGGCGAAGAATTGAGGCACTTTCCCATTGAGAGGGCGAGGTTGGACCTCATGTGGCCCTGGACGATGCTTGCCGTGGCCACCATGGCCGTATGGGGCTGGGTGGTCGACTCAGGGACCAGCCTTGCCGCGCCACTGGTCATTCTGTTCCTGGCAGGCATGGGCTTGAGCGGGCCCGTTTCTATACTCACGACGCTGCTGGTCGATCTCTATCCCATGAATCCCGGGAGGGTCTCGTCGTCATTTAACCTGACGCGGGCAACACTGAGCGCTGTGGGAACCGCCGTTGTGCAGTACATCATCGACGCCTGGGGCTACGGCTTCACCTATCTATTCATGGCCCTTGTTGTGCTCGCAGCGTGCCCCAGTGTGGCCGTGGTGAGGAAATGGGGCCCGAAGTGGAGAGAAGAGAGATACCGGCGCTTTGAGCAGACGTGAAAACGAGTGTCATTGAGTCTTGGAGGAGATCCAACTCCCATGGCTATGCGACTGCACAAGGAGCGCCTGGTGAGTGAGCAAGCATGGACAACATGAACCGAGTAGAAATGAAGAGATATTCGTAATTTTTCGCATCAAAAACTAAAAACCTCATACATCATACATTGTGATAGAGGCCCAATCAGCTTCAGCTCTCATTGAGATTGCCTCTTATTTCGTTCAAACGTGTCTTCATGATACCACATACATCAACCGATGTACAAGCAGTGAACGCTCAAGTCAGGAAAGAAAACGCTGCATGTCTTATAACCCTCGCCTGGTGCATTCATGGTTCAAACGGGGCAATGGCAGTTTCCTTTGCAACAAGGGGCGCTGACAATGTTGACAGTCAGCTCGCCCTTGGAAACGTCGTTGCCGGGCTGCGTGGGAATGCTGCCGCACTGCTGGCACTTGTGGTCTATCAGACCCTGGATGAGTTCGACGGCGCGGTCGGCCGAGCCGCCGGCGCCTCTCTGGTAGGAGGCACACATGGAGGCATGCTTGCCCTGGGCGCAGGCGAGCTGGACTGGAGAGAGAACGCGTTGGTCAGCCAAGGTACGACCAGCTCACTCATGCCTTCAAGCACGCAGGCGGAGCGAGATCACACAGGGAGAGGGCACCCATACCGCCGGGCTTGTAGTGATGAGTTCCTTTGCCTTGGGCCTGGAGCTGCTTGACCTGGACGAGGATTTCGCTGAGTTTGGCGTCGTTCAGGGGACAGGCGTCAGAGCCGCGGCAGTTTATGCCGAGGGCGGCGGCGCTGGCAATCAGGGTCGCGAGGGCGGCAAGGGAGACCATTGCGGCTCGTGGCGATGCCGGGCACTAGGCGGGATGCGGTGATGTGAATTCGTTCTCGGAGGAGGGCCGTGAGGAGTCAAGGCGACTAATGGTGATGGAGACAGCAGACTCTGGGTGCAATGATCAATATGTTCATCTCGGACGGCGTCGCGGATGGGGCCCCCCGAGGTATTTATGAGCAGACAGCTTGAGTTCACAGCCTCTTTGACTCAAAGCAGATTTCACCAGGTCAATTGTTTCATGTTTCTCAGTTCAAGGCCAAAAACAGGCTGCTCTGGCCGCATGTGTCTGGCACCTGTACTCTGTCCGTCCCCAGCCATTACACTCGCTCGAGCAACATAGAAGCCACATGCCAATCGACGTCACCATGGCTCAAGTCGACGTCGTTTGGTGGCAGATCCGCCCTCATGACTGAACCTCACGTCACAAGCGACATGGGCTCGGATCAGCAGGTCCGCCCCAGGGACATTTCCCCCTTTGCTGCGCCCTCGTACTCGTCCCAACGCGTATACAAGTCAAATGTCTAAGCGGAAAGAGAGAGACGTGTCACTGCCGGAGCTATTGGTTGACAAGAGGAAAGAAAGCCACTCAACGAATCCAGTCCCTTGTGCCAATAGCGGAGGCAGGGTTGAGCTCCAGGACGTAAAGACTTGCTTCTCAACCCCAACTGCGCGTACACGCTTGGAGGCATGGTCTCGGAATGAAAGAGGCGGAAAGCTGGGAAACGGGGCCTTGGCTGGGCTTTCATCATCGAATTGTGCTTTCGAGACATTGTCTCACAAGCTGTGTGGTCCGCCCAAGAGTCGCAGACAAGCCGTGGAATGTCAATGCACCAGACACTCGAACAGAACTATGTGGCTGGCCAGCATCGTCATCGCCAACAAGCTGGGCCACGCATTTAATGTCTGGTCCTGAATGCGCCCGGCTCCCTGATTTCCTGGGGGGGGAAGGCACATGTGTGCATTAATATTTCATCATCGTCCTGTCCTCCAGCTGATCAAAACGTCAACTCCGACATACTTGCAATACCAAAGACCCGATACAAGATGAAGCTCACCATTGCAACTCACCTCGCCGTGCTCGCAGCCTCGGCGTCGGCGCTGGGCATCAACTGCCGCGGCTCCGGCCTCTGTCCCTCGGACGGCGCGGCCGGCAACCTCCTCAACCTCAAGGAAATCGTCGACAACATCCAGCCGCGCAACCGCAACTACAAGACAGGCGAGCAAATCGCCTGCACCGGTTCCCTGTGCGTCACGTACGAGAGCGGCGCGTCCAACACGGCGGACGCGACGTCGAGCTACCTGCAGGCGCTCCTCGACCACGGCTGCAAGAAGTGCGGCTCGGTGCCGACACAGCCTGGGAACGACGTCAAGAAGGGACAGCTGACGGTCAATATTGTTGGGGATCCCAAGTGTCAGGGCGCGTGCTAGATGGGACAGCTTCCTGTCGGTCTATCCACGCTTTGATGCGGTTGCGTCGATGGACAGCCCGGATTATGATGTGAAGGAGAAGAACGGAGAGAGTGAAAGGGGAGAACTGAGACTTGGCGTGTTCAAGTTTAGTGTAAGCAAGTAGAAGACTGGATACATAACTGCTTGTTTGTCAGGAATAACGAATCATGACTTGAAACCCCTTTGACCATTTGACGATTTATGCGTTCACGTGCGTCGACAGTATTAGTTTCCACTCAAGCAATTCATTAGATCTACGATGACCCGTACGGACAAAGCCTCATACAGTTGCCAGAAAGACTGGCTAGGTCTTTGGAACAATGCCCTCAAGCGTTGCTAGTTGCCGTTCTGAACCAGCTTGAGATACTCCACCAAGACTTTTTCAAGGATCAAACAGCTCCAACAGGTTTCATGGATAGATCGCCGTCAAGGACCAACCTTGGATCCATTCACAAGGTTGACATCATTTGAAGAGAGAGGTCCGGTCCTCCGGTCTTGTGATATTGACCCGGGCTGGGCCGCGAACAGCTTCCCAGTTCGGCACATTGAAAATCGATCATTGAGTAATCACAGGATCATCACATACTCGTGTCATAGGCTCTGCTGTTGCGCCAACGTTGCGTCTCCCATCGCGTCCTGCGCATCTGACTTGTAGTTTCGCTGCTTGATCGGCAACTTTCGTCACCAATTTCCATCATCCTTTGAGCGTCGGGATGGATGGACATGCCAAGCCACTCTCATTTGGGAAAGAAACATGGAAATGGGCATGTCAATTCACGCCTGGCCTGTCCCGTGCTCATACGCGCGATGTCTCACCTGGACGCGGGACAGGTCAATCTCAGCTAGGGCCGAGGAAAGAACTGAGGCTGGGACGTGAGACTGTTAAACCTCAGACTTGGCGATACGGCATGTTATGACGCAAGGCCCATTGACGAGAGACAGAGGAGGGAAGAAGCGAGACAAAACCTCGTGAATAGCCATGTGTGTAATGCAATTGGGCTGTTGTTCGCGGTTTGCGAGGGACTCTCACACCTGAATCACCGCCCAATCTGGCTGGATCGTCGCCTTAAGCCTTGCTGTCTCTCCAGCTCTGCCGACTAGAGTCCAATGTTTCCCGGTTCGTGTATATGCATTTTTTCCCTGGTTCTTGTTTTCAATGCTGGGATAAGATCAGCTGGTGAAGACGTTGAGATCTAGAGTAAATATAATCCTCTAACAATTCGCTACTAGGCCTCCGTCTGGCATTATTGCTTTCTTGTTTCTTCGTTGAGTGAACAGTTTGCAGTCTCAGAAACCTTCACCCAACCAAGTGTTTCACAGAACACGACGCACCAAAATGCAGACTCCTTTGATTATGCTCTTCGTCTCGAGCGCTGCTGCTCTGGGCATCAACTGCCGCGGCAGTGGCTTTTGCAGCGTCAACGACGGCTCCATGAAGACCATCAAGGACCAAGTCGGCGTCCTCATCGCCGACGGCGGCCGTGATAAACGCTTCAATGGTGGTGGTAGGTATTGGCATGGCCGCTCCGCCATGCTGGACGTAGCCTCGCCCTTGACTGGATGACTGCTGACAGCTCCCCAGAGCAAATGGCTTGCTCGAAAGGCCCACAGGGAAGCACCTGTGTCTTTTATCAAGACGGAGCTTCCGGGACGGCCAAGGATGCCTATGACCAGCTCCAGAAGCTGCTCGACCACGGCTGCAATCAGTGCGGCAGCGTACCGACTCAACCCGGCAACGACGTCTCCAAGGGCCAGCTCACGGTCAACTTCGTCAAAAACTCATGCTGCCAAGGGGACTGCCATTGTTGATAAATATGAGCGACACGGATAGCGAATCAAGGAACGAAGACGAGTCGAGCCGCGATGGAGGCGCGTGAACAGAGCCGGGCAATTTACGTCCACGTCGTGCATACATGAGATCTCACTGTTGCATGCCTCGCGAGGTCCCTCTGAATTAACATGAATATACAGGGCGGAACATTGTATGATATATTTTGGCGGTGATAAGCGCTGCTGGAGAACGATGCATGATTCACCTACAATTGAAGCCAGATAGATTTATATGCGGCGGAGCACATCCCTTGATGACATCGTGGACTGAGATCTAAGTCATGGATGCTGTGAATATTGTGTGGGTTCTTCTCCAGCTTACTCCGGCATCGCGAGAAATTGGAAACGACTTCTCTTCGGGTGATTGAATGGTACCTGGCATTCGTCCATCGACTGTAGGTTGTCGAGTTGGCGTTTGTCAATAACTGTCGCACCCGTGTTGGCTGTGATGAACACGGCACCTCCGAATGTCTCGAGGACGTCAAAGCCACCGAATCAGCTAAAATTTGATGCTCGCCTGCGGGGACGACTAGATACCGCGATGTAAATCTAGTGGTTGGCTTGATGCCGACACTAGAATTCTCTCTGTGGCCAGCAATCGTTAGGACGGTAGGCCACCATTGGCTTGCATCCGATCTAGCGTGCTGACGACTCCCTCTGTTAAGATCGGAGGACCACATATGCAAAGGCCTAATGTTGATGAATAAGAGTGCGCTTTGCTTCGGGCATTATATATGCTCCTTAGGCTTTGCCCTCGCAGCTGGCCTCGTGTGGAAGCAAGGCAAATAACCATATATTTCGCATCCGGACTTAACTCTATGGCCGTGCCGAAGGGCTTCATTTGCTTCTCTCGCTCTTGTGCCATGAACATATGCTGAAGAAATCTGAGATTGAGCATCCGATGATGTGAATTGATATACGCGAACAGCGGTGACATCAGCCCATATTGTCAAGGACAAGGCTAGTCAAGCGTGTTTGGCACAGACCAGTCAGAAGCTCATCCGAGGCGGAGTCCAGGATGGCATGGGAAGGGCTCGTTCAAGTGCAGCCAACTTCGGACGGTGTGTTTGTTGTAATGTTTTGTATCCTATCGACACGTTTCTCTGGGGGATTCACACGGAACGCTACCAGAGCGGTTATAAATATTGCGTGGAATCGAGCTCACAGTTTCAACAGTAAGTAGTACTCACCTCAACACGCACAAAGCCTCGTATCAAAATGTACATTGAAATGCCATTGCCGCCGAACAAGAACAGCCTTTCGTGTTCAATACACAACAGGACCCATTGCCCTGATGCAAGCGGTAGTAGACAACTAGACATAAAGCAACCCAGCCACATCTCTCATATCTCCCGGTAAAGAGACAAGCTCACTTCGGGGATACTCGACTCAGCCTCCTCGGACGCGACATGGGTTGGCGTCTCCGAGCTCTCTGACAGGCTCTCTGACGTCTTCTCCTGCTCCAGCATCTCTTGCTCCGTCGCCGCCGCCTTACCAAGACGCGGGTCCAACACGTGGCGCATTAGTACGCCGACTTTATCGACCCAGCGTGCGCGGTCCTCGACCGTCCATTCATGTACACGGTGCACGTCCGTCATGTCGAGTATCTTGCCGACCTCGATCTTTAGGACGAACTCGGTGTCGCTGTCCCTGGGAAGCGGGACGTCTTCGAACGACGCGCGGATGGTACGCACACATAGCCTGGGAGGAATAAACTCGTGCTCGGGGGCGGTGAGATCAATCTCATTGTCCTCTGCGGGAGTGGCCAGCTTCTCCTGGGCGATAGTGACTATAACGGCCTGTTTGGAGAAGATGCGGGTCAGCGCTTTGGATAGTTGGAACAAATATTGCCACCTGTTGGGAACATACCGGGGGTGCAAGCTCATGCGGCGTCTCTTCCGGGCGACCCTCGTCCTCAAGGTTGTCGACGCGACGGCGGAGGAGCGATAGGGCGGAATACAGCTCACAGTGGAGGAGCATGTTGGGTGTCGCGGGTAAGGGTTCATGGTTGACGAGGAGGCAGCCGAAGGGGGCGTCGCCATGGAGAAGAAGATCCTGGGCATGCCAGGTTCTGCGTTGGCGGTCAGACTTCAATAGTCTTTCGCTCTCTGCATCGGAAAAGCTACTTGTGCGTATGGATTAGTGAACGAAGAGAAGGGTGGATGACGTGGGAATTCGACGGACAATATAGACGTTTGCGTCCGCATCAGCCCAGATGCGTCCCCGTCCTGTAGTGCATGACACACGCTGGCGAAGTAGGCGCATAAGCCATCGCCGGTGTATTCCATCCCCCGCTTCGGAGCATACGGCATGAACTGTTCCTCAGCGAGGTGCGCGAGCGTCGCCTCGAGGTTCTTCGGGCAGGGAGTCTGGGCACTCGGCGGGACGAGCTCGATGCGCAGCGTCGGCTTGAAAACGGAAGCCACAGGTAAGCCTTGTGTCTCGACGTAGTTGTGGGCCATGTCTTTGGCGACCTGGCGGTTGAAGTCATCAATGTCGATGCCCTCGGAGTCGGCGCGGATGCGGCTGATGTGGGCAAGGGCGCATCGCAGCTGGATCATGGGCACGCGCAGCTCGAGGCGGCGTTTGAACCAGCGCGGCAGCTTGCGCCTTGCCTCGGGCATGGGCTTGGTCTGGAGATTGTCGTTGCTTGTGTGCACAGCCATGGCGGACATGGAGGCGTGGCGGAGCGGGCGATGGCGATGGCGATGGCGATGGCGATGGTCATGGACAATGATGTTTGGGGCGAAGTTGGCTTGTTTGTGATGCCAGTAGGCGGTTGGCATGCCATTTACTCGGGGCTCCACGGCGTCAAGCCTTCCTAGACGACTCCAAGTCCATAACTGTGCCGCTGCCAGCTCCTCCAAGATTTTTCACTCTTGTCGCCCAGGCCGCCACATCTTTGGTTCTCCAAGTTTTCAACATCCGGTGCCTCCTGTGGGCGCCATCCTGCTTTCCGCTTTTGCCGAGGCTGCTTCCTACCGCATTCCATCTTTACTCGGGCAACTCTGTAGCTCTAGAAATCACCCCGTGTTTGCGAATGATGGCATCGCGTGCATGACGCTGTGCACCCCAACCGGGATTGCCTCTTCAGGCTAATATGTCGTTACAACGTCGCTCATTCGCTCTGCGAGTTTCCTCTCGGCCTGCCATAACAACTTTGGCTCAGGCGCTGGCCAGTCGTTGAAGCCAAACATATAGAGGTTCGGGTCCCTGTCACTGCTCGCTGTCGTTTGGCGCAACAGGGCTTTAGCCCGTTACATCTTCCATCTAATCGGGCGCCCCTAACTCGACTGTCGTGAATAGGTTGAACTCGTCCTTGCTCGTTCGTTCACTGTCGTGCGCCTCATTACTCGACTCGTCATCCTCCACTTCTCCTATCTACCTACTGTTGGCAAGTGATGGACAATCTCCCCGTCGTCTCCGTGTGCGCAACCTCATAATATGGAGCGAACAGATGAGGCCATCAACACGACTGTTCATATTGAGCCCATGACTTCTCGCAGTGCTCATGCTCACCGTTCTGCCTGCAAAAGAGAAAGCCGCCGAAGTTTACTCCTCTCTATAAGGAGACATCTAGACATAAGAGAACTTTAGTACTAATGAATCGTGCGGAAAATCCCCCTGACTAGAAAGTCTTCGCCAGGTCCAGGGGCAAAGAGCAAAGAACATATAGTAGTTGGTATTTACTAATCGTTACTGACTTAGCTACTAATCTGCCCCTAACACGGTTGTTTAGCTGAGATTAGACGTGCCACGAGGCAGACAACAGGGCCACGATCAGGGCGTCTTTAGGTAGGATTAATTAGAAAGGGGGACATATACATACACTTACACCGACACAAGCAACACACGCCTGCAACAAAGAGCCACACAGCGCACAGCTACAAAGACTACAACATAACTACTGCTACGGCTAGACTTTCTTTAATACTGTGGCAGGTATAGGCGACCTAACATACTACCTACTACATCTGATTCATCAGCGCAATTTCCTAAGTACAGCAATAGTGACCCAATGAATAGGCAGACTTAACACGAGAGAGGATGAGCTTTACCCCAGGTACCCCAGTTATTCTTGTCTACTCTTAAGCAGGGGCTTGAGAGCACAGTAGAAGGAATAGGGGCTCAGAAAGGTAATTTTAGTAATACATATCTAGTCTATATATTAGGACAAGAGAGGGGCTTATATAGGTATAGTGGCCATAAATATCTAGCTAAAAGAGGGCATTAAGATGTCTCTATACTTAAGTTAGGTCCGCATTATGTCCTTAGGCTAGGGGAGTTTATATTAGTTAGGCAGACCCCTTATATATAACTATTAGGTCTACTAGGCATGACTCTGGCCTCTTATGCCTACTTTATGCCTACTCTCCTTAATACTTACCTACTATTAAAGTACTAGATACTTCTAGCTAGGTTATTAGCGTAATCTTAATAAATAAATAAATTCTTTATATATTCTTAAAAATTATAAACTTTACCTCAAATCAAATCTTTCTATCTAACTTACTGGATAAGTAGAAGATAATATAAGACAAAAAAAGCTTTCTACGGGGAACTGTGCAAATAGGGGAATCGGACTGCTATAGGCTAATACATACTGTGTAATGGTGGCGCAGCAGAGGCAGTGATCAGGCGTGAGGTTTCAGGAGCTGTGATACATGAAGTTGCTTGTCGACTCCTCGGGCTCGGGCGATGGGGATCCGTTCCTCCAATTCCTATCACAATAGATGACACGGGCAGTATGAATGGCTCAGCAACGATCAGGCAGAAGATCCCTGGTAGTTCTCTTTCTAATGAGTGGGATGATTCCTCTTGAAGTACATAAATTGAGAAAGCAAGTGACGCTGCTACCTGCAGACAGCAGCTCGTATAATCGTAACTGCCTATCAGGCAGTAGGCAGCACCGTGAATGAGCGTCCGAATCTTGACTCTTTCACCCAAGGCCGCTCCTTCGTTTTTTGCAACACCTTGCCGCGACATAGGCCAAGTGATCGTTCTTGTAATGCAATCTTGCTCGCTCGGAAACGCGGCTCAGCCGTACCGACTCCCCTGCTTCTTGTAATGTGGGCTTATAGGGTGACGAGAGTTCACGACCGTGTATCACCCATCTGATACATTCCAGCCAGCCGAAGCCGAGCCGGGGAACCTAACGGCTGAAGAGATCGACTGCCGTCTCCCGAAGCTACCGCCAGTTTGATTCCGGACGCCTGTGCGGTCTAGTATTTAAGACAATCCCTCTACCGACATTTACTTTTAGGGTGCTTGTCTCTAGAGAGCCGGCCCTTCCACAGCCAAGCTACACGAGTCTGATTCCGTTTATTAATCAAGAGGCTGCTCTGTCGATATGATAACGGTTTACGGCATTCTGATTTGAAAGCCTTCCAAATTCTCAATGGAGCCTTTCTGGCCTGCTGAAGCCCTTGCCTGGCGAGTCGGATGGCACGGGCGAGGGCGAGCAAGTTCAGACCTGTCTGCGCTCTGTAACTTGCACGGCTCTGTCTCGGACTCGACCCTCACTTTCAACGATATGTGATATAGTCGTACGGAATATAATTGCTATAATTTATTCGTAATTTATATAGCTTAGTCTGAAGGAACGTGCTTATAATCTTGAAGTGCCCATCTTCGCGAGCAAGCAGACCTTGGTAACATAGGGCCATTCCACAAGACTGGTATAAGCAGCGAAGGACTCCTCCCCATCCTGGTCAATGACGAAAACAGTCTTCTATCACGTTTTAAAGCCATCCATGCCTGGCTTTCAATACCTCTTCGACTTACCGTCGCATTTTAGATTACCAAATATAAGATGAAGGTCTTCAGCACCATCTTCACCCTCTGTGTGGGATTTTCTCTTGTTCAGGCGGCCGCTATTTCGACCGCTGAGAAACGAGGAGGTTGTTGGATTGGGCGGAACAGGCGGCAGCACTGCAACAACACCTCCGTAAGTAATTCCGATGAATTAACGTCAGCCAAGGACTTGAAATGAATGCTTGCCCTCTCGATGTTGTTCTGACGCGACGCCTGTTTCAAGACTTGCAAAACCCTTGGAAATGGTGAACGGATTTGCGCTATTTAAAATAGCCAGACAGCGACGCTGGTTGTTAAGGAACTGGTAATTGCAACTGCTTGCGACTATCTGTCTTTCAGGCTGAGAGTTAGGCTGAGACTCGTTGACGAGGGGGCGGGATTTGACGACAGGCTCGGTCAAACAGAAACTGGCCATAGAGCAGTTATCAGACAGCCGTGTCCCACGCCTGGCACGACGACGGCAGTGGGACAAAGCAATCTGAATAGCATCAGGCAATTGCTGAGAATTATCCAGAGGCCCCTTTTAACCATTAGAGCGTTTACACCATCGGATAGACCCCAAAACAGGGAGGTGTGGCTGGTCCAGGCACAGCGCCGATACTGCCAATTGGTGTGTGCATATTCCAGGCACATACGTAGCGCACCTGGAGACGTTTTCCAGCATCGACAATCAACTACTTTGCCGATCTTAGAACTATTCAAGCTTAGAAGGCAGTTTGGGAAGAGCTACTACAAGAGAAGACTTATCATTGAATGTTGCCTCTCAGGTACGCTCGGGGTTTCCGGCCGCTAATAAGTGGCAAAGAAGAGGAGTCGTTCGCTGGACTGATCTTAGAAACTTGTCCGCGGCTCGTGGCCATTGAGTTTCAACGGCGTTGATAGAACCAGTCTATGAATCTCCACACCCACGTTGTGTCTCATGAAATCCCATGGTCCATGACGTCAATACCGCCGCGATTTTGACTAACTATGGACACACATTCAGGGGAAATAAGGACGGGCTCGGTTTGCCACGCGGCGCTCGACGCCGTCTCTCAACGGCCAGCCCTAGAGCAAGGCTCGCCAAACTCAAAACTTCTCAAACTTCTCTACCAATGAGCATCTCTTGTTCTTCCGCCATAATTGTCGAATGTCTTTGTTTTGTGTGCTTGGATTCTGTTAAAACCATCGCACGACAAGGGACGACGTTGGGATATTTTGAACCAAAGGATCATGTCATCATTGATACCTTCGTCTTTCCATGTCAGCACCAGGCGGCCCATGGAGAAGAGGACCAGCTTGCCGTACTATCCGTGCGAGGTTACAGGCGTCAGTTGAACAGCGAGTGAATAAGCACGCACATGCCTGGCCGAGTTCGGGCGGCCAACCCGTGCAACGCTATGGCGCAGCAACAGGCCGTGTCATACTTTAGGGCCACGAAGGAGCTGACAGTCAGCCCTGGGCGGCAGATATTCTCAGCGGCACGGCTGTCACAATGCATTGTCAAAGCGCCACCTGGCCCGATGGCAACTATGCAGGGGCCAAACTAAGCTTACCTGCAGTGGCTTCGGAGCTTCCGCTGATGGCACACGCATGACGCAACGGGGCTGCTGACATCCAAGGCCTCGGGCCGTGCAGGGGTTTTCATCGGTGATAATTACTGCCTCGTTTAAAGAGAATCCGTTCCCGTGGCACAGTGATCCTCTCGTTGCGTCCGTTTCCCCTGTTCGTTGTAGACGGAATCCGAGTGCCCAGCCCTCATTGAATCCTCCCTCTGAAGAAACATGGCGCCGAGAATAGGAGTCAGCTTCCTTGCCCTGATCCTGGGTCTTGCGTGTGCCGTCCAGGGTGCCGCTATCCACCGACGGGCCTCTCCGGGATGCGGCAAGTCGCACGACTTTGTCGGCAAGACGCGCGAATTCAGTTTCCAAAGCAGCGGCGGAAAACGCACATATCGGATCCATCTCCCCTCAAACTACGAAGCCGACAAGCCCAAGCCGCTCTTGATTGCGTACCATGGCGCCGGCAACAAACTCGAGGATTTCGAGAACGAGACACGCTTTTCTGACGAAAGCGTTAACCCCGACATGATTGCCGTCTATCCTGCTGGCGTCGATGTATGGCCTCTTTTTCGCTGCATGGCCCTTGAATACCAGAACTAACATGTTGAATACAGAAACACTGGCAGGGCCCGAGCTATGCTAAGAAGGGCGTGGACGACGAGGCCTTCACCACCGACTTGGTCAACCGCATCAAGGGCGCCTACTGCGTCGACGAGGCGCGCGTCTACGCCACCGGCCACTCCAACGGCGCCGGGTTTGCCGGGACCCTGGCCTGCTCGTCCGAACACGGCGGGCAGTTCGCCGCATTTGCCCCCGTTTCCGGAGCCTTTTACACAGATGTCGTGGGCAACCGGAACTGCCACCCGTCCCGCTCGCCTCTGCCCATGATGGAGCTGCACGGGACGGCAGACCGCACGATCCCGTACGAGGGGGGAGACGCCCGCGGCGGCCGCGTCCCTGCGATCCCCGACTGGCTTTCCCGGTGGGCGAAACGGAATCAATGCTCGAGTTCCAGCACCAAGGATCTCCCGGGCGGCGTGCACGACATCAAGTGGAAATGCGCGGGCGGCGAGGGCTTGGTGCGGCATATCAAGATGGACGGCCAGAGCCACAAGTGGCCCGGCAAGGACTCTGCGTTTGATGCATCGCCAGCCGTCGTCGACTTCCTGTCGGCCTTCCGCAAGCCGTGAAGACGAGTGGCAAAGAGCCATTTTTTCAAGTAAATAATTTGGCGGCAGAGGTACGTGTATAGGGTCGCCGCAGATATGCGTATATAATTCAGTAGTAGAGTCGTTGTACGGAAACCACAAAGTATGAGTAGTAGCAAAGAAGAGCATTTGAAATGCATATGGGCACATTGGGGGTGAGTCTAGATGTTTGTCATTAAAAAAAAGCCTTCCTCTGTCATATAGTTCCTCGATATCTTGTTTCACACAATTAGAGCCCACGATCCCCGACCATCTCGGCCTTACGTGATATACATTGAACCATCGAAGTCCCGAGTCTGTCGGGAGACTTGTTGCGATTTATTGGTTTCGCTGCCCTGTTTATATTGTTAATTTGTAAGCTTTCCAATCGAGGAAGACACACTTGGAGCTCAAGACCGTCATTGGAGAACATCGACATCTAGCCATATACACGTGTATAGGGTACCAGTGATATGTAAGGGCAGACGAGCTATGTGGCATGATAGCTAGAAGAAGCGTAAAATAAGCTCCACCCATTCCCGTTGCCGTTCTACGGTTCTATGAGCTTCGTCGTGTCGTCAGAACGGAACGGGTTAATATTGGCTCTAAGCATGTTGGCCTCAACCCATTCTTTTAAATGATGCTATATAAATACTTGGTGATTGAACTTGGTTTTCTCCCGACAGGCTGCTGACGCCGGCCCATTACGTGCTCATGATCCTTTGGTACTTCAGACCGTCTCCTCTTCATTGATGCACCTGGAAGCGATTCCTGGCAAGAAGGTATGTAGTTCTGGCCTTTAGCCGTGCCGGGAGGTTCCAATGCCGGCAGGATACCGATGCGTATTAGAGCCAATAGCGTCGGTCGCCGTTATTCTTGAAACGCGTCCAAGCTTCTCCGACAGGGATACTGTCACGCTCCAGGCCATCTGTCGTTATACAACAGCTCCACGCTTTGTCATGCCGCATACGATTTAATCAGAATGAAGCAAAGTCCCGCCATATTTGTGTCACTATAGGGACCCCTGTTCGTGAAACCACCCTGTGCCCAGTAAGACCATCGCCAACGCTGGCCAACTCGACACTCAATTATATCATTGACGTGTACTTTGAACTCTATAGGTACAGGCTCGATTACTTCGTGTTGACGGTTTCATTCCCACGAATCTTATGGGAGACAGTTGGAAGGTCTAGGGGCCGCAGGGGCCTACATGCGGAAAAGACGTGGGTTCGGCGGCAAGGTTCTGATTGGCCATGGCGAAACCAAGAACACGACGGAGAATCTAGAACGGCATTGACAACACATTGCAGTCATAGCAGACGCTGTAAATGTTCAAGCTAGTCATGGACGTCTCGAGGGACGTTCTGGGCCCAGACGTGGAAGCTTACGACCCTGTTTCACCATCCAGCCTGACAATGACCCGGCGTCTTGCTCGTGGGGTGACCAACGATGACGCCCTTTTCGTCCCACCTTTTCCCCTCCCGTCTTGCATGCTCGGCGTACGTTCCTGGGGCTGCCTAGCGCCTGTGGGCCGGCCTTTGTCAGGGTTTCTTACACTGGCAGCTGCCAGGTCTCGAGTCATTGCCAAGCTTGGGTACATGTAGCTATCCATTATGCTGTGAAAATGACTCGCCGAGGCACTGCAGGTCGGAGTTGCTTTGCAAAAGCCAGATATGATAATAGGAGGGCGGCTTCTTGGCTTGTCGTCGCTTGCTGGCTTGCCGTCGAACTCCTCCCACCTCCAACGCCCCCCTATGTCAAGCTCGTCGGCGCCCAACTCGCATGCTGTAGGCCTCCATGCGTCTTACTCTCGCTTCCCTACGCCCATTCGCTCTCCCCGCACGCGCCTACGTCCGAACGATCAACGAGTTGTTCGCATCGCCGCCAACGCTTCCTCGACATGCACATCACCCGGAATTGGAGCCTACGACTGGCCCTCAAGGGCGGCCTGGCTATCATTGCGCTCAGAGTCATTATAGCCTACTTAAGCACCGACGCTCTGTCCTTGATTTCCCAGGCTGCCAACATAAGCACGATTCGACACGCTCGTCCGGTGCATGCGCCTTCCCATCTTCCGCGCACGGCCAATAGGACCCTCGGGTTTGAAAGAGTCATCGCCATTTCTCTGCCCGAGAGGTCGGATAAGCGCGATGCGCTGGACCTGATGGCTTCCCTGACCGAATTCGACATTGACTGGGAAGACGGCGTCAAGGCGTCGTCGATTGCAGAGAAGGCAGTCCCATACGGCATCAGTCTTGATCGCGCAAAAGAAAACTTCCTGGGTAGTTGGAGGGGCCACATGAATATTATACGCCGGTAAGTTCCCACAATAGAGGACATCAAAGCCTTGCTTCCGTTTTCAGTCAAGACTAATAATGGCTTAAAGGATCGTCGAAACCGGGATATCTTCTGCCTTGATCCTAGAGGATGATGTAGACTGGGACGTTCATCTCAAGTCGCAGCTCTCCAATATCGCCCAAGGTACTCGCCACGTCTTGGGCGAGTCCGCGTCCTCATTCCCTCCCGACTCACCCTACGGCGATGGCTGGGACGTCCTTTGGCTCGGCCACTGTGGCGAGGTATTCCCCGAAATGCTAGACGAGAACCGCAGCCTCGAAGGTGATGCCAGGGCAAACATTTCCATCAAGTACGCCATCCAGGACGACGAGACTATGCCGTCGTACAGCAGAGTTACGCAGTGGGTGGATTGGGGAGCCTTCCCGCCGCACACACGACTTGTTCACCTGTCCGGACTACCAGTCTGCTCCTTCGCCTATGCCGTCTCGCAGAAGGCAGCCAAAAAGATCCTCTACGCGCTGAGCATCGACGGTCTACATACCGAGTTCGACAACGCGCTCGCGGCCTTGTGTCGCGATGGGCGATCGGATGCCTCGTACCATCTCAAGTGTCTCAGTGTCAACCCAACCATCATATTCCACCATAAGCCAAAGGGCCGCCTGACTGGAGACAGCGATATCAACAGCCAAGGAGAGGACGGCGGCGAGAGGCAGGAAGGGTTCACAGAGTCGATCAAATGGAGCATGAGACTGAATTTGAAGAACATCTTGCTAGGCAGGCCTCTGGAACAACAGTTTGACGATTGACGGCATCTCAAAAGCTCGCGATATCACGCCGCTGTGTTCTCTTCCAAGGTGGCGGTGAAATTACCCGGAGCTCGACCGGAGGAAGTCGGCTTTAACCAGAGTCTCCAGGATTGGGTCCGGGATCATGATCCGGTCATTACTGGGCTTTGTTCAAACTCTCCGGGAAACGATCGCCGCCAAGCCGCAGCAAGGGCCCCAGTCTCACGTCTACCAGATGCTCCGTCGGAATCATGCTTCGGCCAACGGGCTTGTTTCCCCACAGAGCTCCGGGCAGGCCAACCAAAGTGCAGAGAGAATCCTCATGCCCACGCAGCTGGCGACCAGACACAAGATGCCAATCCTCGATCTGGCGTCGTGGCGTCGTTGGCTGCTGTTGCCGACTGCAGATGGCTGACGGGTCCCCGTCAAGCCCTTTGTGCTGATGAAAGTCGCCTGTCCAGGGGCCACTCGAGAAGCCCAGAAGATTGGGCATACACGAGCAAGGCGTTGTCATGCTGCGGGGGCTTGCATAATTACATGTATGAAGAAGCTCCCCCGCCTCTGGGTCGAGGCCCTTGGAATCCCAACCTGCTCTAAATATGCAACGCATCCCCTAAATTATGTACGAACAAGGCGCTCGAATCTCGATTGCCAGCTCCGTTCCGATCGCCAGCCGGCAACAATGCTTCCGGGCACATTCTCAAGGAGCATACTGGTCGACGATTCGTATGCCACCCCATCCGTTACAACGTCAAGTTCGGCCTCAACGTTAGCCCCGAAGGCGAGACGATGCTATTCGTCCGTCAAACGCAACAGGCTCTCATACCGCACGTCTTTGCCATTTCTCGACCAAAGATGCAGAGAGGCGCAGCATCAACTACCTGGCATGCTTCAGACTCTCCACAGAAGGCGGCGGTATCAAGTCCACTGCCCCTTTGCTTCTATACCTCACGGAGCCTTCCTACACCCGGATACTTTGTGCATCCCGGGAAGCGACCTTTCCATGTTCTGGACTGCATATGAAGACGGCATAGTCAGCGGGCCCTTTGGTTCAGAACCAAAGCTGAATGAAGCCCTGGCTGAGAAATACCTTTATAATAGGGACCCAGGCCAGAAAGCCCTCATACTACCATCCTGTGCTCCCCGTCACCACCCTTCCGGAACCATGAATCGCTCTTCACTCATGGTGATCTGCAAAGAAAAAACATCATCGGCAGGGAAATGGAGCGGCGATTGGTTCTCGACTGGGAGACAGCGGCATGGTATTCGGGGTATTAGGAGTACACCTACGCAATGATTGCCTGCAGGGCCTGGGAGGATGAATGGCACGGGTATGTGCGGCCGATACTCTCCCAGGAGAAGGCTCTGGTCTTGACCCGAGGCAGGCCGGCCGGCGATGTGGTCTCCCGGTGGCGAACGTGACAGGAAATCCTTCACATCGATTAAAGCCTGCCAGCCGTAGAGCCAGTTTCTGATATAGCTCAGTAGACGCTTGGGAAGAGCAAAAATTACTTACGTCGCAGTATATAGATACATGCCATGTTTGGGCGAGTTCACACGCACCTCAAGATTTGTGAAATGGATGTGAGCAGCCACCTCTCACCCCGTCGTCCCAACTGGTCGATTTAATGAAACGGCCTCGCCATGCACCTTGATTTCTCAAAGCTTCGGTCTTCTGCGCCGGCCGGAATATACGTGTTCAACACATGACACATCATCTTTCGTTTCGGGGCCTCGTCAAGTCGCTCTGTCCCCTTTTCCTGTGGAACCAAGGACAGAAACCAAGCCCAGATCAATGCGGAACGACTGGAGTGGTACATGGGTCTTCAAAGCGCTGGGTACATAAGCCAGCCAGGGCCGCCTAAGGCTTCGTTCAGAGTCTCTCTATCCAGTACAGTACTGGGGGGGAGGGCAAGCAAGACTGAGGCAGACCCTCGAGCCATGGGGATCCCGTTATAGACGCGATAAACGCCATTACCCGCGGCGGGGTTGTCCAGCATCATGTGAGCTTGCCCCTTCCTTCACCCCTTGGACCTTCACCCCTTGGACCGCTGGTTTGATGCTGGCCACGCACGCTCAAGGAGGAGAGCAAGTAGCAGCCACGACACGAGCTCCAGAGGCACAATGCCCAAGAGGCACCCCCCACTCCGCCACTTGCTGTGCGGCCCTGAAGAGTCTGCCTCGTATGCAGCTTCCACCAGCTCCTTGGTGCCGCAGAAACGGCAGCGAGTCGGCACTCAGATGGCCTGCAACGAATGTCGCCGGAAGAAGGCCCGCGTATGTCCGGCCGGTCAGGCAAAGTCGGCGAGCTCCCAGGCCTCTTTGTCCCCGGGAGCCATGCTTGCTGTCGACTTTGCAACGGTGGGTTGGAGCCGCTGCCCTGACTCTTCTGCTTCATCTAGTGTGACGGGGAGCGCCCGTGCTGTAGGGCCTGCCAGCAGCGATCTGTGCCATGCATCTACGCCGACAAGCCCGCCGTCGGTCCACCGATCGTGGACGAGTCCTGCGAGATCGTGCAGGTCCTCCGCTCCGCCTCGGAGAGCGAAGCGTTTGGCATCCTGCGTCTGCTCCGGACCAACGACGACCTGTCGGCCGTGGCGCATATTGTCAAGTCCATGCTGGGGCTCAGGCAATCGCCGGCCGAAAACGCATCCGAGACGGCAGTCGGTCTCCAAGAAGCTCCGTATCCCAGCCTAGAGTTTGAGCTCATGACCAAGAACCCCGTCTCGTATCCCGCGCTGCACCCCCTCTTCGCCTCCTCCTTGGAGGAGTGTAATTTACTTGGGCCGGTCCAGCTGCACCGACCAGACTCTCGAGACGCGAGGTTCGCCTTTGAGAGTGTCCCGTCAAGACTCTTGTTGCTGATCTTTCTCAGCATCAAGTTCAGCAGCCAGGTGGTCGGCGCCTCCCCCGAAGCGGCCATCGAGACGACCGACTCGGATCCCGCCCGCACCTCTGATGACCCGGCATTGAACCCGTTTCTCTCGAGCTATGGGCCCGACGAAATCGTGCTGTCGAGATCGAGCTATTGCGACGAGCGCTTGCGCGACTTGGACATTGCTTTCTGGACCAATGTCCCTGTAACTAACGAGTTTGCGGCCCGCGTCATCTCGCTTTACCTAGAGACAGACCATCCGCTGCTAGGCACCTTTGATCCGGACCTATTCATCGGCGACCTGGTTGCTCGCCAGACCCGACATTGCTCTCGCCTGTTGGCCAACGCAACACTGTACTGGGGTTCGGTATGACCCCTTTCTCTCCCCCGACGCCCCTCACGGGACTCAAAGTGCTTTAGTCGTGCGGGTGCACGCCTCGGCCATGCTCACGTTGACGAAAACTAGCAAATGTATGCCGCTATCGACAGAGATGCCTACCCGCAAGCCCAGCTCTTCTGTGTCGAGGCAGAGCGGCTCTGGCGCCTTGAAGGGCCGTCAGACACCCTTCTCAACATCGCGAGCGCCCAGCTCCTAAGTCTTGCCACCCTCGGGCAAGGCAAGGACCATCACATGCTGGAGTACCTGGGCGCAACCTTCCACATGGGCTTGCGAATGTCGTTGTTTGGCGTGGAGCCGGCTGTGGGGATCAAGATGGTCAACGAGCTCCCCCGGGACATGCGCAGTGCGACCTCATATGCGGCCTGGGGCACCTTCAACTGGATAGTGTGAGCTCGGATGATTTATGATGCTTTACACGTGATCCATGAAGCTGATGCCCGGGATAGGCTTATGTCGCTGTTCTACCAGCAACCAGGTGTCCAGTACCCGAACCACCCTCCCGAGCTCCCGATTCCAGGCGTCCGAGAGCCTGTCTCGACGCCGCATAAGGAACACTCAGCGAAAGGGCCGGGTTTGGGGGATCCCGCCCTGGCAACGGCGCCCTACATGGGAGAGACTTTCCCAGCGCTGTGTATGTTCTGGCGCATCCTCCACGGCGTCACCCGGGACTATTACCAGAATGCGCCCAAGCAGCCTGCACCCGCGAGCGGCCATGTCTCGCTTGTCTTTGCGGAGCACAAGTACCGCGAGCTTCTTGCCTGGGCGGAAACCCTCCCAAAGTCTCTCGCGCTGTCCGAGGATAGTGCGCACCACGTCGTGGTCTTTCAGTGAGCCTCACACTGTGAATAGCGTATCAGCTTGCATATATCCGGAACTGTATACATGTATGCGTGAAGAGACTTACGAGGTGATTGTTTAGTGTTTGGTTCCATGCGGCTATTCTCGACATCTTCCGCCCCTTTGTACGAGGCCCCGAGGACCGTCTTGCCACGTTTGCGGCGCGCGAGAGCTGTCCGCGAGTCGCCTTCAAAGCCTCGGTCGAGCAGCTCAAGAGCCTCGTGGTCATCTATCGCTCGCGGCACAAGGAGTCGGCATACTCGATCCTCTGGCACACGGGCATGATCTACCTGGCCAACGCGGTCCTGCACGAGCCCAAGGACCCGGCGTGGCGCTTCTACTTTCTCCACTGCGTCCACGGCTACGGGAGCCTGCGCCGGTCGTACCGCGTTGCCGAGGCCGTCGGCCGGGCACTGCTGACCATGACCCTGCGCAGCGGCGACATGTCGAGCGACGAGGCGCGGAGCATCTTTGGCCGGCTCAAGAAACGGGGGCTGGCGTACGTGTCGGACGAGATCCGGGCCACGTTCATGGTCGACTTGGACCTGGCCATGACGGATCCCGACGACTCGAGCGTCGAGAAGCTTGCTCAGGGGTTCGAGGACTGGACCCTGTTTCGAGAGTTTACGCACCTCGACGGGTGAAGACTGAATCGTCGGGACCGAACGCCTCAGCGTGAGGAAACGACCGTGCCAAGCTTCAGGCAATGCCACGGATCGATCGGGGAACGCGAGACGACTCAAAGGTAGGCGCAAACGGGCGGCGGATGCCTGTTCAATTCCATGAGCACAATGGCGCTCTCCAAGCTACATGATGGGAAGACGTAACCACAAGACGCCGATTATACGTGGCTGTTGACTGCGCAACACGCACACATACACATTATCCTTCCTCCTGAAAATACACATACATGGAACTCCAGCAACGCCCCGTCGCATCATGAATAGCGTGTATCTGAAGAAGAGAGATGGCTCATTTGGCGCCCCAAAGCTCCTGCGCGTTGTCCGTGAAAAGTTTGCGCCGTAGCACGTCGTCTCCTCTGGTCATACTAAGCAGGTGCCTCGTCCACGGCTTGATGTCCTGCCCCTCGAATCTTGTGTGTGGCCAGTCGGAGCCGTAGACAAGCCTCGACGGCGCCACCTTGAACAATTTCTCAATGATGGGGTCCAGGTCTTTATAATCTGGGTCCAAGGGCTTCTTGGACAGGCGGTAGGGGCCGGATATCTTGACCCACGTCTTCCCCTTGCTGAGGAGGTGGATCAGGGCTTCAAAGCCGGCGGGTTGCTGGAGGGTGCGGGCGGGCGAGCCGGCTGCGTTGCTCGGCAGGGCTGGGGCTCCGAGATGATCAAAGACAACGCGCACGTCAAGCTCCTGCAGCAGATGGACCAGCGAGGGAATGAGGGCCATGGGGGTGTACAGCTGCAGGACCCAGTTGAGCGGCTTGATGGCGGCGGCGTATTGCCTGAGCCGGCGCTCGAGCGTCTCGGCCGACTCAACGACGCCTTCGCTCTGGAGATTGACGCGGACGCCCCTGACGCCGAGGCCATGCCAGGAGCGCAGCAGCGCCGGGTTGTTGGCGGCGGCGGCGTCGAGCACGACGACGGCGCGGTGACCGGAGCCGATGGCCTCGAGCGATTTGATGAGCAGCGTGTTGTTTGCGCCGTAGATGGAGGGCTGGACAATGACGACGTGCTTGCAGTGGATGCTGTTCTCAAAGGCGCCGTTGTCCCAGATGGTGTGGACGCCCGGCGTATACCGCGCGTCCGGATGCGGAGGGAAGCCGTCCGGGTCGGTGACGTGGATGTGCGAGTCCCAGGCGCCGGCGGGGATGGCCGGTACGTCTGGAAACAGGCTCGATGCGTCGGAACACGAGTCCCTTGGCGCCGGTCCTTGTGGCTGCCGGCGCTGCTGGTGGGTGGCGCCGGAGCCGGTGGGGACGGAGCCGGTGGGGACGGAACCGGTGGGGACGGAACCGGTGGGGACGGAACCGGTGGGGACGGCGCCGGTGGGGACGGCGCCAGCGGACGGTCGGGGCGAAGCGACCGAGCCGGCAAGCCAGGAGGTGGCGCTGATGAACAAGTCGAGGCGCATCTTGTCTTTTCTCGGGTCTCGGAAACTTCCGCTTTGGGTCCGGGAGGGCGCGTGTGGTGCGGACAAACCCTTGAGCAAAGCTGGAAGTCCGAGCCAAGTAAGAGAAGATCGGTCGCCATTATAACTTATGTGCCTATAACTAATTACGGCAAGACAACCCGCCTCCTCCTCCTCCTCCTCCTCTCCTCCGCGCGCTTCTTTTCTTTTTAGATTAGCTCCTTCCGGCCGTCAATTTGCCTTTCTCTTCGTCAAGATGACCGGCAGCGGCCTCGGCTTCTGTCCATGGCTGCATAGGGCAGCGGTGATTAGGGCGTGGCTTGCTGTGCCCTGCAGACCAGAAGCTCTGCTGGCCAAATCCAAGGCAACATCGTCGATCAAATTGCGACGGCGAAAAGCTGCTGCCTGCTCTAAGAGCCGGCCGGTTTAATGGTAGGGCGGCGCCACGACGCATGTCTGAGTTAGCAGCGGCAGCGGTGACCAGCTGTAATCTTCGAGCGTGTAGCTGCATCGCTCCCTCTCCAACCAAATCTCCATCTTGGCTTGCACGTGGTGTCGGATTCTGTCCGACTCGCTGCCTCATTAATACGCCTTCCCCGAGAGGCCTGTAAGGCTGACTCCTAAATACCTATGGACGCCTTTTCGTCGTGTGCTGCCGCGTGCAGAAGCTATTGGTATCCGGACCAAGTCATCCAATCGGGGGGGCCTGCACTTCTTTTCTTCGAAGAAAGCGAATCGTCGATTGTTTTGCGCTGGCTGCAGATCTGCCTTGCTCGAGGCATGAGTGCTCGGCCCGTGGTCGATGGCTCGCGTCGATCCTTGCCACGGTCCATATTGGGGTCAAGTTCCACGGCAGAGCGCGTAGATGTAGATGCCTCAGCACCATGTTTTGGCTCCTGCTTCCCCGTCCATGCCTTCATCGGTGGCCAGAAGGCGCCCCTCGCCCTCAGCGGAGACCGCGCTCCCGCACATTGCGGGCTCGCAGGGGAACTTCAGCTGCCGAAGACTCGCCCGGGGCTTGCGCCCTCGGCGGTGCCTTGCGCTTCTTGAGGCACGGCGCCTCGTCCCGCGTGGCGCAGAAGGCGGCGGTGCCCATGCACTCCTCGCTCCAGCCGCCGGAGCAGCCGCCGGGCTCTTGCCACTCCAGCAGCGGGTTCACGGGGTCGAGCCGGGCCTGCGGAGGCGCGGCCACGGTGAGCCCGGCCACGGCGAGCCAGGCGACGGAGACGATGCCGTACTTCATGGCGGTGGCGAGACTGGGGATGGGCGAGGTCGAATCGTCCTTTGCCTCTCTCTTTTTTTCGTCCTTGACACTGGTCTTGGGGTCGCTGGAGGGTGGGCGACTCTTGAGGGTAACGCTCGAGTCGTGTATGTCGTCAATAATGTGTATAAGAGATAGGAATAAGGCAGTGAACGCAGGGAACACATGCCCCCGGGGACTCGTGAGTTAATAACATATTTTCCGCAAGCTCCCACGCAAACTGCGTTCGCCCCCCCGCTTCCCTTGGCAAACCTTGTTCTCCCTTGTTACTCACAAGATTCCGCATGGGGCTGCCGGTGCCAGAAGACGACACGGCCTTCGGCTTTGGTCCAGAACAGCCAGAGAGATCAGGCGAGTCTACACGACAATATCGAAACGTGTCGGTCTTGGGGAGTGGAGCCAGAAAGGTTATGGCAGGGTCAAGCTGTCTTGGCACGGGAGGGAGCAACATGTTGCTCTGAGGTGGATTATTACGCTATGATGCAGTACTGTAACACGTAATGTATGCTGCGAGACAGCAGGGCTTCTTCCATGCGCAGCACATGAGGTGCGTTCAAATCTAGGCCTTGCCGCCAATCTCGAAGTGGAAACGCCGAAAGGGAGTTTTCGTAGGGCGCCGTCATGGGTCATCATGCCCGGGGCTGAGTCTCGCTGCAATCGGCTGCCGGCGGGTTCCTGAGTCGCCGGCCGGTTCGTCTGAGCACGAAAAGGGGCGCTCTGTCTCTCGGCGTTCTCTTTGCCAATGGGCATGTATGTGTTCGTACATGTGATCTGTCCTTCTGAGACAACGCCGGGACCAGGGCGAGCGCTGGCCAGTTGAGACAAGTTGATCCCTCAGTTCTATTGTTGATCCTTTCAAGGCCGAGAGTCTTGACCTTCATCCTAATACGACGTGGTGCTTGTACACAGCCGAATGCAACACTAATAAACGCTGAATACCTACCGCGTGCATAATGTATTGATTGACCTGGCGGTGGGAACCGGAGATGGATACTGGACGGGCTTCTCCGTCTCCGGCGGGGAACGGGCTTGCAGCCTTGGTCCATACGCTCCGGCACTCTGACTGGCTCACTCTCTGCCCGTTCCTCTGTCGCCGGCTACCGAGACAAATACGAACACCCGTAACTCGTCTGATCAGAGTCCCCATGTCGACAAGTGTGTAGTTACCTATAGAACGGGTCGTGTCGACCGACCACATGGCCTGGACATTACCAAACCAGCCTCCCTTATTATATACCATGTCGCATCAACGCCTGGCTCCACCTCGCTCTGTCTTGTATGCCTCGCCCCTCGCTGGAGCAGGTTCCGCATCCCATTCACCCCTTTGCCCACCCGTTTCGTCGTCGAGTCGTTCTTATCAGGTCGTGTATATATGCATGTGTCTCTCCCTTCCCGGTAGCCAAGTCGTCCCTCCCTCTGCCATTGGTAGCAGGCGGTGAGCTGCTTGCGCGCTTCATATCGCGCCCGTCCAAGACTGCGACACCGAGTCGTCCATGTCATTGTTGGACACGCCGCCCCCCATCTCCATGATGCCGTACATGTCCCAGCTCAGAAAGTTCTGCAGGTCGTCCAGATCCAGCCTCTCGCACATGGGCAGCTGCTGCTGCTGCGCCGCCGCCACCGCCGCCGCCGCCGCCACGCCCCGCGGGAGCAGCTGCATCGACACAGGACGCTCGTGCTGCAGGCCGGATCGAGCGGGCGGCACCTCTTGGCTGAGGCCCATGAGCTGGTGGGCCGCCAGGCTGGTTCCATCCCACGAGGCCGGGCCGCCGTTGCCCGCGTTGGGGTTGACGGTGCTCCAGCCGGCGGTGCTGGCTCCGGGGGACTCGTCGCCCGGTCGCTTCTCGCCGTGTTCGTCTGCGCCGCCGCCGCCGCCGCCGCCGCCGCCGCCACTCAGGGCAGCTAGGGAGAGCGGTGGCAGCAGATACTCGGAGGAGTCCCGCGGCGGGCTGGCCCGTGCTCCGTTCAGTCTGTGGACAGGTTCCTCCGGGTTAGCCTCCCACTTGTCGAGAATATCTCGCAGCGCAGAGCCGGAGCGGAGCAAGACTGGGCTCGCAGGGCGGAAACTCACATTTCAGACCGGTGCGCGTCCAGCCGGTGCTCCGATTGCAAGCTGCTCACCAGCTCGTCTTGGCTGACGGTTTGCTGTACCTTGAAGAGCCACCGTTCAATCGTGACCGACTTTGCGGGGAAACGTCAGCTTCGCGCACATGCGTGAAGAGGCCTCTTAAGACTCAACAGATTCCTCGCTTGACAAGAGGTCTCACCAGGGACTGCGCAATGGGAAAGAGGGTAGACATCAGCCGCAGGACACGGCTGTTGTTCTCGACAGCCTTGATGGCGTCCCTCATCTTGGTCTCGGCATCCGTCCAGTTGGGGTCGAGGAGCCGTGCGACGTAGTACAGCATGACGCGGCTGCTATCGTAGACGAAAAAGGGCAGCAAGCTATCCGACAGGAAGCGCGCGCCGTGCTCGGCGGCGTCGGCCAAGATGTCGGTGATGCGGCGGGCGTGATAGTAGCAGTTCGCCTGCGCGGTTTGCAGAAAGTCGCGATGCTCGGGCGGGAAGACGAGGGGCTTGGCCAGCTTGAAGAGGTCGGGCATGGTGAGCTTGTAGAGCTCGAGGTAGTTGTGGTGGTAGGTGCAATGTATCAGCACCAGGGCACCAAACTGGTTTGAGTCGAGGCGGGCATAGATGGTCTCGGCCGAGTACTCGACAAAGTCGGGAAGTTCCCTGCGCCAGTGATGCAGGTCGGCGTCGAGGGCGGCAAAGGGAGAGTCTGGCTGCCAGGGCGGAGTGTTGGGGGGGAGGTGGTTGACGTATCTGTGCGAGGCAGCCACGTCGTTAGACGATGGATCTGTACAAGGAACAGAAAGAAAGAGTTTGTGAAAGAGAGAGACAAGCAAGAGAGAGAGACAGAAAAGAGGGACCTACCGGACAATCTTCTTCCACAGGGCCACGACGCGAATGTAATAGGCCATGATGCCCATGTTGGCGGCGGGCCGGCGGGGCACAATGGCGGGGGGCAGGAACTGCAGGACGTGTCCGACGGCGAGGGTCTCGGTGATGGAGGGGATGCGGAGGCCAAAGTTGCGCTCGTTGCAGGGCAGCTGGATCTTGATGTCGTTCTCGCGCAGCAGGGTGAGCTGCTCGACGCCGCTGCCGGCCCAGGCGTCGAGGACGTAGCAGGCCCACATGAGGCGGCGGCGGCTCTCGCGCGAGGCGACTGAGGGCGCGGCGTCGTCGCCGTCGTCGGCGCACAGCACGTCCGGGCTCCACTCGGTGTTGATCTTGAGGGCGTGGGCCATGCGGACGGCCAGGCCGCTGAGCATGAGCGCCTGACCGTACTCGCCGAGGCGGAAGTGGAAGTCGTGGAGGAGGATGGCCGTCTGCAGCGGCACCGTCAGCACGAGCCCCGGCGGAGACGTTGCGAGGGGGCCCACCATGAGTCTCTGGACGGATATCTTGCCAAAGTTTGCGAGCATCAGGTACTCGGCGCGCTTGGCCCACTGGTTGCCGGCGGTGCGCAGGACGGCCGGGGGAGGGGTCAGGTCGCCCTGGAGGCAGCTGCCGAGGACGAGGAATCTATGGCGGGAAAGGCAGGCGTCAGCTCGGGGGCCCCTTTTGGGAGAAACTCCCGTCTCCATGGAGAGCTTCCTTGTCCGGGAGCTGCTCACCTGGCGCCGTGGGCACAGATGACGTGCAGCAGCGCCGACTCGTCGTCGGAGCCAAGGCCCCGGTCGAGCTGGCGCATAAAGGACGGCTTGTGGACAAAGGCGAAGCAGCGCAGGGGATGGACGTTGGCAAAGTACTGCTCGACGACGCGGCGCAGGTTGCGAGCAGCCGGAAGCTCGGGGGACAACAGCCTGGTCTGATGAGAGAATGGGCAGGGCGAGAAGCAGAGAGTGCACATAACTCACCACGTGAGTGGATGCGAGCCGGCCATGGCGGCTTCGACGTCGTCGTGGTCCGGCCCGCGCATCCGCTTCCTCCGGTCGGCCGGGGTCGTGGGGTCGGGGGAGCTGTGGCGCCGGGGCGGGACGAGCTTGGGCAGGGCGGCAGGGTCGCCGCCGTCGTCGGCGTCGTCGGCATCACGGTGGTCGGGCGAGAGGGAGCCCGTCGTCAGGCTGCTGGTCCAGCGCGGGGCCGAGCCGCCGTCGTAGAGGCAGTCGAGGCCCTTGGCGGCGCACCGGGCACAGCAGGGGCGCACGCCGTTGCATTTGGTCTTGCTGAGGCGACAGCTCTGGCACGAGCGGTAGGTGCGGATCTTGCGCGGCGACGACGACGACACGGCCGCGCCCTCAGCGGCGCCGCCGAGACAGTCGAGCTCGAGGCGCTCGCAGTTGCGGCAGCCGTTGGGCCGTCCGTCGCATTTGACCTTGTGCGATGCCCCGACCCGGTCAGCTCCCGACGGACCGACGGATGGGCACTCGCACTCACCTTTCTCGCCCGGCACACGCGACACCCCATGACGCATTGTCCCTTGTGGCCGCGACGCGTCTCGTCTCCGACCGGTGATGAACGAGGTTTGATTGCTGTTTTTCAACTCCCGCTCGCCCGCCTTCAGCGCCGCCAGTGGACGCGCCCAGTACCGTAGAAGGTACAGTACCTTGCCCTCTCCCGCTGGGCCTCTGGTACCCGCGACCACCCGCGCGAGGTACCGGCTACCGCGGCTGGCCGCTGCGACACGCGCCCCGGACAGGTTCCCGTTACAGCGAGGGGCCGATGATCCATTGCGCTACCCGGGCGCCCGGTGACGTGCTCGCGACTGCCGAAGCTATATCGAGAGCAACCGCCATTGATTTGTCAGCGCATGCATGGTGCATGTCGAAAATAAGAGTATGCAAGTATTTAACTTGCATTTTATTAGGAGACAAAAGTCCGACTCTCGTCTCGGGCAATCCGTGCCTTGCGTCTGTCTAAAATGTTAGTTATAGTCGGCAAGGAGGACCTACCTATTAGCGTTGGACTGCTGTAGTATACGTATATACGGCTGAAAGCTCTCGCGAAGAGAGATACGAGAAGTGTATATAAAATTTATAAAGTTAAAATTAATAGTAAGGGGTTAGTATTACTAGTTATTAGGTCTTTATATTAAAGAAAGAGGGTATAGATTACGCTATCTTACTTAAAAGAGGGAGTCTATAGGTATAACTATATATATATATATATATAAAGTATAACCTAGGGCCCTTAGGGAGGAAAAATACTACGTAGGAGGAACTAAACTAACCTTTCCTTTATCTTTGCCTTTATAGCTACCCTTTCCTTAATTAGTTATAAGCCCCTAGGCTCTAAAGCTAGCTAGGACTATTAATACTTATTAGCCTTACTATAGCCCTAAAGGCTATATATAAGTAATAAAAAAAATATAAAGTATAAAAAGGAATAGGTTTCCTTATTAACTTAGTAGCTTATAGTTATTTAGATTTATTAAGTAACTTCCTTAGTATCCCTTAAGTTAACTTTTATATTTAATACCTTTAAATATAGTAATAATATTATCTTTACTTATAAAGATAAGGGGCACGCTATTATAAAGTAAGTAGATATATATATATAAGTACTATCTATAAAATAATATTAATAAGCTATATAAAGCTCTTTTATATATAGCTAGTATATATATATATATATAAGATTAACCTTATATTAATATTTAATAATTAAGAAAAAACCCTTTTTTATAAAACTAATATATATTATAGAGTAAGTAGAGGCGTATATATAGGTGCCGTCTATAAAATAATATTAATAAGCTATATAAAGCTCTTTTATACGCGGCTAGCTTATATATATATATATAGGATCCGGCCCTCTATATATAACTATATAGCTTAGGCTATAGCCTAAGCCTATAACCTATAATAGTTAAAGACTCTTATATAATACCCTCCCTTAAGCGCGGTGCGGCGCTACCTTATTAACGGCTTCTATATTATTAAGCCTATACCGCTAGCTCTACCCTACCCTTTCCTATTAATAGTACTAGCCCCACTAGCCCTATTATCCCCGCGCTTATTAGCCTAAGTAGCCGGAACCTAGCTCTATACTTATTAGCTAGCTAGCTATTTAAATAAGGGCATAACCTATTATATACGCCCCTAAGTAGCCGGCAGCCGGCCTAGACCTACGTAAGCCTTAGGTTACCCGTCCCCTTAGCCTTAGGTAGCCTCCTCTACCTAAGGGTATATAAGGTAGCATCCCCCCTTTCCTCCTTCCCTTTCTTTTCTTCCTTCTTTAACTATAGTAGTAGTAGTAATAAGTAAGTTTTACTCTACTTAAGGCGTTAGTTTATTCCTAGCTATATAGGCCGCTCTATTAATATATACTTATAGTAATAGCTATAATAGTAATAATAGCCCTAATAATAATAATAACTTTAACTAATAAGTTCCTTACCTTATAGAGTAGGAGGCTATATTTTATTATACTAACTTCTATAATAGATATATCTACCTCTCTCTCTCCCGCCTCCTCCTTCTTATAGCGTATAGAGTTATTCGTTAACTATAACGACCGGTATTATTCCTAAGGGATAAACCTATTAAGGGGTTTATATTAGTAGATATAATAGGGCGTAGTCTAAGCAATAATAAGTATATTACGTTAGTAATAAGTCGGAGGTCGTAGACCGTAGACTATAACTAAGTAATTAGAATTAGAGATAAAATCGTAATAAAGATCTATATTATATTAAAAGCTAGAGAGCTATCTATTTAAAGGAGTACAAGTAAGTAGCTATATATACCTATAGAGACTATCCTTAGATTATAGGCCTAGCTATAATCCTTAATATTAGATCGTATAAAGCGTAGTAATCTCGTTAATCCTAGATTACTTAGATCTCTACGATCCCCTCGATCTTATATTTATTAGATAGTCGTGCCGACTATTTATCCGTTAAACTATATTACGTACTTAACGCGGTCGACCGTTAACGGCCTAGTAGCTATAGTCGTAATACGATATCTCCCCTCCTTTTAGTCTTATTCGTAAGACCTACTATAGCTGCCTTAGCCGCCGTATATAAATATACCCTTATCGCGTTATATATAAGTATATCGTTCCTTATCTCTTTATCCTTTTAGGATATACTACTAATAGTATATCTAGTCGTATACTAAAAAATCGTTCCTAAAAAGCCTTTAAGCGCGCTACTCTTACTAAATATATTAACTTAAGTAGAGATTCTATTACGGAGTAGGTAGAGGCATATACGTAGGTGCCGTCTATAGGATAATATTAATAAGCTATATAGAGCTCTTCTATACGCGGCTAGCCCGCCCCTATACTTATAGGATCCGGCCCTCTATACGTAACTATACGGCTTAGGCCGCGGCCTAAGCCTATTACCTATAATAGTTAAAGACTCTTATATAATGCCCTCCCTTAAGCGCGGCGTAGCGCTGCCCTATTAACGGCTCCTATATAATTAGGCCCGTGCCGCGGGCTCTTCCCTGCCCTTTCCCGTTAATAGGGCCGGCCCTACTAGCCCTATTATCCCCGCGCCTATTAGCCCGGGCAGCTAGGACCCGGCTCTATACTTATCGGCCGGCTAGCTATTTAAATAAGGGCGTAACCTATTATATACGCCCCTAGGTAGCCGGCGGCTAGTCCGGACCTACGTAAGCCTTAGGTTGCCCGTCCCTTTTACCTTAGGCAGTATCCTCTACTAAGGGGTATATAAGGCGGCATCCCCCCCTTCTCCCTTTTTTTCCTTCTCTCCCTTCTTTAACCGTAGTAGTAGCATTAATAGGTAAGTTCCGCTCTACCTAAGGCATTAGTCCGTTCCTAGCTATATAGGCCGCTCTATTAACGTATACTTATAGTAGTAGCGGTAGTAGCAATAATAGCCTTAATAATAATAATAACTTTAACTAATAAGTTCCGCGCTTTATAGAGCGGGAGGCCGTATTCCGTCGTGCTAACTTCCGCGATAGATATATCTGCCTCTCCCTCTCTTACCTCCTCCTTCTCGGAGCGTATAGAGTCGTTCGTCGACGCCGTGCTAGCCGTGGCCAACAACGACTCCGCCGCTACCGCCGCTCCTGCCCGCGCCGCTACCACCGCTCCTACCGCCGCCGCCGCCGCCTCTACTACGCTATTCGCTCTTACGTCGCCCCTTAAGGTAGCGACGCCGTCCCCGCCGCTACCCGTAACGCCCGGCCCCTCGGCCCCCGCCTCCGTCTCCGCTACCCCCGTAAGTCCGTAGTTAGGTAAGCGTAATAGACGTTATCCGCTAACCTCCTATAGTATAAGCGCTAAGTATAGGCCGGCGCCGCCCGCTCGGCCCCCTATATACGTTATACGTTATAGGAGCTCGACTGCTCCGACTAGGCCGGGCGCCGCCGCGGCGGCAGCTGCTACTAGTACGCGCGAGCCGGCCGCGCTTATAAAGCGGCGCCTCCCGTCTTACTTACTACGGCGTCGGCTTAGAAGGCCGGCTCGCACGGGTAGGCGCGGGGGGCTACTAAGAAGCGCCTTACTGCCGCCGCCGCCGCCTACTATAACCTCCGCGCCCTCGAGCGATAGGGCCTTATGCCTAAGTAAGTCCTACTCCTCCGCTCCCTTATTTCCGCCTCTAATATACCCGGCGCTAGGGATACTACCTCCGTCGCCCTATCGGCGGTCCCCTTAGCCGTGCCCGCCTCCGCTACCGCCGCTGCCCCTACCGCCGCCGCTAGCCGCCGCCCCTTTACCCCCGGAGCCGCCGCCGCCGCTAATTAGCTTATAGGCTTAGAGGGCCGCCTTAGCGCCTTAGAGACCGCCGCCGCCGCTAATAAGAAAGAGGAGGCCGACGAAGACGATAATAACGAAGATAATAATAATAATAATAATAAGGAATAGGCCTAGGTAGTTTAAGGGCTCCGCCCTATAATAAACGCTATTTTTATCTCCGCTTATACTATTACGCTTATATTGCCTATATTACCGTAACTGCCCCCTCCGCTATACCTACTTTATAGTCTTAGCTTAGGCTATTATCGGTAGTCCGCTAGTCCGTCGTTCTTATCTATTATTCCGAATAAGGCTTCGAACTTATTAAGGGCTATAGTTCCCGTAAACTTACGTATAGGTTCCTATATAGGGTCGAGATACCCGCGCTACTTAACGAGGACCTCCTAGCGTTTCCCCTTACTAACCTTTTTCTAGCGCGCGGCCTATATCTCTTCGACCTTAAACTTATTCTCTTCCTTTACCTCGATTATAGGCGGTTAGGCGTCCGCTACTTCTTATCCGGGCAGCGGGTTAAAGGAGGCTCTACGAAGGAGGTCTATATTAATCTTATTATAGACCCCCGTTAAGAGACTATCGAGCTCTATAACCTACGGGCTAATAACCCTTTATACCGTAAACTTTACGTATAGCTAGTTAAGCTTTTTCTTTAGCCGTGCCGACCTATAGTTATAGAGGTCTAGCTATACCTTATCTCCTACCGTAAACCTATCTACTAGGGCCTTAGTCTT